ACTTTGCGACCCCCGTCGGTGGCTCGTTCCCCGCTGCCCAGTCTCCCGCCCAGGGTCCTGTCTCCGACGGCCCCAGCATGGACGACATTGACCTGAGCCGCTCGCTGCGTGTGCGCACGCTGTACACGTACCAGAGCTCGTTTGACGGCGACGTGCCCTTCGAGGAGAACACGATCATGCTCGCGAACCCGGCGCGTGACCCTGATGGACAGTGGTGGTACGGCACGCTGCCCTCTGGCCAGGCCGGGTGGGTGCCGAGCAGCTACGTCGCCGAGTTCACCGAGAAGCCCGGCCGGGCGCTGTACGACTACCCCGCAAATGGGCCGGAGGAGCTGTCGCTCAACGCTGGCGACGAGTTTACTGTCATCGACGACGCGGACGCGGACTGGTGGAAGGTGGAGCGGGGTGACCGCGCGCTGCTCGTGCCCGCGGCGTACGTGGAGCTCATAGGTGAGTAGGCTTGGCCCCTCGGGCTCTGTTTTTCTTTGAGACTCTCTCTTACACTCCCGTGATCACAGGCTAAAACATTATATTTATGATCTTTCCCATTCTTTCTGTTCTCTCTGTTCTCTCCCAATGCAACGAATTCATACCAACGGACCATTACGACGTACAACACAGACAAGGAAAGGGAGTCCACAAACGCTACACAGCCCGTCGTCGTCGTGGAGCCCCCGACTGGACCTGCAGGATCTAAGGCCGTTGACACGAACACGGACGCCCAACAGGGGCGAGGTGAGGACCGAGCTGACGGGCGTGAGCCTCCCCTGAGTGATTCACCTACCAAGGCTGAGGACGACGTGAGGAATGAGATTGGGAACGGCGCCCCTCCCTCCCAGCTCGCTGCGCCGCTCGCGGTGCCCACTAACGGCGGCGACGCCTCCTACCCCGCCTCAGTGCGCACGAACCGCTCCCGCTCATCCAGCATTTTCGTGATGGACGACGTCGACGAGGCCGACTCGGAGGCAGACAGTGTTCTGTCTTTCTGGTCCGACGATGAGTCGGAGTCCGACGCCGATCCAGACCCCTCGGCTGACGCGGATGTGGATAAGCGGAAAGAAGAGGAGCGTGCGCGCCGCGAAGCGGCCCGGGAGAAGCAGCTCGCCAAAGCAGGTCTCAAGATCAGGCGAGAGCCGCCCGGCGTCCCCCAGCGGCGGAAACAGGCCCCCGCCGTCCCGAGCAGGGCGCACAAGCCGAGCGCTCTGCACACGCACGACCAAGGGACGGGGTCAAGTACGCCCGTCGGGACCGAAGCTCAGGCAGAGGAACCGATCGAGGTCGAAGATGCGTATGCGCGGTACGAGGCCTTCCTCGCCGAGGCGAAGAGCAAGCCCGCCCCGCGGCCTACGGCGACGCCCAAGGTGCACACGGAGGTCACGCTGCCCACCCCCGCTGCGCCGGCGCCCAGCGCGACGCAGCGCTTCTCCGGCTTCATCAGCCGGATTACGGGAAGCGTGCACCAGCCCGCCAGGCCTGCGCCGGTCATTTCGCGCCCGGTATCCAGTGCGCCGATCAGCGGACCCATCAGCGGTCCTATCAGTGGGCCAAAGTCGGCTTCTCCAGACGAGGCAGAGGACGACTCCAGCTCGGGTTTCGGACAGACATGGTCGTCGCTCGTCGACGCTTCCGTGCTCGAGACCATGCCGCCGCAAGAGCGCAAGCGGCAAGAAGCCCTCTTCGAGCTGATAGCGACGGAGGCGAGCTACGTCGCGGACGTCCAACTCCTCGTCGGAGTTTGGTACGCGCGCCTCATAGCCGTGCTGGACGAGCAGAGCCTCGGCGTCATCTTCGCCAACATCGAGGACATCATGATGTTCAACTCGCGCCTGCTCTCCCTGCTCGAGGAGAGGCAGAAGGAGTGCCGGCTGTATATTGACAGTATTGCTGATATCCTTGTCGAGAACCTGAAGGATCTCGACGTGTACATCCCCTACTGCCTGAATCAGGAGAATGCGCGCCAGCTCCTTGTGCAGCTCAGACGGCAGAGGCCCGAACTCGACGCCAAGCTCGTCGAGATACGCAATGGCGAGCCGGCCGTCCGAGGGCTCGACATCAGCAGTTTCCTCCTTGAGCCGAGTGAGTCTACATTGACTTTCGCATAGCTTTGAGATTTCGCGCGTCCAGCTAACGTTGCAGTGCAGCGCGTGACGCGCTACCCTCTGCTCCTGCGGCAGGTGCTGAACTACACGCAGGCAGACCAGGACCAGGCCCAGCTCGAGGTGGCATTGGGCATTGCGCAAGACATGGTGACGCGCATCAACGAGCGCGTGCGCGAGGCCGAGGCGACGGACCGCCTGCGCACGCTCTCGGAGCAGCTCTGGGTCGGCGGCGAGGGGCGCATCGACCTCACTGCCCCCACGGCCTACCAGGGTCCGCGCAAGTTGCTGAAAGAGGGGTCCGTGTCCAAGGCCAAGAGCGGGCGCCGTCTGCAGATGGTGCTCTGCAACGATATCGTGATTCTCATTGAGGATGAGAGACTGTACCGCATGGTAAGTCGCGAGCGGAGCGAGCACAGCAATCGCGACGGGCGCGCACGAACCCAGCGAGGTGCTCGCAAAAGCTATTCTCACCCCACAGGTAAGCTGACACACAGCCCATGTCCCTCTTCGACCTCTCGATCGCCACGGGTCCTGAGACGATTTTCGCCCTGATCCCCGGCAATCCCAAGAACACGGTCCGGCTCAAGGCGCCGAGCACATCGGCCAAGGCAGAGTGGGTGCACCTCCTGAACACGGCGCGGAAGGACGCCATCGCCGCGCGTCGCGCGAGCGTCATGTCCTTTGACTCTGGGCGAGACTCGGGCCGGAGCGCCTTCGACGCGCCTCGCCCCCATCGCGAGCGTAGTGGGAGCTACGCCTCGAGCCTGAGTCTGGGCGACCGGGCCGGCCCCTCCGGCCCCTCGTTCCCCGACCGCAATGCGGGCGGCTATAGCACCCGCCGAGCAAGCGGTGGGCCCGATAAGCGCCTCAGCATAATGAGTGCGTCGTCGCAGCGCAGTGCCCGCTCCACAGTCCCCGCCTCGCCGGGACAGGTGCACGCCCTCCCGCCCGGGGCTGCGCCGCCAATCCACCCCCAGTCCCCGCCCCTGCCCCCACGCCATGTGCGACACAGCAGCACCAGCAGCAACTTTAGCGGATACCTGCCCCCCGGGGCCGCGACGCCGACGACGGGACACCCCGGCGGCATTCCGGCGGGATACTCGGAGGCCGAGCTCGAGCGCTACGCGAGGCAGTATGACGACATGCTCGGGCCCGCGAGGGATCCGGTGTATGATGATGCGCACTCTTATGCGGGCCAGGGAAGGAGTATGTACGAGCACGAGTTTTGAGTGCGGCAGGAGGCTCGAGCGGTGAGGAGTGTGGCATGTGTGAATGGCATTTGAAAGTGTACCTATGAGAGAACGGGAGTAGAACTAGATACAACAACCTGCATTTGCGAACCAGAAGAGGTTACACGTCTGTAGGAAGAATCAAAGGACTCTGCATGCATTCTAGATGGTGGGGAGCTCTCCTTCACCCACTTCGCCGAACGGACCACGGCGGGTGCCACGCTACCGTCGTTGCCCCTTGATGCTGAAATGCCCGCACTGGCGACCACTCCATCTGCACTCGAGCTCTATCACGCCTCCGATAAGCCTCTCAAGCCTCCCAGGCCTCCTGAACCGGACCAAAAGGGCATAGAGAGCATGAGAGGCGCAAAAAGGTCACGACGGGGATCGAACCCGCAATCTCCTGATAACTCCGAAAATCGTAGTCAGACGCCTTGCCATTGGGCCACGCGACCTGTTGGAAACTGTTTATGCATGGTTTGGAATCTGAAAACTGTACACTCTAGCCTGAAAGGCTAACGCCCACACAACCGCTGAGATGGCGGGTTATGTCTGGTCGGGCAGAATCCCGAGCGAAGGTCTCTTATCTCCTTCCCACAAATTCTGCCTATTGAAGAGCTTGTTTGGACATCCGATGTGTTCGGTTACGTCTCACACTCTCAATAGACGGTATCAGTACTGAGATAGACCGCGTCTTGCTGTCAGTCGAGCGATACAATAGCGTGCGACCGGCCGAAGGAGGTCCATACGCCATGTCCCCTAGGCCGCTAGCCCTGTCTTGAGGGTTCATTCTCGATAAAGCCGCGAATTCACGACCTGAAAGAGGGTCAGTATGAGCCTGTCTTCTCAACAAATGCTGGGAGCCCTGCGCTTAGCGCGGCCAGTGCCCAATCCCCACCACTCAGCCTCCACTTGTGGCACATCATATGATGCGGCTTCTTCCACCAGCCCTCCCTTTCTCTTCTTCCCGAGTCAGCTCCAAAAGCTCCATCGCACGTCCGCGGACATGCAAAAGGTCACGACGGGGATCGAACCCGCAATCTCCTGATTACCTCGGAACTCCGCGATGAACTGCGAAGATCCGGAAGTCGTAGTCAGACGCCTTGCCATTGGGCCACGCGACCGGTTGAGAGCTTCTTCGCCTTGCCAAAGTGTGTTCGGCCCAGCGGAAATTTTGAGCGAAAGTGCCCGAATTCTGTTCCCGTAATTTCCGCGATAAAACGCTCGTTCGAGCATGGAAGTGCGTCAGGATACGATGTCAGAGTCTCAGCAGACGGCGACCACGTTGAGGTCGTCCCTGTCTTCCTGCAGATGAGGCGTTACAACAAGCTGCGACAGGCCGATGCCGTCCCAGGGGCAGTCGAACTACACCTCGTGTGTTAACTCCTGTCTTGAGACCCTTTCTCGATCAACCCGGATCACGACTTGACTGAGGAGCAGTTTAGGCGCGTATTCCCGAAAAAGGCTGGAAGCCCAAACAGTGAAGCCAGTGCCCTCACCTTCACCACACGTCCTCCTCCAGTGGCACTTCCAACCACCCCGCTTCCCCACCAGCTCCACACGTCCTCCTCCAGTGGCACTTCCAACCACCCCGCTTCCCCACCAGCTCCACCCTTCCTCCTGGCCCCAAGTCAACTCTAAAAGCTCCACAGCACGTCCGAAGACATGCAAAAGGTCACGACGGGGATCGAACCCGCAATCTCCTGATGTACTCCTGCCCCGAGATGACCTCGTTGCTGAGTCGTAGTCAGACGCCTTGCCATTGGGCCACGCGACCGATGTGAACGCCTTCCCTGGGCGCGAGACGCCGGCGCCGGCGCGGGTGCGAGCCTACGGTAGACGACGTATGCGTCTCTGCAGTCAGCTCACAAGAGAACAAGGATAAGAGCTGAGGCGGTGGCGGACGTTGAGGAAAGCGGCGATGCGAACTGGAAAAAGGGCCTGCAAATGAGGAACAGCCGTCAATGACCTCACACCACGACTCTTAAGTAGTCTGCCTAGTGTCTCACAGCCTTATGAATGACACAACCAAACTCAGAGACTCGACGCACAGACGCGGACCCGCACCTTCAAGGTAGCATTTCACTTCCACCTCCACCATACCGATGTGGCACTCACCCCAGACTGTTGAACCTCGCTCTTTACCGTCGCATCTCCCAGTTCAGCCCTTCTACATCATAGCCAAAAGCATACACGCTCTCGCGCACACGCAAAAGGTCACGACGGGGATCGAACCCGCAATCTCCTGATCATCCGATGAATCGTAGTCAGACGCCTTGCCATTGGGCCACGCGACCGATGCTGATGGGACGGAGTGGGGCCAGGCGGCGGGCTCGGCGCGGGTGCGAGCGCCGCGTGCCGGACATATAGAGGGAATGGCATCTGTCGTGAGCGGCGGCGTGCAGTGTCGAATGAGTAGCAGTGAAACAGCATGCCGAGTGTTGAGGTTGCGGCTGAGGATTGCAGAGACGCTGTGGAAGTCGGGTGAGTGTCTAAGGGAACGGGTGTACGCCAGGACTGCCGAAGTCTGGAAGCCAGCTAGAAGCGGTTGCTACCGAGCTCACTTAAAGGGTGGGCGTCGTCCTCGTACCTCTCCGCAATCCATGTGTCCAAGTAGTGTACAGGCTGTTCCGTGGCTGCCAGTGGCATCCCCGATCCTCCCGAAAACTCCACCACCGAATCCCCTTTCTTCTTCCTCCACTTCTGAGTCTTCCAAAAGCACTCCGCCGCATGCAGCAGCGGCAAAAGGTCACGACGGGGATCGAACCCGCAATCTCCTGATTACTCGCGTCCCCGAGCTGAGCTCGGAGTCGGAGATCGTAGTCAGACGCCTTGCCATTGGGCCACGCGACCGATGATTGCCATCGGAGAAGGGGGAAGGCGGGGGCGTAGGCGGCGGTGCGAGGGCGCCTCAGGGTCATCCGGAGGATGGAGTCGAGTGGGTGGCGAAGATACGAGAAACAAAAACGAAGGGACAGGTGAGTGGTGGTCGAAGATGGACGAGTGGAAGGGTTGATGTCGTGGAAAATGAGAAGCACGATGGTGTGGAAGCTTGTGCGTCGTGGTCTGCTGTTGTTTGGTTCCGTGTCTCACCTGCGTCCCTCCATCGTGCACAGTATGTTGTGCAGCGTAGCGCGTGTGCTGTGTGGGCGCAGGTTGGGGCGTTTCTCTGCGTAAGGGCGGGGCTCGACACCGCAGGCAGATGATTAGTGCGGCCCCCTCCTCATGCACTCCCTCGACGCCGATATCTCCGCTAGGTAGACCTGCTTCTTGAGAGACTGTCGAGCCCCAAGCTCCCTTTCTGCTCGCTCTCCTGCTATCGATCTCCTCGTCTCCCGCAACCCGATGCCTCAGCGGCGCCGCCGGACGCCTGCGCCCCCGATCCAAGGCAAATGTGCCCATTCCCGTTCGTATAACGGCTAGTATGCTCGCTTGTCATTACGTAACTTGACCGCGGGAGATCGGAGTTCGATTCCCCGACGGGAAGCACGAGGATGCTGAGAAGCACACTCTTTTGGATGTTTTGTGGCTTGAACGGATGGACGGAAGCATGGCGGAAGGGTGGACGATCTTGGTGGAGAGTTGACGATAGATCGGTGGGGTGGAGGTGAGCTCGGGCCGGTTCCACCGAACCCACTGGTGGAGTCCTGCTTCGGCCTGAAGGGTATGATACCTTCCAAGCGTGATGCTTCTGGAAACTATGCAGAGCAAGTAAGCAAGTTCGTGTGAGGAGATCCAAGACGATGCGGAACAGAGATGAACTTCCGACAACACCGTTTATCGCTAGATTGCCGAGCCCAGTAGGCCGTGGAGCTCCGTGCCTAGTCACATGCCGACCACCGTCGTCATTCTTCCGATCGCCTTCGAATTTCAGCACCACCCATCCCTCTACTCTACTCCGCACCGATGGTGGACCCGATCCCCTTCGACATTATCCGGCGTGTGGGCGAGGAGCTCCTCGACGCGGGCTCTCAGGGGACCTTGGCCTCGCTCGCGCTCGCATCGCACGGGGCGTTCGACGCAGTGCACGACGTGCTCTATGCCCGGTTCGAAATCACGCCCAAGTCGCTGGCCGCGCTCGACCTGAGTGCTGACGATGAGACCAAGGAGCGAAGATTGAGATGTCTTCGGCATGTCAAGCATCTGGCGGTCTCCTGGCTCCCAGACGACTCGGCGCTGAATCCGCTGCACCGACAACTGAACGCGGGCGTCTTGGTGTTTCCCCGCATTTCCTCGCTTAGTATGGGTCCAGTAGCTCTGGACCAGCTGAGGAAGTGGGTCCCATCTTCGTACATGACCGACCTCGTCTGTCCCCTTCCTCTACTCCTCGAGTTGCTCGCGCGACACAGCAGTCCGACGCTCTTCTGCGCTTCTTTCCGCCTCTGCCCCTCGGACGACTGGAAGCGACACCAGGAGCTCGCGACACAGGGACAGTACGCCATGTGTAAGCGGCTCGACGCACTGGGCGAGCGCTGGCCCCTTCAGACGGCGACCTTCCACAATGTCCTGTTCCAGGTCCCGCCCGCTCTCGACTGTACGAATCGGTACGAGTTTGCGCCGCACGTCGTCGACGCAGAGTACAAGAGTCTGCGCGAGGTACTGGCTCAACAGGCCATGGAAGCCCGCCTGCTCCGAGAGAGAACGCAGGCTGCTCTCGCAGCTGGGAACGCAGGTGTTGTCGGGGTCGGCTCCAGGAGTAACAGTGGAGCAGTCACGCCAAGGAGTGACGATACGCCAGGCGGGTACGCCAGTCCAGCTCGAAGACGGAGTACGGACGAAGAACGCCCGAGTCTGGATGAGATCGAGGGAGGAGGAAAGGGCAAGGAGAAGGAGAAGTTCAAGCTTCTCTGGGGACACGAGGCGACGCTCCTCCCCGGTCCGGACTGGAGCATACGGCCATGGCAGATCGCCCTTGCTGTGAAGGGCAAGTTCCCCAGTGGGAGTCGGGAACGACATAATGAGACGCTTGAGCGGACGAAATGGGAGGCCGTCAATGTTGAAGGGGGGCTGTACCTCCAGGAGAGGGAGGGAGCGGATGACAGTGGTAAGTTCAGGCATTGCAGGGAGTAACCGCCATGGGCGATATACTGACATCCAGGCATGTGGTGGGACGCAGGCAATGGGGTCGGCTGGGCCGAGGCCGCGTATGTGATCAAGGAGGATGTGGAGATGGGTCTTGCGCAGTTCCTGGCCCAGCGTGAGGGGGTCGATGACGCTCTGCTCGCCGCCATACGTGCCAAGATCTCGTATACCGACGCCAGCAAGGGGATGGATTGCGAGTGCTGTGGACGGCCATGGGGCCAGGCAGACATCTACGGCCTGGCGGGACTGGTATCGGAAATCGTCCCCTGGGAGCGCGGTGTGACCGTACGCTCGAAACCGACCTAGATCTAGACGCCCAATCTGCTTTAGACATGCATATTGATGACCTTGTATCCCTTCTTCCATTCACTTTCCCTGCCTTCCATTTCCCCTCCCTCCGGATAGTGGGCCACCACCTCTGTGGGCTTACTGGATCTTGATCGTCTCGTCAACGGGCGCGCCAATAATCTCGCGCACAACGACCTTCTCCTTGTCCCACACGCCCTGCTTCCAGTACTCGTCGGCCTTGATGCGGTCCCAGGCCGCCTCGATCGTCGGCTGGCGCAGGATCATGACGCTGCCGTCCATGCCCGAGAGCTGGTCCTCGTGCGGCTGCTTCTCGGTATGCGTCGAGCGCTTGTCGTCCAAAAACGCGCGGCCGAAAACTGGTGTCAGCTGCATTCCGGAGCATACCCAAGCTTCGTCTCTCGACTCTATGTGGCCGGCGCTTGTCTTCCTGAGGCAAGTTCATGCCTGCGGCAGTGTTGGCGCGGAGCACGAGGCCCACCAGGCACGAGTTGGTGAAGTAGCGGGCTACAACACGCCCGGACTCGAGCCTCCGACTCACCAGAAGCACCGGTCTTCTTGTCCTCAGTCGCGGCAGCAAGGTGGGCCTCGCGGGCCTTGAGCCTCGTCTGGAGGTTGTCGGGGTAGTCGGGGCAGTAGCAGACGTAGAGGGGCATGGTGCGAGCGGGGGTCGTGTGCAGCGAGCGGGCGAGAGAGCGGGAAGCAGCAGTGCGCGTAAGGGCGGTGAGCATGTCGCGGTGAGCGGTGATGGGCAGAGCGAGTAAGCAAGCGGAGGACATCGACGGTCGAAGCCGACTCAACTCGGAGTGGAGGTATCCGACTTGCCGAGTTGTCATCATTACGTAAACTTGGAGGTGAGTGAGGCGATCGACTGCAGCCTGCAGACTGCCTCTCCCCGTTACAGATGCTGCAGGGGTTGTTCTATGCATGCATCAGGTGGGGTTACGCTCTCCTAGTGTGCTGAAAAGCTCACTGCGTCGGTCCTGCAACATCCTTGAACCCCGCGGGGCATCGGGCCAGGGGCCGCAAGCCCTCCCACGGCGAGCCACTCAGGATCCTCCGCTTCCGCCTCCGTACACGCTTCGCACCTGTCCCGCTGCTCCAAAAAGCGACTACCCAAGCTCTTGCTTGCTCGAGACGCCGTACTGCGCTGCCTTCTACCCGAATCGAACGGGTGACCGTTCCATAGCAATGATCACTGCTCTTGAGGAGCCGTGGTCGAACTACTAGTGGAAAATTCTAGCCACTGAACTAAGAAGGCCGGACACGATGTCCGTCCCCGGTCTTGTGGTATCTGTGGGTGCCGCTGACGAACGGAGAGAAGTACCACGCCGTAGCATGCCGTTAAGAACTACGACGAAGGAGACTTCCTCAGTCTGGCTCTGCGTTTCTCCTTCCGCTCGTCGATCTCTTCGAACTCTTGAAAGAATACGACGGCGGCATTTGAGACCCGATCTTTGGCCATCTGCGTTTTGCAAACGCCTTCGAGGATGCTGCTCAGGTGGTTGAGGTAGCCTTCCTTGAACGGAGCATAAACCTCCTCCTGGTGTGGGCGGGGATAGTACAGCTCCTGTCCTGCGATGAGCGTCGCTAATCTTCGAGCGCCGGTAGAGAGGTCGTCGTTCGCGTACTGGCCAGTTGGAGTGAGGGTATCAATCTGACTCATGGGGTAAGGCGGTAGCCAGCGCTGTGACTGGTTAAAGTCGAGAACATAGCAGTGCGACTGCCCACGGAGGCTGCCAACCACGAGTTCAGCATCGCGAGCGTTGACACCGACCTGCCAGTGGAGGGTGGCGAGCAGCCTACCCATGCCTCTGGCGACGTCTGTGCAAGGCGGCAGACTGTCGTCTCCGAGAACGTCTCGAATCTTGTTGTACCGCCGGAGATCTAGTGGCGGGTCAGAAAACAGATCCTGAGGGAAAGCCACTGTCTGCGCCGGCAGGTTCCCTCGCCCGAAGTAGAGGCGGAAGAGGCGCAGGGGTGGCATCGTGGCACGTGCGTCGGGAGCAACGAAGTGAGAAATGTACGTCTCAACGATGGCGGGAGGTGCCGAGGGTATCAGGTCGAAAGAGAAGGTCGGGCGGGTGAAGCTGGACCACTCGGACGAAGAATCCGGGTGGCAAGTTACTGATGTGCAGCGAGTGCTAGGACCAATAACTTCGTTTGCTGTCGGACGCCAATACGCATACGGTTTCGGAGTCCAGAAAGCGCCAGACTCAGATGGTTCTCCAATGGCGGAGTGCAGTTCTGCGTATCTGCTGTCAGCCAATGTGTGATCTGGGTGACCTACTGGTTGAACTCGGCGAGGAGATTGCTGTCGCCGTAAGCGTCAAAGACCTGCTTGTATACGGTTGAGTGGTTCGGGCGGTGGTACACCTCTCCGAAGGTGCCCTTGTTCAGAAGGCGCAGGTGCTGGTCGTCGTATGGGGCAGAGTGCTTGGTCATGGTCCTTGATGGAGGGCTTCTGACCTCAGAGGAGGACATGCTGATGTAAGTGAACGATAAACAGCAACAGTTACTCGCTTGAGACTTGTGAGCTGTGAGCAAAAAGCCAGCGAGAGCCATGATAGCCGTGATAGCCGTGGTAGATCATAAGTGGCCCCGCCCTAGACGATGAGCCGCGGCGATTGAACAGAGTCGCTTGGACGTGGCGATGTGATTGCTCGCCACAGTGCCTGCCACGGACTGGGAGTGGGCCAGGCTGCGATCTTCCCTCCACTTTGGCAGCCTATCGTCTTCAAGGAGACAGCAAAAACGCGGGTCACTCCCTCCTCTTTTCGAAAAAGGAGCTATCCGACTCTATGTTGCCTTCTACCCGAATCGAACGGGTGACCGTTCCATAGCAAATCTCGAGAGACACTACTAGTGGAAAATTCTAGCCACTGAACTAAGAAGGCGGACACGTGGGACTGACCGGGCGCAGCACTCGGCGCCGCGCCCGCGAGGGCGACGGAACTCCGAGGGTTCGGCAGGCAGTGACGACGACACCGCTGACCGCGAACCGGGAACCCGGGCTTCGGTAACAGGCCCGAGGAATGACGGGCAAGAGATGTCAAAGGCAACACGCATGCTGCATCGCTGACTTACTGTCTCACACGGCGCAGTATGTCTTAAGACATACGCAAGATACAGCGGTGGCGGCGCCGCACTCAACCTTGCTGTCGAGATCACTGGAGACACGGATGCCAGGGTAAGCGGTGCTACGGATCAAGCAGCACTCATGCGTTGGCCCCTCCCCTCGAGCAAGGTTTCGGTTCCGGATTGCGGTCTCCGTTGCTTGCCCGCAATTCAGGTGACGTGCGAATTCTGTCCCCTCGACAGCTTGTCGTGTCTCTGGGAGGAACTCTCACTGACACTGGCGTATCACGGGCTCTCCTCGGCGCTCTCGGCGTGTCTCGGCTAGCGCCAGACAGTTGTATGGAGGCAGCTCGGTGAGACGGCCGCAAGCGGCGGAGGCGTCGGAGGCGTTGCGGGCCCGAGCGATGGAACAAAGCAGTCACGTTCGTGGGCAGGCCGATCTGGGAGTGCCAAGCCTTTTGTGCTTGGTGGGCTGCCGTATCGCTCCAGGCACGAAGGCAGCTGTGTTTCTTTGGTGTGTATCGGTCCCGGGACAAGAGCAGAAGCCTTACGCCATTCAAGCACCTCGGGAGCACCTCTTTCCGGGCACGACGGGGGTCAGATGATCCGCGCTTTGAGGTCCTGCGCTTGCGCACTTGCCGCCGCCGGGCCTGAGGTCACCACATCCTGCCAGCAACGGCTCAGCCTTTGTGCTGTGAGAACGAGCTCGGAAGGCTGCTAAATAACAACAACAGCGATGCGATGTCGACTTTGCACTCATACTTCTGTTTAACGGCCGACCAGATTACCCGACATGCTGGCGCTCGTGCCGATGCTCTGGGCGGCACTCTTCCCCTCGGCGTTGGCTGGTATGCCCAACCCGACGCTCGATTTCAATGTCTCCATCCCGCTCTCGACATTGAACAACAGGGGCAAATGGTCAAAGTGGACAACAACCTACGACAACGTTCAAGGCAAAGGGAACGATACGCTTGCGGAGGGCTCTGCGCGCCTTGTCGCGTTCAACACGGACCCGGACCTCTCGCTCGTTGCGGCCGCCAAAGCAGTATACATCTGGGGCGACCTAGGGTACGCGGGGAGCATGAATCAAAACAAGATCCAGTTCCAGTTCGCCGGCTCGCAGCCCCAGAATACAGCACAGGGAACCAACAAAGGCCTGATCGGGCATGCGGAGCTCGAGATGTTCAAGCCCTTCGAGGGCAGCTTTGCCCCGCTGTGGATGTACTTTGAGGCCGATTCACCGAGCGTGGAGCGGGTCGTCGTCACGACGGGTATCGAGACCGATGCGTGAGTGCCGACCTACGGACATGCTGACAGACAGCAAGTCGCTTGACGACGTGAACGTCACGACCTGGCGCTTTGTCGAGAACGACGAGCTCAGCCCTCGCTTCACCTGGCGCGAGACCACCGGCAAGTGGAACACGACTCTGACCTACGCCGGCGCATTGGGGGACGAAACGTTGCGATCCCTTTCTCAACGAGTGAACGGCGCGATCTCTCCCGCAGCAGGACTGAGCGCCTACGTTGTCGTCCCCGTGCCGGTGAATACGTCCTGGGTCGCTTTGAACGTGACCCGCGGACCGGACTTCGGCAAGGTCTCCATCACATCGAAACCTACCATTGAGGGATACTTCGCCGAGACTCCCACGACGTACGAGTCGCACTATGTCCCTGACGAAATGCTGTGGTTCCGATCCCTCGACCCCAGGGTGCAGTACAACATCTCAATCGCGGCCATTAGCGACTCGGACCGCCCCAGCTCACGGATTGCGCTGAACAGCGTCACGTTCTACGGCGGGGCTGCGATCGACGGCCCAGTCTCCGATAACAACGACACTTCGAGCGACGATGGGGAAGCTGGGGGTGATAACGGAGGGAAGAAGACAAACATCGGCGCCATTGTCGGCGGCGTTGTGGGTGGTGTCGTCGGTGTGGCTCTCCTCGGAGCACTGGCGTGGATCCTCCTTCGCCGCCGGAAGCAGAGGAGGGAGACGCGGGAGCGCATGCCCAAGCTCGAGATCGACGACGCGCCCGTTGTGCCTTTCAGCGCGTCGCATACGCCCTCGGGCTACGGTTTCGACGAGAAGGGCAAGTTGGTGCCGCCGCCTGCAGCCGAGCCTCTGACGCCTCGTACTCGAGCAAGGGCCATCGACGGCGGCGCGGCCCCAAGTCCTGAGAGTGAGACACTCGACCCGCCAGAGTACAACCCCGCTTGGCAGGGAGGCAGCGCTCCCGCGAGTTCGACAGCTGTCCCAAGTGCTTCAGCTGTAGAGGCGCTAGCGGTGAAGAAGGCGTGAGGGATGAGTGCGAAGAGGCTGCCGAGGCAAGCCACTAAGACATTAGATATGATATTTTACGATACGACACGATATGCGATTACAGGTCCGCATTGTTCAGATCAGCAGGAAGACAAGGCAGAGGTCAGTGAGCGAGGTACGCCGGGGTGCCGTGGCTGTTCCGGCAGCCAGCCTGTCTCGAGTCAGTTCTGAAGTCAGGACATGCGAGCATATCCACGCCCGAAAGATGTATGCGGTCGTTGACCGCAGAGTGAGATGTACGCATTCTTCGCATGTCACAGAAGCACTATTACACAGGAGCTCGTTTTGCTTACGTAAATGACACAACGGAGAGCTGTGCCATTCCGCGCATCACGATCTCAGGGTGGTCTTCACGCGACGCGTCTAGGCTCTTGACTTTCGGCTGGTTCATTGCTAAAACGACAACAACGCCTAGCACCATGCGTATCCACCTGCCCCTCGAGCCAAAGCACTTCACGTCCAACCCCACCGGACCTCTGGCCAAGATCGGTGGTGACCTCGTCCTCATCGAGCTCCAGGGCAAGATCGAGGTCGAGGGAGATAGGGCCAACAGCGTTATCGGGGTGCTTGGTCTGGATCGACCAGTGAGTATGCCTCCCTCATATCTCTGGTATCTCATCTTCAAGTGATGGGTTTCAAGCGGAGAGATTCCGGGCTCTCAAGGCTACCGTGACGAATGCGAGCTGACGACAGGACCGCCCCACTCTGCATATCGGCCAGCACCACCTCCTACACGGCAAGATGGCGACACTGCCGCGCCCGTACGCCGTGATCCGGCGGGCAGTCTCGACAGAAGCGAACATAGAAGGCGACGCCGCAGACGAGGAGAGTGACGCAGAGCGTGAGGCTGAACACGAAGCTCTGACCTCCTCGCCGATCGCGCCGAAGAAGGCGAAACTCCACTCTTCAACTGCAGCCGAGGAGGAGGAAGCCGACCCGCCCCTGTTCCCCGAGATGGAGACGTCGAAACGTGGCCCGCGGGACTTGCCACCGTCATCATCGCCGGCGCCCTCGAGTCAGGGGCCAGAGTACTCGTCCGACCTCAGCTCGCCGGTGCGGGGCATGGATGCATGGGGCTTCCCTCGCCGACCTGGAGAAGATGATGACGAGGAGGACGAGGAAGCGCGCCAGGAAAGGGAAGAGGAGAGGAGGGAGAGGGAGAGGAAGAGGAGAAGGGCGAACAGGCCGCCGAGGGAGCGGGCGAGGCACTATGAGGTCGTCGCCGTGGTCCGCAAAAAGATTGTATTCAGTTTGCGGTGCGTTTCTAGCTGGTGGGTGCACGGACAAGCTGACGGCAGACCGGAACCGCTCGTAGCTGCAACGGAGCTGCCGGAGTGATCTTGTAGTGAGTCAGGGGCTACGGCCAGCGGGGCAACTGGAAGCTGATCCAAGTAGCTGACAGTCCAGCCTGTGGCAATACCTGGACACGAATTGCAGGCGGGATGGCCACTGGCTAGTGAGTGGGAGCCGCGGATATCGAATGGCCTCGATTGCGCCCAGATAGCTGATGGATCAGGCCGCATGCGACTGCCGACGGGATCGACAATTCAGACTCTCAAGACTAGACTGTTTGTATGTATGCACTTGTACAAGAAAAGCGTGCGACTTGACCCGCCTGCCGGACCCCCTATATACCAGCATGCTGCTCAACACCGGGGCAAGCAACGTCGAACTCCTCAAGTACGACAGAGGGTGGAAGAGAATTTCCATACCCTAGCAGTGCGGCTTGTAATGCCGGCACAGCGTGCACCCGCGGCCAGCCGAAGTAATGTACAACTGCGTAGCGACCTAGCCAATATGTTTGGGTACCACCTACCCTCGCTCGAGCCATTCCCGCTGATCGGGAACATGCTCGGACCAGGTAATGGCATGTACGACGCCTGGCCCACTGCCAGGCTGGTCGACGGACCGCTGGACCGCTGGTGCCTTCTGCATGCGTACTCTCTGTCAACTCACTCTCAATTGGCGGAGTACTCGCTATCTGCTCGTACCTCCGCCTGCAACCGGTGCTGAGCCCCCTCGGCGGTCCCTGTTCCAGCAAGCGGCTCGGTGCCCGTACAACCCGCATGCATCGCATTCCGGGTCGAGCAGATTGCGTGCAATTAGGGATTGACCTGAAAGGGCAGGCGAAGTAGGCATAACTTGCGTCCCGCGGTCGGTGAGTACGACGCTCATGCGGGGTGCCTTTGGCATCATCAAGTGCGCTGGGCGGGGGAACGGCTCTCAGTAGTGAGACCCAGCGGTCTCCGTACTGAGACACCAGGCCCAGCTGATACCCCTCCCTCCGTGCTCGGCCTACTCGTAGCTTCCTCATTTGTGCTTTCGACTTCATGAACGGAGGTGTGCAGACCCCAGACTCTGCAGCCTGGCAGCCGCGGCCTCCTGTCTCCGCGTCAGTCTTGTGACACTCATCATTGAACCCATGACCGGTCCCACGCCCAGGTCCCGTGCCAACTTGTTTCCAAGGTCTTCTTCTGCAAAGCACTGCATGATGCTTTGCAGCCTTTTCTCTCCCATTCCGGTCCTTCCGGTCCTTCTCAAAGTCACAAGAAGGTTTGCAGAGCGCAGCTTATTCTGTGCCGTCCTCGAAAGCCCCTGTTACCCCAGGGGTCCTGAAGCAAAGCCAGGGCGGAACGCCCAAGTCACGAGTTTCAGTGCCGTTTCATATCTTACCCAGGCACGCTCTGCTTGTCCGTCACAGAAGATATTGGCTGGCCTGTCGGCCTGTCCGCTGAACTGCCAGAGTAGTGGGCCGAACGCAAACTGACAACAAGCGCAACAAGGTACAGAGCCTGCGCATAAGGTTCGCCGGGAACCGAGACAGTTCTCATCGCTGAAGCCCGCGGCAGTTCGCGCTGCGCGAGTGCTTCGTCGAGCGCATCGAAGCTAAGGTGACACAGAGTGCTTGCACTTCTAGACCGCGTTCCGTCATACCAGCTGAGCTTGTCATGTTTCGAGTGCAACTCTTTTGGCCCGCTCCGACGTTCCGTCCACTTCCCACTTCTTCCCACTCTGGACGTTGGACGTCACTCTCAGTCCCACACGACGTGTGGGTCATGTTGGCATCCGACTCATCCTCACATCACTCGAGGTCACCACATCCACACCACCTCCGACACCGCTATCGGTATCCAGCGATACGATGCGGCGCCTCCGACATCTGGTGCTGGCGCTGGCACTCTCCGTCGGGGCACACTTCGGGGTGAAGGCGGAGGAGCACATTCCGACACCCAATGCCGAGTTCAACGTCACCCTCGCGATCGCGGACACTTCTGTGGCCGTAGGCCCTCAGTCGTGGTCAACGACTTACAGCAATCTCAACAACGGAACCGCCGTCGAGCCGGGCACGCCAGGTATCGGGCAGCCGGGGCTGATCCGGAATGGAACGGCGCCATATCCGACGCTAAGGCTGCCGGGGGGCGTGACCGCCGCGTACGTCTACGGAAAGCCCGACGGTGTCTCTCAGGTCAAGTTCAGATACGCAGGGGATGAGAGTGAGGTCGGCGTGCTTGCCTCAGACGAGGAGGGGATGTTTGCCAAGATTGAGAATCTAGAGTTCTTCAAACGCACACCGCAGGGAGAGTATGGCAACGTCGAGGTTATGCTCGAGGGGATTGGCGGACAGCCACTCGACCCCGAGGCGAAGCCGACGATTGAGCGCGTTGTCGTGACGACAGGAATCATGTCACAAGGGTGCGTCTCGATAGCTGTGCCTGAAGCTGACGTGAGCAGCGAAACCATCGCCGACGCGAAAGTCACGACCTGGCCGCTGCTCAGCAACTACATGTTCGACACACGCGGCGGCGCTCTTCGGTTTGAGAACGGTACTGCCGCGCCAGGAGCTACGGCGGCCAACTGGACGCTCTCGTACGAGTACGCTTTCAGCGTCACGGGGCAGGGCGACTGGGGCGTGTTCAAGCTCGACGGACCTACTTTCGCCGTGGCGCCAAAGGGCGCCTCTCTGCACGTCGTCGTGCCTCCGAACAGCAGTTGGATCGGTGTGAACGCAACGCGGGGACCGACCTTCGGCGAGCTCCAGATTAAGGAAGATGTCAAAATTGACGGGTACGCGCCGCAGACGGTCAGCACGAAGGACACGGCGTACGGCAAGGACCAGCTCGTGTGGTTCCGCTCCCTTGACCCGCGGGTGCAGTACAATCTGACCCTGTTCCCGAGTTTGCTGGATGAGAAGTCGGCCGTGGGCATCAACAGCATCACGTTCTACTCTGGTCTGGGCGATGGAGAGTACCCGGACCCAAACGCAAAGAATGCGACGGGCAAGGACGGTGTCGGCAAGGGTGACAAGTCCAGCGATGCTGAGACCGGCACCGACTCGGCACCCAAGAAGAAAAAGAGCAACGCGGGTGCTATCGCCGGTGGCGTTGTTGGTGGAGTTGTTGGTCTCCTGCTCCTTATTCTGCTGCTGTGGTGCTGCATGCGCCGGCGACGGAGGCGGGAAGAGTGAGTTACCCTTGTGGTTGCAGCGCTGACCTCAGATCCCACTCCCACGTCACCTCCTACTTTGGCAGCCCGGTCACACGGCATGCCTCTGGCCCGACGGCGCCTCAAGCAGCCACGATCAAGTCGAACTCGTACACTCCACACGGGTACGGCGGTGCATACGAGCCTCTCCCGCGACACTCGCACTCGAACTCGCAGCACTCCTACCCCTACGAGCCGTACGAGCCGTGGGGGACTGGCAGCCTGCGCAGCGAGAGTGCCTTGGCTGTGAACAGCGGCAGCGACGTCGGCGCGAACACAGTCACTGCTACCGGCGGTGCGCCGATTGGGGGAGCGAAGTTGGAGCGCAAGGCTAGTATCAAGAAGAGGGGCGGTGTACCATGGCCCCTGGTCACCCGGGGAAGTCAAAAGAGCAAGAGCTCCAAGGGGTCACACCACACTAGGGGCACCCATGGCACGGAGAAGACGGAAAGGACAGACGCTGCCCGCCACGGAAGGGAGCGCAGCGACAGGAGAGACACTAGGGAGACGCGCGACACAGGCCACAGCCAGCCGAAGAGCAACTCCAGCTGTGGCTCCGGTCGGACCGACGACACGCCCAACTCCTCGGTCCCCTGGGGTCTGCAAGCGCAAGGGGACACTTTACGCACTCTCTCCACTCTGTCCACGGTCAGCGTACCGCTCAGCGCGGTCGGCGTGCCGAGCGGCCAGTCTGGCCCTGCACCTTGGCAGGACGTACCTCGGGCCACGGACGCAGGCTCCGTGACAGAGGAGGACCTGATGGACCCTCCGTTGTACAACCCCGCTTGGAGTGAGAGACCTCGTGCCCAGAGAGCGAGGAGCCAGGATCCTCGCGCGCATCGGCTGCAGGTCCGCGAGAACTCGGCACACCGACACACCAACTGATTTGTATGAGGACGAAAATGTTATAGTCATTCCTTTAGTATCTAGGACACTGGGTTAGGTTTTTGTATCAGTATGCTATCTTGTGGGCGTGCTCGTTGCCCTCGTTTGTTGTGGGGGGGTGAAGGTCGAGCGATGTCGAAGGCCAAACTGTCGTGGCACCAGGGGCTGTGAATCCCGTCAGCTCACCGTTCGTCAGCCATGCGAGACGGTTTCTTTGCTTGAAGAACTGTGCACGGAGCAGCTTGAAGATATCTGCTGAAGAGCGAATTGGCCGTGGTGTCGCCATCGGACCCTGGCCTATGAACGGTGAGCGGAGAGTAGTAGCCGGCGATCGGCAATCCCCGGTTCCGACGCGATCACCATCATGATCTCATCGCTATTTTCCCTCGAGCCTTCCTCCCCTTCCTTCATCTCTCACTTCTTTCACGCTCAGCATGTCCATTTCAGAAGGGAAGAAGGCGTGGGCTGCTCTCGTCACGCGCCCGAGCTACGTGCCAGGTATGCTTCCCAGCTGATTCTCCCACTCGTGCTAACGTCCAGGCCTGCTTGTGCTGCACCGCACGCTCTCCGTTGTGTCGAAGTACCCCCTCGTGGTGCTCGCGACCTCCTCACTCGGACAGGAGTACGTCGACCTGCTGAGACGGCACGGCCTCACGGTACACGAGATCGAACCGCTGCAGCCGCGGGTGAAAAACGAGGCCGCCTTCGAGCGCTTCGCAGACACGTGGACGAAGCTCGCCGTCTTCGGCGTCGAGGGGTATGAGCGTCTCATTCTCGTCGACGCGGACACGATCATGCTCCGCGGCATGGACGAGCTGTTCACCATGCCCCTGGGGGAGGACTGGATCGGCGCCAGTCCCGCGTGCACGTGCAATCCGTTCCAATTTGCGCATTACCCTAAGGACTGGTGAGTCACTCCGACGAGGGACGACAGCCGTTGCGGTTAGGACGAGCTGACGGCAGGATTCCAGAGAACTGTTCACTGTCCCATCAACCCAGACCAACGACACTTGACAACGTTCCGCAGCCGACGAAAGACAGTCCCCGGACAGCGCACCTTCTGAATAGCGGAGTGGTGGTGCTCCGACCGTCGAAGGAGCTCATGGACTCGCTCGCGGCCCATCTCGACAGCGATGCAGTTGCGTCAGCGCAGTTCCCGGACCAGGACGTTCTCGCCGAAGTATTCAAAGGGAAGTGGAAGGTGCTCCCATGGTGGTGCAATGCGCTCAAGACGCTGAGGGCGGCGCACAAGAATCTCTGGGAGGACAGCGAGGTCCGGTTGTTGCACTACATGTGAGTGTGTGTGTGGGAGAGCTAGGTACGGTGCGATGAGCTGACATCAGTCTGGACAAACCGTGGAGCAAGCGGCCGCAGGGCTATGACTACCCGACAGTCGAGAGCAGTGACATTGAGCTTCCGAAAGCACTCGTTCAAGCCGTGAAGAGTGCTAAGCCGCAAGAGAGCTTGCAGAACTACGACGGACTGCACTCTTGGTGGTGGCTAGTGTGGGACGATGTGAAGGGACGACTAGGCGACGACCGACCGCTCGTCGAGCAGTGGGTGAAGGAGTAGTCTGTCGTCGAGCGGATCGGTGGGTTAGCATAGTAGACTGTAGATGCACATCATGGCCGGAGCACCGGTGCAAGAGTACAGGATACATTGGGTCCAAAGTCTAAGTCTAGTCGCTCTCGTCCATCTTCTCCGCCTTCTTCCCTCCCTTGCCCTCCTTCTCGCCCTTGCCCTTAGCGGCAGCCTCCTTTCTTCGCTTGCTCGCCTCGATCATCTGCTTCTTCTTCTTGCCCGCCTCCTTGATGAGGTCCCTGCCACCACCGCCAACAGCCTTGCGCTTAACAGGCGCCTTGGCGAGCTTGCGCTTGAGATTCTTGCTCGCCTTGGGCATCTGTAGCATGTACTCGGGGACAGCACAGCCGGAAGCGCGGAGCACATTCGCGATCGTGCGGAGGTAGGGACCGTCCTCGGTCGAGAAGAACGTGATCGCCTTTCCGGGACGGCCAGCACGGCCCGTACGGCCGATACGGTGAATGTACGAGGGAACGGTTTGCGGGAAATCTGGACGTCAGCTTCTACCCGCGAGCATTTTATAGCTGGCTCCTCAATTATAGAGGCGTTGAGCAGAACTCACCATAGTTCACCACAACCTTGACGCCACGGAAGTCCATACCACGCGCAAGCACCTCGGTCACGACGAGCACCCACGCCGCACCCGTACGGAAGTCGGCGATGGCCTGGTCACGCCGCGTCTTGGACTTGCCGCCGTGCACGGCCTCAGCGCGCACGCCATCGAGAACGAGCTGGCGCGCGAGCTCGTCAGCACGCTCAACGCTCTGGACGAAGATGAGCGACGGGTACGGCAATCCGCCCTCCGCGATCAGGTTTCGGAGCGCGAGGAGCTTGCCCTGCTCGCTTCCAGTGTAGAGGAGTGATTGGTCCACTGTCGTGACCGCTGAATCCCTGCATGTCAGCTATGTATGGACAAGAGAACAGCTGATAGCAACTCACTTAAGACCCACGACGACTCGCACACCCGCGTCCTTCAGCCACGCGCGCGCCAGCTCCTCGGCACCAGCCGGCATCGTGGCCGACAGGAGACACTTTTGCACGTCGCCCGTGCACGCGTCGACGATGGGGACGACCTGCGGCTTGAAGTCGGCCGAGAGGAGACGGTCACATTCATCGAGCACGAGGTAGCGCGTCCTGCACATCAGTTACAGCAGTGCTAGTCCAACTCACTTGGCAAGCGACACAAGTCCCTCATCGAGGAGGTGGTGCAGCCTCTCCGGCGTGGCAATCAGGAAGTCGATACCGAGGTTGCCTTCCCGCTCCTCCTCTTCCTCGTCATCGTCGTCCGACTCGATCTTGCCGAACTTGGGTCCCGGGGCGGACTCGCACACAGCCTTTTGCGTCGCCTTGGAAAGGACGAGCGCACGCCACTTCGGCGGCAAAATGGCGGAGAGGACCTGATGGATCTGAACGGCGAGGTCGTGCGTCGGCACGACAATAAGCGAGCGAACACCCTTGTCCTTGTCGTCCATCTTCCTACTCGGCGTCTTGAGAGCGACGAGAAGAGGAAGGAGGTACGCAAGTGTCTTTCCGGAACCCGTCGGGGCAACGCACATCGTGTCCTGGCCGTCGAGCAGGGATCCGGCGACGGCACACTGCACACCCCACAGGGACCGGATGTTAGTGGAGGCGAGGTTGCGCAGCATCGGCTTCTTCAGCGTGTCGTCCTTCTCGAAGAGCGACTCGAGGTCGGTGCCGAGCGAGGCGGGCAGCGGTTCGGGGCCAGTAAGGGTGATCTTCTGTTTCGGCGGCTCGGGGATGGAGGCGGCAGACGAGGAAGACGAAGAGGAGGCATCGCTTTCAGAGCCCGAGTCGGATTCTTCCGGCGCAGCCTTCGAGTCGCCGAAGAAGTTCAGCGACGACGGCAGCACATCCTTCGCCTTGCCCTTGCCTTTGTCCTTCTTGGCCTTCTTCTTCTGCCAGTTAGCTACGGCGCAGTAATGAGCAGCTCACAGTGAAGAGGTCAAAGTCGTTTGAGAAGCGCGACCGGTCGAAACGCGCCCCCGTCGTAAGGAGGTTGAACGGCGAGCTCATGTTGTGGTGGGTGATGGGTTGCAGAGATGACGCCAGATTTGTTGTCTCGTGAGTGGGTGTCTTTGGGTGGGTGGCTCAACTTTTCTGAAACGACCGTGGGAAAATCAGACGCCACCCAGTGCTCACCGTACGCGCTCACACCGATCGCGTTATCGCCCAGCGCCGATTCGCTGGTGGGGCGTAACTCGCGCTTGCGCATCACCTGCACCAGCCAACATTCTCGCCCGACTCACAATGACGCTGCGGACGACACGCTCGGCGCTCAACTCGCGCGTGTCCTTGATCACGACGGACGCAAAGCCCGATGTCGAGGAGCCCGAGTCACCGCCCCGACGACGGAGCACGCGCTCGGCGGCTCGTCTGAATCTCGCCCAGTACGCCTACAAGGGCAGGGAGTCGCCTAGGAAGCGCGCCAGGGTGGAACCAGCTAAGGGGGAGCCAGAGTCGGAAGATGAGGTGTTGACGGATCTGGACGAGCCGTTGAATGAAGTCAAGGGTGAGGTCAAGGACGAGGCAGGGCCGTCGACCCCGAGGAAGGCGAAATCCGCACCAAAGAGCAAGTCTGGCACGCCCAAGATGCCGATGGCGAAGCGGGAGAAGGCCCATCCGGAACCGGCGAAATGGTATGAACAGTACCAGCTCATTGAGCGGATGCGCGCAGGAATAAGTGCGCCGGTGGATACGATGGGCTGCGAACGGCCGGCGACGATGGAGAACTTGGACCCAAAGGTGAGTCACCCCCTACAGCTGGTCATTTGCCTTGCAGAGCTAATCCCAGACACTTCGATTCCACATCCTAATCTCGCTCATGCTCTCGTCGCAGACGAAGGATGCCGTGACCTCTGCCGCAGTGACGAATCTGCACCTAGCACTCCCTGGTGGGCTGACGGCCGAGACGCTGGCCGCAGCGGACGAGAAGACCGTTTCCGAGGCAATCAACAAGGTCGGTTTCTGGCGCCGCAAGACGGAATACATCCAGGACGCCGCGCGGGCTCTATTGGAGAAGTGGGACGGGGATGTGCCCCAGTCCATCGAGGAACTGTGCACGCTGAAGGGCGTCGGGCCGAAGATGGGCTTCCTCGCGCTGCAAGCGGCGTGGAACATGTGAGTGGTTGGGCGGGTGAACAGACTAGTTCAGCTGGAAAGGTGGAAGAGTTAAGCTGACAGCAGTAACGCGGGCATCGGCGTCGATGTGCATGTTCACAGGATTACGAACCGGCTGAAGTGGCATAAACCGCCGACCAAGACACCAGAGGAGACGCGCGTCAACCTCGAGTCGTGGCTGCCGCCGCCGCTGCATCGGCCGATCAACCCGTTGCTGGTTGGGTTTGGACAGGTGAGGGTCAAGAGAAGAGCGAGTGCACTGTCCCCCTGCCTTCTACTTTGTACTACTTTCTACGAGTGGGAGCTTTGTGTACTCTGCGAGGAATGAGCTACCTGAGCCCCCCACGTGAGCTAACAACAGGTCATCTGCCTCCCTATCGGGCCACGATGCGACATCTGTCTCCTGGCCAAGGAGAAGCTGTGTCCGTCCCGGACAAAGGTGGACGGGAGCAAGCGCAAAGAGGTCATTTACGACTTTGGCGAGCCCAAGGTCGAGATTGCGTACGAGGAGGAGACCAAGGTCGAGCCGGGACCCGAGGTCGGCGAGGAGGTGAAGACGGAAGTGAAGACGGAGACGGTAGTGGACCCTCAGACTGAGGAGACTCTCATGGAGGTGAAGGAGGAGAGTGTGACGGTGAAGGAGGGACAGGAGTAGAGCTAAGAGAGCATGCAGGTTGTACCAGTAGCGGAGACTCAGGGGAGAAAGCTCTTCGACGGCCAACCCTGAAGACTGACCAGAGATCAGGCAATGTTGCTCCGGCGCTGAATTACTCGCTGACAGAGGGCTCACGCCGCAAGCGCCGGTTGCGTGATCTCGATCGACTATCGTGAGACCTCCGCCTCAACCTGCGCCATTTCTAACCAGTTCTGGGAGACCATTTGAGTTTGCCCGCTGTCAATTGACACTCGTGCGACCGTCCTCGTCGATCACACCGTTCCCCTCACACGCTCCTCTGACCTTAGACGCAGCAGCCCGCCCATGGAGTGAGTTGTGGAGTGGCAAGACATCTTCATTACACTGCAGATTATACTACCCAAGAACTTAACTTCAGAGCGGTGATCATCCTATCAACAATGTCCTATAGTCCACATTTTGTCCATGATCCCGGCGAGCGGTGGTTTTCTGCCGGGGGCGCCAAGGATAATGGCCCTTCGCACTTCAGCCAGTCATCCCTTCGCTCGGTCTGCAGTACCCGGCTCAGCAGCAGCACCCTGACTCGACGAGCTGTTCCGGGACAAGCGTATCCCGTCCAAAAAGGAGGTATCCGAACGTGTGGCCGAGGAAGATGGCGATGAGGATGAAGCCGTTGTAGTACATGCCGAGGAGCATTCTGGATGTGAGCAACTGGAAGTGGATCGCGAAGGGGATAGCAAACAACGGAAAGTGAGAAGAGGGACCGAGGTGACAGAAGAAGTGGCAGCTACCGTTCACACAGGCCAGACAGATCGTCTGACAGATTGCAGTGGCGCCGCCTCCTCTCATCTCCTCACCGACGGTCCCACCTGTACCACCCAACTCGTGAAACACTTACACCAAGAAAGCAGCCGCAAACTGCACGCCGTACAGGAGACTCCTGACAACATGATGGATGTAATTCGCCCTGATGCCTCCGCTGCTTCCGAGGCCTTTCAGATCCTTCTTCTCTCGTCGGATAGCAGCCTGCGCAGCGACGCGGCGGTCAAACTCGCGCGCCAAGCGTCGCCACGCCTCAATCGCCATGCAGAGGAAGAAGACGCCAAGCACACTGCCGGCAAACATGCCTTTGGAGGTGACGTGCCACGACTTGGCGAGGAAGCACGAGTCGATCGTGTTCCAGTTCCAGAGCATCGAGACTTCTTGTTAGCGACGGGCGAAGCGAGGGAGCGTTGACGATGTGACGAAGCAAGATGAGGTTGAAGAGTTTATGATGGCTGATGGGCCCGGCACAGTACTCACTCTTACAGGCGTTCCCGCCCATGCCGCCCATACCCCCCATCGAGTGTCCTCCTGATGCCGCCGCCGTGCTCGCCGACGCCATAGCGCTGCCCGTCGCCGAGGCGTGGCCCATGCCAGCCATGCCTGTCATGGATGCGCTGACGGCGGCGCTCATGCTGCCCATGTCGTGTCCCGAGTGGTCCATTGTTGTTGCTGTACGTCTGTTGTGTCGGGAAGGGTTGAGATAGGAAGTGAGGGGTGGCTGAAGGACGTTTGGACACTGGGCTTTTCGAATGAGGTAGATGAGCGAACCGGATTGTTAGTGGGGAGCGCAGAGTCTAGAGGAGGCTGTGTCGTTTTGCTGTGTCGTAGTGTAAAGCTGGGACAAGACCAAGACGACACTGGCGCCGGTTCTTATAGTAGACTCGGCAGCAGCTCAGCAGGCTCGGGCAGGCATTCCGAACTTTGCTCTCCTGCGCGCCCCCAACTTCCCATCTGCCCTAGATCTAGCATCGCCCGGGCATCTTCTTACCCCCGCCGCTTGCATTGGCGCTTGTGCTTGACAACGAGTCACCGTGCGCGTGCACGGCCAGAGCATCAAAGGACGGTGTCCGGGCCACCCGAGTCTCGCCATTCCTCTTCCGAGCCAGCGCGGGGCTGCACCAGGGCTTGGCGTCGCGTATCTGCCCCTGGACCCGTGCGAGAACGGAGGCTGATTGGGGAAATTGCCCGAGCGATCGAGAGCGATATGCCGCAGACGACTGAGCCATTTGGGCTAATCTGCCCCCGTTCACGCTGTGCCTGAGGCAATATCTTTGGTGTTGAGTACCCTTTTCGCGCCAATAAGCCACTCCTGCGCCATTACACGTGTGTATTCCACACGCTCCACAGGTTGGATAGGGAGTTTGTGGATTGTGGAAGTGCGCGTCAACGTTGATCCGCAGCTTGCGTCGATCATGATCACCTCGGAATCTTGAATTGCAATGGCTGTGATGAATGAGCCTAGCGAAAACAAAGGGGTATGCATGTCTATGGCTGAATTAGGACTCGGTCCGATCTGATCTGCTCCTCATCCGCAGCTCACTCTCCTCATTACAGGCGAACTCGCGGCTCGCTCCGCTCACCGCTCGCGGGCTAATCCCGCTTACTCTTCAGCAACCCGCCCTCATCGTCGCTCAGGTCAATGCTGACGGCCGAGCGCACCTCGTCATCGCTGCTGTCGCCCATGGAGAAAATGGCGCTGTCCTCCTGCACCCGCGTGCGCGAGCTTGACGCACTCGCGCCCAGGTCTACGTTGACAGGTTTGCCGAAAGCGTCGACACGGCGGTAGCTCTCCGTATGCTTGTGACCGGGCTTCTTGAGCTCGTCCTCGGACTCCGAGTCCGAGCCGTGGTCAGCGTCGAAGAGCGCCTTGCCCTCTGACGCCTCGTGCTCGAATTCGTCGCGGGCGCGGAGCTGCGGCTCGCCACCGATCGTCTGCGGGTCGCGCGAGCTGATCGGCTGCAGGCCAAGCGTCTCTGGACGGCGCTCGTACGTCTCGATCTCGTAATCCTGGGCGTCCTCCTCGTCCTGCGCCAGCTCCTGCGAGGTGCTGAAGCGGATGTTATTCTCGGTTGGGCGCCAGAGCCACGCAATCAGCGCAAACACGACGAGGTAGATGGTCGCGAGCGAGGCGTCGAGCAGCACCCAGCGCCACTTCCAGTGATTGGGCTGATAGTCGTCGTCCATCCTGTTCGAGAGCGAGATGGAGGAGAGCACGAAGAAGATGGCGATCGCGATCACGGCGCCAATGAGGATACGCCACAGACGCTCAAACATGCGCAGCTTGAAGGACTGCTTGCGCTCCTTCAGGAAAAGAATCGTGTTGTTCAGCGACACGATGATCCACATCATGAACGTCGTGAGCGTGATCGAGAGCGGGAAGATCATGAAGAGCACGAGCCAGAGCGACGCCGTGTCCAGCGCCACCTTCACCGTGCCCACCGAGTAGACAACGCCAAAGATGAAGTGGAACGCGGTCAGGACCCACACGCGGTACATGACCGTGCCGAGCGACTGCGTCACGACGCTGAGACCCATGCACACGATGAGCAGCAGGAAGAAGGACAGCGTCGTGCGTCCCGCATTCAGCACCGCCGTGACAATGAGGAACGCGAGCGACCCCGCACCGCCTCCGTGCTTGTTCACGTAGCGGTAGTAGCCGAACAGCGCCATCATCTCGATCACGAGGAAGACAATCGTGCCGGAGATGTACCACTGCATCGGCAGCAGCTCGCGGTAGTGCTTGTAGCAGAGGTAGCCCCATCCGCACGCAAGCACAAAGTAGACAACGCTGAGGAAGCCGTAGAACTGAAGTCAGTTATGCTCCAAGACGCGAACTCACAGCAATTTTGGGGTACTCGGCAGCGGGGAGCTCGCCCTGGAACTGGTTGCGGAATGTGACGACGCCCTCGTACGAACCGCGCTGGTTCGTGGCACGGGGGTCAAGCACATCGTCCTCGTGGAACACACGGCGCTCGTGCTGCTCGGCCTGGTCGCCCTTGACGAGCGTGACTGGCACGACGCCGACGCAGTAGTATCCCGTCTTCGGCACATTGTAGTGAATAGGCTCGGTGTATTGCTTAACCTTGCCCTCGATCTGGGCGCTGCCACCCACGGGTGTCGGCGGCTTGACAGGGACCTTCTCCTCCTCGACCGTGTCGGGCTTCTCGGTCGTGTCAGGCTCAGCCTCCTGTGCCGGCTTCTTGTCCTTGTCGGTTCCAGACGTGCCCCCCTTCGTGTCCTCGGTCGTCTGCGCGGCCGCGGCCTCGGCTGACGTCGCCTCAGGACCATCGACGTTGGGGTTATCGTCGACCTCGCCGCCCTCCGGAGCAACGTTGTGCGCCGCCTCGCCGTCAAAGTCCACCTTGGTAGGCGCAACGTTGTGCGCCGCCTCACCATCAAAGTCGACCTTGGTGTGCGTATCGGGCTTGGCGTCGCCGGCCCAACCCTCGCCCTCTTGCGCCGCGTTCTTGCCCTGGTCGGGGTTCCAAGAGCCAGGGAGCTTGTGCGTCGTTCCCTCGACGTTCTCGGCGCCGGCACGTCCGATTCGAACGTGTGGGAACATGTCGCGGTCAAACTTGAGCCCGCGGCGGCGCAAGCCGTCCTCGTCGTCGTGGTCGCCAGAGCCGGGGGCGAAGACATGACTGTCTGAACCCACCGCCCCCGAGCCGCCGGATCCGAACCGCAGCGGTGTCGTGTAGATCGTCGACTCGGCGTCCTTTGGCGCAGTCGTAATGAAACCGCCCAGCTGGTCCAGCGAACACTGGCCCGCGCTCACGGCTTTGGAGGTGCAGATGTACTGCTTCGGGGCGAGCGAGTCTTGCGGTTGCTCTGCGCCGAGGTAGTTGATGTCCTTCCACTCGTAAATGACGAGAGCCACTTGGCCTGAAGAAGAAGAGTCGAACGCAACTGGCTGTCAGCTCGCGACTAAAGTCCAAAGAGCTCACCCTCAATGTAGGCGTCCTTACCGCCGTACATGCCCGAGCAGATCTCTCGGTAATCGTCATTGTCACTGATTGGTACTGGAAGTTAGCTACGGCGGCATGAACAAGGCCAGCTTACCTCTGTAGGCTGCGACGCGTGCTGCGAGCGCCGCCAAAGTTACGAAGCCGAAGCTCCGCATGATGGAGGTGAGTGGAGGGCAGGTGTCGGTGGAGGGGGTTCAGGAGCCAATGTCGGTGGAGGGGAGGAAGTGCGTGCGAAAGCGTCTGAATGCGAGCAGGAATGTAGAGAATATGCTATGTCAAGGAGTGTAGAGGGTGGGGATGTCTTTGTTCTTGAGACGTAGTCGTGAGAGATGAAGATGATGATGGCAGTGGCGTGGGTGTGTCGCTGTGAGAGGGGACATTTCTTGGCTGTCACTTTGCCCAGGACGCGCAGCTCGCTGTGGTACACGCAGCAAGGACCACAGGGAAGGCACACTAGTACGGCGGGATCCACGTGGGCGGTGCCCCTTATACCCGCTGCCATTCATCCAAGCCTCTATGTAGGCTGCATGCATAAGCGTGTCAAGCGGCAACCTCGCGTCCCCACTCTTCACAGTGTGCATAACTTGTTATCCCGTGGTTGCAGCGTCGTAAGAGCATTCTGATAGCTGGGTTGGGGGGATCTGCAAAAGTCAGGACTGGAGACTAAATGTGATCGACCTGGCGACATGAAACGCGAAAGTGAACGGTCGTCGTGCAGTGGACGCGGCTGAGACGTCTGGAGAAGCACACATGATACGGCTTAACAAATCTTTCATTGGTACCTTCTGCACACGACTACATGCGTGACATGCACACAACCGTTGTTCTCTTCCCCATCAATCTAGTCCTCGCCGATGCATGCGATGGCCCGCTCACACGACTGCACTCCGGGCGCTCGGACCGGTGAAGGCTTGGCCACTGAAGCGGTAGCAGGCGCAAGAGGGTGGATTAGCGTGCCTGACCGACTTTTCGAGCCCAGCACTGGACCGAACGAATCAACCACCATCACCGACTTCCGATCTCGCTTACTCGTCATCTCCTCGGACGACTCACCAACACTTCACACATAAAAGCATGACTGCCGACGAGGAAGCCCTGCGCAATGCCGCCGCCGGCATCGCCGGCTCATCGAGCCCGAGCTCGTCTCAGCCCTCCCTCCTCGAGGACGACATCACCCCCTTCCCCTCCCCCATGCTCTCGCCGCAGGAGCTCGAGGACCTCTCCCGTGAGCTTTATCCTTCGTAGCCAGCTGACCTCAGTGACGTCCGACTCGGAGCTGGACGACATTGACGAGTCCCGCGTCCCGACCGAGGCGGAGAAGGCGGAGGCGCTCCAGCTCAAGGCCAAGGCCAACGCCGCCTTTGGCAAGAAGGACTTCAGCACCTCGATCGAGCTCTACACCCAGGCGCTGCGACTGGACCCAACCGAGCCGACGTTCTGGAACAATCGCGCCATGTCCAAGGCCAAGATGGAGGAGCACGGCGCCGCGATCGCCGACGCCAGCAAGGCCATTGAGCTCAAGCCCGACTACGCCAAGGCGTACTACCGCCGCGGCGTGAGCGCGCTCGCGATCCTTAGGCCGAAACAGGCCGTGCCCGACTTCAAGAAGGCGCTCGAGATCGAGCCCGGAAACCGCACCGTGCGCGAGCAGCTCGTCGCCACCACGAAGCTCATCCGCCGCATTGAGTTTGAGAAGGTGAGTAAGCGCGTTGCTGCTGCAGTGGAAGGGCAGAACGCAGCTGGAAACTGCCAGCTACGGGTCTATGTCGGGGGAGACAAAGATGGGGAGAATGCGGGGCGCAAGGGTCCTTGTCAGTTTGAGCCGTGCGCGTCGGCCTGTGCTGCGTCTCTGGGAGATGAGCTGTGGGGGACTAGGGAGGGACATGCGATTGCGCATCCTTTTCGCCTCTTCGACTTTCAGAACTTCCAGCACGCTGCTTCTGTCCAAGTCCATCCACAATGGCCACAGCAGTCATGGCCTCTCCGCCCGCGACGCCGTTCGCAGTCGTGTTCGACTGGGGCGAGGAGTTCGGCCCGTATCAGTCTGCTGACTCTCAGGCCATCGCGGTGGGAGAGACGGAGCGCGCGAGCGCGCGCTGCCTGCGCTCAATCGCGGACGGCGCCTGCGCGCTCGACAACCCGCACAACGTCACGCTGCCCATTGTGCCCGACGACCCGAAGGCGCGATACACGCCGACAAAGGAGTTTGTCGAGGCCATGGTGGAGACGTTCAAGAACGGCGGCAAGATGCCGAAACGTGTCGTGTGGGAGATCATCCTCGGCGTGAAGAGCGTGGTGGACGCCGAGGCGTCCCTCGTCGAGATCGAGGTGCCGAAGGGCGTCACGTGTGACATTGTCGGTGACAGTGAGTACTCCGAGGGCCCGGAGGAGGTGCACGGTGCTCAGGAGCTTCGGCGCCGGGAAACCCTCGCTCTCTCTATCAGCTATCACACACAGTATGTCGTGGCTAACTTTCAGCGCACGGCCAGTTCTACGACCTGCACAACCTCCTCAGCATCATCAAGCCGCCAAGCGACGACCACATGGTCATTTTCAACGGCGACTTTGTCGACCGCGGCTCGTGGTCGGTCGAGGTTGTTTTGACGCTCTTCGCGTACAAGTGGCTGTACCCCGAGCGCGTGTTCCTGAACCGCGGCAACCACGAGACGGCAGACATGAACAAGGTCTACGGCTTCGAGGGCGAGTGCAAGGCCAAGCACGGCGAGATGACGTACCAGCTGTTTGCGGATGTGTTTACGGCGCGTAAGTGTCAAGCGGCGAGCGGCGAGCGCAGCGAGCTGCGAGCCGCGAGGTCGCAGTGCTACCAATCACCTCGTGGCTGCCAGAAGTGGCTGCAAGCTGTGCCCACTGCCCCAGCTTCCAGTTCCCTAGACCAAATAGCTGACACCCAGTGCCCCTCGCGACGCTCGTGACGGCGTCGCAGCCCCCGAAGTCGCTCAAGAGCGAGGGCTCGCAGCCCGCGATCCTGCACGACGGACACAAGCGATACTTTGTCGTGCACGGCGGCCCGCCCGTGAGCAAGGACGGCGTCAAGCTCGAGGAGGTGAAGACGATTGATCGGTATGGACGGCGGCCGGGGCAGGAGGGGCTGATGTGTGAGGTGAGTGGGGCTCGCGAGCGCAGCGAGCGAGACGAGATGAGTGGGAGAGACGAGACGAGTCGGGAAAAGCTGAAGAGTTATGAGCATGAGCTAACAACGCAGCTCCTCTGGACGGACCCGCAGGAGATGCCCGGCCGCGGCCCCTCGAAGCGCGGTGTCGGGCTCGGCTTCGGCCCCGACGTGACGCGGCGGTGGTGCGAGCTGAACGAGGTCACGGCCGTTATCCGCTCCCACGAGGTCAGGCAGGACGGATACGCGATCGAGCACGACGGACTGTGTATCACCACCTTCTCGTGCCCCAACTACTGCGACTCAACGGGTAACCAGGCCGCCTATGTCAAGATGCAGGACGATGGCACGCTCAGCTACCACCAGTTCAGCGCTGTGCCGCACCCCGACATGAAGCCTATGGCCTACAGCCAAGGATTCGGATTCATGGCGTAAGCTCTTGCGGGGCGCGCGATTGAGGAGGATGGAGGCGGAGGAGAGCGAGGATTGTCCTGCAGATAGAGAGAGCGGAGACAGCATAGAGACAGATGCATCACGATCATGGCTACAAACTGGAATGTCAGTTCACCACAGATCCTCGTGCAACTCACCAGAGAATGAAATACAGGGGCCCACCATGCCTACACCCTCGATTTGCTCGACAACTTGTACAACCCCCAATCATCCCTAAAATCGCGATATAGCAAGCCGGGAACGTACCCGTACCCCAAGCTGTGCGCAATCTCGAACAACTCAGCCACCTTGAGCAGGAACAAGGCGCACAGCGTCCCTAATAGCATGTTCGGCAACTCGGCCAGGACGAATGCGAATGCGCCCCGCCATGAGCCAGCGAAAGGCGCGCGGGCCAGGAGGCGGATGACATTCGCCGCCCAGAGAAAGTTGGAGAGGGAGAAGACAGAATGGCAAGTCGTGCCACAGCTTGGAAAGAGGGAAGGAAGGAGGAGGCGGAAAAGAATGCCCAGAGTGAGGAAGGCGAGGGAGGTCGAGAGAGCTGAGGGGAGCTTGGTGTCTGGGGGTCAGCTCGGCTACTTGACAGCTGTGATCGATGTGAAGGAAATTGAGGGGAGACTTACAGAGCTGTCGTAGTCGTCGCTGTTCCACCCCCAGTGGCATCGTGTACGCCGCGAATGGTCGTTGTGGGAGAAGAGGCGATGCACCGTGACCAAAGGAAAGAGGGACAGAAGCAACAACGCGATAACGTGACCGTGGCCATCGCCGAGGAAGCTCGGGAGACTAGTGACTAGCGCGGGGTTGCTCTGTACCTTTCGGCCTTGTCACGTCCGTGGCGGCCTCGACCACTGGAGTATTGCAATTTGGTGTTTGGGCAGTTGCGAAAGTCGCAATGTAGAAACCAGAGAATGCGAGAGCGATCAGACCGTGGTGTGTCGATGTGATCGGATGATCGGCTTCTTTCTGAAGTGGCCATACTCTCCCACGCCCGATCGCCCACCACATCTGTCCACAGAACATGCATCGCTCCTCGCTTCTCTTGTCAGATAGCGATAACGGACTTCCGGCCCCAACACCGCGCCCATGGAGCGCATCGCAGCGCCGTTCCTGTCCAACTCCGCGTGTATCGTCAGCTGCAGCCGCTCAAACCTTATCAAACTCCAAGCCACGGCTTCTTACGCCAAGAATGTCTGCCGCATTCCCGCCGACACTCGCAAGGTTCGCAGCTGTGCAAGATGGCATGCCGACATCTGGTACCTTTGGTCTGACTTGGAGCGTATCGTGCTCTGTGATGTGTTCGTGGTCGGCATTACGAGAGCCGGTAGGAGGGAGTTGTGGACCACGGGCCTCGAAACGACGTTTGCCCAGAGGTAGCCTTACGCTTGTCCGTCCCAACAGCACACTGCGAGAGAAATGGGGTGCCCAGCGGCCCACAAGCAGAGGTCCACAAGTCCGGGTGTCAGGATATCCATTCAGTCATCCGTTGCCCGCTCTCATCTGTTTCGCCGGTGCGTGACTCGACCTCATTCAGCAGTGCACGTCCTAGCGCATCTGTAGAGTGCAGACGGAGCTGCGCAGTCCAGACCCGAACAATGATCCGAACAGGCCCGCCCGTACCTCGACATTCAACATGATTCAACTCTTGATTTCGGAGCGGCAGAGCTCCGCATCCCTTCCCACTTCTTGTCGCGACGAGAGAGGGGCACTCAGTCTCATACGCGGGAGGGAGGGAGTTGCATATCAGGGGCTTCAGTTGCTCCGAGGGGGGCTAACCCTGCACCCGACGCGATGAGGATTAACGTGCTCGTGAAACGGCGTTAAGCACCAGGGCAGCAACGCTTCGTGCCTTGCCGTGCCTCGCGGCCCACCGATTTCAGTTGACCCGTATCCTGGCACACTTCTTCTGACGGAGTGCGCACTCCCCTGGGCATCTCGGCACGGTCTTGCAGTACATGCTGCGCCGGGCAGCTGCCTCGTTCGCAGTGGGCTGGGTCGACGTCCGCTGAGCTGCATGCTGATTTCGACGACGACACTGATCTCTCTCACTCATACTCTTCATTGCTCGCCCACACCACTGCTCGACGCTCGCTCACTCGACTGCACGGACAACAAGAGCGAAACCGTGGCCGCCCGCAATACGAGCGACCCGCGAGCCCCTAACATGTTGAGCATGTCACTCGGCGCCGCGCTGACGCTGGGCCTGCTGAGCAGTGCCGCGGCGCAGGCGCCGGTCCTCCCCAACGCCAACCTCGACTTCAACCTGACGCTTCCTCCCGGCTCGATTCTGGGTACAACCCGCGCGTGGATCATCGAGTATGCCAACACAACCACGTTTGACAACAATGCGACGCTGGGCTCGGGTCCGACCCGCATGGTCTGGAACCACAGCTTCGACTACCACGATGTGTTCGGGCAGGCCAAGATTCTGCTCGAGGGCGTGGTTCGGAATGCCTACGTCTATGGCGACATGGGTCACAATGAGCAGCCGCAGAATGTGACGTTCTGGGAGACAGACATTACCGAGGTCAAGAATCAAGTTGAGCCGCCTGAGGATGGGAAGGGTCTGCTTGGGAAGGTGGAGGGTCTCGATGCGTTCAGGAGGAGCAAGATTGATCCGTATGGGAGTTACAACTGGCTATGGGCGGTCATAGATCAGGATTGGGGCAAGCGGCCGGGAAAACCGATCATCGATGAGGTTATCGTGACCACGGCGATCGAGAGTGGCGCGTGAGTATCAGCACCGAGCCGAGCGTAAAGACTGCGTAGCTGAGCCCGCGACGACCAAGCTGACGCCCAGCAAATCCATTGACGAACTGAACAAGACGACGCTGCCCTTCGCGACCGCCGGAAAACTGAGTGACCATCCCGCCTTCTACTTCAGGACATGGGACGCGGACTCCAATGACACCTGGGTCACGACCTCGACCTACGCCCAACGGCAGCGGGATGGTTCCTCTCCTATCTTCGCCGCGCTGTCTCGCGAATGCGAAGCCGCCGCCTCGCCCCTAGGGGGCGAAGCAGGCGGCGCCGTCTGGGTCGATGTCCCAGCCAATACGAGCTTCATCGTCGTCAACGGAAGCCGCGGGCCCGACTTTGGATTCATGAACGTCGGTGGCACGCCGATCGACGGATACGTTCCCATCCAGACCGACACTGAGCAAGCGACGTACTCCGCCGACCAGATGATTTGGTGGCGCTCCCTCAGCCCTCAGGTCAAATACAACATCTCGCTCGGGTGTAATGGAACTCCGCAGCGGCCGCTGTTCCTCACCTCGGTCACTTTCTACAAGGACATGCCGCCGGAACCGAAGAAGAACCACACCGGCGCCATCGTTGGCGGCGTCGTTGGCGGTGTCGGAGGTCTACTCCTTATTCTCGGTGTGTTGGCATGGTGGCTTCGGAGGAAAAAGAGGAGGGAGCATCAAAAGATGCAGGACGAAGAGGACAAATTCGAGATTGACGGACCTGTGACGCCGTTCGAGGACCCGCGGCCGCCGCCATTGCGCAAGGTCGAGGGCGACCCAGCGGCTGAGGCAGTTCGGCGCCAGGCGGAAGAGCGACAGGCTCGCGAGGCGCGCGAGATCCGTGAAGTCGAGCGAGAGAGGGAACGGCAAATCTCCTCAACGTCTGGAGGGAGTGGATCCGCCACACCACCATCTCTGAAGCAGCAAACCCTCCAGGCTCTCGACACGTATGATCGATACTCGCCCAGTTCGCCGCATGGCCCCGCGACGCCGATCACGGGCCCGAATACGCCGCTGACGGGCTATCCCTCTTTCATGCTCGGTACGCCGATCACGGGGCAGAGTCACGCCAATCTCCTTCCGGCACCGCCAGCGAACGGGGCGCTCCTCGCTATTCCCGAGACGCCCGTTGATGGGACACTGATGGCGTCGCCCACGACGCCGACGAGGACGCGGCCGAGAGCCATAGACGTCGGAGCAGTCGACGACGGAAGCGACGAGGACGCAATGGACCCGCCGGCGTACAACCCGGAGTGGACGCGGCCTCGCACTCGGCCCCAGAGGCCGAGGATCGTCGTGCCGCAGAGCAAGACGCCGAGCTCGACCATGACCCCGGGGTCGTGAGCGCCCACATTCGACCAGTCGATTTCAGTCAACATCGACCCCATGGGTCGATTCCCACTCCACACGGAACGGCACTAGTGACACTGTGAGCACCGCCCACGACGGTCGAGACCTTCGAGAATCCCATGGAGGTGTTCTCTGGGAATGCAGGATCCCATAAACACCTCGTACTCCCACAAAAGCGCCTGCCCACTGCACCGCCGATTGTGAACCCAGAGCCTAAACTCTGTTCACAGTGTCCTGCCAAAAGCCGACCAGGAACAAGTAGGGACGAAGGGACGAAGGGACCGGGGAGACGGAGCGTACATACTACCTTTTCTTCTTGTTGTAATATTCCATAAGAGCCCATACATAGACACTTTTGCATGCACTGAAGCTACACCATCACGCTTTGCATGCCTCGGCGATTCTGATCTGGCCAACTAGTGGGTTGGCGAGGTTTGGAAGCAATCCATGTGCGTTCAGAAGATACACGTCGCCCTTCCAAGCTTCCACCCCAGCCACCGCAGCCACACCCCAACCGAGGAGGAAAGAGTCCTCGCCGGTTTCAATCGCGGTCGGAGGACGCCTTTGCTAGTTTCATGGTCTCCCACGGGGTCCAACACTTCTGCGCCCCATAGTAGTCTACTGCAGGCGTACTAAACCAGTGCGTCGGGCGCCCCCTGCCAGCACTCGGAATTCACCTACTCGAACTGCAGCACAGGACCTGAGGTATAACAAATGCAGATGATGCCGACGGACTGTAACGGAAACTATGTGGGGAGAAACTATGTGTTGTCTAATCTAATACTACCAAGTGGGTCGATGTCGCTGTGCTGTACACAAAGATGGGCTCGCCGTCCGCCTTCCTACTCCTCATATCGTGTGATTGCTCACTCATCGCGCCCAGGGCACCTTGCCCTCGAACACGCGGAAGCCCTTGGGCGGCTGCATGCCCGCCGTGTCGCCAAAGTGGCCCTCACCCTCTCCCTCACCCGCCGAGCGGTCGGAGCCCGGCTGGCCAATGGACGTCGGGACGCCGACCTCGCCCACAGGCGTGGACTGGGGGCACCACTCGAGCAGCGGCACGAGCTCGGGGACACTGGAGTGGTACGACGGATAGCGCGAGAAGGGGTTCCGGTCGAGGCGCTTAGTGGAGAGCGGGGGGCGACAGCCCGCAGGCGAGAAGAGGAACGGCGCGTAGCCATGCTTCAGCTCACCGAGGTAGTGCTCGGACGTGTTGCCCTCGTCGTCGATGCCAATGTATCGGAACCGCTGGGCCGGGAAGCGGATCGCACCCCGGTGCAGCTGCTCGAAGCGCTTGCGCTTCATGCCGTACCCGACCACGGTGATCTTGTCGGGCCATCGGCCCGTGACCTCGCGGAACCGCGCGATGGAGAAGAGGAGGTTCTCGTAACTGTCCAGAGCGTACTCCTCTGTCGTCGCGCGCTGCGCCACGGGCAGAGACGTGCCCTCGGCTGGACTCCGGAGAAGGCCGCGGGCAGCAGCGAGACGGTGGTAGCTGGACGCCTCGGAGAGAGGCGAGGTTAGGTGCGAGCGGGTGGCGCCGCTGACGGTCAGCTCGAGCAGCAATGTGAAAGGTATAGTTACTCACCCAGAGAACACGAGAAGCGCGTGGGGGTCGTCCCGAGCGACGGCGGCGGCACGTTCGATGTGCTTCACGTAAGTGTTGACGCTTCCACCGCGCTGCATTGGCTCGAGGACCCAGTCCTCATCACGGTGCACACGTTCGGGGTCAGTGCCGAGCCACACCGCGTGTCCGGGAACCATAACGAGATGGTCGACGGCACGCATGCGCGGGTCGCGGTTAATAGTTGCCTCGACACTGGGCGGCCTGCCGGCCAGCTCGGGCGGGAGATCGACGTTCCATGCTTTGGCGGAGTATTTCGGCGTCGGAGAGAAAAGCGCATGCTTCAGGTTGTACAGCAGCGACAAGCCCAGTGTCGACAGCAACAGCAGAACAGCGAGGTTCGTCAAGCGCGAACGCACGCGCAGCTGGGAGATCCAGTTGCCAGAAAGAGGGAGAGGAGCGTACGCCCCCACGGGCCGCTTGCGGCCGGACATGTGCGTCGGCAGCATGGTGGCGGACTGTCGGGGCGAAGAGAGTGTGAGAGATGTTTCGGGGTCGACTATCAATGTTCAGAAATCGGATATCGCAGCAGCGGGGTAGGGTGAGCCATTCAACGGGACATGGATGCTCCCGTCGCCGCCGGCCGCCGTGTTTCACGCCGCACGTGTCCATTCTCTAACCATGAGCTTGGTTGCTAATGTTCGCATTAACCCAGTCATCCTAATCACCATTTGAGGCTGACGCGCCTTGACGCGTCGGAAAGGAAACCAACGCGAAATCAATGTTCATGTTCTACCAACAATCATCCGATTTGTATGCCCGCCTTTGCGCTCTCCTCCCAGCCGCGCGCGATTGCAGCAAGCGTCGCACCCGACTCGAGCAGGCGCCGCGGCTTCCTCCCCGACTCGTCATCTCCCCTCGATCCGGTAGACCTAACGACGTCGCCGGAGGTCAAGAAGCGTTCCGCAAGTAGCTTGGTTCCGTCATATTTGTCGCCCAGGAAGAAGACCCGAAGTGATGGCTCAGAGGAGTCGCTCCCAACACCACCACCGACATCCAGCGTGCACGGCGCCGAAGTCGATGATGGCATCGAAGAGCTCAGCGATAGCGAATTCACGCCAGCTGAGCTAGAGCGAAGTGCGAGGAAGGGTAAGCTGGTCGTTGTGGTGGAGCTGACCGCAGCCCGATCGAGCAACATTCCGTCAAAACTCGCCAGCAGTGTGTCCGAACGCTCTCCCGCTCCGAGATCGTCGCGCAAGGGTACACCCAGACAGCCGTCGCCGATGAAGACGAAAGCGAAGCCCAAGTCTCGGTCAATATCGCCTGTGAAGCAGGCGCGACAGCCAACGCTGGACGACCTGTTCACGCAGCAGGAGAAGAAGACAGAGACACCCAAGCCTGCATCGAAGCCTGTGCCGGTAGTGAAGAAGCGCCGCCGCGTGTCCGCCAGTGACGAGGAAAGGACACCGCAAAACAAGACGCTATACCTCGAGAGCGACAATGAGGACCTGCCGAGTCGGTCCAGGTGGTCAACAGCGCGAGTGCCGGACAGCGATGATGAGCCGCTTCCGCGACCAAAGGGGAAGGCGCGCGCGATTATCCCACCCAGCGACGATGAGCACCCGAGCTCTAACACGATCAACCTGTTGTCGAGCGACCCGATCGAACCCGTCGACCCGGTTCCCGAAGAGCTGCCGGCCTCTGACCCCCCGTTGCTGGACGACTACGACGACGACGCCTTCCCATGGGACATGGTTCTCGACGAGCCAGAGTACGTCGCGCCCGTCGCCGAGACATCTGGGCGCAGGCGCCCACGCCAGTCGATCTTTGATCTGCCCGATTTCGCGAACGAGCCGGCCTCGCAGGTGCCTCGGAGTCGGTCCTCCAGTCCTCTCCCGGAAGCCATCGACACGGCCCCGGCGAAGAAGGGCAAGGGCAAGCTCCCCGCGGTCAAGTTTGCAGACTTCAGCCTGCTGGACGAGCTGGACGAGAAGGTCCGCGTCTTCTACGAGCAACATTGGCGTCGCGGGGCCGGCGAGGAAGACGACGCGGCCGTCCAGCTCTCGTTCACTGCTGCGCAACCTAAGAAGAAGGCGCCGGCGAGGCGGGGGTGGTTCGGGCGGGGCCGGGGTCGGGGTCGAGGTCGGGGGCGTGGGCGTTAGTACATCACAATATGTAGTTGTAGCATATGTATAAGAAGTGTATAAGATCTATCTCATCTCCGGCGCTTGTCCTTCTTGCCACCTGTCTCCTCCAACACTCCAGCAAGCTCCATCGCATCCCTAGCAGCCTGATTGATATGCTTGAACCGATCGGGACCGAGGTGGATCCCGCCAAACCACCTGGTGACGACCACAACCGTATCCCGCACATCGAGAATCTCGAGGAGATGCTTCAGTCTCGAACCCGCCTGAGTTTCGCCGTCATCATCATAGTCCCCCTCTGTGACGATCCCCGCCGGGCCGCCCGTATCCCGTGCAAGACGATAAGCCCAGATAGTCGGGTGCGCGGCGCGCGCAATCTTCTTGTCCTCGAGCAAATGCGCGACGATGGCAGCCACATCGGCCTCGGCGCTTATTCGTGCGCAGTGGCCCACAAAAGCAGACTTGCGGTCCGTAATCGCCTCACTCGTGTAGATCTCGGGTAATGGTTTAGCTGGTGCTTGGGAGGCTGAGAAGTTGAGTTTGCTGAAGCCTGTCGAGATGTCGTTAACAGTCTGGGCGGAGGTCGAGGGGGCGGGTTGAGACGGCGGAGGCGAGGCGCGCGGCGTGGAGCGGGCTGCTTCCCCCGCCGCATCTATGGCCAGGTGATCGGAGTACCATGATTCGACTAGGGATTGGACGTGTACGAGGCCGTCGAAGATACACTCCTGGCCCGGAGTGAAGGGCACGCCGGCCGAGGTGAGATATGTCCGGGTTACGTTTCCAACTGTCATTAGCTTGGTCCGCAATACTGAGCTGTCCGAGACCTCCTCAAGACCTCTACCGGCGCTCGCAGCGCTCGCCTCCCCTGGTCACTGAGTACTCAGATTAGAGAAGATGAGCGTAGCGCTGTTGGAGTCGGAGTACTCACACAATCCCGCATCGACGGCATAAGACCCAACGTACTTGCCCAGCAACTGCAGCGTCGGCGCGTACTCGGGATAGTCCTCCGGTAAGCTGACGAGCACCTCGATCTCAGGCGTCGTGCCGTCCTCAGGCTGCAGGGTCACCACAAACCGAACCCGGTCGCTACCTGAGGAAGACGAGGCGGGCGTACCGGGTCGAGAGGGGGAGGGGTGGTGTAGTCTGACATTCGGGTAGATGGCCGAGAGGGCGCCGAGCTCGAACCCCTGGGCAGACTTGTTGGGATCTTCGGAGGCGGAGAGCGTGTCGATTAGCTGTGGTGTTAGCTGAGAACGAATCTGCTTGTTTTCTCCCGATCATTCATTGTTACCTCCAGTCTCAGATGAAATGGGCGCAGGTCAGCACAAGCTGCCCAAGGTACTAGTAGCAGAGAACAGGGGGGTGAGATGCAGAGCCATTGTTGCTCCTCACTCCTAACCGCCGATCATTCGAGCTCAGCGCGGACTCACCGACTGGACCTCGGGGTCGACGTCCATGACGAAATCGCGTTTGTGTGGTATGGGCAGTGGAGAATTCAGGAACGCCCAGAAGTTCGAGTTGAGAGGCCCCGCACTCATTCTGGCTTGGGCCGATGGCCGGCTCCTCCACCAGCATAGCCACCACCTGCTTATTCACAGTGGCGCGCATGAGCAAGCACGGGGACGGAGACGTAAGGGGAAGTGGTACAAAAGCCACTGGCGAGAAGTTCAATGCATACAGCATACAAGACAAGAACACATCAATCACTCAGCAGCGGGGAATTAGTAGGCCGCAGCGATACCATTCTTCCTGCTGTCCGAGCTGCCCCAGACCTCGCCCTTCCGCACCACAACCGCCTGCACCTCGCTACTTCCCACGTTGATGTCGAACTGGCCGATGTTGTGGCCACGGTTCTTCAGGTCCTGGAGCCAGCTCTTGTCCACGCCATCGGGACCGACCTCCAGCGTCGTGATGTTCGGCAGAATCTGATCGTGCAGCCTCTCCCGCTCGATCGCGGCGGAAATGTTCAGTCCGCACTCCAAGTTCAGCATGACTTGCGCAACGGAGGGGAAGATGCGACTTCCGCCACTGCCGCCGAGTACGGCGCTGACCTTGCCGTCCGTAAAGACAATGGTAGGTGCCGTAGACGACAGGGGCCGCTTACCCGGCGCAGGGTAGTTGTGCGGACTCGGGGGAAGACCGAACGCATCACTCGATCCGGGGACGGAGTAGTCATCCTGCTCGTCGTTGAGGATGATGCCGCCTGGCGTCATGAGATGACTGCCCCAGATCAGGTTGATCGTGCTCGTCACGCTGGCGGCGCCGCCCCACTGGTCGACGACACTGAGGTGCGTCGTGCCATGGTCGGAGGGCGTTTCCGTCACCAACCCATAATGCTCAGGCTTGTGCGTCCTGTCGTCGATGAGAGCTCGACGGCCAGCCGCCCAAGCCTTTGTCCTGAACTCGGCAAGACGGGTCAGATTCTTGGCGAAAGTGGGATCGCACACCTCGCTCCTGGCGCCAAAGGCGTGCTTCATGGCCTCGATCGTGACGTGGCTCTCCTCTGCACCCCAGCACTTGCCCTTCTTCGCCCACTTCTGCACGAATGGCTCCAAAATGTTCAGCATGCCAAGGAGAACACCGCCAGACGCCGGAGCGTCGGCGGAGTACACCTCGTGGCCGAGGAAGGAGGACGAGATGGCAGGATACACGCGGGCCCTGTAGCCCTTCAGGTCGTCGTGCGTCATGATGCCGCCATGCTTCTTGACCGTCTTGACGACGTCGTCGGCGATCGATCCCGAGTAGAACGCAGCAGCGCCGTGCTTCGCAATCTGCTCCAAGGTGTCCGCGTACGTGGGGCGGAAGACCCAGTCTCCTTCCACGAGCAACATGCCGTTGCGCGAGTACACGGCGGCCCAGACGGGGTCGTCGAGCATGAAGGCGCCAAAGTAGCGAATCCTGCGCGCAAGCTCGCGCGACACTTGCCAGCCCTGCCTCGCCTGCTTGATAATCGGCTCGAAAAGCTTCTCCCAGGGTACTTGACCGTAGAGCTTGTGCGCTGCCTCAAGGCCACGCATCTCGCCCGGAACACCAACAGCGAGACCGCCGACCTGGCTCGCATCGCGGCCCAGCTTGCTGTACATGTCCTCGGTCGCTGCGGCAGGGGCCGTCTCGCGGAAGTCGACAGCGATAGCTTTCGGCCGCTTCGACTTGAGGCTGCCATAATCGGGCTGCGTCAGAGACATGTACTCGACGTCAGCGAGGTCGCGCCAGGCGTGCTCAGAGCCAAGTCCCTCCGGGACAGAGAGCAGCGCGAAGCCGCCGCCGCCAATTCCGGACGAGAACGCGTTCATGAGACCAATGCACAGCGTCGTGGTGATCGCCGCGTCGACAGCGGTTCCGTTGTGCTTCCGCAGAATCTCGAGACCCATGTTGGAACACGTCGCGTCTTCGGACGCCACTGAGGCGTTTCCGGGCCCCGCGAGCGAGGGCGGATTCCTCGGCAGGCCGGTCGGCTTGTCTGTCAGCAAGCGGTTCTGGAACAGGGGGAGGCGTGGTAGATGGGGGAATGCGGCGCAGCACGTACCGGAGGCAGCTTGTATATCGGGGGCACCATGGGCGGCTTCTCGTGCTTGTGCGGGCGCAGCTTGTGAAACCCGTACATGCCGCCGGCACCGATCAGGACGCCGAGCAAGAGCAGGAGAGCGTATGGGAGCGTCTTCTTCGGCTTGCGCGCGCGGAGCTTCCGCATCGCGTTCGTCATCGTGGAGAGGGAGCTGCTGCGCTGGCGGCGCGGGTGGGGCGCGCCGCCGTTGCCGTTGGGCGAAGGGAGGAGGGGCTCGGACTCGGACATGTCGTGTCCGGCGAGACGTCGGTGGACAAAGTCAAGAAAGAAAGGAGAGTGGAGATGTCGAGGACTGGGGTATCTCAAGTGCTGAGGACGAGGGCTGTGGCGACCGGATGCAGCGTCGTTCGACCGTGACGAGAAGGAGGAAGCAGAGATGGGCTATCTGAACCGGATCCCGTCAGCCACGATCGCCGCCGTGACATTTTGGTGCCCTGATGTGCTCATGCCCGCCGGGCGTCTCGGCGCTGGCCGACGAGCGGTGATTACGTAAGTCGACTACTGCACAACGGACGATTGTGGTGCAAATGATGCATAGGCTACAGATTCGCTTTATACAGACTTAGCAGAGCTTCTTGGCCTGGCCGACGAGCTCGTCGAGCGTGATGGGCGTGGCGTTCTTGGGCTTGAGCGGGCTGGTGTCGGGGAAGTCGCCCGAGCCCCACTTCTTCTGGATACCAGCCGCGAGGGCGGCGTACTCGCCCTGTTGGATGGCGGCGTTGATCTCGTCGTCCGTGATCTTCTCAATCTCCGGCTTGGATCCGTTCGCCTTCTCGAGCGCGTCGGCGACCTGCTGGCCCGTCCACTCGGCCTCGGTGACAGTGTATTGGGACCCGGGGAGCTCGTTCTTCGGACCAGAAACGAGCTCAGCGACTGCCTTGGACAGGTACGGGATGCTCGTAACGCCGATCTTGCGGTTGAGGGCGTCGCCGTACAGCCGCAGCTTGTTGCCGCGGACGTCGATGCCGGTCACCTCCTTGGCCAGGAAGAGGGGGGCGAACAGACCGTTGTGGATCACGGTCAGCGGGACACCCCACGACTTGGCCTGCGTGTTGACAGCAACCTTGTTCTGCGCAATCACGTTCTGGTCAACATTCAGCTCTTCCCGCGACCAGTTGATGGAGTAGTCGGAGGGAATGAACGTCGTCAGGGTCTTGATATCCGCCAGGTGGCGCATGAACTTGAAGTGCTGCTCCTGCGAGACCTTGTCAATCGCAGAGCTGCCGTTAGCTTACGTCCAGCAAAGCTAACTTACATGAGAATGTCAACATCTTTCAGCGCTTTGGTAACGTGCGACTGGTCACTGTGTCCATAGCCGAGGACGCGCTTCTCGACGTTGTCCGGGACCTGCGAGGTGTCGCTTCCGGCACGGTGGAGGACGACGAGGGTGATTTTGCCCTCCTCGTGGGCCTTGGAGAGCTCCTTGAGGAAGCCGCTGCCGAGCAGGCCGGTGACAGAGTAGAGCGCGACGACGTTCTTGTCAGGCATTGTAAGGCGGATGTGAATGAAAAAGTCGGGGGTGATGGAGTCTCCAGAGCCGGGCAGCCCGGCTTCTATATGGGATCAGTGACGTCCATGGTGTTCCGCCGGAGTTAAGCACAGGACCGGAATAGCGACTCGGAGCGAGCGGGGTCAGGCAAGCGGAGCTGCTGCTGACACCTGATCTCATCATGATCGCCGTCGATCACGCACTCTGCTGATCGATCTTAGCCCTTCAGCAGGACACTTCCTTCGGAAGCTTGGCATCTGGCGTTGTACATTGCTGACTATCGGCTGCATAAGTAGGTTCGGTTAGTCATGCATGGTGTATTGAGCTTGATAATCGGCGTCTTACCAGCTAATGAGAGGCTACAGTAGGTACGTTTGGGTCCAGCCCAACGGTGGGGTTTGTTGACGAGCTCGGTCATGAAAAACATGGGTGCCCTGTTTGCAGCCTACGAAGCAAGCCTCCTTACATCCGCCGGAAGCGGCTCTGACTGTATTTGACGTCAGGCTCCCCCTCCGAAAAAGATTACACCTGTAATTCTAAGCATGAAAGTCTGATATCAACACGTGACAGGCATTTCTTATCGCAGGGTTCTGCGCGGTTAGGCCCCGCGATACCGATCAGCCAGTGGCAAAAGTTAGTGTCTCGTGAACGCGACCTGACCGTGGTCCACTCAACCCACCTCCACTCGCGTCGCCTTCCTTCCTCTCCATCCCCTTTCAACGCAACAACTCATCCTGGATTGTACTCTTCTCCTCAAGTCACAAGTCTGCACTCTGGGCTTCGCTTCGACTTCGCGACGAAGCCTCGGCCCGTGCAAAGGCTCGCCCTCCGCACCAGCTTACTATCCGACTGCGACCTTCCCCAACTGCGACCTTCCTCGGCTCCAGCTCGCGACATCCGGGACGTGTAGTTTCGCCTGGCTGCACGAGCGCTCGCCGACCCTCCGCTCATCATCAAATAATGAGTGTTCTTCCGACCACCTCTTCGGAGGCCATCTACCTCCAGACCAGCGAATATGATCTCGGACAGCTCACCAAGGCCATGAAGGCGACGAAAAGCGGGAAGAGGGCCCGTGCTGCACCGAGTAAGTTGTTTGTTTGTGCGCTTCCGTGCACAATCAGAAGTTATTCTGTGTCGGGTGACTAACCCACATTTTCGCAGTACCCGACGAGCACATGCACCTTCACACTTTGCATCTGCAAGCAACACTTCAGCCCGAGCCAGAGATCGTCGAGTACCCCAACGGCTTCCGTGACAACGACTCTTATCCCGTGTGGCGCGACTTCCGCCGCTCTGTTCACGACTCCGTTGAGGCTTGTGTGCCCCTTCCCTTCTTTCCTCCGACCGCCGACCTGTTCCACATCGACGGTCATCCTTTGAAGAAGAAAAAGTCTGCGCCTGTGAGCTGCGGGAATGTGTTCCGGCCGGGCAACACCACCAAACCTCTTGTGAAGATTCCCGACATCTGCACTGGCTCCGACGCTCGTCGTCAGTTTTTCCCCAGCTCTTACACATGGGACCACCTCAACTGGATCCACGCCGCTCTGGCCATCGACCCCGACGAGCCTCCTACTCGGCGCGGCACGTATAAGCCCAACGAAAAGCGTGTCTACTTTCGTACCGGCGTGGACGTCTCGTGGACTCCTGGCGACTCCGGAGAGGAGGACGACTACGCGATCACGCTGTCTATCGCCCTCGATGTCTACCTCGACATGGACGTTATTCTGCTACCGCAGCCGGACATTTCCAACGACCTTCTCGGTCTGGTCCTGGTGTCACTCCTTCCTGCCGATCTCGGTGATCAGCCTCACCCCTCTCGGGAAGGTCTCGGGGCCGCCCGCGCTGATGCGCTGAAGGCGTTTTACGCCGCTCTTCGCCCTGCTCCCGACCTTCCGTACGGTTTCGACGCTCGAAAGCTTCAGCCTGACTCAATGACTAAGCCTCTGTTGCCATTCCAGAAGCGATCAGTCGCACGTCTCCTGGAGCGGGAAGGCTCTCCGATGGTGACTGGCAACAAGGCTTTCACCTATCCCGAGGGCCAATGGGTGAAATTTGACTTTGGCAAGTTTGGCGAGTACGCCTTCCACCGCCTCACTTCGCAGCTTGTCCGGCTTAAGGGCGACCCTAAGGGCAAGAGGAGGGCCAACGACTCCTCGTGGGAAGATACGCTGGACCATGTTTTCCCTCTGACCAAGGTGCGGGGAACCATGCTTTGCGAGGAGATGGGTCTCGGCAAAACTGTTGAGGCAATTGCTCTCGTGTTGCTCCACCCGCATCCTCTCTCTCTCGAGCGGCCTATGATTGGAGCCGTCGGGAGCGCCAACGCCCGCAAGCTGCCGGAGATCAACTTGGAGAAGAAACCGGAGTTTGGCCTGACAATTCAGCAGTGGGTGGACGGCCAAGCCAAGGCTTTTGCAAACTCCGTCGCATGGTCCGAGGAAGGTCAGCTCAACGTCGCTGCTGTCGGCACCACTCTCATTGTTACGCCTCAGTCCCTCTTGAACCAGTGGGTCTCGGAGATGAAACTGCACGCACCTTCCCTGAGGGTCTGCGTCTATCCTGGATGGTCAGACCTCATCAAACAGGTGGAGAAGCGTCGCACGGCAACCTTGAAGGAGCGCAAGAGGCAGGCCGCGAAAAACTTGAAGAGGCAGAGGGTCAAGTTCCGCAATGAAACTCGGAGGAAGTATGCCAAGGGAGCCAAGGGAGTCAAGATTGAGCGCGATTCGGACGACGAGGACTACATTGAGATGGAGAGCGAAGGCGAGGAGGAGGAGGAGGAAGAGGAAGAGGAATTCGCTCCCACTCCCAAGTCTGAGGATCCCGAATCTCTGCTCGATGTCACTCAGCAAGCCTTCCTCGAGTACATCCGCGGCTTCGATGTTGTCATCACGACGTACCAAACCCTCTCCACCGACCTCAACGTTGCGGACCCTGCTCCTCGCCGCAGTCGCCGTTCCACCGCAAACTATCGCCTCAATGAGCGTCCTCGCAGCCCACTGGTCATGGTCGAGTGGTGGCGAGTCATCATGGATGAGGTCCAGCTGCAAAGTGACTCCAGCACCTCAGCCCAGATGGTCTCCAAGATCCCCCGTCAGTGCTCGTTGGCTATGTCCGGCACTCCTGCGCGCTCGAGTATCTCCGATCTGCAGGGCTCCCTAAAGTTCCTCCACGTCCCGGTCGCTAGCAGCGTCGTCTGGAGCCGTATCACCCAGCCGTCCAACAAGGCGGCGTTCGAGGGACTGTTCAAAGCGATCAGCATTCGCACGACGAAGGCTGAGGTCGTCGGAGAGTTCAATTTGCCGAACCAGACCCGATACGTCGTTCCGATCGAGCTGTCCGACATTGAGATGCACTACTATCTCGATGTGCTTGAAAGACAGCGCGATCGTTTGGGTATTGCCGACGGTCCGCAGAGAGACCAGGAGCTCGACTTTAGCCTCTACCGGAACGCTTTGCGTCACCTCCGCCAGATCTGTACCCATATTCAGGTCGGTGGTCTCGAACCCACTCAGCGTGCCGGCAACCGCCGCGGCGACCGCATCCAGCTTGGCCGGCAGCTCATGACCATGGAGCAAGCTCTGAAGAAGATGCGTGACGACCTTGAGGAGAACTTCACCCTTACATCGCGCAACCTCCTCCGCACTCAACTGGACAAGGCACAGCTTCTTGTGCGCGACGAAACGGACGACTTACGCAATTTGAAGGCACTCGCGATCTATGAACGTGTGCGCGAAGGCGCGCTGAAGCTTCTCCAGGAGGCCAAGGCGGAACTCAACAAGCAGACCGAGGGTCGCGAGGACTCCGTCGATGACGAGGGACACATGGACGAGTCGCAGGCTGAAAGGGCGAAGCGTCTGCAGGTGCAGTCTGCGAGGGCCGCCGTCCGCGAGACCATGAACATCCTGCATCTGTCTTGGTTCTTGCAGGGTGACGTTCATCACACGAACAAGGAGGAAGAGCTGGAAGTCCAGGCATACCAGAATGCCGAAAACATCCGGCGTGAGATTCTTGCGCGTCCACTCAAGGCCGCGGACCGCATTGTCAAAGCGATGTCGGACGCCATCGCCGATCATGGCGCGGTGACCTCTCTAGGTGACCTCCAGACAAAGGACACCCGCCGCAAAGGCGGTATGCTCTCTGGTGACCTCGTCGCTCAGACCAACAGCCTGCTCAAGATTCTGAACGACAATGCAGTGCTCGTTTACAACTGGCGCAACAAGGTCGTGGAGCTTCTTGAGACCCCCATCGAAGCAAACGACGAAGCCGTTCCCGGCGTCGGCGAAGGTCAAGACGTGGAGAATCCCGACGAGGAGTACTACGCTGAGGCACTGAAGGCCCAGGGTGATCGTGAGTCGCTCGTCGGAGATGCCGGAACTGACAAGCAGTGGATGCGTATCTCACGGCCTACGCGGCAGCCATTGCCGACCGCAAGGAGATGCTGCTCGAGGAGCGCACGCTTCTCGCCGTTCATGACGCACACATTACCAAAAAGCGCTCCACTGCCAACTCAAAGGATGCTCAAGTCATCGTCGACCCCGACCTGCCTACAGATGTGCAGGACCTTACCGTCAAGCTGCTGCTCGAGCGCAATGCGTTCCGCGAGAGGCGCACTGAGGAGGCATGTGAACGTCCTCTGAAGGCGCTTCTCATCGATCTCGGGAACATTGTGCACGCGGCCAACCGTCCCGAGGAAGCGGCCATCGCCAAGGGCATCGCTGACATGCTTCGCGGATACATCAAGAAACAGACCGAGATCGTCGACAAGTTGAACAAGGAGCTGGACATGCTCCGCGATACTCACAACGGCCGCGTCAAGTACTTCGCAGCGCTGCAAGAGATCTCTGATTCGGTTGCGGTGCCCAGATTCAGGGATGTCAAGAAGGAGATTGAGTTCAAGGACCGCCAAATTCTGGACGCCGAAACAACGCTCGCCCGCTGGTCCGTCAGGCGGCGCTACCTCGGCTTCCTGGACGCGGAGAATCAGAATGTGGACGACCTGAAGGAGAATTGCGCGATTTGCTTTGGAACTTCAGATGACACTCACGCTGTGCTCTTGCAGTGCGGGCACATGTTCTGTGTTTCGTGCTTCACTGAGTACCGCAAGGCGCCGTACATCGGACGCAAGTGCGCCAACTGCAAGACTGCCATCGACGACAGGGGCATCCAGCGCGTACGCATCAAGGCGCCGGAGGAGGGCGGCTCCCCGAAGGCTGAGCCTGAGCCTGAGGCCGAGGCGATCGAGGCAGAACCTTCGAATGACAAGAGGGACGAGGAGCGTGAGGTTGAGCGCCGCGCTGCCGACCTCGCCAAACTCAACATGCTCAGCGTGGATCGCATGCGTCCTGTCGCTAACATCGACATGATGGGCGAGTTCGGCTCAAAGGTATGCTCGCCATATGTCGGCACCAGCTCACGTCAGATCAACTTCCTCATCAAGCACCTGCACTACTACCGTTTGACACAGCCCGGCGTTCGTCATGTTGTGTTTTCGAACTGGGCGGACTCGTTGCGCATTGTCGAGCGCGCGCTGACTGTGAATCACATCCGTTTCGTGTCACTTGACTCGAACACAAAGAAGAACGACGTCGTGCATCAGTTCCAGAACGACCCAAACATCACGGTCTTCCTCCTGCATGCTGAGCGCGAGAGCGCTGGTCTCACGCTGACGGCCGCGAGCGTCGTTCATCTCCTCGAGCCCATCATGCAGCATTCGTTCGAATTGCAGGCTATCGGCCGCGTCGACCGCCTGGGTCAAGAGAAGCAAACGACCGTCTACTGCTACGCGACGATGGATACGGTTGAGAGCCGTATCCTCTCGCAGGGCGTGCGCAACGGTACCAGCATCTACCTGAACGACAAGGAGGAGGACGAGAAGGTCGCCGCTGCGTTGCCAAACGTTCCCCACGCTGCCGAGCGTGGTGGAGACATCACACTCGGCGAGACGGGCACCGCCGAGCTGCTTCGTCTCATTATATAATGGATCAGTAAACTTTCGTTGTAGCATATTTAGAGTTTCGAACACTGATGTGAACTAGATTTGTATGATAATGGGGTGCATGATGCTGTAAGGATCCTACAAACTCTCTACTGATAGTCAACGCTGCTGCTCTAAGGTGGCTGCTGTGCTTAGTCGCCGCGGGGGTCCTTGACCTCGGCGAGGACACCTCCAGACTTGACCTTGCCCCATCCAATAAGACGCCAGTGCTTGTCGATACGACGAGAGAGGGCAATCTTCTCTCCCTTCTCGGTACAAGCGGGGGTGACGAGCTGGATAGTGACGTCTCCGCCCTTGACGGCCATGATGCGGCCACCGGTCTGGGAGGCACCAATGTTGACAAAGAGCATCTCGCCGACGACGAGTTTTCCGACCTTGGCCTTCTTGTTGTCCTCGGTCTTGACACCAAGCAGACGACGGAGGAGGAAGACCTCGGCCTTGATATCGGTGTAGATGTTGGGGCCCTTTCCGACACTGCTCATAACCATACCGAGCAGACGGTCGGCACGGCAGAGAGCGGGGTCGACGAGCGTTCCGACACCAATCAGTCCTCCGGGAACAGCGAACTGGAGGTGGTTCTGCTCCGCGTTCATCGAGACAATCTTCGAAATGAGCGGTCGGCACGTCACCTTGCCCTCCGTGTCGCGCGTGATGATACCGGGGCGGATCTCGACCTCCTGTCCGACCTTGAACACACCCTGGAGAATGGAGCCTCCGGCAACACCACCCTTGAGCTCGTCGACGGACGCTCCGGGCTTGTTGACGTCGAACGAACGAATGACGACCATTCGCGGCTCGGCGGTGAAGTCGTACTTGGGCGGCTCGATCTTGGCGAGCGCCATGACGACGGCGTCAATGTTGAAGCGCAGCTGCGCGGAAACGGGGATGATCGGGGCGAGGCGGGCAGTGGTGCCCTCGACGAACCGGCGGATCTGCTCGCAGTGTTCCTGCGCCTCAGACTCGCGGACGAGGTCCATCTTGTTCTGGAGAATGACAATGTTGTGCGGGTCGATACCGATAATCTCGAGAGCGGCAAGGTGCTCTCCCGTCTGCGGCTGAGGGCACGACTCGTTACCGGCGATGAGGAGGAGGGCTCCGTTCACTGAAAGGGTCAGCTTCTTGCCAAGCCGCGGACAGCTGCAAATACTCACTGACGGCAGCACCCGTAAGCATAGTAGCCATGAGAATGTCGTGTCCCGGGCAGTCGACGAAAGAGACGTGTCGGATCAAGTCCATGCGCGAGTCGCATCCTGGCCTCTCACACTTCGGGTGGAGCTCCTTGCTCGACGGGTAGGAGCGGTAGCACGAGGGAGGGGGGCAGTTGGGGTTCTGGCACTTGTAGATCTGGTCTGGTCAGCTATGGAGCTGAAGCTAAACCCACCTTGGCGTTGGCGTAACCGAGCTTGATGGTAATGTTACGCTCGAGCTCGTTTTTGAAACGAACGGTCTGCACACCAGAGATGGCACGGACGGTGGACGACTTTCCGTGCGCGACGTGTCCGATGGTACCAATGTTGATCTGACAGTTAGCAAAGTCGTAATCGATGGGAAGCTCCGGTCCAGACGGCGCTCATGACAGGACCGCGCGCTTATGTCATGGCTACGGCGAGCTAGACAACGCTCATGCGATGGATGCGCTAGGTGTCCATAGCACGCGAAGCACGCCCACAGGCCTTCATGAGAGGCTTTTCCTGTCCCGGAGCCTTCCAACCTCTTGCACATTTGCCACTGAACAAGCAAAAGCGCAAATCGCGATGCTTACGGTAGCCTGGTTCATGATGACCTCGGGGCTAAGAGCGGTAAGCTTGGTGAGGTCAATGTCGACGGGCTTGGCGTCGGCGCCGCCCTCGGTCTGGAAGGCAGCAGTCGGGTCGTTAACGGCGGCCATGATGGGTGAACAATGGAAGGGGGAAGATGAATCAGGTGGTAGGGGGATGCGACTTTTATCGATTGGGACTGGGGGTGTGGCGTCTGGCAAAGTGCGGTTTTATGCGTTCTAGGCGATCAACAGAGTCGGTTTCGCTGGTGCTGGTCGGACTCGAGTCGGAGACGTGTAACGAACGCTTTTAAGACGGGCTAGAAGCAAGGCTAGATGGTGATCGGTAGACTCGGACGGCTGTCGATGACAATGCTCGACGAGTCGACACAAAAGATGGAGGCACTCGTTTGCCACCGTCTCGGCGTTTCGGAATTACTTCCGCTCTCACCGTAGAGCGCACGCAGGCCTGGTGCTGCACTCCTCCCCGGTGCTCGACGCCGTCTTGGTCGTCTCGAGCGTTGAGGTCACTGCATAGCACATCGACACCATGGCCGGTGAGTGCGGTACATGCTCGGCGGATCGGACTTGACTCGGAAGCGCGTGCGAATTAAGACTCGACTAGCGCCCCGACTCCTCCCCGAGCTCCGCCCGGACTAGTTCGGTCAAACTGACGTTACGCAGGCTTCCACTACCACGCCCCTCCTATGATCAACCGCGTCCTCGCCAAGGGCCTCGGCGCCGGCATGTGGTTCTTCGTCTTCTACCGTGCCAGGTGAGTTTGGACTGCATACAGGGAATACAGGCAAGGGGAGCTCCAAACAAGGCAGTTGGACAAATACGTCGATCGACAGCATTCTCCGGTTCAACTACGGTCCGCCAGGCCGTTACGACTTCGAGTCCGGGATCTTGTTCCATAAACACCTCGTGAACGGGCTCAGGAGCTCACGAAGCTGCCCAAAACAGCTTCTTGGAGGTTGCCGCTCAGCATCGAGAAGGCGATCGACATCGAAATGTCGATCCACGCTCCCGACCTGAACTGCTTCTCGTCCTTCGCCGAACCAAGCTTGCGATTTCCTGCGCACTTGTTTGGAGCTCTCTATCTGTTGTCCGAAGCTATCCTCTCCAAGGACTTGTCAGCTAACCAAACAGGCAAGACGGTGCCGTTCTCCTCGGCCTCAAGCACCCGTGGGACGGACACGGTGACCACGGCGACCACCACTAATCGCCTCCACCAACCGACGACCTAGCAAATTGTAGACTGAAGCATGGATACATCACGGACTAATCATCGATGTCGGGCGAACGCCGGTGTCGACATTGCGGAGGCGCGGAGAGCAGAATCGCTCACGCCGTGCCCTTGTCTTCGATCACTGATGTCTCGGACCTCGTGTCGACCCAGCAGAATTCGCAAGTGTATTCGGCGCAATCCTCGAGTTCGTTCCCAATTACCAAGATAAGCGTAGAGCAATGACATGAGGAGGCTCTGGGCGACCGGAGTTTGCTCATGACTCAACGAACTACCGGCGCTGTGCAGGGAGCAACACCCAGCTCCTGCTGCTGCGGTCTGCCCTCGAGGCTATTCCGCGTTGCCAACTCCACTGTGCCAAGCCTCGACTCGGCCGCTTCCGGCCCCGTTAGCGTCACCTGAGACAGCCACTCTCGGACAGCCGACGACTTGCATAGCTTGACTTAATTGACTTACCATCACATTCCGACTCAGCCAACGCCGGCTTTGACCATAGTTCGCCTCGCCTGTCTTTCCCATCGTCTACCGGCGTCCGCAATGATCTGGTGCTCACACGAGCATGTGTCACGGCCTCACTTCCCTCGGAATGACGAACGGGCAGCGCGGGATGGCCGCGGGGGCGCTCTCACCATCAGCAAAGTTCCTCTTCGCTAGTATATCGGTTAGTATAATCGCCTCTCAAGTCCGAGAGATTGCTTCGGCAGTGCGCGATAGAGCAGGGTTCGACTCCCTGGCGGAGAACACGGCTCAATAGAGCTGCTCCTTTGCTTTCTTGAAGTTCCGGAGGATTTTCTGAGGGCGCAGAGAAAGGGTCTAGGGTCTGGGCTCGGGTGGTTGGGAGGAGCCTTGGCTGTGCCCCTCCTAGCCACTTGCTCACGCGTCAATGCGCCCAGAATGGGAGATTGCTACCTCCACATACTTCTGCGCCTCGCGGATTGCAGCAAACGCCGGAACATTACCAGGAATGCATGCGCAACGCAGATATATGAGGAGATCAGAGTTGCAGGAGTGGAGAGTGCGCCACAGGGAGCGCCACCGACCACGTGATGTAAATATTGTTTGAGCCCCCCCTGTACAGTGTTTTTGACTTGACGCGTCCAGTTGACATCAGCTGGAGCAGAGGCGGAGCGCGTCCGGCAGGACATTACAAACGCGTGTTTTGGCCCAGCATCGGCCAGCCTCCTACGCCTCCTTCGCCTCGCTTCTTCTCGACTTGACTGCATTCGACCTGTATCATTGCCATCTGCTTATAACCTAGACTTCTCTAGACACAACAGTTCCTGTACACCAATGGGGTCCTCCGCCGTCCCCTCCCTCGTTGCCGACTCCATCGCCGGCACTGCGTCCACCTCCATGTCCCCCTCGCCCAGCACGCCCGGAAATGACTCACGACCAGTCGCGTCTGGATCAGCAGAGGATGAGGTCGAGGTTGTCGAGCCCCAGGAGGTTGATCCAGAGGTGTGTTCTGCGACAATGTGTGTGTTCACCTGCTGACATGCCTCTCCGACGTCCCATCTTGCCGTTACTAAAACATTCCCATCGTCGCTCGTCACGTCCATGTCTTTCAAACTTGGCTGATGCCTCCCAAAACGACTCTTTCACCCGAAAAGGCTGCCGCCCGAGCTGCACGCCTGAGCTTCCTGCTTGAGAAGTCCGGAGTCTACGCCAAGATCATTGGCGACCGGATGGAGCGACAGCAGATTGAGAAGGCGAATGCGAACGCGCGTGCAGCGGTTCGCAAGGCGAACAAGGAGAAGCGGAGTGCCGAGGGCACGCATGCTGGGCGAGAGGGTATGCGTGACCGTGCTGCTGAGGCCGCGGAGCCGGTGAAGAAGCGGCGGAGGGCTGAGGACACCCGCAGGCGAGGGAAGGCCGCTGAGCCCGACATCAAGGAGGCCCTCCAGGCCGCTGAGGTGAAGCACGAGGAAGAGGATGAGGCGGAGAAGCAGTACTCCTTTGTACAGCCCGAGCTCGTTACTGGAGCCAAGCTGAGGGATTACCAGCTCGCGGGCGTGCAGTGGATGATCTCGCTGTACGAAAACGGGTTGAATGGCATTCTCGCCGACGAGATGGGACTTGGAAAGGTGAGTTGATAGCTGCCTGCTCTGCTAACTCTCAGACGCTTCAGACCATCTCGTTCCTCGCCCATCTCCGTTCGAAGGGTACGTGGGGACCATTCCTCATCGTGTGCCCCCTCTCCGTGCTCCACAACTGGAAATCGGAGTTCGAGAAGTTCGCCCCCTCCATCCCCGTTGTCATGTACCACGGTACCCCGGAGCACCGCTCTGAACTCCGCGGGACTCGCATGCAGGCTCCCAAGGCTTCGGGCGCCGTCCGCAAAGGCAAGCGGGGCGCTAACGGCGCTCTGGCTGGAAATACTACGTCAACCTTCCCGATCATCCTCACGACGTACGAGATCTGTATGCGCGATCAGAAGTACCTCTCCGGCTACATGTGGAAGGTGAGTTGAAGGAGGTTGCACCTAACTGACGTCCAGTTCATCGTCGTCGACGAGGGTCACCGCCTGAAAAACTTGGACTGTAGACTCATCCGCGAGCTCAAGACGTACACCAGCGCGAACCGCATGATCTTGACCGGAACGCCCCTCCACAACAACCTCGCCGAGCTCTGGTCGCTGCTCAACTTCATTCTGCCGGATATCTTCGACGACCTCGAATCCTTCCAGCAGTGGTTCAACTTTGACGATGTGCACTCGTCGGCTGGCGACGGACTGCTGAACAAGGGCGCGATCGTCCAGCAGCTGCACGAGATTCTGAAGCCGTTCCTGCTGCGCCGTCTGAAGACCGAGGTCGAGAAGGAGCTCCCGCCGAAGAAGGAATACCTGCTTTACGCTCCTCTGACACAGGTGCAGAAGGACATCTACCAGGCCATCGTCAACGGAGATCTCAGGGAGTACCTGGTCCGAAAGATGATGGGAGGTGACGAAGAAGCTGTGGCTCAGGAGCCGGAGATCGAGTTCATTGAGGAGAAGGCGGACCAACCGAACGGTGTGCGCTCCAGGCGGTCGTTGGGGAACGTGGGCTCGAAGATGTCGATGGTTGACCAGGGTCGTGCATGGCGTCTCAACCAAGCGAGTGAGTTTCGACTGGTAGTGACGTGAACTGACATGCAGTGAAACAGGTGAACAACATGCACCTTCAGAACATGATCATGCAGCTGCGCAAGGTCGCGTCGCACCCGTTCCTGTTTGACTGGCCATACAACCCCGACACCAACGAGTTGATCGTGGACCATGAGCTCGTGAACCAGAGCGGCAAGATGCTACTGCTGAACCGTCTCCTCGACGCCCTCTTCGCCAAGGGTCACAAGGTGCTTCTGTTCTCGCAGTTCACAACAATGCTTGACGTCGTCGAGGACTGGGCGACGCTCTTCAAGGGCTTCAAAGTGTGCCGCATCGACGGCAGCACGAAGCAGGAGGACCGCCGGCTGCAGATGGACGAGTTCAATAACAGTACTGGGCCCGATGCGCCCAACCTCTTCCTCCTCAGCACCCGCGCCGGAGGTCTCGGCATCAATCTCGTTGCTGCGGACACTGTCATTTTCTTCGACCAGGACTGGAACCCGCAAATGGACCTGCAGGCGCAGGACCGCGCGCACCGTATCGGGCAGAAGAAGCCCGTCCTCGTCTTCCGCCTCGTGTCGGAGCACACGATTGAGACCAAGATCCTCCAGAAAGCGACTAACAAGCGCAAGCTGGAAGCGCTCGTGATCCAGGAGGGCAAATTCGGCAAGGTCGTCGACGACAATGGACGTGTTCTTCTCGGCCGGCAGAAGGAGAAGTCCACCATCGACATGGCCCGCGCTCTCCTCGATCTGGAGGGTGAGCAGATCAACGTCGCCTCGGCGGACGACATGATTATCTCGGATGCCGACCTCGAGGTCCTGCTTGACCGCTCGCCGGAGGCGTTCGCACGCAAGAAGGGATGGGCGGCGGGTCTCGCCAAGAAGGGCACGAAGGCGCGCGAGGCGAAGCTCGCCAAGGGAGAGAGGACGGCGTTCGAGGTCTTCGTCCCCGCCAAGGACGAGGCGGCCGACGGACTCGCGCATATGTTTGCCGGAGACGGGGAGAAAGACGACGACGAGTAGACTGTCGGAGTGCGTGTTGTTGTTCATTCGTTGTAATCGTACCCATTTGCATAATGCATCTTTTGTTGGTTACCGTGAGCTTCACCGTGGTGTGTGTTTGTCTATCCGTCCTGTTGATGTTTGCACCAGCCCGTGCACTCATACCTCAGAACACTAGATACCAGATATGACCTTCTCGAATGCATGCATGCAGAGATTTGCGCGGGCACGACCAGTGCAAGGATATGCAGGTTCGCGAAAATAGCCGGAAAAATGCCCCAATCGCCACCAACCTCTGCCACGCGATCCCGGCCACGTCGACGGCTATTTCGTGAGCTCTCGACCGCGACGCGTTCAACGGTCCTGAAGGTATCCGGACGACATTCTTCAACCTAACTCTCCTTTCACCCCACCAACCTAGTCAATGTCGGTACAGGCGCGCAACCGCCGGCCACGCGGCAACAGCCCGCCTCTGCCGGTTTCTGAGAAGTATGAGGAGCGGAAAGTGAGTGCGCCATTGCTGACCAGTGCGAATTGCTGGGACAACAACAAATCATAAAGTGGATCGAAGCTCATGCCCAGCGCGTCGACCCCGTCCGCCCCGTGATCCACGCCGAGGATCTGCGACAGGAGCGACTGACGTCTTACGCCGTTGCTCTCGCACTCACCTTTGCGGCCGTCTGCGTGCGCTTCTGGGGCATCCGGCATCCGAACCAGGTCGTGTTCGACGAGGTGCACTTTGGCGGCTTTGCGAACCAGTACCTCCGGCGCGAGTACTACTTTGACGTCCACCCCCCGCTGGCCAAGATGCTGAACGCGCTCGCGGGCTGGTTCGTCGGCTACAACGGCAGCTTTGGTTTCAACTCCATCGGTGACGACTATATCGAGGCCGGCGTGCCGTACGTTGCGATGCGCAGCTTCGTCGCTGTCATGGGCGCTGTTACTATTCCCCTCGTTTACGCCATTATGCGCGAGTCGGGTTACCCGATCGCCATCTCTGCCTTCTCCGCATTCCTCGTTCTCTTCGGTGAGCTTGACAGAACTGGCGGATAGCTGACACAACAGACAACGGTCACATCACCCAGACCCGCCTGATTCTCCTCGACGCCGCCCTCTGCCTCTTCATGGCGCTCACGCTTTTCTCCTACGTCAAGTTCCACCAGATGCGCTACCGCGAGTTTACGCAGGAGTGGTGGTTCTGGCTCTTGGCGACTGGTTTCTCCTTGGCCTGCACCCTCGGTTGCAAGATGGTCGGCCTCTTCACGTTCTTTACCGTCGGCTCCGCCGTTATCTGGGATCTCTGGGAGATCCTCGACATCAAGCGCGGCCACACTATGGTGAGCTTACGATCTCGATCTTTCAGCTGACATTCAGGCGTACTGGTGGAAGCACTTCATCTACCGTGCCATCGGTCTCATCGTTTTCCCCTTCATCCTCTACCTCTCCTTCTTCTGGGTTCACTTCAAGATTCTCAAGTTCTCCGGTCCTGGCGACTCGTTCATGTCTCCCGCGTTCCAGGAGACGCTCCAGGGCAACGAGCTGCTCCTGAACGCGCAAGAGGTCCGTTATTACGACACGATTGTCCTCAAGCACAAGGACACCAAGCAGTTCCTTCACTCCCACCCCGACAAGTACCCTCTCCGCTACCCCGATGGCCGTATCAGCTCTCAGGGCCAGCAGATCACCTGCTACCAGTTCAACGACACGAACAACCACTGGCAGATTCTCCCGACCCGCGAGATTCCCGAGAGCGGACGCGGCCGTGTCGTTCGCCAAAACGACATCGTCCAGTTCCGCCACGTTGGTACCAACACCATCCTCCTCACCCACGACGTTGCGTCGCCCACAATGCCGACCAACACCGAGTTTACCACCATCGACCCCGACAACGAAGAGCGCAAGGATGAGACCTACTTCCAGCTCAAGGTCGAGGACGCCCACGACGGCGAGCCGATCAAGTCGCTTTCGTCGCACATCAAGGTCATGCACATGAAGACGCATGTGTGGCTGTGGACGCACAAGGTGGCGCTTCCGGACTGGGGCCACAAGCAGCAGGAGGTCAACGGCAACAAGAAGGCCGACGACCCTTCGCTCACGTGGATTGTGGACGAGATCATCGAGGACGGTCAGGGCCAGGACTTCCAGAACCGCACGGCGCACGTCGACGAGAAGCCGGTCCGCAAGATGCCCTTCCTGAAGAAGTGGTGGGAGCTGCAGATCCTCATGCTGCAGCACAACGCGGGACTGTCGTCTGACCACCCGTACGCCTCGCAGCCGATCGAGTGGCCGTTCTCCCTCTCCGGTGTCTCCTTCTGGACCGACTCCGACGAGAGCCAGCAGGTTTACATGATCGGCAACCTGCTCGACTACTGGATCTGCTCCATTGCGCTGTCCATCTTCGTCGGCGTGCTTGCGGCCGACATGATTGCCCGCCGCCGTGGCATTGAGCCCATCGAGTCCGCGATCCGCAACCGTCTCTACCGCAACACTGGCTTCTTCCTGCTCGCCTGGGCCTTCCACTACTTCCCCTTCTTCACCATGGCGCGCCAGCGTTTCCTCCACCACTACCTTCCGGCGCATCTCGCCAGCGCGCTCGTCGCGGGCGGTGTCATTAACTTCATCCTCGTCGAGGCGGTCAACTACCCCATGTCTAAGGCTGGCCCGCGCACCCGCCTCCGCCCCGTCAGCCGCGTCTCTCTCTCCCGCAACAAGCTCTACATTATGGCCGTCCTCTTTGCGATTGTCCTGTGGTGCTTCTGGTTCCTCGCGCCGTTCACTTACGGCACCTCCCTCACGCCCGAGCAGGTCGGACGCAGGAAGATGCTCTCCACCTGGACGCTCCACTTTGAGCCCAAGGTCACGCACGATGTTAAGGTTGGTGAGGACACCATGATCATTGGTGGAAACTAAGTCCGGCTGTCTGCCCGTCTTATCGCTGAGAGCGAGGAAGGGCGTGTCGTACTTCATACAACAAAACTATATACCCTACGTACTTTCCGAGTACATGCATACTTCTCTTCCGCACATTACTTCCAGCCTGAATGTTCTGCTTAAGCAACGATGGCATTCGAAGCTTCGGAGCACGTCACCAAGACAACATGCATGCTGCCTCACAGCCACAGCCACTGGAAAGTGCTGGTGGAGGTTAGGGGCTCATTGTTTGGACGGGTGTGCGGGAGCTATTCCACGTGGGTTTTGCTCACACTTTCGAAGCTCGATTACGTCTGGAAACATTAGCCCGTCATCGCTGTCATCACTAGTTTTCTGTCTACCAGTCTTCGCGTCTCCGGCAACCAATCCGCACAGCAAGGGCACAGCTGCAGAGAATCTTATCTCTAGAATTTTGCTGTGAAGAAGCTTCGGCCCCGGCTGCGTGACGGCTGATCCGCCCCGACTCGACTCCGACAACCCGCCCAACAATGTCCTACCAGCAGTCCTACGGCGGGTATCAGCAGCAGCCAGTGTACCCTGCGCTCCCTGCTGCCGGCCAGCCCAGCAACACGGTCGCCAACTACGGTCAGCAGCAGCAGCAGCACCCGGAGCACCATGGCCTGCACCTCCCGCACCTCCCGCAACTTCCGCACATCCACATCCCTTTCGGACAGCACCAGCACACCCACTCGCAGACTGGAGCGCTCTCGGCCCCTAACACGGGCACGCTGGGTGCGCCGGGGTACGGCAGCTGGAATGCCAGGCAGGGATATGGGTACCAGTCGGCCGTGACTGTCCCGGCGCTGCAGCCTCAGCAGCTCGAGACCGTCACCAAGGACGAGGACCCCGTCTACGGACCTCTGGGACGAGCACGAGGGAAGATCGACCGTGGCCTCACCAGTGACAATGAGATCTCGCCCGACCTTGGGGACCTCTTTGCTCCTTGTGAGTTATGGTGACATTGCTTAACTGACCCCAGCCGCCGAGCCCGTGTACGTCCGGCCGCCTGCCGATTCGAAGGCGTTTCTCAACATGCGTATCCTAAAGAACGTCCCGATTCCGGATTCTCTGCACTCTGAGTTGAGCCGTGAGTTGTTTTTTGCGGTAGAGCTGACAAGCAGACAAGCATGTGGCCGCGCGGATGGGCATCTTCGAGGAGATCGAACGGGCATGGTTCGTTGTCGAGAACAGGTTGTTCTTGTGGAACTACAACGACGGCCGCGAATTTAGTCGCTTCGACCAGATGGCGGGCGAGATCCAGGTTGTTGGCCTTGTGCGCGCGCGGAAGGATGTGTTCATCGACGGCATCACGCACCTTCTCATCATCTCGACCGCGTCGCGAACAAAGATGCTCGGTCTGTCGCAGGAGGACAACGGCGAGCTGTCAATCTACACGACCGACTTCGAGGTCGACTCGCCGGCGCAGTTCACAGAGGTCCAGGGCACCGACGACGGCCGCGTGTTCCTTCTCGGTCACAACCGCGACATCTACGAGCTCGAGTACACTGCCAACAGCGGCTGGTTCGGAAACGGAACGAAGATGTGGATCACGAACCGCACCTCGTCCGTCATCGCCAACTGGGTTCCGTCTCTGTTCACGCCAGCGAACCGTGAGGGTATCGAGAAGTTTGTCCTCGACCCGCAACAGAACCGTCTCTACACTCTGCAGACTAACGGTACCATTGAGTGGTTTGATGTCTCCGGCACCAAGTTTGAGAGCAGGGGCAAGTACGTCCACGCGCGGAGCGATCTACTCCGTCTCAACTATGGCGGACCGCCTCCTCAGCACCAAGCCGCCAAGATTGTCAACATCGCCCCGGTTCGGAGCAACGAGAGCAAGAAGGTCTGGATCGTCGCCATCTCGGCCAACGGCTCGCGTCTCTACCTCGGCGCCGCTGGCTTCTACCCCGGCAGTTCGGGCATGCTGAGCCTGATCGGTCACCGCCCGCCGCCGCCCGCTTGCACCAAGGCTGACGCCAACTCGTTCTACTCGTCCGGCACCATGATCGCCGTAAAGGTTGAGGACACGAGCAAGACGATCGTCAGCTACGTCACGACGGCTGCAGGCCGTATCTCGAGCCAACGCGAAAACGCCCACACTCAGCCTGGCCAGACCATGTACTCGCAGCCGATCCTGCAGGAGTGGGTCGAGAGCGGTACCATCCCCGCCCAGGTCTGGACCATCGCCGAGGTCACCAAGACCAACCCTGCCTTCTCTCCCCCCGCCCTCCGCCGGCCAGATGCGGTCGCCCTCTCCCAGCTCCCGCGCGAGGCTACCGTCGGCGCCCGCCAGTTCCTCATCCTCACTAACAGTGGCATGTTCTGGGCGCTCCAGCCCCGTCCCGTCGACATGTACCAGGACGACATCGGTGTTGAGAAGGAGGAGGCTGCCAAGACGTGTGGCTCCGCTTTCGGACGCATCCAGGTCGCCGCCATGTGCTACCAGCTCGCGGCGGACACATCGGGCAAGCAGCCCGAAGTCGCCTCCATTGCTATGAACATTCTCCTGACGTGCGACCCGCCCGTGATCCAGACGTCATCGAACGGCGCCCGCACCATCAGCTACTCGCCCCGCCACGACGGCTACGCGCTCTCCATTGCTCGTCTTCTCCGCCCGATCTGGGACAACAAGGTCACAGTGCCCGCCCCGAAGGGTATGCAGAAGCTCGCTGTTCCCGAAAAAACGCTCCTTGAGGTGCAGCAGAACCTCGCCAAGCTGCTCAAGGTCGTCGAGGACCACCCGTTCCCGCGCCACCAGGCCGACGGCGACCAGCGGCTCGCGTGGGAGCAGGAGGAGCTGTCGATGCACGGCCTCACGACGCTGCTGAAGCAGAGCATCGAGGCCATCTCCTTCATCCTCCTGCTCGCCGACTACAAGCTCCCGGACGTCATCGCCAAGTGCAAGCCGCAGACGCAGCAGGCCATGTCAAGCCTCACGTACCAGGGCCTGCTTACGAGCCAGGGCGGACGGGAGATTGCGCGCCAGCTTGTCACGGCGCTCATCGAGCTGCAGATCGGTGCCGAGCTCAGCATCGACACGTTGTCTTCGATCCTGCAGCAGCGCTGCGGTACGTTCGTCGAACCGGGAGATGTCGTTCTGTACCGCGCCGAGGAGGCTCTGCGACGGGCGGAGAACACGCGCGACCCGATCGAGCGCAACGAGCAGCTGACCGAGTCGCTGCGGTTGTTCGGCCGCGCGTCCGAGTCTGCCGCGCGCGCCGTCTTCCCCCGCCTCGAGGACGTCACCAAGCGGTACCGCGACCTCAAGGACATCCGGGGCGCGATCGAGCTGCCGCTGCGGGTTGCTACCGAGATCGACCCGAACGACAAGGCGGGCGACTATGTTCGCGACGGACAGCACAAGGACGACCCGCGGCGCGAGTTCATGATTCAGCGGCAGGAGTGCTATGCGCTCGTCGTACTCGCGCTCGGCGACTACGACGCTGCCCTCTCGCATGCCGTCGCGGCCAACCGGCCAGACAACGCTGCTACGATCCGCGACGAGGCGTATGCGCTCGCGATCCAGAGCGACGACGAGCTCTTCCACTTCTACCTCTACGACTGGATTGTGGAGATGGGCCGCCCCGAGCAGCTGCTGGAGTTTGACACGCCCTTCATCGAAAAGTACCTGCACGAGACGTTCTCGACTGTGCCCGAGCGGAGGGACCTGCTGTGGAAGTTCTACGCGCGGAGGGAGGAGTATCTCTCGGCCGCCAAGGCGCTGCAGTCGCTCGCCATGGTGCAGGACGGCTCGGACATCAAGCTCGAGGACCGCGTATACTACCTCGCTCAGGCGCTCACGAACGCACAGTCCGCCGCTTGTGTCGGCACCGAGGACGTTGAGTTCCTGACCTCTCTGCAGGAGCGCGTGGACGTCGCCCAGGTGCAGCTCGAGGTTGTGCGCGCCATCGTGGCGCACACGGGCATGGACGATGCGGAGAAGGTCGCGCCGCTCGAGGCGCTGAACTCGGCTCTTCTGACCCTCGACGACCTTTACCAGGACTTTGCCCGTCCTCTGCGTCTGTTCGAGTGCATCCTCCTCATCCTCAAGACGGCGGACACGCGCGTGGAGGAGGTGTGCCAGGCGGTCTGGCTCGAGCTCCTGCGCAAGGAGGAGGGCAACATCCCTGCCCTCTCCAAGGTGATCACGAGCCTGATGCGGCGATTCTACCCATCCGAGGCGGCGCCGCTGGACATTGTCCTTCCGCTCATCTACGGGCTCACGAGCGAGCTGCACGGCGAGCCGGGGTGGACGACCCGCTCTCTCCTCGCTGGAGGCGTTGGCGCCCGGGAGCTGTGGGACACGATCGTGGCCCTGAGCGAGGAGACGGACCAGCGCGAGTTCTACGCCGAGGAGGCCGCCGTCGTCCTCCAGCAGTGGGTCGATGGCAAGTGCCAGCTGCCCCCCGCCGAGGTCGAGCAGTACACGACGAGCTATCTCCTCCGACACCCTAAGGGGGGCGAGAAGGGCCACGACCAGACGCGCAAGACGCTCCAGGCGGCCAAGAACAAGGCGAGCACGTACTAGACGAGGTGCAGGGAGGGTAGGAGATGGGCTCGGAGGGAGAGGAGCCTCGTAGAGATCACAGATGTAGTAGATCGAAGATTGCCAGAGATTAATGCATAATGTGTCAGTCTGCATGCAGATTGTAGCTTCCGGTGGCTGGAAGTCCCATGCCATGCACTAGTCGGGACGAGATAAGCACGTCAGAACTAGAAGAGTAGCAGCGGCGCGCATGTGGTGCGGACCGAAGAACCTCCACCAGTGATCGTTTGCCACCGCCACGTCAAACAGCGAGCGGTGACGACGGTGACGTTTCGGTCTACCGACTGCGCTCGTTTCGGCATCACCACACACTCACTTCCACCATCACTCCCAGCGACCACCAAAACGCAGTCCTCGACACCGCGCGCCGGGTACTCTAGTCTCGCTTCTCGACGCGGCGAGAGCATCCATTCCTTTCCACCCACCTACTCGGCCCATCGCAGGTGTTCACCCGACAGTCGGGCAAGCCCGCCCGCCGGTGCCGTCAAAACAAGCCCGACACCGTCGAGATCTGTGCTTCCCAAGAGTCCTCGATAATCGCATTCATCAAGACTTGACACTGCCTCCCGACACACATCAGCACTGCTCGTTATCAAGACTGTCACCGCGGGCTGAGTGACTAGTGATCAAGTTGCACTCCAGCCTTCCTTCTACTGCAGAGCGGCTGACACATCGACACCATGAGGCGCCTCGTCGCCTACGGCCTGCTCTCGACGGGCCTGACGGGCTCCGTTATTGTGAATGCGGTGCGCTCGCGGCCCAACTTCTTCGCTGCGGCTGTGGCGCTCGGCAAGAGCAGTGGGAGTCTAATGGTAAGTCACTACCCACCTGCAAAGGTGGACAGCTTTCTTAGGTGTACTGGTAGCTGAAACCCAGGTACTCGGCAACTTTGTGCTCTTCATCGCGATTCTCGCGGGCATTGCGTTCAAGCGGGTGTTCTTCGGCACGTTGCGCCAGATCGAGTACGAACACATGTTTGAACGGTTGTGGATCTTCCTGACCGAGTCGCTGCTCGCGCTCACCATCTTCCGGGAGGACTTTAGCGCAACCTTCCTCGCCTTCTATGGCGTGCTTGTGTTCCTCAAGTGCTTCCACTGGGTCTCGGGTGACCGCGTCGACTATGTAAGCTACCGTCAAGAGTCTCTTCAGCTGACGCCAGATGGACCAAGTGCCCCCTCCCGGCCCCCCGACGTCGTACCACGTCCGCATGGCGTCGGTCATGAGCGTGCTGACGGTGGCGGACCTTGTACTGTTCGTGTACGCGGTGCAGTCCTCGATCAGCTTGCAGGGGCACACCGCGAACGTCCTCTTCGCATCCGAGTTCGCCATCCTCATCGCTTCCATCCTCGGTATCTGGGCGCGTTACATCGTCGGCATTATGGACCTGCGGCACGCACGCGGCCGCGTCGACGCGCCCGTCTGGGAGGAAAAGTCGATGTACCTGTTCTACATCGATCTGGCCGTCGACTTCGCCAAGCTGCTGACGTACCTCATCTTCTGCATCGTCATCTTCCTCAACCACGGCTTCCCGATCCACATCCTCCGCGATGTGTACATGACCCTGCGCTCGTTCATGGCCCGCTGGTCCGACCTCCTGCGCTACCGCCGCGCGACTCGCAACATGGACGAGCAGTACCCCGATGCGACGGCTGCCGAACTCGAAGCTAGCGGCGACCACACCTGCATCATCTGCCGTGAGGAGATGGTCGCGCGTGGCGAGGGCTCGGAGCAGGATAGCGATGGTCCGAACGTGACCCCGAAGAAACTCGCTTGCGGACATATCTTCCACTTCCATTGCCTCCGCTCCTGGCTCGAGAGGCAGCAGGCATGCCCAACATGTCGCCGAGACGTCCTCTCGCCTGCCCGTGCGCCGGCAACTCCGCGCCCGCAAGAGCCTCAGAACGCCGAGCAGAACCCGCAGAACCAGGCGAACCAGGCAGACGCCCCGCAGCCTCGCCCACAACCGCAGGCTGCCGCCGTCGCCGCCGGAGCGGCACAGGCAGCGGCGGACAACACGCGTGTTGTGTTCGAGGAGTACTTCCGTCTCCCGACCGTGAACGGTGACGCGCCTCCAATTCCGATCCCGAACCAGCCCTCAAGCGCGGCGCAGACGCCGAGCGAGACCCGCCCGGTCCTGCCATCGAGCGACGAGGAGCGCCAGCGGTCTATCTGGGGTGCGCCGATCACGCCCGGTCGGTTCGTGCGTCCGCCCCTAGGCGCCGCGCCGCGCTGGCCCGAGGCTGGCTCTCGCTCCGGCACAGCGACACCGAGCAGCTCTCAAGCTCCTCCCGTCTTCACTCTTCCCAGTCAGCGCGGCCGTGCTCCTGACGAGCTCTTCGACGAGAACGACATGCCCCTCCGCCACGCTGCTGCTGCTGCCGCCCTGCGGCGATTCGAGAAGGGTAAGGGCAAGGAGAAGGAGCGAAGCTGGGATGAGGCGCCGACGCAAAGGGCGTACCTCAGCGAGGCGGGCATTGGATCGCCGGGAACGACTGTCAGCGAGCTGTCTCGCCTTGCGCAGGCGCCTGGAAGTCGTGCCGAAGCCCGGGCAGCGCTCGAGCAGAGACTTTCGGCACTCCGCGCTGTAGATCGCCAGGTTTGGGGTCTCGTCACGGAACTGAGTCGGCTGAAGTCTGCGTGGGACTTTGAGGACGCTGCGGGCCACTCAGCTCCCTCCGCCTCTGCTACCTCTGCTTCCACTTCAGCCCCTACTTTCGCCCCCACCGCCAGCCATTCAGGCAGTGGCAATGGAGCCAGAGGCAACTCGAGCAGTGTGCTCCCCCGCGCCACCCCGAGTCCGCCCAGTTCGGGACCACAGCGCCCATCCTCCCCCCACCACATCACGCGCGAGGTCGATGCACCCTGGAGCAGCGTGGCGAGGAGTCTGACCCCCGAGCCGGCCATTACGCCCCTGTTCTCCCGCCCCGCGGCGGCTGTGAGCCCCCTGGCCGAGCTGCCGCCAACGGTTGCTAAGCCTCCTTCTCCTCCGACACAACCCTCGACGCAGGCTCAGACCTTTCAATCTCAGTCTCCTCCGCTACAGCCCCAGCCTCGGGTAGAGCAGACCCCGGAGACAGAGGAAGTGGCAGTGGAAGCGGTCGTCGGAGACGAGCCGGTGGACGAGGGGAAGCAGAAGGAGGAAGCCACGTTAGACGCGTAGATAGATGTTCATGATGCATTATATATGATATTGTCTAGCCCAGTCACCACATCCTAATCCTCGCGGTCGAGGAAGGATGCGCCCCGGTCATTGCCGAGCTTGCGCGTGAAATTGTCGTACCACTTCTGGAAGACTGAGAGCGGGATGGGCGTTTGCGGCGTGAGCGGCGCGTCGCCGAAGGAGTGGAGGTAGTTCCACAGCTGGACGTCAGCTACATGTGCGGCGAGCAGCGAGCAGCGAGCTGCGAGAACGGGACTATCCCCCCTCTCTTCTCTTTCCTATTTTTCTCCGGAAAAGTAGAGGCGGCCAGAAAACAGAGCATACGTACATTCTTGACAACTTTCTCGGCAACCTTGCCAACGTCGACCTTGGCTGCAATCTCGGCGCCCTTCTCCCTACTCGCTGCGCGCTGCTGAACCAGCGCGTCGACGGCCGCCAGGGGCGCAATCTCGATTCCGACCTGGGCAGGGCCCTGGGCTTGATTCGTGGGCGGATTGACTTTGTAGATTGCGCTGGGGCGCGCATTCGTCAGTCTGCGGTTAGCTTAGAGACGGAGCACTGCCAGCTGTCCTAGATGCCCCTTATGCTTAGATCGCCAAGGACTGGAGCTGAGATGCTAATACTTCGCCGCTTCGCGGCTCGTCAGACTCACCCTCCCAGCGCAATCCAGTCGTTCGGCGCGTTCGGCCACGCATAGTGTACCGTCGCGCCGTAGCCTTCGGGGAAGGGCGTCCCTGTCAGGAAGACAGTCAGGTGGTGAATCTCATAGGGGTTCTCGAGCAGGAAGACGAAGTGTGTCTCGTCGCTGGATCTGTCAGCTCTTCCGGGGATACTAGGCAGCTCACATCTGCTGGAGATTCGTTTGCCTGTTGTCAGCTGGGGAACTACGAGCGACTGGCTCTAGCTTGGGAAGAGAGTTACTCACACCAATCGGCCCGCAACAATGGCTCCGAACATGCTGGCTGTGAGTCAAGAGAGACAAGAAGGAGTTGCAGGGGATGACTTTTGCTCGGTGTTGTTGAAAGGGGAGCTGGCAAAATCACGGTGATGACCTCACACATTGCGTCTGCCTTCCCTCGGTGGAGGTCATTGTATAAGCGGACCAAGGCGAGCGATTAGCGGAACCAAATCAGGTGCTGCCTGATACCGTCCACCGTCGCTGGTGTCGAGGCGACCATCATCATCAAGCTCGTAGTCGTCAACATCCGCTACCAGCACATCAAAATGGTCGACGCCACGACATCGCCCGAAGAGGCAGAGACCTCTCGCGATGGCCTCCGTCGGATGCAGCGCCTGACCGAAGCGTCGCGCCGCAAAGTCTCCGGCAGGTGAGCTATTCGATAAGGGGCTCCTCAAGCTGACATTGCAGGAGCCTTGCAGCTTTCCACCCGGGCTCGTCGTATCTGATCTACCCGCCCTCTGGGCGGATGGGACGGCACCACGTTATGACTTCCGTGTTTACCGAGTCTGCGCCGCGGTCGATCGCGCTCCCGCCCATCTTCAGCAAATCGGAGATGATGAGCGTGTCGCCTGACGGGGCGTGGCTCACGTCCTTCTTCAACAATGGGCCGAGCGAGAACCTTGGCGTGCCGCGGATCGAGGAGCGGGGAGACTTCATGGTTTTTGCATCGAGCCTGCTCGAGCCCTCGTCGCTGCAGGGCGGATGGCCGACGCTGGCCACTATGCCCCTGTCGTCTCCCCCGCTTGCTGTCCTACACGTCTACCCGCCGCGCACGAAGCTGAGCCCGAGTGGGCAGAAGGCCGCCCCGGGTCTCGGACCCGTCCCGCCCCCGGGACACTTCACGGCGCGCTCCCGGGGACCCAGCATAGTCCTCCTCTCGACCGACCTCATCTACTTCCTGCACCCACACCCGCTGCCCGCGACCGTTGTGCTCGACACGCGAAGCTCGCACGCCGTACCGACCGAGAGCGTCTCGGCCGCTGAGAGCGGGAACGCGGCCCCACTTTCCTGGACGCTGAATGCCCTGCGGTGTCCGCTCGGGATTCGAAGCTACGCGAGTCTGAACAACCCAGGACCTGTGACGAGTTCGGGGACGTACCGAGCTGAGCGCGGGTGGCTTGGCATGGTCGGCGGCAGCGACGCGGTGTGGGCGGCCGTCGAGCGCGACGGCGAGATCAATGTGACGCGCATCGACATTGGTCTCGACAGCAACAACATGCCGTACCTGGCCACGACGCCTTTGCCGGCACTCCCGCACGCGCAGCCCAAGCCGTTCGAGGGCGCGACCTCGCCGCCCCACGCCAGCCTCGAGGAGGTTGCCTTTGTACCCCTCCCCGACGGAGACGGGAGCGAGGGCGTCGGCCTGAGCATGATCTACCGCGACGTGGACATGACGTTTGGCCCGCCGCCCCGCGTCCGCATGCGGTTCGAGTACGTCGAGCTGCGCAAGCGCTCCGTAGCCGTCGTGGACGGGTTCAAGGAGCTCGGATCGGGCGACGACGCCGCGGCGTCGCAGGACTGGGCGCCCTCCGTCGAGTCGAAAACCACCACCGTGTCGCCGGAAGGCACGTCGATCCTGGCCATGACGGTGCTGCCCGACGTGCCGCCGCATACGCTGGCCATGGGCCTCGTGTCGAACAACGAAGGCCTGTTCTTGTCCCACATCAACCTGGCCCCTCATTCTGAGAACGACACGAGCGCAGGCGGCGCGCCGCGGTGGAAGGCGCTCGTGGGCGAGCAGTTCGCCCTCGACCCGAGTGTGGGCAACATCGACCTGGCCCTGATTCCGAGCCAGGGCGTGACGCGCGGCGAGATGGGCCTGGTAGCTGTCGGAGGAGGCGGCTCTCGGCCGCGTCTCATCCCTTCGCCCCGTCTCGGCGCGCCGGCGCACCCCGAGGAATCTCTGAACCACATCGCCGAGCGGTGTGCGCGTTCCATCGAACTCGCCGTCGTGCAAGGCGTAGATTGGAGCGACGCGGTGCGCGCCGCGTTCGCGCTGGTTCCTCGGTCGGAAGCGGGCCCCCTCTCCGCCGCAATCCTGAAGCAGGCGCTGAACCTCTTCACGAAGCACTCGCGGAGCTACGTCCCGCACCTCCTCCGCATCCAAGTCGCAGTGTGGGCGCAAGCCGACGACGGGCGGCGCGCCTATGCAGCCGAGCTGATCCGGCTCGGCGAGGCGTCTCAGATCTTCTTCCTGTGCGGCAACGAGGAAGGAGGCGTGATCAGCTTCGACCTCGACAGTGTCTGGCACCTCGTTGACGTGTTCGAGTGGAGTGTGGCCCTGCTCGGACAGGTGTTCCGGGACGCTGTGGCCGAGAAGGCGTCTGTGGAGTGGAACGGCGCCGACGCCGAGGCCTCGGGTACGAGTCGCGTGCTGTACCTCGTGCACCCGCTTTTGCGGCGGATCGTAGCCCGGCTCGTCGCGCTGTGTGCGGCCTTCGCCAAGTTTGTCGCGCAGCTCGACCGCCCCATTCGGCCCCCAGAGAGCGCAATGATGCTCACACGGTGTCCGCAGGCGACTGCCGTTGCGCAGACGCGCGTATCAGACGCGACTGCGACGGAGGGTGTGGACCTGAACGCCTGGGGCGAGGTGCTGGGCAGTCTGTCCAAACTCGCCCGTCCAGGCGACGCAGAGGTATGCGCCTCCCTCCTCGGGCTGGACATTGCGCCGCTCGCGCCGCAGCTCGGCCCCGTCCTCGCCGCTCTCCCTGCGCCCTCGGCGCTCTTCGAGGCTCCCGCCGTGCAGCCTGAACGCGACGGCGCTAGTTTCGCCCAGGTCGGCGAGATGCCCACTGCCGTTTGCGATCGGTGCGGGGCACGCACGGTGCTGGCCGTTAGCAACGTCATGCGCACTGGGCCGGCGTCGCCTTGGTCCGCCTGGAGGAAGAATTGGAACATGAACTGCGTGTGTGGTGGGACTTGGGTCCGGATCCCGCTCGAGATCCCGCACAACATTAGGCGGTGAACGGTGAGCGCAGCGAACCGCGAGTCCCAACCCACAGTATGAGTTAGCCCACATCGGTTCGACTCATATCGGTCCAGTAGATAACTAGACGACGATGCAGCATGCAGCACTCCAATGGACACGTTACGCAGTGGATATCTCTGGGGTATGGCTAATCTACAAGGTGTGGAAGTTCAGGTCTATGCGTAAGGAAGGAAGAAAAGGTCATTTGACTCGCCTCCGTTTCAACAAGGGCCGTTTCGAGAGGCGGCGTTTCAGGGACCCGCTCTGCTAGAGTTTCTGGGCCTTGAGGCTGTTCACGAGCCCGGCGAGGCCGAACCCGGAGCTGCTCCGCGAGGGAGCGCGCTCGCTCTGCACGCCTGGCGTGGAGGGTTTGGGCGTCGCGGGCGTCTGGGGCGTGCGCGGTGTACTTTGCGCCGGGCTGGGTGTTCGGACATCAGCCTGGGCGGCTTGGGCTGAAGCCTGGACGGCCGCGGCGGCGGGCACGGCTGGCGCGGCGCCGGCTGCCGCTGCTCCGGCCGAGGTGGCTGGGGCAGAGGCGGGGCTGGCCTCGCTGTCGGCCGTGGCGTAGCCCTCCTCACTGCTGCTGTCCGAGTCGAGGGGCTCCTCCTTCTTCCGTCCCGCTGCCTTGAGAGCATTGCTGGCCATGATGACGTTGAGCGCGTCGCTCCACTTCTTCCGTGGGTTGAAGTTCTCGCGAATGTTCGAGCTCAGGTCATAGCCTGCCGAGCGCGCCGCGTCCTCCTCCTTCATTGCGCCTCGGCTCGCCACGATCCATGGGTGCTGCAGCGCTTGCGCGGCCGTCAGGCGCTGCTTCGGGTCCACCACCAGAAGCTTTCGGATGAAGTCCTTCGCCGGCTCAGAGACGTGCTTCCAGAACCGGTCGTGGAAGGTTACTTTCCCTCTAGTCGTTTCCCGGATCAGCTCGGCCTTGTCGTCGCTCCGGAACGGACTGTACCCGCACAAGAGCGTGTACGCGATCACGCCCGTGGACCACAGGTCGACAGGGTAGGAGTGCGGCTTGCCGAGCAGCACCTCGGGGGCGGCGTAGCCGAAGGATCCGGCCATCGAGGTGATCTCCTCGTCGGGCTCGAGGTGCTTCGCGATACCGAAATCGGCAATGACGATGGGAGAGACAGGATCCCGCGTCTTAAAGAGAATGTTCTCCGGCTTCAGGTCGCGGTGCACGATTTGGTGCGCGTGCAGGTACGCAGTAGCCTCGAGGACTTGTCTGCGGGTCAGCTAAGAAGCTCCTCAATCAACTTTTAGCGGACACCCCACTCTCGGCGCATAACTACTCACCGGATACAATCTCCCGCGTCCTTCTCCGTGAACCGCCCCCGCTCCGTAATCCGATCGAAGAGCTCACCGCCGATCGCAAGCTCGAACGCAATGTAGTACTTGTCGCGGCTCTCAAAGTGGTCCCACACGTGCACGATGTGCGGGTTATCCAGATCCTTGAGCACGTTGATCTCGTCCATGATCGTCGACGGGTCCTTAACTAACTTCTTGGGGACGATTCTGAAGTCAGCTTGATATGACGCTTCGCATAGCTGCGCGGAAAGCGGGAAAGCATGTGCTCATGGCTGCGGCTCGGAGGCTGGACAGCGGCGAGGAAGCGGACGCAGCGAGGTGAAGGGCGGGCGTCACGGCGCAACGTTACCGCAGCGGGGCGCACAGAGCACAACAACCGACCGCAGCAGTGACGTCTCCGTGACGTGCCGCGTCTCGAGTTGAGTCACCGATCCCATCCCCGCAGCCTGACGATTCGACGCCCAGCACACGTCTGTGACCACCGCCGACGCTCGTGCCGCCACCGCCGGCTCCGGCACTGCTCACTCACTTGAGAGCGACCTCCTTCTCCTCGCCTCCTGGCGGGCGCCACGTCGCGCGCACGACCTTGCCAAACCCGCCGCGGCCCAGGAGCTCCTCGAGGCTGTACTCCTTCTTCTTCTTGAACGACTTGGGCTGAGAAAGCAGCACATCGCGCAGGTCGGACGTGATGCCCATGGCGGCTGGGAGCTTCCGAGAGAAGCGAAGTGAGCGTGCGGGAAGGAGGAAGCTAGGGCTCGGGAGCGCGGGGGTTATGGGTGGAAGGGAAGCGGAGTGAGCAAGTCGAGCAAGTAATCGAGATAGCGAGCGATCTGGCCGATTGGGTTCGCAAGTAACTGAGATGAGTGAGAGGAAAGAGAAAGGTGTAACGAAGAGTGAAAGATGTAAAGTGTGGGAGGAAGACGGGATGCACGGCAGTTGCTGTGCACTGTGCCGCTGTACCGGTGTAATTGCGTGAACTATCTCTTGACCACCCGACGCACCGAGGCGAGATTATCCAGGGTGACCTCACCGCTGATAATGGTCGGGTGACGGGGTGAGGCGGCTCGAATAGGCCAGGGTTATTAGGGAATTAGGGAATGTTTGAAGGGATCACTTGGAGCATCCACCAGGCCCGCCCAAAACCTCAAGACACTTGAATTAGAACGCCCAGTGGCTCCAGTGGTGCGGGGACGTGTCTGCCTTTCTGGTGGATCTGGGAGGGGGACAAGTCGACGCCCGTCAAGTGTGCTCTCTGCGCAACAAAGGAGAGATGCGCATGCTCTTTGGTCGTGCGACACTCTTCCACTAGGGAACCGAGTCAGAGAGCCTCGGGACTATGTTCGACCAGTCAACGCCGCCGCGCATGACCACTGCACGATCCGCGCTGAAACTGGTCCACAGCCTCTTCGCTTCAGATAGCTTTTTCCATGATTTCCGCTAGGACGTGCGTGCTTCAGAGGAACTAGCCCGTAAGCCTTCATCTTCCCGTCCTCCTGCATTCCAAGGAGATACACACCACGTTACTCCTGCAATTAGCCCGCGATATAGGCTAGCTAGCCATAGCAAACCATTCATCTCCCGAGCCATTCAAGAGTGGCAGGCACAGGAGGAGTGTGCTCGTCCACCACAACCATCGACAACCTCAACTCCTCGACCCTCTTCGTGCACAGGACTGTCCGGAAAATGCAAGAATCCATAACATGACTATATGATATATGACTGCAACAACTCTAATAGATACGCTGAACGCTGATCCCTTTTTTACGGTAATACCTGTACCACTAAATCTTTTTACGCAATACACGAGTTCTCGTAGAACGTCTTGCCGCTCTTGGTCGGCGCAATGATGCCGGCGCGGACGGTCCAGTCGCCGAAGCGCTCGCCGTCGTTGCGCTCCTTGGCCCATCGTCGGATGAGGTCGCCCATGATCTCCAGGATCTCGGGCTCGGTCACGCTCTCCTTGAACGGCTTGTTCAGGCGCTCTCCGTTGTACCCTCCACCGAGAAGCATCATGTACGAGCCGGGCGCCTTGCCGACAAAGGCGACCTCGGCGGCCCACGGACGCGAGCATCCGTTCGGGCATCCGGACATGCGCATGACGAGCGCGTCGTGGCCGACGCCGGCCTCCTCGCAGATCTTCTCGACCTTGTCGATGAGGACGGGGAGGTAGCGCTCCGACTCGGCCATGGCAAGACCACAGGTCGGGAAGGCGACACAGGCCGAGGACGAGAGACGGAGACCAGAGTGGTTGATGTTGTCGAGACCCCACTTGGCAAGGAGACGCTTGATGTTGGGCAGGTCGGCGTCGTCGACGTCGCAGAGGATGACGTGCTGGTTGGCAGTCAGGCGGAACATGCCCTTGTGGACCTGGGCAATCTCGCGGAGACCGTCCTTGAACTGGTGCTGGGCAGTGTTCTCGACACGACCGTTCTCGATGAACAGCGTGAAGTGGTTCTTGCCGTCCTGTCCCTTCTCCCAGCCGAACTGGTCGAGGTTCGAGTCAAAGGTGTACGGCTTGGCGGGCTGGAAGGGCTTCTTCATGCGCTTCTCAACCTCAGCCTTGAAGGTGGGGACACCGAGGCGGTCGACAGTGTACTTGAGACGAGCGTTCTTACGGTCCTGACGGTTACCGAAGTCACGCTGGGTGAGCATGACAGCCTCAGCAGCGAGAACACCGTCCTCAGGAGTGACGAAACCAAGAACGTCAGCAAGACGAGGGTACGTCTTCTTGTTGGAGTGGGTGACACCCATACCTCCACCGACGGAGACGTTGTAACCGATGATCTTGTCGTTCTCAACGATGGCGATGAAGCCGAGGTCGTTGGTGAAGACGTCGACGGCGTTGTCAGGGGGAACGGCGACGGCGATCTTGAACTTTCGGGGAAGGTAGTAAGGGCCATAGAGGGGCTCCATGTCCTGGACAGCGCCAGTGAAGACGGGCTTCTTGTCGAGCCAGATCTCGTGGTAGGCGGTGGTCTTGGGCAGGAGGTGCTCAGAGATGTCGGTGGCGAACTGGTAAGCGTCCTGGTGAACGTTGGAGATGTTCGGGTTGAAGGAGCAGAGAACGTTACGGTTGACGTCACCACAGGCAGCAATGGTGTCAAGCAGCGAGCGGTTGATGGCCTGCATGGCGGGCTTGAGGTGAGCCTTGACGACACCGTGGAACTGGAAGGTCTGACGGGTCGTGAGCTTGAAGGTGCTGTTGCCGTGCTCGTCGGCGATGCGGTCCATGTGGAGCCACTGCTCGGGGGTACAGACACCACCGGGCATACGGACACGGATCATGAACGAGTAGGCAGGCTCGAGGCCCTGGGCGGCGAGCGACTCGCGGATGTCACGGTCGTCCTGCATGTAGGTACCGTGGAACTTGGTGAGCTGCTGGTCCGAGGCACCGATGGCACCAGTGCTCTTGTCGGCGAGACCCTCGAGAATGGTACCACGGAGGTAGTTCGAGGCAATCTTGATGTGCTCGTTGGCAACGACCTCCTCGGCCTCCTCGATAACGTCGACCGAGTCGACGCCAAGGGCCTTCCAGAGTTCAGCCTCCCAAGGCTTGTAGCCCGTCTTCCATCCGTCGGCGTCAGAGTCGTCACCGAGACCGAGGGGAATGAGCTCAGTGACGCCAAGGCCGGTGAGCTTGGCAAAGAGGTCCTTTCCGGGCTTGTTGTAGTAGATGTAGTCCTCCTTGCGGGGCCAGTACTTGGAGTCACCCATGGCGAAGACCGAGATCTTGGTGTCGGCGAGCTTGGACTTGACCTCGGCAGCGTCGACCTTGGCGAGAGCCTTGTGGAACTCACGGCCATTCAGGGGCGACTCGCCCTGACCGGCGGTCGAGGTGACGATGACAACGTTGGCCTCCTCGGCGAGGTTGCCAATGATGTCCTCGGCGATGGAGTCAAGGACACGAAGCGAGGCAGAAACACCACGCATCTTGGCGCGAGAGACGAGCTGCTTAGCGGTCTTCTCAGCGTTGCCACCGTCAGAGGCGAAGAGGACGAGGAGGCCAGGGCCGTCGAGGGCGTTCAGGAGACGGTCGTAAGCCTCGCGAGCCTTCTGCTTGCGGGCGGCGGCGAGGTCAGTGCCCTTCGAGCCGGTAACCTTGGGGTCGATCGCGGGCTCAGCGCGAGTGAGCTGCGAGAGGTGGCTCTGGCGGTCGAGGAACTCAGCAAGAGCGTTCTTGATGTGGGGAGCGTCGAGAGTGAAGCGCTTCTCGTCGGCCGCGGTAGGATTCCAGCGGAAGAGGGGCCACCAGCCGCCAGAGACAGCACGCTTAGTCTCGCGGAGGCGCTCAAGAGGGCCGACCTTGTCGTTGGTGCCAATGGTGGCACCGTCCTCCTTCTCACCCCAGGGGAGGTAGGCGAGGACGAGCGAAGGGCCGCTATAGGCCTCAGCCTCGCGCATGGCGTTGATGACGTTGGCGTAGTCGGCGAACACAGCGACCGACGAGACGTAGACGTCTCCCAGGTTGAGGGCGTAGAGGGCGAGGTCCTTCTTGCGCTCGCGCTGCTTCTCGGCGAGGGGCGAGAAGGGCGAGGGCTGGGTCTCGTAGACGAGGAGGTTGATGTCGAGGCCAGAGACGAGGGCGTGGTGGAGGCCAGACGAAGCGAGGTCAGCAGCCCACGAGTTGGAGATGACGATCCAGAGGGCAGTCTTGGTCCAGTGACCCTTCTTGCCGAGAGCAACGAGCTCAGTCTCGTCCTCGTTGGCACCCTGGCCGAGGGCCTGGGCGGCCTTCTCGCCAGCCTCGGCGCTCTTCTTGTCGTCCTTGACGAGGAGCCAGTCAGCAAGGGCGGTGTGGACCTCCTTGCGGGTGTCGGGGTTCTTCAGGACCTTCTTGACAAGCTCAACAAGGCGCTCACGCTCAGTGCGGATAGCGACAGCCTTACCGAAGGCGTAGAGGGGGGAGGTCGACTCGTTAGCCGACAGATGAGCGGGGTCGTTCAGGATCTCGAGGGGGTGGGGAGTAGCCTCCAGGAGCGAGGTGTAGGTCGACTCGGCGGAGGGAACGGTGATCGAGCTGGAGGGAATCTCGGGGATAGCCGAGGGGGATCCAATGCGCGAAACAGGAGCGCTGGAGGCGATGGCAGCATCGAGCTGGCTGATAGCCTTGGGGGAAGCGACAAGGACAGAGCGGATAGTAGCCTCCTGTCCGTCGAGAGCGTCGACGACGGCAGCCCAAGCAGAGCCGTACTTGCCGTTACCACCCTCTACAACAACGACCTCCTTGGCCTTGACGCCCGCAATTTTCTGGCTGTTGAGAGGGGAAGCGAGGACGATGTCAACGACGCCCTTAGACTTGAGCGAAGTGGGAAGGAAGTTGAGAACGGCGCGGTCACCCTCAGCAGAGCCGGAGAGAACGGGCTGAGCGCGGCGGGTGAGCTTGAGGACCTCGAGAGAGGCGGCGTCAAAGGCCTTGGGGAGAGCCTCAGCGAAGTCTCCCTCGAGCTCGAGAGGAGCTGAGGAAAGCAGCTTGGAGGCGTCGACCTCCTCGACCTTGCCCTCCAGAGCGGCGGGAGCGACAAAGTGGTAGACAATCACATCGTTCGACTTGGCGAGACGCTGGGCGATAATGGCGTGGTCATAAGCCTCCTGGGCAGTGCGGGAGATGATCGAGACAGCCTTGGGCGAGCGAGGAGCCTGAGCAGACTCAGCGCCAAGAACGTGAACGACGCCGGTGGAAGCGCTCGGGAGCGACGGGAGGAAGGTCGAGTTGGTAAGGAGCTGGGTGTCCTTGGGGAGGGGAAGGTAGGGGTTGAGCTTGTTAACTTCGCTGGGCACACCGGGGACGGGGTGAGCCACGGTGGGCGCGAGTCGGACGAGCGAGGCAACGAGGGACATTGTGTCTGGCAAAAAGTTAGCCGTGGTACCGGGCTAGCGATGAAGCGGGCTGCTCACCTATCCTACAGCCCTAGCTAGCTCGTGAGTGTCCGAAAGGTTGGTTTTGGAGAGAGTAAAGAGAAAAAGAGAGAGAGGAACAAAGGGGAAGCTGGTACAAGGGCGGAAGAGGTCGTGAAAGAAATAGGAAGGGAAGGAATGGTGAGCCCCGAAATGCGAGCAAGGACGCCTGCGTTGTGCAGCAGGCTGTTTCGGTTTCGTTGTGGTCACGACAGATGGCAGACCAAGGAGCGTCGTTCGGAATCGCAGCGCTGTGAGTGGTCGGGACCGGCCATTTGGTGCACCTGATTCGTGTTGGGTAGGGCTGCCGGTCCACCGGAGGTCTAATCAACGACTGGTGTAAGATGACGTGCTTATCCGACACCTAAAAATCACGACACCGCCCTTCGCCACCGCCAATATCTCGAATTCGTACCCTGCAACGGCCATAAGCGACAATCACGTGACACCTCTGTCTAATCAGCGCATTAACATCGCTTATGCCTCCGCACTTATTCACCGCTAATCAGTTCTAATCGATCTGACATTTCCATTAGACGCGGTCTCATTTGTCGAGTGCAGACCCTGCGTGCACCAGCCTGCAAGCTGCCCGCCCACTCTGCCCGCGCAAAAAGTCCAGCCTCGCCCAGCTCATCTCGGATGAATCCTAACTCTACCCTTTCCCGACTCGGGTAGGAGGAGACTTGGAAACAACCTCCAGCGTCCTCGACGCCAGCCTTGCACCTTGGTCTTGGCTTTTCCACACAGCAGCATTCTACTCTGGAACCCGCCATTCCCGTCGGATGCTGACCTTCTAGAATCCAGAACCCCTTCCCAACCCTCCTTCATCTTCCCTGCGGGGAACAAGCGCACAAGGATGCCGAGAGCTAAGCGGTGTCTTGTCAACGGGCGCAACACTTGATGGCTGTTGCAGCATGGTAACTCCACTGGCTTGCCGTAGTCTTGATGACAACGTTCATCTCAGACATGACGACAGCATCGCATTCGGACTGGAGTGGACGGGAGAGTGAATCGGGCAGGCGCCAGATTTCGGAGGATTGTGGGGCACTCGGCGTGATAAACATGAGGCGTCAGGTTCGGGCATATTATCTCTGTCACGCTCACGGACCCCGATAGCACGGACCCATCGCATCCATCGTCCGTGAGAGGGCATAATTACGAACTGCATGCTCCACGCCAGGCGTGCCTCGTTCTCTGCAGAGCAACGTGCTCGAATTGCCTCGCTGACGAAACCATCTGATCGGAATCGATGTCGGGGCTGGAATCAATTCTGAAACCCACCCGCTGCTATCAAGCCACTTCCGTCCTGCATCGGGAGCTGTAGCAGTGCTAACTCTCCCATTAACAGAGTTCGGGAGACCACCAGGCTCCATGCATACTCCACATCGCTGACGTCGTCTTCGTCCTCTCACTCGGCGATGAAGCCATGTTGCAGAGCGATGATCCTCCGCAAGATCGGGGCCCTCAGGGTGCCCCGTCTTCCTCTTCGGAATGCGATCTATGGGCGATGGCGTAGAAGTACGCGCGCTATGGTGGCGGCGCCACGGCGCCTGGATTGACCAATCTCTCGCTTTCGCTGACCGATCAGTCAGCCGATCATTTGAACAGCATGATAGCAGCCAACAGTCGGCCGGTAGCGCCGGTCGGCCGGTCCGGAACGTCTGCGCAGTCACACACAGACACCTCCACCTTACTTCTGGAGATCTTCCTCGCCGTCCTGACAACTCTGTTACGTGTTCATCCATCACCTGCCATTGCCACCTGCCTTACCCGCACTTGACTAAAGTTCGAAACGTTCTCCAAGCACAAAGCTACCCGTCCAGCACTCCACTTACCGAACACGCAGTGCGACAGTGGCCGCCCTCTCGCTGCTCCTTCCACTCCAGCAAAGCTCTGCCAGCCCCTCTGAATATCTGTCCGCTTTAAGGCGGTGAAAGAACTCACCTTCCCCGCTCACAAACTCTTACGCATTCGTGCTTGCCTTACTCCCGTATTGACCGCAACTGCTCACGTGAGGTACCGCTTTCCAGCAATACGAGGGATGGTGAGTGGGACGGCGAGATGTTCATACCGCAGTCAAAGGGAATGATGGCCAGAGGGAAGACAGATTCGCCAAATGCTCAGCTAGCAAAGTTGTCTCGGGCTCACCCCGCTTGTCACCGGGCCTCTACTTCGATCTACGGCCGATGACTACAGCCACCACCATGCAAAAGCCCATCGCCTCCTCAAGCGTTGAACGGCGCATCAGTCAAGAAGTGGAGTCGGCCAAACCCGAACTGACTTCGAGTCTACCACGACCGTATCGATACGAAGCCAGCACACTGAGGCTGTGGAGCTTCTGACACGTGAGTTACTCTTCAACCTCTTTATTTTTGTACGCGCGGGAAGCAATTGCTGCGGCTGCTGCGCACTGAAGACAGGCAGAGCACACGACCGCCAGCACCAATCCCCAGAGACTGCGCTCTTATCCGCAGCAAGTGAGCAGTCGCTGGCACGACTGCCCCAACCAGGAAGTTCTTGGCAGAGCTGCCAACTCCAGTATGCTCGAGCGTTATCTCGGCTCCGTGGCGAGGCGCACAGCGGCTGCGCAGGAATGCCAAATACGCAACCTGACCTCACCCAACGTAAGGCGACTGAATGGACCGCTGCATCTGGACAACGAGCTGACGTGAAGGTCGTGGAGCATCTGTGCGACTGCCCATCAGTTCGCTTTGACGCCCACAGCATGCTGATGACTGCGCACTTCGCAGTGTGTAGAGCTTGACGAGGATAAGCATAAAAGTCGACCAGAGCACGAACACTCGCTCGCCACTGCGCCCGTGTCTGCATATCAACGGCCCTCCCGCCAGGTTTCTTGACGTCTCGTCGCCCTTCGTTTGTCGAGAGCGGGTCACCTACGCACGACGCCTATCACTCCCCGACCGATTGATGTTCCTTCGTCGTCGCCACTGCCCCTGGAGGTCTGACTGCACCACTCCCTGGGCGGTTCACTCCATTCTATCTACGATCATCTCGCCACTTCGACCTTCACTCCTCACTCAGAAGACTTTCGCAACGTCCAACAGATTGGGAGCGTCACCGGTGTCACGAGAAGTAGGTGGAAGTGGACATGACCCAGCATGATGTTGTCAAAGCGAGGTGGAGACGGGCGAAAACGAGGCAGGACACCCACTTTATCGACGTCCCTTCCGGAAACTGCTCAGATGGCACATCTGCACCCGCCCCGACAACAGCAACGACCTCGCCTCACAACGGTACTTGGGCTGTAAAGGAGGGCATCGTCGGCTGCCGCGGAAGCCGAGAACAACCTCGGGAACACCCTTCCACAGAGTCGCTTAGAGTCCCGTGCTCTCCAGATCATGGCGGAAGATGGACCCCATGCATAGTTTGTTGGCAACAAGCAAGGGGGTGGGTGGACTTATGCTTAGTCGGTGAGTGAATAACCTTCACACCCACTCTTCAAGTGACGCAGTCCTCTGAGACGATTGTTAGCGGGAAGTGTACTCACGCTGTCGAGTCCCGCAGATAACCGCGATCAAGTGCCACTCTAACATTGGCTGCATGGACCAGCGGGGATCGGCCGACGACGTAGGCGACGGGAACTCAAGACCTGGACCAGACCGTACGACGGCCATAACATCACGCCGGATCCAACACCTTAGTGCTCCAGGCCGCGACCCTCGCTCAAACCCAAACTCGCCCGAACGCACCAAGGACAATACTCCACTTCAAAAACGGACACTTCCCCGGCCGGCCGGTCGCCGATGCTGCACTGATACGACGTCGCAAGAACATGGTTTCGCTGCGGGAGAGTTTACGCTCGTTCCGCATCGAGTGAATTGACCATGTTGCTATGCGGAAGAGAGATTGTTCTCATGAGCTTCGATGGGCACGAGCTAGTCCGTTACTCTGCTCACATGAGCAATTCAATCACGGTTCCGTCTGTCCACGACTCTCGACTTGGAGGTCAATTGACGCACCCGCGATTATGCAAGACCATGGCGGCGGTCATCATTCCACTGGACTAGGATGGAAGTACGAAGTACGCCTCACCATGACGCTCATCGCAATCTCGTAACACGGCCAACCCGTGAATACGACCGGGCATGCAGGCGTTTACCGCCATGTCTACCGATCTCCGCCCACCTCGGCGGTGAAGCGAGTTATCGCGGCTTATCGTCATATCGCCCGTTCGGAGAATGGGCTCGAGGCCAGGACCCTGAGTTGGACCTGGGTCGCTCTTCCCTTTTGCCCTGGGCGTATCCTAACGCCCAACTCTAAAACCTTACGAGAGCACCTGTGAGCCAAGGGAATTGCGGGAGACTGAATTGTCGAGCAGCAGTCATCAAAACGGTTCAGTACGAAACCATTCAGATTGGACGAAGCAGCGGTCATGCAAGCTTGGGACGTGGGTCGGCGCGGAAAGAGAAGGGGAACCGCGAGTTACAATCGATGTAGGTGAAGCTGGCGCTGCCGGTTTGTTGGGTGAGGATGGGATCAGGGCTGCTCTGTTGATGTTGGGTCAGTGAACCGCTGTGTGGAGCTGGCTCCCCGCAGATCCGAGTCACAGCAGGATCAGCGGGAGATACACAACTCCACTCGCTGCTCCGGAGTGCACACATGTTCCGGATCGGACAGTCTCTTTCGCTGCGTTCAGAGTATTCCTCGCACTGCTCTTGGCATTCATCGGCCGCCATGCTGCACAGGGATACGGAAGTGGTCGTTGTTTACTTTCTGAAGTGGGACGCAGCTCGGAACGAGCCATGCTCAACCGCACCAACCGCGATCTGTCGGGGTACAGTGGATAATGCCGATATGTCTAAACCGCTCCTGAGTTCCTGGGACCTGAAAGCCGGACACTCTGGGCTGGGCGACCAGGGCCATGCACTACGGGTCCAAGTGAGGGTGAGTGGACAGATCCCTGCTACCGCATGCCGTTCCAGCTGACGTGCAGTTCCGTCTCCGCACTCCCACAAGCGAGTGCATGCCTGCCGTCCATCGGACAGACCCAACGTCGCTTGACGCAACTCCCCTTCATCTGCGTTTGAGCCACATGCCCTACTGCCATCCTGACAGTGTTACGTTCAGACGGACGAACCTCGATACGTTCAGCAGGGAGTCTCGCTTTGATTTTCATGTGAGGCACTCGCTCCCGCGCCCACTCCACCGAGACCGGATCTGCTCGGCGACGGCAACACGAGGTGGACACTGATCGCTGCGAGTGCCGCTCGTGCTGCCCGATGGAGTATCGAGATTGACATCATCCCGACCGAGGCCGGCTAGTGTGGACTGCATGTGCGCAAACATTCCCATCAGTCTTACATTGTTCTCACATAACGAACGGTGCAGTGTGACTCGTGGTGTCTGCGTGAGGATGGCATGTGAGAAGCGAATTTCGGTGTACGGCCTCGTCACTACCGCAGAGAAGCGGCGAATCTGCGATCGACGGACCCGCGCTCGGAGTAGCGTAAAGACACTGGGTGCGATGCGCATCGTTCGACATCTCTGGCATTTAGGCGCAGAGACAGTCACGCTCGTTCGACTCTGCGGATAGCCTGGAATTTCGGGAAACACAAACATTACGAGTTCGTCATGTATCCGCGAGCCAAGCGTGCGTAAGCTTGTCCAAGACGTGCCCTCGTTCGTCGCTCGACATGACGCCGACATGACTTGGTGTGATCCGCAGGGGGTGTACCATGACCAAAGCACTGGTACTGTCTCAAGCGGGAGTGCGTTGGCTTCTACATTTGCCCCAGAAGTTGCTCGTCACCCACGAGAGGTCTGATGTCATGCTACCCGCTGCCGTCGATGGGAGGTTCTCTCGTCAGCGAGCGGAAACAAGGTTGGCGCTTGTTCGTCACTTGTAATGTGGAGACATGAGGCGGGGAGGACCCACAACTGCCTCCCAGGCGTGCGTGCACCGACTTCTGTTCCCAGAAGCACGCGCGCTAGCCGGATAGAGCAGGTGTCCGAACTCTGTTTCAGCTGTTGGTCGTGGGACGCCTTTGCATAAGATGAGCGCGGAAGCTCTCGGCGGCAACGTAAGGCCCAATTGGGTGCGGGTTGAGATTACGGTCAGGTGTTGTGGGCCAAGTCTGGGCCAGCTGGGCTTTTTGAGCCGCCAGAACCCGGAATCGCCCGGATGAAAGCTCGCATGCAGATTAGCAGGATTCTGCAGCAATTCAGTCATTACATCACCCTGCTAGCCGTGCTGGTGTGAGCCGCTCCAAAGACGCTGTGGGTGGACCACTCCCGCGATACCGTCACTTACGTGACTGTCTTTTTGTTTGGTTCCCGCTTTCGTGTTCGATGCCTGCAGCCTTGCCTGGACCCGATCAGATCTCTGACCGATGACACCTCCACTCGCTCTACCTCACCCGCTTGGTCCGCTGACGCTCGTGCAATATCCGAAAGGACCAAACACACAAGATTAAGCGCAGACAGGCGATGCATAGATGAGAGAGCGGGTATGGCTGTCGGTCAAGTGAGCGAGCCCAGGAGTGAGACATCGTTAGTCGCCGTTAGAGTTTCTGGCGCTATGCCAAGGTGCAAGCTTTGAGCTACGATGCAGTTCTGCCTGCCTGTAGCAGTTAGACTGTCATCTAAGCGTCATGACCAAGTTGTGGGGACGAGTTCTGACGTATGATCGTATGAGCGTGAGGAGCTTCTACCCGATCCACTCTCGCCAGTGATTGGCTCCCGATTCTGTTGTTGCCAGAAGGAAACAATTGACGCGGAACTACTCACCCACGCCAGAAGCCAACATGCATGTTCTGTGTCAATCTGTGTCTGGGAAACAATTCATGTCCAGTGTTGCCGCCGAGTGGGCCACGAGCTTCGCTTGTCCTTAGTCTGGGAGTTGATGGGATGTTGTACGGCAGCCTTTGGTGCTTGCGTGGTCTTGGCATTGCAAGAGCCGGTCGCATACCGCTGCTCACCGGTCGTGTGTGTGGGGCAACAGCACCATCCTCGAGCGGTCGGCGAGATATCCGGGCTGGAGTAGATCGGGCGGGACGATCGCATTTGCCTGTGCGGTTAGGCAGAGAGGTCTGTGCTTTGCCGCAGACGAGAGGAGCCGTTTCCCCTTCTATTCTGCTTGTCTCCACTGGAGTCGGAGGCAGCCCGGCCAGCCCTGGTCGTGAGGCTCCCTCGGTGCATTGAATTGACGAGAAGTTCTGAGACGATTCATGAACGAGGAACGCAAGCAGGGCCTTACACAGGGAACGCTCAGGTTGTGCCAGGGAAATGGACGCTTTCCGCCTTACAGCATGCCAATGTCGGCCAGGCACGCCGTCATCTGCCTCATCTCGCGATAGCGGGCGACGACTTGACGTAACCCGAATCAATTATCTCGACGGTCCCATCTGGACGAGGTAAACTGGTGAGGTATACGGAACAGACCCGCTGGACTGGATCCAGCCCGGAGGAAGCACGGCTTGCTGAGTGTCGGGCGCCATCGATGGGGGCCGCTGGCCGTATCGGATCTGAGGACAATGTGGTCCTTACAGCCGGATCAGGCGAGGCAGCTCCCGCGAACAGTCCTCAGGTGCAGGCGAAGCGATATCCTGGAGAGGGAAGTAGACCGCATCGGATCTGAGGAGGTCTAGTTGTGGCCTGGGTCATCTTGCGATGACCTGCAGGATCGAGCAAGAACGACATGAGGTTCCGCATGGACCTGGGGCGACAGGTGTGACCTCAAGACGGGAACGAGATCGGGGATCGTGTCGCCGTTGATGGGGTTGCAGGCGTTACGCCTGCGCCAGAGAAAGAGCAGAGACCTTTGTTGTGACCGTCTCGTTAACCGGGTGAAAGAGCAGAGGCGCCTTGTTGTTGTCCTCTGCTCCTAGCCTTGCTGATCGCTACTTGGCGACATCGAGTCCCACCTGTGATTCGTGTATATAAGCGGCGTCTCTGGCGTCCTCAATCCCCATCCAGCAACAGCTTCTTCCTCCTCTTCGCCTCCTCATACCACATCACACACCGGCAATGAAGTTCCTCTCCCTTCTGGCTCTTGCCGGCTTTGCCTCCGCGGCGACCCTTAAGGTCAAGCGCGACGACATCGACGCCTCTGGCGAGCTCATCCTTGACTCGCTCGCGCCCAACTCCAAGTTCACGATCGGCGGCAAGGACTACTACTCGAGGGGTGTCGAGCAGGGCACGAACGTGACTGTCTTCCAGCAGGGTGGCTCCTACTACTCGCTCGAGTTTGCCCAGGGCCCCAAGGTCGACAACATCAAGGTCGGCTCGAACGGTGTCTGCGAGGGCTGCCGCGAGGACGCCGGCTCGTCGATCACCCGCGACGACAACGAGCTCATGGAGCGTGACGGTGTCGACCCTGCGGACCACGAGAAGCGCTTCTTCCTCCTCGCCCTCTTCGCCGGTATTGTCAACTTCAAGCTCAGGCTGCTCAACCACGTCGTCTCGCACTTCACCTACGGCTGCTTCAGGAACTACTACCCCCCGATCTACATCCACCGTCCTCACGGCGGCGGCCACGGCCACGACTGGTGCGGCGTCGACCACAACGGCTACATCCACTGGCCCAACGTCCACATCGGCTGCTCCAACGGTCTCGGCGGCCACTACGTCGGCTGCACCGACGGCGGCATGCAGCTCTGGCGCTGGCAGGACGGCTCCATCTGCCCCATCTACGTCCGTCGCGGCCGTCGCCACAACGGCTGGAGCAACGGCCGCTACCACAGCTGGTGGTACCGCTCGATCCAGGAGAACCCTGCCGCTGAGGAGTAAGCTCCCTTTCGGATCTCCGCGCCCTGTGCCCGACCCCGGAGTCCGGACCAGTCTGCAGAACCCCGGCCATCGGTTTCGATCATAAGACGCAATGTACCAACAAGCCCACAATCATATCAATTTACATGGCCGCCTCGAGTTGCCCTCCGGCAGCCAACGGCGGTCGCTGCTAGGACAGTTCCAAACAGTAACTCTTTTGAATGTAACAATTCTTAATACCACTGCTGCACTTGTGACTAACCGATGCGCATACTGATATGCTCTGATTGGAAGGGAAGATCCAGAATATTCCGATGATTGACATTCGATATACAGCTTATTGTTTAAGCTTAACGATAAATTGCCACTGTCGAATGTCTAAGCTTGGCCGCACTAGGTCGCCGCACCCGCCTGGAATGGGAGACACGGCGGTGAGTTGCGGGTAGGCTCCTCACAAATGCGCAACTCATGTTACAACGAATGCAATGCACTTGTTTCTCGGATGCAGGACCAGGGTGCCGGCTTGGCTGGGAGTAACCTGCATCCGACGCCGCACGTCCTCGCCCGACCTCGAGTCAAGGTAGAACATTGCCCCGTGGTCTGCGTGTCCATCGGATGCGCAGGTTCTACCATACGTATGCCAACTTTGGAAGAGTCCAGTGCGATGAACTACGAACCTGGAACCGGGCATTTCATGCGAAGGACGTACATGCCAGTCTGCGATTCATCACTTGTGTGGCATGCTGTCAGTTTCTGTCCTGTGTCTTCGCCGTGGCAGCCGGCCCTGTACCGGAGGTGTTCACGCAGCAGGCTGGTCTAGCTCGGGCATAAAGGTGTATAAGGTCTGGGTGTGCAGGTAGGCTCGGCAGGCTTCCAAGATATTAGCACTGGGACATGACGGATATGAATCAGGCTGGAAGGTGAGGTCCTCGCCGGGGTTCATTCATGTCGAGGTCGGAGACAGCCTGTACTAGATTCGTGCTTTCTCACGGGTGCCCCTTCACCGTAGCCGGAGTTCCAGAAGCTCTATGAGTTCCAAGTCCAAGTGCTCTACGAGTCAGCCTCCGCGTTGGAGACGGCCCGTCCTAGTTTCATCCTTTCCCACGGGCAACCACTGCCTCCACCCCTCCTCCTCCTCCTCCTCCGCCTCCACCACCTCCACCGCTACCACCTCCACCCACCTCCACCGCTACCACCTCCACCTCCCTCCACCTCCACTCCGCTGCCTCCACCTCACGTCCGCGGTTCAGCTGGTGTTTTCTTGTCATTTGGTATCTCGCGGTCGGAGACTTGCTTCTCTTGTTTCAACCTTTCCCACGGATGAACCTCCACGGTTGTGAGCTCTGCTGATGTTTTCCTGTCGTTCATGTCGTCCGGCTTGCAGACGACCGTTCCCAGTTTCGATGTTTCCCTCGGTACCCCTTCACTGTCCCTCCTCCATCTGTAGTAGAGACATCTGCCTAAGATCAGTCATAGAGAGCACAAGTGCGTGTAAGGCAGTGACCCAACCTTTCATATCATACACGTATCCATCTCTATAAACTCCATTACATCTGCTGCTGTCCGCCCATCCCCTGTCCTGCTTGCCCATTAGCCTGCGCCTGAGCCTGCATGTTGACCTCCCCCTGATGTCCAAGCCACGGCATAAAGTTCCACGGCTGCTGTCGTTCCCTCTCACTCGGCAACCCGGCATAAAGGCTATTGCTCCCAATACCTCCAAACGTGCCCAGTCCCTGCGGACCCGCTCCACGCAGCAGGGAGGTCCAGAAATCAGGCGCGGGCGCCTGGTCCCCCGGATTGCCCGCTATCATGTCGAAATTCGCCACGGCAAAGCCCATACTATGCAGGTTGTCGGCGTCGAAGAATTCGGGGAAGATCGTCTCGCCTGCTGCGTTTGTCGGCGGCGCGCCCAGGTTCGGGTTCATCAAGGAGGCAACGTTCTGGGCTGTTTGCGGGAGGGGCGCGGTCTGCGGCGCCGCCGAGGCGGGTTGCGGCGGGGCAGAGGTCTGCGCCGGCGAGCCGGACGCCGAGGCCGTGCTGCCGTACGGTACGGTGCCCTGGTTGCTGTTGTTGAAGGACCAGATGAAGGGTGGTGTCGGCGGGCCTGGAGGAGCGTTTGCAGGGTCATAGTTGGACGATGGGGAGGCAAAGTTGGACCCGCTGCGGCCAATCTCGCTTTGCAGCTTGGCCTCGAGCACGGCGGCGGGCCACGGCGCAACGTCCGGCGCGCCCGGTGTCGTGCTGACCGGCGGCTCGACGTCCTCGTACCCTCTCTTCGGCGGAAGCCCACCAAGGGCCTCGGGCATGTCGCCAGTCGACTCGCGCGCAATCTCCGTAATGAGATCCGTCATCTTGCCCGCTTGGCGATACGTGAGCTCCATCTCCTTCATGGCCGCAATGACACGCTTCACGTCGTTCAGGCATCGCTGGCGTTCCTGCTCCCGCTGCCTCACCGCATACACGTTCATCAGCAGCACGATCGCGGCCGTGCCCGCCGGCAGCGCAAACGAGATCGACATCGCATGTCCTGGCAGACGGCCGAGCTGGCGACCGCGTCGCAGCACCGCGTCCAGCACGTTGCTGATGGAGCGCGCCGCGTTTGAGCAGATCGCAAGGGACGGGAAGCCGACGCTTTCCGGGTGCTTGCGGGTCGGAATGAACGGCCGGTGGATGAGGATCTGCACGTAGTAGTAGTGCGCGTAGAGAACTGCAGAGTGCTCAAACAGCCGCGGGTCCGATCGTGTCGGGTCCCACCTCAGGTTGTCCGGAACCGAGTCGGCCCACGCATTCAGCGCGCTGTCGAGCTCGACGACGATGGCGCGCTGGTCCGGCCCGTGCTCGGGCAGTTTGTTCACGGCGTAGATCGTGCGCAGCGCAGCGCCGAGTACATGGTCCAACTTGAGCAGGTGCGTGAATGCCGTAACGGCGGGGTCGGGGGTGAGGCCCGGCGGCTGGCGGAAGTCCTTCTCCGGGTCGCCCGTGTCCCAGTACTCATCGTCGACGGGGATGGGGTAGTCGGCGTCAAAGTCGGAGTCCTGGATCGCGACGGAGCGGCCGATAGCCGAACAGCTGAGACGGTCAAAGTGATACAGACACCAAAAGGCGCGGTTGTACAGCGCCCTGTCGATGGGGTTGGTTAGGAGCATGGTGGAGCGGACGTGGATACCAATCTCCTGCGCCATGCGCAGACCGCTGCCGGCGACGAGCCACGCGAGGTGCGGAACGGCGCTACCGTTCATGAACAGGCACACGAGCACTGTCGTCTGCAGGTCAAGCAGCGAGGGGCCCTGCAGCCACGATCGGCCCATCTTGATGACGGCGCGGAGGTAGTTCCAGCCCGCCGAGTACTTGAGCGTACCGTCGCGGTCGTTGCGGAGGCGGTCTTGTCCCTCGGGCGTCGTCGCAACCTCGGTGGGCCAGTACACGCGCTCGTCGTCGACATAGCGCGCACCGTTTGCAAACACGAGAAGACACATCTTGGCAAACTCGGCGTTCGTACGCCACAGACCAGACTGGTACTGCCGCTGGAAGATGACGCGGTTCAGTAACGGCATGTGCGTGTTCGTGTGGTCAAAGTAGCCGTCGATAAGGCGTCCAGCCAGGTCCTCGTCCGGCCACACCGAGTAGTCGACGGGCTTGACCGACTCGGTCGCAATCACCTTTTCCCACTCGGGCACCATCCAGTACTCTGGCCGCTTGACAGCGGTCAGGCGGTCGAAGAATGTGGCGTCCGCCTCGTTGTACTTCAGCTCATTGACGATCCTGACGAGATGTGCGCCAGACGCCTTGCCGTGGAAGCGGAACGCGTCGTGGTCGCGAATGTTGAGCTTGACCATGGCGTGGGCGATGCGCGCCTGCTCGCGCGCCTCGTCCTCGTCCTCTGGCGGGCGGTGCGGGTCGCGCTCGTACGTCTTCCACGGCGCGGGGCCGAGGACGCGCGGAGAGCTGTGTCCTCCTCCGACGCCGTTGGGCGGGGTCGCCGCTAGCTCCGCAATATTCTTCATCGCGGGGAATGGCGGAACGCCGAGTGATCGCAATGTCTCCTGGTACGCCGACAGCTCAAACTCGTCGCGGTCCGGCATCGGACCGATCGTCTCGCTGATGTCGATCGCGGGGTTGAGCTGGTTCACGAGACGCTCGAGGCGGGCGCACCTCTGCTCGAGCGTGTCGATGTAGCCCTTTGGCGGGCCGCGGCGCTTGGCCGCCTCGACATAAGTGCAGTCGAGGTTGTACTCCTGGCAGTTGGCGCACTTGGCGTTCGACTGCGAGTTCATCGGTCCCTCACATCGGATCTTCTTTCTGCATGTTAGCTGGGACCAACTCGCAAATTGCAGCTGAGTCAAGGGAGAAGTGTTCGTCTGGAGAGACCGGGATGCATCTGCGTCGCGTGCTCTGCCAGAGGCGCGGCTGCATCGGCGCAAATAATCCAGCAATTGCTCGCATGCAGCACGGACCGATATCCAGACCGTCGGGCAGTGCGCAATCAGATAAAGCAAGGCGGTGCACTGTCGCGTCCGCATGCGCGTAATCGTCGCGGATGGCCAGGTCGCGCGACCTGAAACGGCACACCCGCATACAGACACACGGACACACAGGCATCCCAGGCAATTCCAGAATGTTGCAGAGGTCAAACGCCAGAATCCCAGAATGCCATTACGCCACGAATCACAGGGGAATGGAGGGGATCGATAGGATATACGGCGTTCACTATCGTACGGCGCACGACATGGCCGCAGGCCACGGCCGCGCTCACGCGCATGTGCTGACACACATATCCGCCGCATACTTCCCCGCAACCCACCGCGAGTAACCGATCACCATCCGTTCCTGTGACACGACAGGTGGATCCAATCGCAGCTGCAGACTCGGCATGAATTGCAGTCCGGTAACTCTGATGCGAGCCGGAGGGGCAGTGACAGCGAATCCGCGGCCGAGGTAGCGTCTCGGGCAAGACACCGGCGAGATGTTCGGCGAAGCGCATGGCGGTCCGAACCGTCACAGCAGCGAGCTCCCCAGCTTGACCGTCCAGACCTTGATCTCACGAAGGAATGAAAGAGAGGATAAGGGGGATGACTCACCTTCTGCAAACGTCACAAGCCCTCAGGACTTTTCTCCGCTTGGCCTCGGCCTCGGCGGCGAGGTCGCTCTGCGACACGCGCTGCACCTGGGGTTTCAGTTCGAGGGTGTTATCTTTCCTGTACGCCGGCGAGCCCTTTGGGCGCGGGCTCGCCTCGGAACCTGGTGTCGACATGATTAGGGAGGGCCGAGGGGTCGGCCGAGGTGTGGGCCCCGGTCACGCTTGGTTGTAATGATAGGGGTGGGAATGGCGAGGGATGGAAGAGGATGGCGGGAGACGCCGCGGGGCGCGGGGTCGATGCCGGGGTCGACGAGGAGGGGCTGGCGATGGGGTGGAGGGAAGGTTGAGAACGGGGGAAGAGAAGAACGTGATGATTAGGGAGACGAGGTGGTTGTCCGATCGGTGAACCCGGGCGAGACGGGTGTGGATGGCCGAGCCGGAATCGCGTGGGTGTGCTTGGCGAATCTGAACCCCAGTTGACCAAGTCGACTGTTGGTGCGGGGGGCCAGTCTTTAGTGTGAGAAGAACAGTTAGCCTCTGGGTGGTGTTTGATGGATGATGGAGTGTCGTTGATAAAGAATGGGATCGGAGCAGAATGGTGAACAAACTGGGACCTGGGACGATAGTACTGCGGTCCCGGGTTGCGGTGAATCGAGCGAGATTCCAGAGAATTGCAGGGAACATTGGGATGACACTCGCTATGACAGCCAGGCCGCCGTCGGTCTCCACCTTGGCCTGGAGCCATGTGCTACCGCAAGCCCTGCTGAGCCTGCCGATCAACGTCCAGTCAGAAGGGCTCTTTGCATGCGCAGTCTTGTCCAATCGGCTCGGCACCCTCGCCAGTATGCACAACGCTGATGCATCGGTTCCGGCATGCATAGAGCTTCAGACCGGGGAACCCTACACCTAGGACACCTGCATCTGGCGCTCCAGGTATGGGCGGCGGCGCCAGCACATCAACGAGCCAGCCAAACGAACCGAATAAAGCGACGGAACCAAATTCCCACCCATAGATCCCAGCTTCTGTGGCGATCAGCCCACAGTCGGGCATGCCCTTCGGCCTTCCCTGTAGCCTCCCTATATCCCTATGCTCCCTAGGCTCTTGCCTCGGGCCGTGCCCCGCACACGCGCACACCTTACTTGCGGGCGACTCGACTTTTTTCTGCACCCAGGACTCGACAAGCCGGCACCGAAGGGCAGCGAGACGGCCAGTCTGACGTTTCAGCATTTTGTCATACCCCGCTGCACCATTGGGCTCATGATCTCGTGACATGTCTACAACACGGGGGTTATGTCTATCCACATGCTATCTATGCTTTCCTCTTCCATTCCAAGACTCGACTGTGGTGTCGTATGCAAACTGAACGCTCGGACCAATGTGCATACCTCGGCCTCGGTCAATCAAGCACGGCAAGCACGGCAAGAACGGGAATCCCGGACGCCCCGGCGCCCCTCGGCCTCCCAACTGAGCCCAGCCACAGCCCTCGGTCGAATGTCCGCCCAGACAAAAGCAGGACGCGTCCCGACTGTCGATTCGCCACGTCGCCCGTCGCGTCCTCGCCAACAAGGACGCTGACACACGACCAAGTGTCATATGTCCGTTTCGTCGCCTTGGCGCGATCTCGATCGTCATGCCGAAACTATGCCCCGAGGTGCGGACCAATGAGCACTTGGGCACTCGCTATCGTCTCATCCAGGTCAAGCTCGCTGCAGCTCGCGTTCGCTCACTTGCGCGCATGCCGCACCTCGCCCTTGTTCCACATCCCGATCCGGTCCTTGACCGGGATCGGCTTCTCGGGACTCGATGAGCGGTTCGAGTCATGGCTGTTCGTGCGGGGGTTCGGTGGTCGCTCCGCAGCATCCTGTTGCGACTGCGACTGCGACTGGGCGTACTTTGGCGTCACGGGGAATGCACGTCCAGACGACGACTTGCTGTATGCCAGACTTGACGGCGCGTCGCCGTGCTTGACTGCCGGCTTGGAGGTGGACGTGGGGTTGGATGAGGCGTTAGACGTCGTGATCGGAGAGGTGCTCGCGTTGCCCGCACCGGTCGCTGCGCTCCCAGTACCGGCCACACTGCCCTTCCTAAGGGCTGCAGGCTTCGGTACCGGCGTCGGGGGCAAGGGCGGTTTCGGACCCGTGCTCTTCGGCTGCGGCCTGGGGCCAGACAGACGGCGGAGCGTAGCCGGCTTCTCCGGCTTGGCCGGTTTGGCCGCTGGCTTGGCCGCATTGGTCGACGCCGTGCTGGCGTGGCGCGCGTGTCCAGAGGCGGCTTGTGCGCCGTTCGCGCTCGTGCCCGAGTTCGTGTTGAGCTGCTCAAAGTGCGTCTTCATGTCGATGACGCTGCTGCGGCGAGAGTGCGTCTCCTGCACCGAAACACCAGACACGGCGCGGCCACGCAGGCTGCCGCCTGTGCTGGCCGTCGTACCCGTGTACCCGCTCAGGCTGTAGCCCGAGTACGCGCTCGCGCCCGTCTTGCTCGTTGGCGAGCTGGGCGAGGCAGGGGCGGGCTCGAAGGAGCTCATCCGCTTCAGAATATCGGGCGAGGGGCGGCGGGCGCGCTGCAGGGGCGAGTCGGTGCGGCGCCAGGGCACGGGGTCCTCAGGCCCTTCGTCGTCGTCGCTCGAGTCCAGGTCGACCTGCGGAGGAGGTGACTTGGCGTCCACCTTTGCCGCCTCGAGCGGAGACCAGTTGTCCGAGTTGAAGTTGGTCGACGGACGCGCACTCGACAACTCCGGCAGAGTTGCGCGCTCGCCGGCACCCTGCGGCTTGGTTGGCAGCTGGGGCTTGGCGGGCAGTGCTGGCTTCGGCTTCGTAGGCAGAGGCTTCTTCGCCGGCACGCCGAAGCGAGCGCCGCTGTTAGGCGACTTTGAGATCTCCGGCTGCATCGGCTTCAGTGCAAGCTTGTCCTCGTCAGGGTCTTCCTCGTCCATGAGATCGGTGGGCGCAAGGAGCTCAGTCGTCTCCTCATCGTCTAACAGGTCCAGATAGTCTGCCGTAGGAGAGGGCGTCGGCTGGTTGTTTGATGCAGGCGGCTCGAGCCCGTCGTCAGGTCCGGGTCGCGGCTGGCTCTTAAATGCTGTGCCGGTGACCTGAGTCGACCGCGGCTGAGGCTGCTGTAAGCGAGTATGGTGATTGTTCTTGGGGATGTCTCCGCCAGTGCGGTTAGCAACCACTGACGTGCGGCGGATGTGGCTGGGTTTGGTCTCGTCCTTGATCGTCGGGATCTGGGGCAGTTCCTTGCTCTTCTGCCTCGTGGAGGTGAAGGTGGAGGACGACGCCGAGGACCGCCGGTGAAGAGCCTCCACTGACGGAAACCGGGTCTCAAAGCTCGTGTCGCCGTCGGCGTTCGAGGCAGGCGACTTTGTATCCTCCGCAGTCCCACCAGAGCTGCTCGAATCGTCGATACTGTCGATGCTGACCAGTCGCTGCGGGGAAGCGGCCAGGGGCGAAGCGGCCACAGGAGACGTAACGATCCTCGGGCTAGTGAAGGAGTCACTGAAACCCGAGACGGAGCGCTGCTGTGCTGTCGGCGCACTCGAGCCGGAGAACGAGTCGCTGAATCCAGACGCAGTCGACACCGAACGCTGTTTAGCACTGTTAGGGTTAAAGGCGTCGGTGAACTGGCGCTCGCGGTCTCCGCCGGATGTGGGCTTGAAAGCATCGGTGAACTGTCGCTGCGGCGGCTTGTTGACCTTGAGGCCGAAGGCGTCACTGAACCCATCTCGCGATGATGACGTCGTACTGTCGAACGAATCGCCAAAGCTCAGCGGTGACGTGACTTTCGGGATCGATTGGTGAAATCCAAATGCGTCGACGCTGCTTTTGCGAGACACATTCTTCTTGTCCTCGCCAGTGACCTGCAGTCGGTTGACGGGCGACTGCGACGAACGATGCGGCAGACTCATGCGCTTGGGCGCCTGCTGCTCGAACTTCGACTTGGCTGACGCAACCGAACCCGACGGAAGTCGGGGATCCGGGTGGTGAGACGCTGGCGGAGTCGGCATGCTCTGAACACTCGACGACGACTTGACACTGGGAATCCGCTGCAGAGCAGGGGTCGTCTTGTGCGTAGCCATCGGCTGAGGCGACCCCACACCCAGCGCCGCCTCTCTGGGATCCCGGGTAGGGCGTCCGCGACGTTGCGGCTGAACAGTCGACGCCAGTGGCACCTCCGGGGCTGCCGGACGACTCGTTTCTGACGGATCCGTAAAGTCGAGCGGGTTCTTTTCGTTCCTTTTGATCTGGCGGGGAGGCTGTTGCGAAAGCGGGCGCATGCGCTGCTTGTACGCAGACTGCAGGTTAGCCAAGCTTACTGGCAGCATATCAACTCACGTAATCCACCGAGGGGCGGGTGCCGTTCAGGTCATGCGCCACCTCGAGCACCTGGAACACGGACAGACGCTGGCTCGGATGCTCCATCAGCATCTGCGCGATCAGGTGCTGTAAGGCGGGCGAGTATTTCGGGTACGGCGGGAACTCGTACTTGGCGTGCACAATCGCGAGAGGGCCCTGAGTCTCGAACGGCGTCGTGTAGTAGCAGAGCTTGTAGAGCAGCACTCCGAGAGCCCATACGTCACTCGGGAGACCGACGGGGTGGCCAAGCATAGGTTCCACCATTTCCGGACTTCGGTACTGCATGGTCGTGTGCTTGTTGATATCAAGCGCGAGGGCCTCGGACTCGGCCAGGCTGGTCGGAGGGTGGGTGCTAGGATACGTCGTGGAGCCAAAGTCGCAAAGCTTGAAGTTCCAGCCCTGAGGTCGCTCCTTTGTCGGCGCTCCTGGTGCACTCAAGACGTTCTCGATCTTGAGGTCGCGGTGCAATAGCGGACGGGGTTCCATGGAGTGCATGGCCGCGACCGCCTCACACACATCCGTAAAGATCTGGAGAATCTCCCGCTCCGACAGGCGGTCGCGAAGTCGCTGGTTCAAGAGGTCGATGATACCTCCTCCCTTGCAGCATTCCATGAGGATGAACACTTCATATGCCCCGTTCGGTAGCCGTTGCCAAGAGGAATCCAAATACTGCACAAGATAGGGAGATGCGGGTAGCATTTTCTGTTGTCAGCACAGACCCTGACGTCGCCGCGTACCATGACCTCGATTTCCTTTCGGACGTCCTTCCACACATTCTCGTCCTGGAACGCCACGCGCTTCAAACAGTGTTCCGTGAACCCCTTGGAGCTTGATTTGTTTGGCGGATAGATGGGTTGCTCCGAAGTGGTCAGGTAGACGTGGGCGTATCCACCCTCCGAGAGGTACTTCTCAATTCGGACCTTGTGCTTGCCGACCTTGATCATCTGTCCCGGGGCGAGCGTTCCCTTGTGCTGCTTCTGGCTGCGCGAGGAGTGAGGAGCCTGTTGCTGTTGCTGCGGGTAGCCGTGATGTTGCTGCTGGTACAAGGCTTGCTGCTGCGCCGTGGGGTAGCCCTGCCCCATCTGCTGAGGATAGCGAGGCTGCTGGTAGTGCTGCTGCTGCGGGTGAGCAGCGTACATCGCTTGCGGATGTCCAGCTACGGGGTACGCCATCTGCTGTGGGTTGGGGTACGGCGCACGCATCCCGCCGGCCGACCGGCCAGGTTGGTAAGGCTGGGTCGGAGCGTACATGGCGGTGTCCCAGCTGGAAGCGCCCTGTTAGGGGCGGCTTGGGCGGCGGTCGACGATCGGAGACGTAGTGCCGACAGCGAGGCTCCGGATGCCTTTTTGGCTTTTGTGACGAGCGCAGGAGGCTGTCTGCGTCAATCTGAGATCGACGGTGACCGGAGGGAGCTTGCAGTTTGGGAGAAGCAAGGTGGGGAAGGAGTGAGGTGTGATGTGTGGAGAGTGGCCGAGACAGACACTTCGAATGCTGGACGTCGTGACCGGCCAACAATCGGTTGGCTGGCTGGCTAGCTGGCTGACCGGACACTGGCACCTTGAAGCTTGAGCTTGATAGTCCCGCTCCCAATGCGGTGGCACCCGCTGTACACAGAGCGTGGTCATTGGGTCGCGTGAACGTAGCGTGATGATCACGTGATTGAGATCGACGATTGGACCCGTTCTCAAACGTCATGCCCCTGGCCGCCCAGTCGCTCCACGTCGCTCCAGGCTGGCGAGGCTGGCTGCTGACGTCTGGCGGCCAGTGACAGGTGACCGGCGCCGAACGCCCGGCTGGTCGGCGATCAAAAGTCACTGAACGGGTGCGAGACTGTCACTCCCTGTCTACAGTAGATTGCCGCAACCAACAGTCGACTCGCCAACAGAGACAGCCCCATTCCCAGAACCAAGGCGCCTGGAACGCATCTCTCACACATCTGCTTGCTTCAAGTAGTCGGTCAGCTTGGTTGTAGGTGCCGAGAGCCACGCTTTACGTGGGTGGCGTGAGGGACCGCGATTCCTCGGATCTCGGAATTCCAGTGCTGTGGCTCAGTTGCCACCCACCCGTTTCATGTTTTCGTTTCGACATACACAACGCAAAAAAAGTTCTGCAACATGCATCTCTCGAAATAAACGGGCATCTCCGGACTGCAGGGGACCGATGCGTACGAATGAGAGATACGCAGAGATGCGATACGTTGGTGCGGCGAATTAATATAACGGAGAAGACAAAGCCGAGCAAGGCGGCAACTGTGGTGGGCAAAGAGCTGCTGATAAAAAAGGGATCTCGGATCTCAGGCATATCGTCCGAGGCTGAATGACTGAGGCGGGCGCTTAGTGTGACGCGTATCATCTGCACCCGACTCATTCACTCACCCCCGCATACCACCCCGCAGCCCCCGCGGATAGCCGCTGCTTGCCCCTCTGCCCGCTCCAGCTTGGTCTGGCTCCGCCCGATATATATCTACCTCTCTTATCCAGCCGCCGTGCCTCCTCTGTACACTCCGTCTCTCTTCCTCGTCAACTATAGCAACCTAGAGACCTTCCTCCAACCTCTCACTCACTCTTACAGCTTCAACACACACCACTACTCCTCACATCCACCACCATGGCCCCCGTCGCGACCTCCACTGAGCCTGCCGCCGGCAAGGCCAAGTACTCGACCCAGAACATCATGGAGCTTGAGTCCGAGTATTCTGCGTAGGTTGCTTTGGCGGTCTGATTAACTGACGTACAGCCACAACTACCACCCTCTCCCCGTCTGCATCGCCCGCGGCAAGGGTGCTACCGTTTGGGACCCCGAGGGCAAGGAGTACCTCGACTTCCTCGCTGCCTACTCGTAAGCTAGCGAATGCGCTCCTTTGCTAATGCCAGCGCTGTCAACCAGGGTCACTGCCACCCCGACATCCGTGAGTTCCTGAAACATGACGACGTGACTCAGCTAATCCCGCAGTGAACACGCTCGTCCAGCAGGCATCCACTCTGACGCTCTCCTCGCGTGCCTTCTACTCGACCGGCCTTGGTCCTTTCGCCAAGAAGGTCACCGAGATGTTTGGCTTTGAGCAGATGCTTCCGATGAACACTGGTGCCGAGGCCGTCGAGACTGCGATCAAGCTCGCGCGCAAGTGGGGCTACCAGGTCAAGAAGATCCCGGAGGGCAAGGCCCGCGTTCTTTCTGTCGAGGGCAACTTCCACGGCCGCACGATCGGTATTATCTCCATGTCGACCGACCAGGAGGCGCGCAACGAGTTCGGTCCCTTCCTCGAGAAGGTCGGCCCCAACGTCGACGGCAAGGTCATCCGTTACAACCACGTCGAGGATCTCGAGGCTGCCCTGGAGGCGTACGGCTCCGAGGTTGCTGCGTTCCTGGTCGAGCCGATCCAGGGTGAGGCGGGCATCTTCGTCCCCGACGACGGATACCTGAAGAAGGTCTCGGAGCTGTGCAAGAAGCACAACGTTCTCCTGATCTGCGACGAGATTCAGACTGGTCTCTGCCGCACGGGCAAGATGCTCTGCTACGAGCACGACGGCATCAAGCCCGACATGGTCATCCTCGGCAAGGCCCTCTCGGGCGGCATGTACCCCGTCTCGTGTGTTCTGAGCTCGAAGGAGGTCATGGGCTGCCTCAAGCCGGGAGAGCACGGCTCGACCTACGGCGGCAACCCGCTCGGCTGTGCCGTCGCCTCGACCGCCCTCGACGTCCTCGTCCGCGAGGACCTCGCCGCCCGCTCCGAGCGTCTCGGCAAGATCTTCCGTGAGGGTGTCGCGGCCCTCAACTCGCCGTACGTCAAGCAGATCCGTGGTCGTGGCCTCTTCAACGGCGTCATCATCGACCCCACCGTGTCCAAGAAGGGCCGCGGAGCCTGGGAGCTCTGCCTCGTCCTCGCCGACCTCGGCATTCTCTGCAAGCCGACGCACCGCGACATTATCCGCTTCGCGCCCCCGCTCGTCATCAGCGAGGAGGAGATCCGCCGCGCGATCGAGATCATCGGCAAGGGCCTCGCGACGTTCGATGAGCTCGACGTCATCCCCCTCGCCGACCGTGACCACTAAGCGCAGGACAACTGCGGAGTGACCGCAGGGCGAAACACGCGTGAGAGAAGCATGGACACGTAGCTAGACAACTGTGCAGTAACACCAGACTTGTATGAATATACGTGAGCAGCTGTACCCGCATGGGGTCCCTGTCTACCGACGAACGGGAATAACTGACCGACTGACCGCAGATTGTATCTTAACTAACCACAGAGCGTACATTTATATCCAGCTACAAGAAGTACATGAGCGACTCGTCAGCGCCGTTCGGGTCATGGCATGGTGTGGCGGGCTCGTGCCGACTCAGTCGCACCCCGACCCGGCACCTGGGCATCGACCACACCGAGGTGGGAGACAGGCCGAGGCTCTGGGTGCCCGTGGATACAATCGCGGGCCATTCGGTCATGGTCGCAGGGGCATACAGAATCGGCCCAGCGTGCTGAGACACTTGCGCACGCGCGACCGTTCCTCGTCGAGGCGCTGAGTGGTGACTCACTGGACGCGACCCACTCACTTCCCCTCTAAACCGCCCTTGCTGTACTGGTGGCGCAATGCGTTCCCGGGTGGTGTGGTGAGTGAACAAGCTCTATAGTCAGCGCCGCCCAGAGTCGAAGAATGGATGGCCAGTCGCACACCGTCCCGGTCGTGCGCCGGCGAGGGACCCGGCCAATGCACGGGTTGGTTGCAAGGTACAACGAGCGGCGGGGTCGTGCGCCGTGGCATTGCCCATACAATGCCGCGTCGCACTCGCAACCATACTGTAGGACACCTGGAGGTCCTGTCCCCGCCGCCCTTGGCGGCCCTTTTCCCGCCGTCGGGATCCTGCCTTCTCCAGCTAGCCAGCTAGCAGATAGAGAAGGGGAGCGCGCCCGGGGGCTTGAACTCTGTCAATCAGCCCGCCCTAGCCTCGTCCCCTGTACCACGGGGACGAGGCTGTGCCTCTGGCACGGAGTGTGGGGGGCGCTGAGTGATTACTCACCGTGAAGCTGTTGCCCGCTGCGTTCGGAAGTGGCAGGTGGCAAAGGAGTGCTTATAGTCAGCGCCGTCCCGGGTGTCGGTCGAGAGGTGGTATCCGACAGGTGCATTCCTCAACAAACCCAGCGGTTACCGCGCCCCGGCCGCCCGAGGAGGAGGACAGACCAGTCGCGGGCGCTGTGGGCAAAGGATGCAATCTGTGCCCGTTGACTCCCCTAGCACCATCGGGCGAGCCGGTGCCTTTATCCTCTGGCACGGAGAGGGTTGGGTTGGCGCTGAATGAGGACTCACTCACAGGTTTCATCGGGGTCCGCCGAGTCCTCTGTAAATATGTCAGCGGCCGGCCACGATTGTTCGTGTGGTGGTCTCGCGCCCTGCTCTCCGACACAGTCGGTCCCGACAAAAGCCACCCAGCCTCGATGCCCGAAGGCGCCGCGATTAGAGGCGGACATGGGATCAGCGACGCTGCCCCGTTCGTGAGAACGCCGAAGTGAGAGCAGAAGTGGGACGCCCTCCGCTCCGTTCGCTGGGTGCTGCTGAGTTGCACTCGAGCTCCAGTATCGGCGTCCAAGGGCGGTCGACAGCGACGCGCCCGGCTCGCCTCGTCCCGAGCATGCGGGCGCCAAATGCCGGACAAGAACCCAGGCACCCGGCGCCCGCGTGCGCGAGAGGAGGCTTGACCGCCCTCGGACGCAGACACCGAAGCTCGAGCGCAACCCACCGACACCCGCTTGGGAGGGGATTTGACTTCGAATCGGACCGCTGAGTGGGAAGACCCACAGTTAAAGGACTTGAGGGACCGATATGATGGCGAGCAAGGGTCTTTTGTCAGCGCCGCCCATCACAAAGTGGTTGGTCGTTATGACCAGGGTGCGTGTGCGGCACGAGGTGTAAGTTCGTGCCGGGGGTGTGCCACAACAAAAACCTCATGCGCTCCTTGCGACGCCGGAAGAGTACGCGGTCTCGCGGCCCCGCTCCACCCCGAAGGGAAGACGGAGTTAGCGCACGCATAAAAAAGGGATCTCGGATCTCAGGCATATCGTCCGAGGCTGAATGACTGAGGCGGGCGCTTAGTGTGACGCGTATCATCTGCACCCGACTCATTCACTCACCCCCGCATACCACCCCGCAGCCCCCGCGGATAGCCGCTGCTTGCCCCTCTGCCCGCTCCAGCTTGGTCTGGCTCCGCCCGATATATATCTACCTCTCTTATGTAGATCGCGCGTGCCAACATGCCTCTGCACGGAGAGAGGCAGAGGGAACGCATCTGGGTGATTACTCACCTCGCACCGTTGTTGTCTGTCAAACCTTGAGAACGGTAGCCTACAGTCAGCGCCTGGGGTTGGTAGACTGGGGCGTCTGTGCTAATAAAACTTTATCCTCTGGCACGGAGAAGGTCGGGTTGGCGCTGAGTGACGACTCACTTTCGTCTCTGTGGTCAGCGGCCGGCCACGGTGATCAGTCGTGTGGTGGTCTCGAACCTGCTCTCGAACCATTCGGTCCCCGAACGAGCCACCCAGCCGCGCCAACAGGCGTCGTCGGAGTAATGCGAACCCGCCGCGTTGCCACTGCTCAGGACCGCCGAAGTGAGAGCAAGACTGGGAAATCCAGTGGGGACGCCCTCGCGCCTCCGTTGCGCTGGAGTGCCGCCCAGAACGCCCCGAACAACGCCGCTCGCGCCAGAGCTCAAACAGTGCACTCGGCCCCGTACCACCAAGCCTCACACGCGGGACTGCCACGACTGGGACCCAGACCCGCTCGACCCGGACGCCCCGCGCTCGTGTGGACGTCGAACGGGGACGCCCGACCCGCTCGACCTGGACCCAACGTCCGCCCCTGCGCATCAGACGTGATGGGCCGGAACCGGCACGCTGCCCGCCCACGGGCGGCCGCCGCTGCTCGCCGCGAACTGACCGACAATCGACAATCCCCGCTTTCGGGACGGGGTCAGACTTCGAATCGAACCGCTGAGTGAGGTGACTCACTAAAGCTTGCACTGCTGAGAGAGATGCCGGAGAGAGAATCTTAAGTCAGCACCGCCCATGAGTCGTAGTACTTGCAACTCTGGGGAGGTGGCCCCGATACAATCGGGCAATGACCCAAACAGTCCTTACAGCCCTGGGTAGGCCGCTCTGCTGCAGATACTGCAGAGAGGGTCCGTGGGTGCCCGAAACAATCGGGACCGTTCGACCGCTGGCGTGGTGTACCAGGCCAGCCGCGATCGGGCCTGCGTTGGACCGACGAGGAGTCGGTGACGCGGACGAGAAGGACAGGCGCTGAGCAAGGACGGTTCACTTACTGTGCAGCTTGCAGTGGAGATGAAGCAAGGCGACGAAGTGAGACGATGTCGATGAGAATGGCGAATGGAGGAAGGAGTGGATGATGGAGTGAAAGAGGGAAAGGACGTGGTTTAAGTATCGTGCAGAGCCGTGTGGACCATCGAACGAGCTGGGCATCGCGGGAAGGCGCGCCTGACTGACAATCGACGATGAGATCGTGTGTTGTGCCCCCTAGACGAGGGCGAGAGCACGAGAGGAAGGCGAGAGGAGGGCGCATTGGAGGCTGTGCTCAAGGATGGATCTGTGTGACAGATCGACGCCCTCCACAACCTCGACGCCCTCCACAACCTCTGCGCCCTCGCACCCGGCCTGCGCCATTGTGCGTCTCAACCATTGCTGGTCACCAGCGCTCTTAGTTACCACGAGGTAAGAGGGAGGTGTGTCCAACAATACCTCTCACAGCGGATCACCGGAACGTTACTGGTAAGAGCTCGTCTCGACAGCCCTACTTTTGGTGCAAGTTCCCCGTCAGTGTGGCAGCGTTCGAATGCAGGTGGTACGCCACAAATATCTTGGCCAAGAGAATCCCAATGTTCATCGTTACTTCTACAGATTCTGCTGCTTCCCAACTCTCACCCCTGCGCCTCGAGGAGCGCGCAGAGGGGTTCTACTCTGCTCGGCAGACCAGCACTAGTGCCGTTGCCCGTGGAGGTGTGTGGCACCTCCCTTTTACGCCTCCTTCTCCGCGTTCTTCTTGCCGACGCTCGCGTCAACGCCGTGCGAGTGCTCCTTCGGGCCGTGTCCGTCGCCAGCCGAGTGCTTAGGGTGGATGTTCGGGTACACCTTGCCGGGGTTGAAGAGGTCGAGGGGGTCGATCGTGCGCTTAACCGTCTCCATGAGGTTGACGGTACCCTGTCCGAGCTCGGTGTTGAGGTACTCGATCTTGCCGAGGCCGACGCCGTGCTCGCCCGAGCACGTTCCGCCGAGACGGATGGCGCGCTCGACCATCTCGTGCACGGCGACGCGGACGCGCTCGAGCTCCTCGTCGTCGGAGAAGAGGGCGAGGGTGTGGACGTTTCCGTCACCGACGTGGCCGAAGTGGCACGCCTCGAGGCCGCGGTTCTCAAAGTCCTCGGCCGTCTCCTCGACGAGCTTGGGCAGCTTGGAGATGGGGACGCACACGTCGGTCGTCCACACGCGGCCGTTCGGACGCATCGCCAGCACGGACCAGAGGGCAGCCTTGCGGCCAGCCCAGAGCTTCTCGCCGTCCGCGTCCGTGGCAGAGAACTCAAAGTCCTTGCCGCCGTGCTGCTTCGCGAGGCTCACGACGCCCTTGGCCGTCTCGTTCATGATGCCGTCCGTGCCCTGGAACTTGAAGAAGAGCGAGTCCTTCTCGGGGTACTTGCGGCCGGCGATGCCGCCCTCGTTGATCGCGCGCATCGTGCGCGAGTCAAGGTACTCGACACACTGGACGGGGTAGCCGTGGTTCACAATCTCGGTGGCCGCAGCGACAGCCTCCTCGACACCGGGGAAGTTCATGACGGCGACCTTGGTCGGAAGGAGGGGAGCGAGCTTGACGGTGCACTCGGTGACGATACCGAGCGTGCCCTCGGCGCCGAGGAAGATCTTGGTCGCATCCCAGCCGGCAGACGACTTGCGCGCCTTCGAGCGGGTCTTGATGACCTCGCCGGTAGGGAGGACGACGGTCTGGAAATATCAGCGGTCTGCACACCACATGACTCGCTTGGGAGCGCAGGCGGAGTATACTCCGCCCTCAGCGCTACCTGTGTCACTCACCAGGTTCAGGAACCACTCGCCCTTGGCGGTACCGTAGCGGACGGCGTTGGTGCCCGAGCAGCCAGTGCCGGCCATTCCACCGAGGGTCGCTCCGGGTCCGGGGTCGAGGGGGAAGAAGAGGGGAATGCCCTTGGCAGCGAGCTGCTCGTTCAGGTCCTCCCATCGGACACCGGCCTGGCAGACAGCCTCTCCGTCCTTCTCAGACACAGAGATGACCTTGTCCATATGCGAGAGGTCGAGCGAGATACCACCGTAGGGCTGGGCGTTAGCTCTGTTCATGTCCGGGTCCGGAGGGCGCTGCGCCACGATGTCATGGCTCCACCGAGGGCACCGCGGGCACACACATCGATCTTGTCGCCCCATTGGCTCATGGCCCAGCGGCGCTCTCGCCCACTCGCTCGCTACTCACCGAAGAGAAGTGTCCCTCAAGCGAGGTACCACCCGAGAACGGCGTGATGGGGACACGGTACTTGCGAGAGATGTTGACGAGGTCCTGGACCTCCTCAGTGCTGTCGACCCAGACGACGACGGTGGGGAGCTCGGCGCCGTGGTAGCTCCAGTCCGAGATACCGTGGGAGCGGAGGTCGTCGGCGTCGGTCGAGACGCTGTCCTCCTTGCCCTTGCTCTTGTAGAGCTCGCGGATCTCGTCGATACACTTGTGGTAGTCGGCGACGGAGCCGTAGGACGGCTGCATCTTCTCCTGGAGCTCGATACCAATGTTGGACGGGAGGAGGAACGTCGGCGGCTCCTTCTTGCTGTTGTACAGGGTCTGGCAGACGACAAAGCCGAGCGCAAACGAGCCCGCGACGACGGCACCCGACAGCCACATGTTCGCCGTCCTGTTGCGCTTGGCGGCGGCCTCCCACTGCGCCTGCGTCGGCTTGGACGAGCTGCTGTTGAAGCGGACGGGGGTCGCGCGGGGCGCACGGAGAGTGCGCGAGGCGGAGCTGGGGGAGCTCAGAGGGCGAGGCCCCCGGCACAGTGTTCGGAGCGCGAACATGGTCGTGGTGGTGAGGAGGGGAGTGGGGAGTTGGAGATGGGAGAAGCACGCGTCCGCAACTGGAATGACTTTATGAACCGAGCCGGTCACTGTTGCCCACGGACTCAGCCGACCAGTCTGTCCGTTCGTTCCTGCGTCATGTCTTTGGTTCGCCTAAACCGCCAATGATAATTGGCTTGTAAGGAGATACTATTCCACTCGTCCTGCCGCGAGTTGCCGGTATTAGAAACGCAATAGGCCAAAGTAATACGGCAAAATCCGCGATCGGGCGGTGGGCACGTACTTGACAGGTGAGGAGCAGAAATCCGATGCGGAGACTTCCCCAGATATCCCGCCGGCACTGGTTGCTCTGTACTGCGTAGACGACTTTCCGTCCTGTCCCCGCGGCCAAGAGGTCCATCGGGGCCAGAGGAGAGCGGTGTGGGGTCCGTCGTTGTGTCGTTCCTGGGACAAGTCTGGGGCCGTAGGGCCGGCCGGCGGCATCGATGTCTGCGCCGCGGAATGTCGCCCGATCGCCTTTGTTGACACCGAGCTGATCGTGATCGCCAAGACCGATGCAGGTCCAAGTTGCAACCACCTGCATTCGAGGTCGATGCCACTCCATCCGCTGTTGCCACCGTCGATCCTTGCACCGTGGCTTATCCAACACTCCCCTTATCCACTATTACCCCTTGCCTCGATCGCCCTCGCTTGCTCGCTTGCGCCATGCGACAACAAACAGCGGCTGGACCCGGCTACCGCAGGGCTGGACCCAACTGACAGGCGCGCCGCGCGTAACGCCTGCGCGCCAGCAACTCAGATCCAGACAAGGCGGTAGATCCCGTTGCGCTTAGACCTTCCAGCCAGTCCAGCCAGGCGTCACACATGTGCGATGCGAGACTTCTTTTCTGCGCGCGTGCATCGTGCATTGATTTCGCCCACCCACTGACCTCAACACAGACATTCACCATGTCGTCTCTGACGGGCTCGAGCTCGAGCTCACCCACAAAGGTGCAGCGCAGCGCGACCGCTTCCACCCTCGAGCAGCCGGTGCCTACCACTGTTTACGGGCTCCTGCACGAGCTGCACGCTCGCATCACCGCCGACGTCGACGCCGTGCTCACCTGGGACGAGCTCAAGAGCCCTGCCTTCCAGTTCTCCGTCGTCAAGCCTATTCTCGACAGGTACACTCCCGACGAAGCCACTCTCGCCCAAGCTGCCAAGGACGATGACGACGAGGACAACGTGGATGCGAGCAAGTCTCTCGGTGCGGTGCTCTACGCACTCATGGCCAACCGGTATGTAGCGAGGAAGACACCAGCTGACATGGCAGCGTCCAGTTTCTCCGCCTTGCCGACGAGGACCTGTCCTACGAGCCGCTTCAAACCTCGCGGGCCGCATTCTGCGAGCTGCTCGCGAGTGAGTCTTCCCTTCCCCGCTAAGACGGTTTGAGGGTGTCTTCCCCGTCCGCAAATCTGCTGGTGCACCGTGCGCAGTTCAGCCAGGTGCACGTTCACCACTGCGCAGCAGTGCGACTGTCGTGACTACCCAGCTCACCCATCGATGCACCTTCCTTCTGTACTCCTGTGCTGACAACAGTGAAATTCCTCCGCACCTGGCCTTCCCCCGGCGACGAGGCGCTCGCCGCCGAGCTCGTCCGCCCCTGGTCGCCCCTCGAGGGAGCTCCGGACGAGGTCTGGGCCGCGATCGAGAACCCCGACGAAGCAAAGGCGGACAAGAACTCGGCGCTCGAGCTCGCCATCGTTTCGGTCGCCAAGCGTCTCCTCTCCCAGCCGATCGTCCAGCACCTCGTTGGCGCAATCTACACCGGTGATCTTGTCTACGCTCCGGACGTGAACCGCTCCCTCATCCCCGACTCTTATGTCGCTCCCCGCCGCGGCAAGGGCCACAAGGCGAAGCGCGCCGATGACTTTGACGTCTATGCCTACAACCCATACGAGGCCCGATGGCTCGATACGACTCGTCTGCGCGTGCCCCGCTGGAGGCACTGGATCGAGTTCGGCACCTTTGCGACCCTCATCGCGCTCTTCATGTGGACTCTTATCAGTGAGTAGTGATCGTGCGAGCTTATGGCCGAGCAATGAAGCTGACCTCAGCCCGCGACTTGAAGCACCAGACTGGCGTTGAAATCTGGTTCGTCCTCTTCACCCTGGGTTTCATCGTGAACGAGTGGGCCGGCGCCAACGAGAACGGATGGTCTGGTAAGCTTAGCTTCTCTGAGGCTGCAGCTGACGACAGTGTACATCGCCAACGCCTGGAACGTGTTCGACCTGTCGTTCATCCTGATCTTCTTCGCCTACCTGATCCTCCGCTGCATCGGACTCTACCACCACAACAAGCGCACTGCGGACCTCGCCTTCGATGTGCTTGCTTGTGGCGCTTGTATCCTGCTTCCTCGCCTCGTGTTCTTCTTCGTTCGCAGCAACGTCGTGGTCATTGCGGTAAGTCTGCACAAGCTGCGAGATGGATCGGACAAAGCTGACCCACAGCTCCGCGGCATGATCGCTACCTATGTGTCCTTCATGGCGCTCGCGGCCGTCGCGCTCTCCGGCGTCGCGTTCGCTTTGTACATGCTTGGCCGTCCCGAGTTCTCGCCCCTCGGCATCGTTAAGCTCATGATGAAGATCTGGTTCGGCGGCGGCTTCGGCATGTCCTTCGGCCTCGCGGAGCGCTTCCACGAGTACTTTGGTCCGATTATTCTCGTCGGCTACTCTGCGCTCTGCAGCACCTTCCTCATCACTGCTCTCAGTGAGTATCATCAAGCCTAGCTGCTGTGTTCTGCTGCACAAGCTAACCCACAGTGTCCATGGTGTCGAACAAGTTTGCCACGATCAACAACAACGCGCAGCAGGAGCACCTGTACCAGCGCGTCGTGTCGACGGTCGAGGGCGCCAAGTCGGACGCCGTGTTCATGTACCTTCCCCCTTTCAACCTGCTCGCACTTGTCATCCTGATCCCCATGAGCAAGTTTGCGTCCCCCGAGACTGTGCACACGGTCAACGTGGCTCTTATCAAGGCGACCAACTTCCCCATCCTCTTTGCCATCTCCGCCTACGAGCGTAGCAGGTACAGGCTCAGCCGCCGCCGTATCAAGATCCAGGAGCGCACTGGTGTCTGCGTCGATAAGATCAAGACTCCCGGTATCTTCGAGTGAGTCAATCAGCTGGCGTGGCTGCACGGTGAAGCTAACGCACAGCTCGTTCTTTGGCGGTGGCAACGCTCTTACGCTCCACGCCGCCTTTGACCTTGCGACTCCCGAGGAGCCCTCGTCCACGCTGTCTCCCTCGCTCCTCCCTGCCAAGGACGAGGAGGACGTCCCTCCCCTCGCGTCCGAGAAGAAGAAGAAGTGGAAGCCCACCGGCTCCTCCGTGGGCCGCATCTTCCGCTCCGACGGCACCGCTGCCGGCGGCAAGACGGTCACCGTGTCCAAGGAGGAGTGGGACGAGGTCAAGGCGTCCCAGGCGCGCATGGAGGACATGCTCCAGAAGGTGCTCACCATCACTGCCGCTGCCAAGTGAGGCGTCTCCAAGAGCTCATCGGGCATCGCCACACCCGACCGGCCTTCTTGGCATGACGTAACGGCTCATATCCACCTTCCGACCTTCACGTTACACTTTCATCTTCTAGCGCGCATCTTAGTTGATACGCGCCAGAAGCCCTCAAAAAGAATCACCTATCACGCAACTTGACGAATTCACGCCCGTACACGAAACAGCTCTAAAGGAAATGCATCATTGTGAATATACTACGACTCAGACTTTGTAAAGCGTGTACTTCCCTCCGAAACTGCTGCTTTCTGCTCCTTCCACTGCCACTACTGCGTGTCTAGGACTACGTCTTGCGCCAAGAAACTTGATATTAAGAGGAGAGCGTCTGCTGCTTCCCCTGTCGAGGTTAGGTATAGGATCGGTTTTGGTAGCTTTGATGTCCGTCCGGGCCCTCGCCTACGCATACGCAGAGCGTTCGCTGGCTTCTTATCCCGGCGAGGACTGGCTCAACCTTTCGGCTGACGGCTCGCTATCGCTCGCCGCCGTTTACGACTTGGGAGGCGGGCCCGAGGGAGGAGCGTAGCTCTGCCCCGGGGGCGGGCCAGCGGGAGGCGCGAAGCCCTGGCCCGAGTTGGTGCCGTAGGCGGGGGGCGGTGCGGCGGGGGTCTGGCCATTGGCAGCGGCCTGCTCATACTCATAAGAGTGGCTCTCCAGGTTGTTGCTGGCCGGGGTCGTGTAGTTGTTGCTCGGGTTCGCGGCCGAGCCGTAGTAGCTCGCGGCCTCGCCTGCGCCCGCGGTCGCCTTGCCGTCGCCCGTGTACGCGGTCTCGGGCTCCGTGGGGCCGGCACCGCCGTACTGGCTGTACGAGCCGTAGGTGCCGTCTGTCCCGACGAAGCCACTCTCGCCCAAGCTGCCAAGGACGATGACGACGAGGACAACGTGGATGCGAGCAAGTCTCTCGGTGCGGTGCTCTACGCACTCATGGCCAACCGGTATGTAGCGAGGAAGAGCCGTAGGTGCCGTCTGTCGGCGGGGGAGGGTTGTTGGCGTACGGGTTGTCGCTCTGCTGCATCGGCAGGGGAGGGGGCGGGCGGTACTGCTGGAACTGCTTCTTGATGCGGCTGGGTTGTCAGTCGTAGGTCACGGGATGCAGAGGAAGGTACAGCGCGGAGAAACCCGCCCAGCCACGCTGATCGTGACGCAATTGAGCACACAGCAAGCGACGTGCAGAGCGGTGACGCCCAGCGCGTCAGCGCATGCGTGCACCGACGTGATGCGCAGCGACAGGACGCCAGTGTGCACAGGCCTCTCGGATCGCCGCCAAGCCCCGGTCGGATCCGCATCCCAAGGGTTGGTTGGGACATGGCATTATGGCGCGATTCGCCACCTCACAACCTCGGACATGCCTCGGTCTGGACGTCTGGCTGGTGGCTGACGCGGACGCGTTGTTTATGCTTCAGCTGTGTGTACTCACCGGCGCTGGCAGCATCCGCCAAGGAGCATGATGAGGAGGAAGACGCCGACACCGACGCCGACTCCGATACCGACGCGTGCGCCGTACGAGAGGCCGCGGCGGCAGCGGTAGACACCTGTTTCTTGTCAGCCTGCAACAAACGGAAGTACTCACGGCCATAGCGGTCGTAGCAGTAGCCGTAGGAGTAGGCGGCGGCCTCCTGGGCGGCGAGGGCGGCGGCGGCGAGGAAGTACGCTGTCACCGTTGTCATGGTGTGGATGGATGGGTTTCGGATGAGAAAAGAGGCAATGGCGAAAGAAAGCTTGGAGTCGGCGAGCACCAGGAGCCAGGAGGTCTGGCCGACCAGTGGGTGAGCCGCAGTGATGGAGCCGGCTGGACTGGGTGATCCTGGGCTGTCTTGGCGGGAGCTGAGCCTGCAGAGCCGGAGGGAAGGCCGGACGGCGGCAGGACTAAGGCTGGCCCAAGGCTCTGGCGTAACCAGGGCCCGGCGTGGTACGCAGGTACGTAGGAGTGCAGGGGGTACGCCGGCGCGGAGCGGCTTGACGGCTCAGGCGGCTCGCTGTCGCCCTGGGACCTGACGCCTGACACCTGGCAGCAAGGGAGGGGCCGAGGGGAGCTTGTAATAGTGGATCGATTCCTATCCGGCCATTTGACGCTGACGCTAATTCCATTCTCTTACCTGCATTTGACTGGGTGCGCATGTTCCCAATCCGTCTCAATAATCCCAATCGACGAGAGGGGAGGCGCGCAGACCCTGACGCAGTGCCGATCGTCACTTCTCTGAGCCTGGCAAACCAAACAATTCCGTCATCGCTCCGTTCCCAAAATTAACCCACTACAACTGTCTATCTGGGGGGACTCAATAGTGTGGCTGATTCCAGAGCTCACGGGCGAAGTGACCGTGGGAAACCCGCCGCCGGCCTCCACCTCCACTCCTCAACCTCACACCGACTTCTGGGCGAGGAAGACACCAGTAGAGTGTTGTTGTTGCGCTGAACACATGCTCATCGGCATCGGGATTGATATCCTGTCACTGCCCCGCTTGCAGGCTTTGATTGCGCGCCGCGGCGCTCTCCGGTTAGCGGGCAAGATCTGTACGCCAGCAGAGCTTGAGCGCTTCAAGGCGCTGGCTCATCCCGTTCCGGAGACGTTGGACGAGCACCGGCTCAAGTTTCTCTCGACGAGGTGAGTCACGTAAGCCGAAAGTAAAGGATTGAGCGCTTTATAGAGAGCTGTAATGCTGTGAACTCGTATAGCTGACTTCAGATGGGCCGCAAAGGAGGCAGCGTACAAGGCACTCCCACCCGCTTCGATCAACTCGTGGCGCGACCTCGACCTGAGTCACGACAAGAAGGGGCGACCGACTCTGTCCCTCGTGCCCGCCAAGGCGGACGGAGTGACACTCATGCCGACGATATCTCATGATGCCGGCGTCGTTGTCGCATGTGTAGTTGCGCTCCGGCAATCGTCCGCTCCATGACCGCTTCCTCTCATCTCCTGTATTTTGGTTCTCGGCACCCGGGTCGACGATAGTGTACATGATAGATGCGAATGATACAACACTAGCTGCTCTATGCTATGCGGCTTAGTCCCTATCCTCACTCTCCACCACGAGGATGCGCTTCAGGACAGCGAGGACGGCGCGACACGCGCGGGTCCACCCCTCGTCGGCGCTGTCGCTCTTCTCCTCGGTGCTTCCACCAAGACCCATGATGCTCATGCTCGAGATAGTCGGGAGCGCAAGACCGGGCATACGGATCGGATGCCCGTTGATCTTATCCTTGGTAATTCTGACGTCAGCTAGCGTGCGCTGGTGACAGCTGAAGAGCTTACTCAATATTCCCCTCTCCCCAGGCGCGGCCGGTCTTGCGCCCGTAGTCCAGTAGCTGTCGGAGGCAGTCGAGCAGCGCAACAAGCGCATGATTGAAGCGCCTGTTCTGCAACAGGCGACTGGGTGACAGGTCCGCCGACGCGTACAGTTCGTACTGTCCCTTGTTCGGCGGCAGGTCCTCAATTCGGCTGAAGGAGCCGAGCGGCACAATCTTGTAACTGGCGATCAGCTGGGAATGACGCAGTCACAGCTTGTGAATGCACTCACGACTCAAAAGTGTACCCAACCTTGGCGGCGAGACGGTCGATACACAGCGCGACGAGGCCCCAAGCGGCGTTGATCTCGTCCCAGTCCACGTTCGGGCGTCCGCCGAGCCGCAGCCCGTTGATCGTGCCAACCGTGATGCTGCGACCTCCCTCGGAGGCGAGCGGCGCATGACCAATCTGGAATGCGTCATTGTATACGTTTGTGTTCTCGAGGTGCTCGAGCAGACTGCTCGAGAGCAGCAGCTGCGTCTTGGCAGTGCTCAGCGTGTGACTGAGGTGCGCGAGCTGCGTGCTCAGCGCTGTATGCGTGCGGAGGAATCTGATGTCAGCTCACCAACACCGTTCAAGAAGCTGATAGCGTAAGCGGTCGTACTCACTCAGACTCTTCCTGGTCAATAGCCTCTTCCTCCTCTTTGACCCGTCGCTCCTCCTCGCGCACAGCGTCGAGCTCGTCCTCCTTCTCCTTGAGTTGTTTCCGGAGCTGCTCCTCCTCCGCAGCAAGCTCCTCCTTGCGCTTCAGGAGAGCGTCCCACTCCTCGTCTTCGCCAATAATTCCCTCGCTCCCTTCGGCGCGCTTCCGTATCGTCCGCTCAAAGTTGATGTACGCGTCGCGTTCCCGCGTCAGGTCCTCGAGCTCACGCTGCAGCTCCTTCTGGAACAGGCCCGTGCACTCCATGCACAGCGGGTGGTCGATGTCCGTCCTGGCACTGAGGAGCGCATCGAGATTGGGCGCGGTGCGGAGGCCGCCTTCCCCGCCGCTGCCACCGCCTGGTGGGGGCGTTGATGCGCGGGAACTGGACGGCGTCGCCGATGCAGAGCGTGACGCCGACGGTCGCTTCTTCGGGGCGGCGGGGACGGTGGCGTTGTTCGGTGAAGAAGGAGAGGCGGGGAGGAAGACATAGCTCTCTGCGATGGGGTTGGCGCCCGCCCATGCGTGTGCCGCCGGTCGAGCTGCGGGTGGCTGCTGCGCGAGCTTCTGTGCCGGCGGTAACGAGGAGGGCGGTGATGGTGCCGGCAGCTGGCCAGCGATCAGGTCGACTTGGGACGGGGACGTCGTCGACGGGTCCCGAAGTAGTGGCTGGTGACAGCGCTGGCACGCGAGGCTGTCGTCCATGGCGCCGGTGATTTGGTGGTTTGGTGTTGTCAACAATATCTCGGTGGCCAAACGGCAACATATGCGTCATGCTGCCGACCGGCCGGGAGCAAATGGTGGTGGCATAAGCCAGCGTTATGCCATCACTATGTCTCTCGTCACGCCTTCCATGCATGTGCTCATCGCTCAAGGGACAAAGCACCGGGACCCTCGGCAGTAGTCCGCTGCATCCAGCTTGCATTCACACCTTCGCCGCCGTCAAAGTCAGTTGAGAAAGGCACAACGTCAGCTCGCCGCTTATCTGGGCAGTCGACTTCGGAGCCCCACGCGCGGGACCAAATCTTCCATCTCACTCCCAGCAATGTCCGAGATGACACGAACCGCAAGCAGATGTCTACGACATCATCCCAACAGCAAGCAAGCAGCCAGCAGCAATGGCCATGTCCCGCCTCTCAGCCCTGTGGCGTGGAACCGGCCCCGCAGCCGCCACGGCAATCAACGCGACGCCTTCCTCCGTCGCCGCCTCCCGACCCCCCACAACCGTGCCGCACGTCACCTCCGCGCCAGCCGAGGCGATCGAGACGGGCCAAGCGCTCCCGACGGGCGTCGAGCCGATCCTGAAGCCCGCAACGGACACTATCTCTCCTCCATCGACGCCGGCGGCCTCGTTCTCCGTCGACCCGGCGCCGGAGATCGAGCCCTGGTCCCCTGCCCGCCCCAGCAGCTCGACGGCGGAGAAGGGGAAGAAGAACGGCCGTGTATCAAGGTCGCAGCCGAGCTACGAGGTCGACGAGCTGGGACGGCGGAAGAACTACCCGACGCACGTCCCGCTGAATGCGGGGCAGAATGCGCTCCTTGCCGTCGGGAGTGGGCTCTGGGGCGTGATGAACTACGCGACCCGCCCGGACCTGATCGCGACGCTGAGCGAGACAACGTCCTCCTCCTTCCTCTCGACGCTGCACGAGCACATGAGCATGACGCCTGAAGGGCGGCAGATCCTCCGGGATCGCCCCACTCTGTCTTCGAAGACGGTCAACCTGGACTATTTAAGGGGGCTGAGGCGCGGCACCCTGGGCAGGGAGTATGTCGAGTGGCTGGACCGCGACGGCATCACGCCCGACTCGCGCGAGGTCGTGCGCTACATCGACTCTCCCTCCTTGGCATATACGATGCTGCGATATCGCCAAACGCACGATTTGTACCATACCCTCTTCTGCCTTCCCCCGACACTCGTCCACGAGCTCAGCCTCAAGGTCGTCGAGTGGGCCAACATGCGTCTCCCCGCTGCGGCGCTCTCATCGACTTTCGGCCCGTTGAGGCTCAGCGCGAAGCGGAGACGCATGTGGGCGCAGGACTGGGTGCCGTGGGCGCTGAGGCAGGGCGAGATGGGCCGCACGCTGAATGCGGTGTACTGGGAGAAGAGGTGGGAGCAGGGGATTGGAGAACTGAGGCGCGAGCTGGGAGTCGAGCGCATGAACGACCACAAGGTCGAGAGCCGGTGGAGGGGGTACCGCGTACTCCGGGAGATGGAGCGCGACCTCAGGCGCAAGGGCGAGTGGATCGACGAGCCCGAGGAGTGGTAGGAGCCGTAGAAACGCCATGGGTAACAGCCCGCAGGCCTGATGCATACGTGCAAGACAATGCTGGATACTGTGATGCTAAAGGTGCTAAAGGTGCTTAGGTGCTTAAATGGGGGAAGAGAGAAACCAAAGTGGGAAGGCTTGGGTACGGGTGGTGCTGTGAATGCTGGAAAGTTTGAGTTCTTCTAGGTGACCTGGGTGTGCAGCAAACGACACACCCTGCTACCTCATCATCGTCACGCAAGCTCGCTGCCGCTTAGAGGACACCCTGGGAGTAGTACTGGAACGTGTCATAGAGCCTGGTGTAGTTGCTTCCGGCCGAAGACACGATCAGACGGTCGAGGTACTGGTCGACGGCAGCAGTGGTGAGGCCGAGACAGAAGCGGTCGCGGAAGTGGTTGACCGTGTTCTCGCCAAAGAGGACGAAGCAGTCGAGCTTGCTGTCCTTCTGCATCAGCTCGACCATGGTGATTAAGCTGTCGCTGTGTTTCCGCGCGGCCTCGAAGCCTTGCTTGAACAGCTTGCGGAAGAGCTCGAAGCCCGGGCTGTCAAACCCGCCCATGATGTCAATGTACTCGAGGGGCAGCTTGAAGGGCGCCGCCTCGAAGCCAATGTTGCCTCCGGGACTGTTCGAGAGCATGAAGCCAAAATCGATGTGGATGATGTGCCCGTCCCGGTCGATCAGGATGTTGCCGTTGTGCCGGTCCTTGATCTGGAGCAGGTATGTGATCACGCTGTACCCGGCGAGCGACTTGATGAAATTGCGCCGCGCGCGCGCAAACTGCCCGCTGTCCGGCTTGCCGTACGTGTTCACAAAGTGGTCCATGAGCGACACGTGCCCGATCGGCGTGCCCTCGGCCACGCGGCGCGAGTACTCGCTCTTCTTGATCGAGTGCACCGACACAGCATCCGTGACCGTCTCGACGAGGCCAGACGTCTCGCCCGTGATCAGGATGCGGAAGAAGCGCGCCCAGCACTCGCATCCCTCGTCCTTCCAGATCTTGGTGAAGCGCTCAATCAGTTGTGTCGCGAGCTGCTCCTGCCGCAGGTCCGCGCCCGTCTTGACAATGACCGAGATGACGTCCCAGTTCGCGAGGTGGCCCCACGGCGACGAAGCACGGATACGCGACTTCTTCGCCGCCCAGCTCTCCTTGAACACGGCGGCGGAGGGGTCGGCCTTGTTGATCTCGCGGCGCACGATACCCTCGTCCTCGACTGTCTGGTTGCCGTCCGCCTGCTCGACGTGCACGCCTTCGGGGATCGCGGCCATGCGGCTGACACGCTCCTCCTCAAGCGCCATCATCTCCTCCATGATGCGCTCCCGGATCCGCGCCGCCTCGGCAGCAGCCAGGCGCAACTTGCCACCTGCCGCGCCGCCGGCAGGTCCAGCCGGCTCTGTCGACTCCTTGTTCGAGCCGGTAATCCAGCCAGTGCCAGGGATCCACTTGCGCACGCCAGACGAGCCCGACTGGCTGTGCTCCGGATTCGGCGGGACGAGGGACGCATTCAGCTGCGCGAGCATGACGGCTGCTGTCCGCATGCGCTCCGAATAATCCTCCATCGTGATGACGGGCTTTGCCCGCGGCGAGATCGTCGGCTCGAGAGGCACGGGCGTGATCGGGCGCGCGCCCAGACCTTCGGGCTGAAGCTCGCCGTTCGGCGTGCCCGGAACGCCGCCGGAGCCGAGAGAGGATCTCCGCGAGTGGTCCTCCTTGTTCCAGACCTCGAGGTCGAGCTGCTTGTTCTTCGGCGCGGCGGGGAGCGGCATCGAGTCGCTGAGGTCGACCATGTTATCACGGACAGAGAGCTTGTTCCCGAACAGCTGCTCCACGAGGTCCATCTCCTCCGGCTCTTCAGGGCCCTCGGGGATCTCCTCGATCGGCGTGCCCGTGGCGTCGCCAGTCTCTGCTCGGGAGTGAGACTGTGATCGCGAGTGGGCGGGAGACTCGGTGGCAGAGTCACCTCCGAGGGCGGCAGCGGACAGCGGAGCAGGCATGGCCGACCCAAAGCCCTCGGGAACGTGGTGGTCGAAACCCTCCTCCTTCTTCCGCCGCTTCAGGTCCTCGGCGACGACAATCTTCTTGAGCAGTTCCCTGTTCTCGCGCTTCATCGGGTCAAAGTCGAGATCGTCGACCAGAATCTCCACGTGCAAGAGGTACGGCGCACGCTCCGCCGAGTTGAGGACGACCGAGTCGCCGGGCGAGATGCGCACGACGCGCGAGTGTGCCCGTTTCGGCTGCTTCGGCTTGCCGAGGAAGGACGTCGGGGTGGGCTCCTCGTTGCGGTGGTGGTCCGCGTTGCACCACAGGGGCATGCACACCTCTGCGGGCAGGTTGTGGTTCAGGCTAGTGAGCTCGGCCCGGAGAGCCGAGATACGAGCCGGTTTCGGAATAACCAACAGCCGGTTACAGATGTCCTCGAGCAGGAGCAGGAAACGGATCTCGCTGCGCGTGTAGTGGCTCTTCAGCAGCTGTCGCTGCGCTGCAAGCGAGTACGCTGCGAGGAGCGACTCGGCAGACGGCGGACGATGCGCGCCAACCCTCGGTCCAAGGGAGCGGTTCAGCGACATGTCCGGCACAGAGTGGAACGGCTGGTGCGTCGTCTGCTTGCGGAAGACGGACGACAGCGGGGGCGTCGAGGTGTTCTGCATGAACGGATCCCGTCCGCGCTCGTCCTCCTCCTGCGACAGCAGGTTCAGCGCCGTCGTCGACACATGGTTCACCAGCGGCGGGCGGCTCGGTGATGACGACGCTTCGGGTTGCGTCGTCGCCGATCTCATCGGGGGTGTCGGGCGTCGGTTGATCTTAGTGTCCGATCTCGTCACTCCGTCTATGTTAGAGACAGAGCTCGCATCGTCGTCCGTGTCGCTCTCCTGCCCCGAGATCTGCTTCGGCTTCCTGTTCCAGGCGTCACCTCGAGGTCCATCGGCTCCTCCAGATGTGTCGACCTCGATCCGCGCGCGTGACGCAGCTGCGTCATCCAGTGGCCGCCTGCCCTGGGTGACGGCCCACTCTCCCGCGAGCTCAGTGAACTGCGGCATGGCAGGGGCTCCCGCCGCCATCAGGCCCATGCCCACAAGCGCAGCCCCGAGGTTTGCGTTGACGCGGACAGGCGGCTTCAGGCGCTCATCTGGCGGCAGACTCGGCTCGCGCCCCATAAACGGCGCTGCTGAGCTCGGCCGGGCAATGTGTCCGACAGACGGCGAGGAGGCGTGAGGAGAGGTAGGAAGCGATCGGTAGGGGTTTCGTGACGGTTCTGGCGGGTCGCCGAACAGAATCTCGTGGCAGCGATGCAAGACACGCTGGCAGATGTTGAACGGACGCGGGTTGCTGATGCGTGTCGGCGTCAGATCGTGCAGAGCCGATTGCATGAACCAAAAGGTCTGGATGTCAGCTAGAAGCCAATACAGACAGCTGTGAACCCACCAGCATGGCCATGTGTGCACTATCCTCCGCCCGCTGGAGCACGAAGCTCTCGAGCGCGTTGCTCTCTGTCGGTCTCGTAATGAGGAGGTGACTGGTGGTCAGCTCGTCGACATACAGTGCGGAGCTCACCATATCTGCGGCCAGTAGAACTCGACCTCCTCAAAGGGCATCGACTTCATGCGCCAGCATAGGTAGTGGCTGATTCCAATGCTCTCCGGGTACGTCTTGAGGTAGTGCAGAGCGACCGACACGGAGAAGTACGGCGAGAGGAATAGCCGTAACCTGGAACGTCAGCATTGTCTGCCCGCATGCACAATGGATGTCGAGATATCGGTCGGTCTGAAGCTTACAGAAGAGCGTGAGACATTGTGGCCGGGATGAACAGGCCTTCTGGAGGTTACAGAGGGCCCGCGGCCAAAAAGTTGGAAAGTCGAGGGGTAAAGTGTGGGCTAGCCGGGGGTGGGGTGTTGGCGGCGAGAGGTAGCGGTGGACGTTGAATTGGATGTATGCGGGTGTCGCTGATTGCACGCCGGTGCGTCCGGAAATGATACTGGGTGCAATGCGGGGATGCAGGAACGAGGGCGGTGGGAGAATGAAGAGGGGAATATTGTCGCTCCTTGTCAACAGCGTTAGCGGCTCGACGTCTTGGCCGATCGACACGTTTCCAGTCCTTCAGAGGAGTCTGCTTTCGGCAGAGTCGGGGCGGCGGCGGCGAGTCGAGGGCAGGAATGTCGGGAGCCAGGTGGTCTATGCCGGAACGCGCAGTGCCATGGCCCCCGATGTGCGGGTGCAGGGGTGGTGCGATGGGAGGGAGGGATGTCAACAGGTTGAAAGGAAAGACGAAGGCGAGTGACGACGGACGATGGTGATGTTGAACCGGGACGCATGGCTGATACCGTACGGCGTCCCTGACTGGCCGGCTGGCACGGCTGGCGGTATGGCGGTCGGCCACCTCGCCAGGTGTCATGACACCGTCCTCTGCTCAGCGTACCCGGCCCGCGACTGTGTTGAATTTCGACTGGCGGCTGGGCAGTAGTGCATAATGCATGCGTTTCTATTGTCCCCCCTGTGCCCATCAAGCGTACAACAAAATGCATGCCACGTCCCTCGCTCTATATACGGAAATAGGCTCTTACTCGTCATCATCATCCGCTATGCTGAACACGTTCGTGCCGTCGCCCTCGCCGTCAGAGTCGCTGCCAGGATCAGACGACTTGGACTTTCTGCGCTTCCCAGACGAGTTGACAGAGACGCCCAGCGGGTCCTCGCTCTGATTCCCGCCAGCGTCAGTGTACGGCTTGTTGCCGGGGGCCGGCGAGGAGCGAGACGAGTGAGAGTGCGGGTGAGGGCTGACGCTGAGGCTGCGCAACTTGGACGCCTGGGCTGCCTCTGCCTCCTCCTGCGCGCGGGGAAGGTACGGGACGTCTCCGGCCGCGAGGGCGGGGAGGCTGTCGGTGCTGTCCGAATTCTGGATAAACGTCTCGGCCGGTGGCTGTGATGGCGAGTCGGGAAGGAAGGTTGTCGCCAAATGAAAACAACATGTGACAATGCGCCAAGGGATTCAGCGTCAGCTTTGCATTCAACCCAGCCATTGATGCGGAAACTCACCCCGTCGTCATCTGTTGAAAGCCGCAGGGGAGCGCGAATACCGTGAAGCCTGCTTTGTCAGTTGATCGAATCTGCGTCGCACAACTCACGGCAGCACAGTCTCCTCCCTCCTCTTGCGGTAGTAGTACCACGCGCCCGCGGCGGCGGCGAAGACGACAACGACAAAGATAGTCGGCCACATGGATCCTCCGTGTTGCTTGTGTCCTCTCTTCTGGAGCATGCGCTGGAGCTTCTGCACTGCTTGGTGCGGTGCAGCGTGCTGTGCTGGATGTGGTGAAGTCCAAGCACACCTGTGCCGTGATTGCGGGGCAAGATAAGTGCAAGTCACGAGCGGACGGAACCAGATGTCCGCTCACTCGGCGTCATGCGCTGCCTCCCTGTCCAACCACCGCTGCACCTTTACGCATCGAGCACATCGTGAGGAAGGAAGGTCATGCCAATATCATTGTACACAGTCTACGGATCCAATCTACTTAGGCAGGCGCGACGCGGAGCGAGTTGTAGTGCTGCGTGTGTCAGTTATCTTCCAATTTCGTAACTCACCTCGCCAAGACCGTACATCCTCCGGTGGTACGAGATACGAACGACACCGTCGCCGAGCGCCGCGCTCTCTTCCGGCGTCGTCGCTCCACCGAACGCATCGTTCTGCCCGCCGTGCGACACGACGACCGGCGGCCCGCACTGAATGACGTGGATCGGGATGTTGAACGCCCGCGAGAGAGCCTGAATCTGAGATTGTCAGCTGCAAGCTACGACTCGAGCCTTGGACATACCTCGGGCTCGCCACCCCACTCCGCAGTGCTCTCCACACGGTGACAGTACTCCCTGTACTGCTCCGGCGTCATGATGCCGTCGTCAGTGGCACCCGGCATGTCCTCGCCATCAACGCTCGCGAGGAACGGAAGGAAGTCGTCCTGGTGCTCGCGCATGTACTTGGCAGCGGTCCGGCGCGTGTGGTACGGGTTGTTCGCCTGGTGTGTCAGCTCAACAGGCCCCAACAAAGCTCACCTGCTCCGCCGGCAGCACTCCCATCTGGCCGAGCTGATCGGCAACGGCGGCATACATGCAATGTCCGTCGGGCTGGACCTCGTAGATCGATCGACCGAGCACTCCGCACGCATTGCTGATGACGCGGATCTCCTCCTGACGCTCGGCCTCAAGCTGAGCGTTCCAGCTCGGGTCCGCCGGGGGCGCAGACTCCAGCAGGGCCTGTTGCTTGCGAGCCTGGGGTTGTCAGCCGGTGCTACCGGGAATCGGACGAGATTCCAAGTGTGCCTGAGGCGCGGGGTTGAGAAGTAGCGGGGCCGACCGGTGGAGAAGGGCATACCGGCAAGCAGAAGGGTGACCGAGGATCGGACTCGTGGCCACTCGCCAGAAAGACGATTCCAGCAGTCCGCAGCCAGACGTACTCCATTTGGCCGCAGCGGTTGGAGAACAGCGTCTCGAAGCTCGCGCACGTACGGCACGCCGATGCGCCAGAGCTTGGCGACCATTGGAGGTGGGAGGAGAGCGATGGTCACAATACAGTCATGGACTTTGTTGTGCTGTCTGCGCACATGCCTTCCGGCGACGTGACACTGTTCCGACGTGCGGATGCCCTTCTAGCACGATTGGGCTGCGCCGGCATCGTGCCAGATCGATCCACACGTGTTGGCGTCGAACGATCGCCCTCCGGTCTGCAGCACCCGATCTTGAGTGCCGAGCGCAGCGCCTCGCGGCGCCAAGGTATCTGCCCCAGTCTTCCTTCCAGGAAGTGAAGATTCTTGGACCTCGCAAACTCACCTGTCTCTCCGCAAACCTCTGCTTCGAGCTCTTCTTTCCGCCTCGTCCGCCCTGCTGTCCGCCAAAGATTCCATGTCCGGAACCATACATTCCGCCTCCACCTAAGGCTGCCGGCGCGCTGGCCTGCGATGGGGCGGGGCTCGCATTTCCGCCGGGGACGGCGGCGCCGTTGGTGGTCGACTGAGGGGATGGGGGGACGGGGATGGTCTTGGCCTTGGCCTGTTCTGGTGACGGTGGAGCGGACGTCGAATCGTCACCGGCGAGGATCGCGTCAATGTCGAGCGGCTCGCTGCTGATCGGTGTGTCGTACGGAGATGGTGACTCGCTGTTCTGCTGCTTGTTGAGCAGCTTCTTGAGAGCACGTCGCTTGCCGCCTCCCATCGTTGCTGAGTATCGGGATGTCTGGTAGTAGAGCTGAGTGGATAGCAGAAGAGCGGATTGAGAGCCAGAGCCGCGGGCTTAGCGTCTGCCTGGTGAACTCAAATCCACCGCCCTGCCCCTGCCGTACAGTCGCTGGCCGGTTTTGACTCCGTGATCCGCGCGTCCTTCAGGACCAGACCCGCGTCCGACATGAGCGTCATCGTCACGGTCACGGGGGACGCTCGGCACTCGGCGCAATTCATCATTCATGAGCCAACCACCACCACCAGCGGACGCCGAGATACGCGAACGGAAACGTAAGGCTGCATATGCTTGACTACTGATCTGCGCGTCTCGATGAGATCAAATCATGTATATCTCATTAAAACTCCTCTATGCACGCCTACGGCATCATATCATCGTCATAACGCCTAAGCCACGCCTGGATACAAAAAAATTACTCAGAAGAACAGGTACGTAAGGATGAAAACGACAAAGACGAGACCGGCGCAGACCTCGACGGGCACTCCCTGCGCCGGGGCGGCCTGCACAGCAGTGGCAGTCTTGGTGGCAACACCACCGTCAGCGGCCGCACCGCCGCGCTTCCTGAGGCCGACAACGTTGGGGCCCTGAGCCTCAGCCAGCTGAGCGCGGAGGCGGTCGTTCTCGGCAAGGAGGGTCTGGAGCTTCTCCTTGTCCGAGGTGCCGATGTCGACAGACTTCTCGAGAGCAATGTTGGTGGGGGCAGGAGCGTTCGAGGCAGCAATGTCGGCAGTGGTGAGAGACGGGATGCCGCCCGAGGTGTCACGGTGAGCGTCAGACTGCGTACCGTGGCCGGCAGCGCGCGTTCCGGCGAGAGCGGCAAGGCCAGTGGCACCGCCGGCGGCAGCACCGGTGAGGCCAGCAGAGGTGGCGTCGACACCGCCGACGCGGGTAGGGGTCGCGGGAAGGTCCTTGTTGCCGTTCAGCTTGGAACCAGTGCCGGCCGCGGGGGAAGCCTCGGCAGCAGAGTAGATAGCCTAAGGCGTGTTAGCACTTTGTTCTGTCGCTGTTGACGTTGGGGTAGTATGTCATGCACAGTTCCCGAGGGAAGACAGGGTGAGATGGAAATAGCACAAACAGGATACACGACGATCTGAGGGGGTGCACCGGACTGCTCGACCTTGATGACGAGGTCACCGGGAGCACGTCCGAGAGACTTGGGCTTGCAGTCAAAGGGATCTTTGGTCAAGACTTCCTGCGGGGTCGTGGCAGGAGGATCGTCGAGCTCCCACACGGTCCAGCCGCGATTCGGATACAGATCCGCTGGGAGTTCACGCTCGGCGACTGTGGTCCAACGAGTGTAACCAGGCTCATTATGCTGCGAAGAGGGAGATGAACACACGAGCACCAGGAGGCGTATTGAGGGATGATAACGGGATAAGTGGAGCGACAAGCTCAGAACGGTCACGCGTGGAAAGACAGCACGACAGGGGATGTGTGTACCCCAACGAAATCAAGGAATGAGGGTCACTTACCGACTCGTCAAGCCTGCTGGTGTCGTGGGTAGTGTCATGGGGTGATCCCTCCTCCTCCTCGGGGATTCCGTTGGCGTTGCCGGAACCGTCCTCGGCGGGGAGGTAAGCGCAGCGAATCTTCTGCTCCTGGATGCTGGCCTTGTTGGTGCGCTCGACAGAGGCCCACTGGAAGGGTCAGCACTCGGTTCAAGTTGAGCCTGCGGATGAGTGGTGCCCGGAAGGAGCGTCATCTCCTACACAGCTCCACCCGATCACGCCCTACACATACCATCTCCGGAAGCGAACGCATCTCCTCGTCGGCAGGGATGAAAGCCGACTGAACGAGGAACTTGTCCTTGCACTTGGCATGGGGAGGGGGGTCCTGGGGTAAAGGCTGAAGAACGACTGCGCACGTCAGAATGCGACCAATGATCAAACGTCAGTGCTACGTACTTTGAACCTCGAGGTTCTCGCCAGGCTCGACGCGGCCCTGGTTAGGGCGGACGCAGTACTGCTTGGGGGCAGTAGTCTTGACCTTGAACGCGACGGGAGACGAGTGGGGGTTGTGAATGTAAAGCGAACGCTTGACGATGGTCGTCAGCGGGCCTGGAGCGGTCAGCGCTTATGCTTGTTTGATCGATAGCTTCGGACTAGTCAAGAGCCGAATGCGGCTACATTGTTCTTCATCGCCGGCTTCGCACCCATCTCGATGCGTGACGCTCGTAGGTATCGGATTGCCGCCTTACGGCGAAGCTCCCCTGTCAGACGCCTATGAGTATGAGTCATAGGCCACTGACGAAATTGCCGACGGCCTAAGTGACGCAGAAGATGCAGTGATAGACCGTGCTGAAGCGCGCTGCAGCTCCCGATGCGGAGAGTGATACTCACGGGGGAAACCCAGCTGGTTGGGCGGGGTGAGAGTGACGGACATGGTGTATGGATGTCAATCAGGAAAGAAGAAGTGTGTAATGTTCGAGTTGAATGGCGGGGTGGGTGAGAGAAAGGCGTAAGCGTGGGCGGGTTCGAGGGACGCGTTTTAGTGGCGTCTGGGGGCGATAAGGAAAAGGTCAAAGACGGCTTGATCTACAAACTTGATGCTGGTGAGAGCGACAAGTCGGCTTTGCCTGCTGGGGAAGGGAGAGTAAAGGTGGGGTGGATGGATGGAGATGAGAAAGAGAAAGCAGATGGCGGTGGTGAGGTGGTGTGACGAGTGACATGTCATACATGGCGGAGAGGGTGAGGCATGTTCGGGGGGTCAGCGGGCGCGCGGGCAGCTGGCGTGCTGGGCTGGGCGCTGGGTGATGGATCACTGCCTAGGGCCTAGGGGGCGCGGAATCTGAGTGTGGGCCCAGCCCGACGGCGGCCTCAGCCATGCAGCCAACGACCGACGCCAGGCTGGCTATCTCTCGCTCTCGCGCAACAGGAGAACCCAGCGCATGCACAGTGCATGAGAGACAGCGCGTCAGCCTGGCTGTGCAGTCCAAGTGCAAGTCTATGGTGGATCCTGTGGAGGCCATGACGCACTAGTTGCAGGGTCCACCATGGCTCCCAATCCTAAGCTCCTAGCTCCTAAGCTTCAACTTTCGTGTCGAGCGCTTCCCAATAACCGCTTCGTCCAACATGGCATCAAGCCCAAGGCCGGACAGGCAGTGCCCGGTGTCGCCTGCGCCCGGGTACAGGGCACCAGGTCCGGCAGGGACGCGAGAGGGACCCATCCTAGGCCATCCTGCATGCCTGCAACGGGGCGGGAGCATTTTCTGTCCTGGCAATCCTTGATCGCAGTGATCATCGTACTCCTTTCTGAACCTTCGCCGCATGCCGCGCGCGCGCCCCCGCCGTCTCCACCCACACGCACCCATGTACCCATGGCCCACTCTGCCAATTGTTTCATCCCCCTGTAGCTCATCATCCTTTGTCCTTGGCCTCGCTTCCTGCCTTGCGACCTTTGTTCATCGCAGAGTAGTCGCTGAATGCTGAATGCACCAACACACCACCCCACTGTACACTGCGCAATAATGCTCCACTGCTCGTCATCTTCGCTTCATCGTCCATGCACTACATGTCGAATAGCTATCTCGCCCCGTTCAGCAGCAGAGAATGCGTGCCTCAATGCCGATCCCCGACTATTGTCTCAGCCAAGTGGCCCGTCCATGCCATGGCATTGTTTGCCACAGACACAAAGATATAGCTATAGACTGACGTATACCACCACTCACAAGATCTGCTCGCCAGGGCGCACGGCCCTTTCGTCGCCGCTTTGCGCGTGCTCGCCGTGCAACACGGTGAAGCTCGTCGATACCGATAGCGACAAGGGCCACCGCATATCTATCAGCAGACCCGAAAGCCATTGCAGTGGCCAACAACTGCTCCTTGCTTAGGCAGTCACGTCATCGGTCACCACATGATCCTGCTCATTGCTCTCCAGAGACATCAGCTGGCCGCCGCCGATCAGCTCCACCTGCAGATGGCGGCGATGAGCGACCAGGACCAGCAACTGCCCTGCCTGACAAGGGCTGGAATCGCCACTTCGCGTGCTTTCCACGTGACAATGTTTGTTAGGCTCACTTGACGGTTCGGGACGTACGATTGGTCAGATTCGTCATGGGCACGGGTGAGCTTTCAGTGTCGTGACTGGGGTGAGGCTGGCATCCCTCTGAGCCTTTTGCTTGGTCGGAACCTACCTCCACGGCAAAGCAACTCGCTCGAGTGGAGGTGGAGGGTGAACATCACTTCCTCTGCTTCATCTCTAGTACCAGCCCCCACACTACCCCGCCGAATCCGACATCGACGCAACTCCCGGCGACGCTGCAGCTTACAGACGTCTCTGATATTGCAGAGCGCCGCTTTTCGGGCCTGACAAGTGCTCACCTTCTCTCGACTCCACACGGAGGACCGACCGTCTCCCACCGTAACTGAACGTCCCTCCACCTCTCCCAGCCCTTCCCTTCTTTCTCATCTCGACGCATCTTCCGTACTCATCAGTATGCCCGCTGCTCGCAAAGGAGACGGAAAACCAGCCACCTTTGGGTGTGCCTACGAAGGATGCGGTCAGGTGAGTAGATGCTTGGATTCCACCCCACCACTCAGCCCAGAGGTCTGACAAATTCCCCAGACTTACAGCCGTATGGAGTATTTGAAGCGGCACCAGAGAAAACGTGAGTTATGGCCGTCTCTTTCTATCCTCGTACGCTGAAGCTGACCATTGCAGACCAGGACGAACGTCCGTTCCAGTGCAAAGACTGCTCCAAGGCATTTGCCCGTAGGTGAGTACGCGTTTGGTGACGAACCTCCACCTCCGCCGCCGCCGCCCTCCACAACTTCTTTCTGGCCACACTTGTTTTCTGTGGTTTGCAATCGTCACTGACACATCGAACAGCGATGTTCTCCTGCGTCACCGTCGCAGATGCCATCCTACCCCGCCGCCACGCGACCGCTCACCGCACTCGCCCATGCCCCCTGTGCGTGCCCACCCCTCTGTGCCTATCTCTTCCTCGCGTACATCGGAACGCGAAGCTTCCCCCGCCCGCGCTGGCCGCAAGCGTGCTTCCGAGAACACCGAAAACGAGCCTGCGAGCTCGAGGCCTCGTTTATCACCGGGCGAGGAAGACGATGACCGATTCGACTCACGGTTCTCCCGCAACGGAATGGGCAACGGCGGCGTCTACGGTGTCTCCAATTATTACGGAAACAACCCGGTTTCCACCGATGGCGACTACACATCGGGTATCCTGCCAATGTTCAACGGCGCCAACAACGCCTTCCACAACATGCATGATCCCAATCACCTAGAGGATGCGTCTGTGCTGCTGTCGATGGCCTACCCTGGTGGTGTCCCCGGGTCCGACGCCAGCCCGACTATCGGTATGGTGCTGGGGGAGACCGGCGGTGCGGAGGAGACCGCCGCTGCGGCCACCACCAAGACAGACGACGCGAACGACAACAACGAGGCAACTGTTCCTACCTCCGAGAATGAGGCCGACTCTGCCAAGTCGGGTTTTGATTCGGGCGCCGTCGAGAACCCGGCTCGGCCGGCGGCGCCGGGAGCTGTGCTGCCCGAGTCGATGGGGAACCTGGACGGATCGATTAACTGGCTCAATGCCAGTGGTCAGGATGGAGGCGACGCCTCGAACTGGCTCTCATCGGACTCGTCTCGTCCCCTGTCACCCTTCAACATGACCAACCTCTTCAACTCGTCCTCGTTCAACCTGTTGTCTAACGAAACAACTGCAATGGCGATCGCCGCAGCGGCTGCGGCTGCCACGGCGGGTGTCAGTCCGAACACCACCAACTCTGAGGGCGAGCAGCAGCAGAACCAGAACCAGCAACAGCAACAGACGCAGCAGCAGCCGCAAAGGAACGTGAACGACGTTGTCGCCAGGATTCTTGAGCAGCTCGCCATGAACGATGTGCCCGAGACGAGGGCCAACCCAAACCCCGAGCGCCCGCTCCTCCGTCTCGCCAACAAAGAGATCGTGATTCGTGGAGGATCAGAGACCCCTCAGTCCTCCAGATTCTACCTTCCCGCCGACCGCTTCGCTGGTTGCTACCAGATCCCCCACTGGGGCCTTCCCCCTCTGCGCACGCTGTCTCTGATGGCCGCGCGCACGTACTACACTGTCCTGAACCACTGCTCGTTTGTCCATGAGCCGACATTCCAGCTGATCGACACTGCCGCGTGTCTCGCTTTTGCCATCTGTACCGTCGGAGGAATCCGTCCGAGCGGACGCAACCTCGCCCTCGCTGCGGCATCCAAGTCTACAACTCAGGACAGGCTGCTCGACTCTGCCTGGGAGGGCGTCTTCAACGATTATGGCAACTTTGGTGTTGGAGTCGATCCGGAGGAGGAGGAAGACCGCCGCCGTGTCGAAGAGTGGGAGGGCGGCCAGATTGTGCGCCACGAGAAGACCAACATGCTTGTCAAGTCATTCTCGCTCGCCAAGGGCGTGCTCATGTCCGAGTACAATGTCGCTCTCCTCCAGGCCCTCATCCTCTACCACGCTCCGTACTTCCTCTCGGAGCACGAGCACGAGCGCCGTCAGGCCAACATGTTCCTCGCCACGATCGTGAACATTACGCGCCAGATTGGCTTCTTCTCTACGGACGAAGACCACGTGAAGCCCAACACGATTCTGCCCACCATCCCCTTCTCGCCCTTGGAGCTTACCTCTGCCTGGAAGCGCTGGGTGCACCTCGAGTCCCGGCGGCGAACGGCCTTCCTCGTGTACCACCTGGACACGGTGTCCGCTCTCGAGTCCAACTTTGGCCCGGCGATCATTCACCCGTCAGAGGTTGCGCATATCCCTCTCCCCGCCCCGGATAGCGTGTGGAAGGCCAGCTCCGCTGAGGAGTGGTACCGTGCGTGCCAGTCGTGGCGTCCGATGACGCTCGACGAGGCGATGCGCCGGACGTTTGACCTTCCCCCCTCTGGACCCCTGGACGAGGCGCCGAAGGGCTTGGCGCTGGACCCGAATCTCCTCCACGACGGAGAGTGCGGTGCGTTTGCGCGCACCGCGATCATCATGACGCTGCTGCGCGGCATCATGGACCTGGGCGAGGGCCGCCGCTCGCACGGCGACTGGCGCGACCTGACTGACCTGTGGATCTCGGCCAACCACCTGCGGCCGAGCAAGGTGTGCCTGTCCGCCGATGGTTTCCCAATCGGCCAGTGCAGTCCGGAGGCGCTGCGCGCGCGTTTCAGCCTGGGGCTGCAGCGCTGGCGTGCCGGATGGGACGCGGACCCGAGCTGCGTCCAGCAGGCGTCGTCTCCCGCGCCGTCCATCCCAACCCCCGCCGCCAGCACGCCCGGCACCGTCAGCGATACGGCGAGCAGCACCAAGGGCGCCCCGCGCCCCGTGTACTGCGAGGAGGCGCTGCCATTCTACGTCCTCTCCAACTCGCTCATGGAGGTGCTCGCGGGCCAGCCGCCGACGTCGCGGCCAGGGTTCAACGCCTTCGCCAACGTCAAGTACGACCAGATGCTGAATGCGAGCCGCATTCTGGCGCGTGCGGGCGAGATTTAGACGTCGCAGCGCGGAACACTCTTATCGTAGTTTCTTATGGTCTTCTTCTCGGTATACATACCCCCTCCCTCGATTCGCCTTCCGCAGAGTCCCAAGTTTGATTCCAGAACTCGCAATTTCACACCTCCCATTCCCATTTCCCGATCCCCACACACAACCCAAGACGCACCGGCCAACATGCCGCAGCTATTGTAACGTACCAGACTCAGTGATGCTATGTTTGTGTTGATAAGAGCGGGGCGGGGGATTGGCCGCACTGGTGGCATCGTGAGGCTCGTGCTGATGCAAGCGGGTTTGGTCTGTGTGTATCTTGTGCATAGCTTGTGCAAGACTGAACCGATCCGGAGCGGTGCGAGGATCGAGGTCGAGTTGAACTTCGCGCCACCGCGCCACCGATACGGGGCCCCCGGACGACATTTCGATCGCCCTCTTGTCCGTCGGAAACTCTCGTCGCCAGACCTGTGACGCACTGACAGATCTCCTCTTCTAAACTTTCACTCATCACCAAGAAGGACACAATGACAATATCCCGGCGTCCACTACGCATAGCAACGGTGCAGTTTGATCCGAAGGTATGTCTTTTCCTCTCCCTCCCTACTTCCAGCTAGGGGTGGAAGCTGACGCTGGGGCGGGCACTGACACCAGCTCGGCCAAGTCGCGGCGAACGCGGAGCGTGTGCGACAACTCACCGCCGAGTACGTAGGATGACTGGGAAACAGCTGACGGCAGTCTCTCCCCTGATGCCGTTGATCTGCTAGTGCTGCCGGAAATGGCGCTGACGGGGTACATGTTCCCCAACTCCCTGGCCATCGGCCCCTTCCTCGAGCCGGGCGGCAAGGGCCCAACGTCCCAACTCGCGTGCGAGCTGGCGTCGAGGCTGGACTGCTACGTCGTGGCGGGGTATCCTGAGTCTCTCCCCCCGGACGAACTCCCCGGCCCCGTGAGCCCCGGAGAGACGGAAGGAGCGGCCGGGGCGGCTGGAGCGGCCGGAGTGGCTGGAGTGGGAGGAGGAGAAGGAGGAGGGGGAGTAGGGTACAACTCGGCCGTTATTGCTGGCCCCTCCGGCGTCATTGGGAACTACAGAAAGACCTTCCTGTTCGAGACGGATAAGGTGTGGTGTCGGCCTGGCGATGGGTTTGGGGTATTTGATCTGGAGGGGGTTGGACGGGTGGCCGTGGGGATCTGTATGGGTGAGTCCGCCTCGTTCACTCGCCCTTCCGCCATATGTGGACTGAGTGCCGCTGGCCGGCGCTGGCCACCGGCGCTGGCCATAGTGGCGCTCGTCCTGCTCGCTATCGCCCACTAAGGCTCGGAGAGTGTTCGGAGTGTTCGCCGCTCACCGCTCGCTGATGCTCGCTGACGCTCGCGCTGACGCCAGACATGAACCCGCGCGACTTCTCGGCGCCCTGGAACGCGTTCGAGCTCGCGACCCACGTCGCCTCAGTGGACGCCGATGTGCTCGTCGTGCCCATGAACTGGCTCGATCCGGACGAGAATCTGTCCCACGACTCGGACTCGAGCTCGGACGAGGAGGACATTGCACACCGCGACTTCATGGCTGAACCGAGCGCTGGTAATCTCAATTACTGGGCGGCGAGGCTGACGCCGTTGCATGTCGGCGCTGCTAAGGGCCGGAGGAAGGACGTCGTCTTCGTTGCTGCCAACCGGTGCGGGACCGAGGAGGGCACGACGTTCGTTGGCACGTCCGCCGTCATGCTCCTCACTGCCGACCCGCCAAAGGTCCACCTTGGCGCTTATTGCAACCGCGGCGAGGAGCGCGTCATGACTTGTACAATCGAGTGAACCGCATGAACGCGTGATTTTGTTTTCTTGCATCAAATTCTAGAATAGCCGTGCTTACTGCCCAGCAATGAAAGGTCAGGTGGAGGAGGTACGGAGGTGTCGGGGTGTATTGGGCTTGCGTTGCTGCGGTGCAACGCCTAGTCTACAGAGCGTGAACACTCGGGGACGCGAGCGCGTAGCTGCTTACTTAAAACTTGGGCGCCGGGCACTCGTAGGTGGTGGGCACCGAACCAGTGTTGAGGATAAGAGCGACAATGAGACCGTAGAGACCCAGGACTTCGGCGAAAATGAGAATAAGAACCATTCCGACGAAGAGACGAGGCTGCTGAGCGAATCCACGGACACCGGCGTCACCGACAACTCCAATGGCGAAACCGGCAGCGAGACCGGCAAGACCGACAGAGAGACCAGCACCGAGCTGAACAAAGCCGGTGAAGAGGGGCATGGGCGACTTGAGGCCACCAGCGATCAGGACAGACACGACGAGACCGTACTGCGGGTCAGCTCTACAAGCACTCTCATGAACTCACAATGGCAAGAATACCAGCCATGACGACGGGAATGACACCCTGCATCATCAGGTCAGGACGAAGGACAGCCATGGCCGAGACTCCGACACCAGACTTGGCGGTACCGTAGCTGTTCACGTGACACGCGCATGAGGTGATAATCAGTATTCGCGGTTCGGATGACGTCGGAAAGCGAGACAAGATAAAAAGAAGGCCGAACAGTTGCAATCGGAGAGCATAGCGTCAGTTCAGTGCTCCAGCGATGGAGGAACTCCAGCCAACTCGCGATCCGGCTGAATGCCGGAACATCGGAGCTCTCCGCGTTCCTCCAAAAACATGTCACTCACGCAGCGCCCATCGAGGTGAAGACGATGGCGGCGGTGGCGCCCATGGCACCGAAGAAGGGGGCGTAAGCGGGGCAAAGGTCGGCGGCGGTCGACATTCTGTCTTGTCAGCCAACGTGTTCAGTGTTGCCAAGGCTCCCGTCAGCCTGCGATCGATTGCACCGCCACATCGCGTCGGAGGAAGGTCTGGAGGCGGCATTTCCGCAATCACTGAGCGAATGCAGCGGCATGGTCCCCAGCCCTATCCTTCTCGTTGACGTCGTCGGTGCTGTCGGTGCTATTGTCGGTGCCGTCTACTCACTCGATCGTTGTCTGGGGTGGTTGGCTGGAGCTGAGCGTCGATGACTATGACGGAGGTGGGTGACAGCGCTGGAGGGACCGCCAGTCAGCCCTCCCCCGGGGATTCGGCGTTCGCACTTGTGGCGTATGACGTATTGGCCACCCAACTCCCAAAAGTCGAGACGTTTCAGATGCATCAACAATATCAATCGAACGCCTTGCATGGACGCGCGACAGTGCTCTGCATGACGGCCAGAGAGGCGCGACGAGTCTCCCGATCTCAGTCAAATCACCGGAGCCAAGAGCGATTCTACCATGGAAGCTAACATGGAATGGCGCAACAAGCGCCGGCGCTCAGAGTCAATTTCGAGCGAGTCCGAAGATGAGGGATCCATGCGCTCACGAACACCGTCGCCCGAGCCCGCTCACACCACCAAGTTTCACCGTGGCGAGTCGCCTCCGAAAGAGCTGCTTTGCACCCTTCCACCGACCTGCTCCCAACCTGGCAAGGCGCAGGCGTTCGCGACCCAGGCGGAGCTCGACGCTCACCAGGCATCCTTGCATCAGTGGATCTGCCGAGTACCTATCAAGGACAAGGTTGGCCGCGTCGGCGAAGGCGACTTCGTAATCGTGCCGGAGCAGTTCAGCGGGCGGTCAACATTCGGCAAAGGCAACAAATGGCGAGAGTGCGGAAAGGTGTTCCCCGAGGAGAGGCTTCTAGACCTGGTGAGCTACGCTTGGCTGAGGTCAGCTAACTGTCAGCATTACACGGAGACTCACGATCCCATAGCACGGGAGCGTCAGGAGAGGGGCGAGGATATTGTGAGTACGAACGCACGTCCTACGAAGGTATCGCTGACCTCCTCAGTTTGCTTGCTTCCTCCCCGAAGGTCAGTGCAACAAGCTATTCCCGACACCGAAGAAGAGACGATGGCACATGGTCAATGAGCACCGTGAGTGGATCGATCGTTGAATGACGCTTGAGCTAACGACAGACTACCCGCACGACTACTTCTTCAGCATCACGAACCATGGGGTGAACCAGATCACGCGGCAGGAGGGCCCGGCGGCGTCTTTGATCAGACCGCGTCGTGATCCTCCACCGCCTGAAGAGCAGCGACCAAAACCGGCTCGTCCTCCGCGACGGCCATCTGACGACCTAACGAGCATTGACGATCTGACGACGAAAATGGAGAGTCTGGAGAGCTCTCTGGCGTTTGTGCCGAGCGGGGTGAGGAAGGCGCGAGCGCGCAGGGCGATGGACTTCTAGAAGAAGAGGTGCTGAACCACAGCATGCATGTATACTACCCATATCCATTGAATGAGGCCTGTCCTGGTGGAGCAGTATGCTGCACTCCATGACAGCTTGAAGCGCTGAATGTCACAGGCGACGGCGCACGGTCGACGAGCTACGCTGACGGTCACGCCACTGCCCGGGCGGTGATTGACGATCGTCACAGGGGCGCAGATTGTCGACGGTTGACTCACCCCTGCGGTCATCTGTCAACACGGACGCTCGGGCGTCTCTTCTTGCTCGCACACTTTCGACTTAACTTCATCATCGTCCTGCCGGCAACGTTGACATCATTTGCCCTTCCTTCAAGATGTTGCAGCTACCGGCAGAGCTGAACCTCATGATCGTTCGACAGCTGTCTCGCGAAGACCTGTTCAGTCTCTTCTTCGTCTGCAAAGAGCTCAAGGCTTTCATTCACCCCCTCTTCTATGAGCACCTGCTGTATACCAGTATGGGATTCGCGTTTCCCCACGCGCCCAACGCATACCCCTTCCTCGACATACCCAATCTCCGCGTTCGGGACCCCGTCTCTGCTGAGGAGCGTGAGGACATCATGAAACGAGTGCGCTCAATCACAATTGCCCGGCACAATCATGAAGATTGTGCAGGTTGGCCGAAGTTTCAAGAGCACGGCAGCTTGGAAGCCAAGGCGGAGCTCCTCTCAATCGAGCTGGCCGGTCCATCCCCTGATGGCATCGCCGAGTGTCACGAACGCGTTTGGCCTCCCGACTGCGACATTTGCGAAGATGACCCGGACCATCGGTACTCTCACGAGAATATCGGCCATCCGTTCCCCACCTGTGCCTTTGTGGAGAGCCTCGGCAAGTCGACTGCGGAGACGATCGTCATCAAGAACTATCCTATCCTTTCAGATGGAGTCAGGCCAGACTTCCTTTGTGAGGTAATCAACTCTGCCTCGCACTTCGTGATCTTACTTGAACCCCATTTCTTCAAAGTTTCTCAATTCAGCGATACCTATGATTATCTCTACTTCGACGAATACCCAGAAGACGACTGTCCATACGGCTTCCGCGCTGTGAAAACGCTTCTGAGTATAATCCCCCCCGACGCCAAGGACGTAACGCTCATTTTCAAGACACGTTCGCCTGAAATTGAGTGGGCACCAGACTGCATACACTACGGCTCTCGCGGGGACTGGCATGACGACGGCTGCTCGCAGTGTGCCTGCTCTTGTGACTCTGACGGGTGGGACAGGTGCAGCGAAACCAAATCCGCGAAACAGCGTTCATGTTGGCAGTCCTCAGTCTTGAGCAAGCTTGCAAGCGGCATTGCTGCCTCGAAGGCCCGCTTCACGCTTGTGAACTATTCGTCCATCATTCCCGATGGAGCGGAGCGGGACAAGGCTCTGCGTGCACTGAAGAGTGGCAAGCGTATCACAGTGCGCAAAAAGCTCGCGCGTGAGCTGCGCAAGGCGTGCAAGTCACAGGAAGACTTCGAGGCGCGTCTCGCTGACGTCCGATTTGTCTCGATGGAGAGCTGGATCTGCTCCGGTGCTTGGGAGGACATCTTCGAGCGCAAGGAACTGGATGCTTGGTTCGAACACATCGCAGAGAAGAAGGAGGCTATGGAAGCGGCCGCGACGAAGGAATCTAAGCTGGCCTCTGCTGCTGAAGGGAAGGAGGATGCTATCGTCGAAACGGTCATGAAGGAGCAGCCGAAGCTCGTTTCTGCAGCTGAGGAGAAGGAGGAAGCTGCCGTCGAGTCTGCTGCTCCGCCCAAGAGCACCGAGTCTGCGGCAGTTTGAATCGCTTCCACACCTACTGCACAGCTGCTGGACAGCATAGCTTCGTGCCCTACCCACTCTTGGATTCACCGTCATATGGATCACAAGACGTTCTTAGGTACACGCGTATAGCGTCTCAGTTTAGATGTACATTTGCACCGTCTCCAGATTCGACGCACCAGTCTGCACCGCAGCAGGTGTTGTCAAGTCAGTGCCACGGTATACCACAAGTCGACGATCCCTAGGACGCAGGCGACGATGGTTGACTCACCCTCCCTAGCCCTCCTGTCACCTCTCGACACGGACGGTCGATCGCGCCTGAGCCCCTCACTCTGTTACACATGTCCCACGCTTTCCACTTCGTCTTTCTCAACTCGCTCGCACCATCGACATCACTCACCCTCCCATCAAGATGCTGCAGCTCCCCGTCGAGCTCAAGCTCGTGATCCTCCGACAGTTGCCAAGCGAGGATTTGTTCACCCTCCTCTCCGTCAGCAAGCAGTTCAAGGCGCTCGTCCATCCTGTGTTCTACGAACGCCTGGCGTTCACCAAAGCGGGGTTCGCTTTCGCCCATGCCCCCAACCCGTATCCTTTTCTGTCCATCCCTAATCTCAAAGGCCAGCTCTCCGTGTCTGACGAAGAACGCGAAGCCATCATGAAAGGAATCCGCCAAATCACGGTTGCCCCTCACGACCACGCAGGGTGCACGGGCTGGCAGACCATCCAAACCTCACACTTGCCTGCCAGAGCTGAAGTGCTCAAAATCGAGCTCGCATATCCATACCGTGATGGCATGGCTTGCTGCCATAAACCTGACATCTGCGGGGTCTGCCCCGAGTATGATGACGACGACGAGGATCACATCCACCCTCATCTCCTTTGCGGGTTCATCGCTGCCCTCGCTAACGTCCGCGCCAAAAAGATCGTCATCAAGAACTACCCAGTCCTTCTAAACGGTGCAAGTCGCCTCGTCTCCCTACCGAAGCTGGCCGAAGACGCGTCGGAAATGGTCATTGTGCTCAAGCCACACACCTTGGAGGACACAAGCTACCGCGAGGGTCCTTACTTCGCCGACCTTTGTCCGGACGGCGACAAGTATCTCGGCGCGAGCGCACTCATGAACATGATCCCGGCAGGGGTAAAGCACCTGACCATTGTGTTTTACACCCCATACTCAAGTGCGGAGTGGGCCCCGTACTGCAAGCACTACGAGTATGACTGGTATCAGGATGGCTGCGTGACGCCGTGTCCCTGTGGTGGTGGTTGCCATGGCGGTGGCATGTCGTTCGGGGACGACATGTTGCAGCAATCATGCTGGCAGTCTGCGTTCTGGATCGACCTCGCAAGTGGGATGGCCGCCTCGAAGGCACACATCACCATCGTGAACTACTCGGCCATCATCCCTGACGGACTGGATCGCTACGAAGCTCTTAGAGCGCTCGACAAAGGCAAGCGGAGCACGGTGCGCAAAACGATCCTGCGTCAGCTGCGCAAAGCGCATGCCTCGCAAGAGGAATACGAAGCGCGTGCTGCCGATATCGCCTTTGTTTCGATGGAGAGCTGGATCCGTTCTGGCGCATGGGAGGATGTTTTCGGACGCAAGGAGATCAACCGCTGGCTCGCGCGTATCGAGAAGCTCACATCCAAGGCGAAGAGTTCTCCAGCGACGATGAGCGCTGTGCCCACAACCGTTCCTACTGTCAAACCCACAGGCACCGCGACTGCGTCTTTGTCTGCTGCTCCTGCGGACGACTAAGCCTTTGCCTTCCGATCCAGCGGAACAACTCAAGCTGGATCTCGGGCATGGCGACCCGCTCCTTACCTGTAGTTAACACCGCGCGCGTTCAGCGTAGAGATTATGATGTACCTGTGCCCTCTTATCAGGTGTCAGAGCCCGAGTTCGCACCGAACTGCAGTTGTCCGTTCGTGGGATCGTGGTGGAGCGACGGACAACGCCAGGGCGAACCGTGAATCGACGATCATCCCTAGGGCGCAAGGCGACGACGGTTGACTCACCCCTCCTGTCGACATGGCCGCTCGAGCCCCTCACTCGGTTACCTGCTACACAGGTCTCACGCTTTCATATTGTTTTCTCGACTCACTCGCAGCGTCGCCATCACTCACCCTCCCAACAAGATGCTGCAGCTGCCGGTCGAGCTGAAGCTCATCATCCTCCGGCTGTTGCCCCGCGAGGACATGTTCACCCTTCTCACGGTGAGCAAGGAGCTCAAGGCGCTTGTTCACCCCCTCTTCTACGAGCACATGCTGTTCACGAAAGCCGGCTTCGCTTTCCCTCACGCGCCCAATCCGTTCCCCCTCCTCGACGTACCCAACCTGCAGGTTCCCAACCCCGTCCTCGATGAGGAGCGCGACAGTATCGTCAACGGCATTCGCACTATCACCATCGTTCCGCACTTCTTTGCCTCCTGTGCTGGCTGGCAGAACCTGCAGAAACGCATCCTGCCACCCAACGCTGAAGTTCTCAAAGTCGAGCTCGCCTTCCCTTCGCCCGATGGTATCGCCTGTGGCCACCGTCCTGTCCGCTGCGGTCACTGCGGCAGATGCCAGATGAACGACGACGATCACGATGCTGATGGCGCCCATCCTTTCCCCGAGTGTGGATTCATCGATGCTCTCCACAGTATCACGCCGAACAAGGTCGTCATCAAGAACTACCCCGCCCTTCTGAATGGCCAAAGCTCCACCTGCCTGCCAAAGCTGGCCGATGCTGCGTCTGAGTTCGTGGTTGTGCTCGAGCCACACGCGCTGCCGAACAGCGAGACAGTCGGGGGATACTACTTCGCCGACGCCTGCCCCAACGGAGATGACCACATGGGAGCCATGGCACTCATGGACATGATTCCGAGCAACGCCACAGAAGTCACGCTGGTGTTCATGACGCCGAAGCCCGGAACGGAGTGGGCGCCTGGCTGCAAGCACTACGAGTACGACTGGTACGCTCGAGGGTGTGTCACTCCATGCCCCTGTGGCGGAGGCTGCTGTGACCGGGACGTCCTCCACTCAGACGACGACGTTGAGGAGGAGCAGCAGTCCTGCTGGCAGTCTGAATTCTGGAGAGATCTTGCGAGTGGTGTAGCCAAGTCGAAGGCCCGCATCAACATTGTCAACTATTCCGCGATCATTCCCGACTGTGTCAACCGCTTCGAAGCACTCGAGACTCTCAAGCGCGGCGGCAAGCGTCTCACCGCGCGCAAGACGTTCTTGAACGAACTGCGCGACGCACACGAGACGAAGGAGGCATACGACGCGCGCCTGCCCAACGTGCACCTCATGTCGATGGAGAACTGGATCCGCTCCGGAGCTTGGGAGGACGTCTTTGAGCGCAAGGAGATCAGCCTCTGGCTCGACCGCGTCGAGAAGCTCAAGACGAAGGCGAAGTGGAAGGCGATCGCAAAGAAGCCCAAGACCAAGACTGCAAAGCAGAAGGTCAAGTCTGCGAAAGCAAGTACTACGAAGGACGGCACGCAGTCTGCCGAAGCCGCCTCCGCCGATACTGCCAAACAAGCCACTCTCTCTGAGCCTGCCGACCGCTCTGTGCCCATGGAGATTGATGCCACTTCCTCTTCGGGCTTGTGATGTGAAGTTCCCAACATCCCACCTCGCCCAGATCATCCAGTCGAACTTTCCGATACGCGCGCGCTCAGCGTTTAAGTTAAGATGTACATTTGCACACTCCCTCTAAGCTTCGGCGTCCGAGTCCGCACCGAAACAGCAGATGTCAGATAGTGGTGGAGCAACTGACAACGCCAGGGCGAACCGCTAATCGACGATTCCTAAGGGCGCAAGCGACACGGTTGAGTCACCCCTCCTGGCCTCCTGTCACCTTTGACACGGACGCTCGAGCCCCTCCGTCGTTTTCTGCTACTAGGTCAGACACTTTCGACTGTGTCCTTCTAACCTTCTTTTGCGAAAACATCACCCTTCCACCGACATGCTGCAGCTACCCGTCGAGCTGAAGCTCATGATAGTCAGGCAGCTGCCCTGCGACGACCTCCTCAGCCTTCTTACCGTCTGCAGGGAGCTCAAGGCGTTGGTTCATCCCCTGTTCTACGACCACCTCCGCTTCGCCAAGGCGGGGTTCGCTTTCCCTCACGCGCCGAACCCCTATCCCTTCCTCGATATTTCCAACCTCCAGGTCCCGAACCCCGTCTCGAACAAGGAGCGCGCAGGGATTCAGAACCGCGTGCGCACCATCACTATTCCTTGCCACCCTCACGACACTTGCGTGGGCTGGGAAAGGCTTCAAGAGCCACGCAGTGTGACCGTGAAGGCAGAGGTTCTCACGATCGAGTTGGCGTTCCCGTGCCAAAATGGCATTGCTGAGTGTCACGACCCCGTCTGTCGCCACAACTGCGACAAATGTAAGAGTTACTCCTACCATCACTACGATCATCCGGACGACGGCGGTCACCCGTTCCCCACGTGCAAGTTCTTCGACGGTCTCGGTAGGTCCTCTGCGGAGACAGTCGTCATCAAGAACTACCCCATTCTCTCGGATGGCGTCAGCCTTTCTACCTGAGCTCGCCAAATCTGCCTCTCGATTTGTGGTGGCACTCGAGCCCCACAACTTCAAGGTTTCGCGGTTCCGTGACGAAAGGTATCCGTACTTTGACGACCCCGAGGACGACTGCCCGCACGGCCATGCGGGAGCCAAAAAACTCATGGCTATCATTCCTTCGAATGTAACGGATATAACGCTCGTCTTCAAGACGATCTCGCCCGAGATCGAGTGGGCGCCGAACTGCAAGCACCATGATACCGGGTGGTACGAAGAGGGATGCCCATCGTGCCCCTGTGGTTGTGATGCTTCACAGGTCGGTTCCACGAAACAGCAGTCGTGCTGGCAGTCCGACCTCTGGCTGCAGCTTGCCACGGCAGTCGCGGCCTCCAGAGCTCGAGTCACAATTGTAAACTACTCGTCCATCATCCCCGAAGGCGTGAAGCGTGAGGACGCCTTCAAAGGGCTGAAGAGGGGCAAACGCTACACCGTGCGCCAGCAGTTCCTGACCCTGTTGCGCAAAGCGCACAAATCGCAAGAGGAGTACGAGGCTCGCCTCAAGGACGTCCACCTCGTATCAATGGAGAGCTGGATCCGCTCCGGTCCGTGGGAGGACGTGTTCAAGCGCAGCGAGCTCAGTGGATGGTTCGACCACATCGCCAACTCGGGAAAACCCAACAAAGGCTCGACGAAGAACAAGTCTAAGGCGACTGGTTCGAAAGGCGACAAGCCCGCCAAGTCTGCAGCTGCCTCACGCACTCGCTGAGTCTGCACCAGGCTGAAGCCCTTCTCACCAGATCCACACGCCCCATGCCACTGCTCGTTCTGCTCCGTTATGTGCAGCAAGACGGTTATCCGCACATGCTTTCAGCGTTTAAATTAAGATGTACATTTGACCCCTCACTCGATGATCGTTCGGCGCCCAAGTCCGCACCGCAGCAGGAGTTGTCAGGTCGTGGTGGAGTAACTGACAACGACAGCGCCGAGAGCACCCACCGCCCGACACCCACGGAAGGCGTAGCCTGATCCAGGACTGTGGATACACCGAGACAGAAGCTTTGGGCGAAGCATGCTTGAGTCACACTTCTGCTCACGTACCTCGTGTACGCGCTCCAGGCGGCGCACTTACGTTGAGCAACACATGGCAGAAGGGGAGTACGCAGCAAGTGTGCCTATCCGACGTCTGCGGCACGCGTCTTGCCCCGCACCACAGCCAGCTCTGCTGCCCTCGAGCTCCCTACAGCCAAGAGTCTCTGGATCAGTGGCGAGCACAGCCTCGCAGATCACAGAGACGTCAGCGTTGCAGTGGGTGGCAAAAGCCAGACAAAAGGATCAGACGAGTATCGGCGCTGCAAGGCCGAAAAGCGCGTCCGTCGGACGAGGCAGACGAGGCGCGATCGACAAATCCCTCGACCCGTCCCTCGACTGGCCCTATCCGGCCTGGTTTTTTGTGGTCCACCCTGCATAGGAGCCGGACCCCTCCTATATCCTCCTAGCCCTCGCTCCCTTCGCCGGGGTTGCTCCCTTCGGCAAGCAGTCTAATGACGACGATGACGCTCGGCACGCGGCACGGTACGTCCAATGACGTCGAGCTGGATTGCTGCGCGGACCCACCTGGCATGCATATGGTACCATGGCATCACCCACTTCGCGAGCTTCGAGCACTCCGTCATCGTCGAGGGCACGATCGCGTAAAGTGATCCACTTTTGTTGGTATCGATTCCTCCATCCGGTGCCTCTGCGCATGCTGCGCAGCGTAGATCAGAACCGCAGGTAACGCCGTGCCCTTTGCTGGGAGAGAGGGCGCGAGAGCAGGCAGGGCGAAGGAACTAACAGAGCTGCGCAACTGCGCAAGTTGCGAGCTGGAATCGATCTGATGCCCGAAAGACCTCCTCGCAGTACGACAACCTCAGTAGAATTATTTCTGGCACACCAGCACCTATGCATACCTCCGGTCGCCACTGGTAGCTGGCGGGTGGGTGTAGTAGAGTTCGGAACATGCCTGCCTGACGCGCACAAACGGGTGCGGCTCCTTGCCCCTCTGTCTTGCCACCTCACGGCTCTCATCTACAACAGGCGCACGGCTGGCTGACAGCTCCGCGGGAGGCGCACGGTGTCCGGTGTTCGGTTCCCTCATCAAGAGACAAGAGACAGACACAGCGAGTCTCACAAGTCATTCCAGACATTCATCAGACACAAGTGTATTGCTTCCGCGGCAGTGATCGCGTAAAGGACATGCGGCATTATGTTCAGTCAGGACGCAAGACGTGCAGGAACGAAACTCTGAGCTTCTCCAGGACAATAGGACAGACTGCAATGCAATGCCGAGAGACCCCACAGTGCTTCACCGAGAGTACCGAGACGAGACAGGTATCGGATTTGGCGACGTTGAGTGAAGTGGGACAGGACAGAGCGACAGGAACGGCAGAGAGGATCGAGAGGAACGTCGAAGGGTCAGAGGAGGGGCAGCAGAACGGTATTGTGATCGGCGGGGCAATATTCGTGCGCAGCAGCCGTGCCCTTACCGCCCTGGGCGCCCTGGCCTGGACGGATGCTTTTCGAGGACCCGAGGAGATTCTCAAAGGGGTTGTCGAGGTTAGTTGCCCAGAAGAGCTAGATCTGCGTCTGCTAGCGAGGTTGTTCAGGCGGCTAGGCGGCTACTGCCCCGTTGCCTTGCATGCCTTGTCATGCCAATTGGCGCTGCAGTAGGTCTAGATGCTGCTGATTCATGATTCAGCTGCCAACGGAGGACTGAATCGGAGGGGTCGGCGTCGAGGGAAGGCAAGGGGAAGGTCAATTAGTGTGACGGATGACGAACGTGTTCGCGACCGTTAATCCGGATTACACCATGCAATAAGGCGAATGCGTAATAGGCTTGGTTTGACTGTTTTGGGCAAGTGTCAAGAGTTGAGGCGAGAGTTTCAGATTTGCTGCTGCCCACCGCCAGCAGCTGACGCCCGTCGGAGCCTCCGCTCTTCTGCGTCCCAATGTCAAGGATTGCAATGCAGACACGGAGCAGCAGGGCAGTACGTCCTCGACGATTCGCGAGGTATCGAGGGAGTCGGCAGCGCGGCAGATCCAAAGAGCAGTCCACCTGAAAGCAACTTGGAGAGTTCTGTCAGTTGGGCAATGGATGGCCCTGGCAATCCCGATCCTCAAGGTATTGCAGGTCCCTTCCAGTCCCTCGTTCGCCAGTCTCGACCACAGGACATGCAGAACCTCATTGAACATGCAGGACATGGCTAGGACATCGTTACTCGGCGCGTCCTTCCTACGCGTCGCTGTTGCTGTTTCTGGCGAATTGTCGCGGCACACTGAACCGCGTCCCGATCACATGTGACGCCGTGCGCCGCGCCGAGCCGCCGCCGCTCACGCCGCGTCAGAACAGCCAAGAGGCTTATGTTGTTCCGTAGCGCGTGCTAGTATCAATAGTGCGCTCGGTCGCACGTCCGAAGCTCCGAAGCGATCAACTGTCCGCATGTTTTTGTGTTTGGCGCCTCACTCCAGGGCAAGGTCGCTCGTCAGAGAGGCATACTCTGCGTATTCTGAGCCTGCTGAACACACACTCAACGGAGCACCCAAGCAGATTACAGTCCGCCGACACACAGATACACAGACAGCACTGCCGCCGCCCGCGCCCGCATTCGCCTCATCGGTTTACGCGCCGTGCGCGTACATGGTTTGGGGCGGTGTTGGTTGCTGCGGACGTGTCTGACTTTCAGGGCGCGTTGTTGACCCTGGGGCCGGACCTGTGTGCCCTGACGCGCCCTGCCCTTCCATCAAACTTTTTTCCAGAGCCTGCATTTAGCCTGCGTGCCGCGCCTGCATGCCGTTGGACCCGCTGGGCGGTATCATCGGAGGGGTGCCGGATCCCTCTGCCCTGCTGCCAATCGCAATACGAGCGGCCCGTATTCAGAACTAATTAACGTCGTTAGCTCTTCGTCTCGATGAGCCTCGAGACCCTCCGGTCCCTCAGGCCCTCGATGAGCGCGACCCAGGGACAGGACTCCAGGATCAAAGGAGGATTCCTGTCGTTTCTGGTTCTGTCACGCTCCAAGCCCCGGCGCTGACGAGTGAGCACGCGCTGCACGTCCTCGCCGCACTAAGGCTCAACGCCAGAAGCCTTACTCCACCCTCTCCACCCTCTCTCGATACCTCATCCTCAGCCGCTGACCTCACGCTGAGCGCCCTCTGACCCCTCTGACCCTCAGCCCTTGCTCCCTCCCTGTCTCTGGCCCTCTGCCCGTGCGCTCATTGCGCATGTTCGCCGTGCGCCCCTTCCGAGCCGCGAGCCGCTTCGATGACCGCGCTGTCCCACCCCACTGCTCCCCCTTCCTCCCCCTACTCCCCCTACTGCACTACCGTACCGTGCCGTGCCGCTGCTCCAGTTCTCCCGACCGTCGAGTGAGAGCAACCACCACATAAAAGCGCGTCCACAACACCCCACCTTTGCCTTTCCCCCTTTCTCTCATACACTCCTTCCTTTCTCCAACTACCATGCTCGCTGCTCTCATCCCCATCCTCCTCGCTAACGGCGCCGCCGCCGAGCTCACCCCCGAGCAGGTCCAGGAGGCCGTCGGCCAGTTCACTGGTGAGTAGCGTCTTTTCCTCGCTGCCAGAGGCGATCAGGCGGCTGCACTGCGCAGCAATCGCCAGCGACTCCGATAGCACAGTTTGACTGACATTGCGCAGCCGCCAACCTGACCAACATCGTCCCCATCAACGACATTGTCGGTCTCATCCAGGGCAACTGGGGCACCGTCGACTTCTCCAAGGCCGGCTACGCCTTCACCACCGGCCAGGCCAACGCCTTCCCGGACAAGCTCGTCATCAACCCCGCCCCCACCAAGAAGGCTGAGAACGTCGCCTACACTGCCATGCTCGTTGACGCTGGCCGCGCCGGACAGCCCGACACCCCCAAGCTCCACTGGCTGATCAACAACATCCACCTCAACGACACCGACAAGGCCGGTGGCCCCTACGTTCTCAACTACTCTGACGGCACCACCGTCAAGCAGTACGCTGCCCCCGGTCCCCAGGACGAGGGTGCCCACCGTTACGTCTTTGCCGTCTTCAACCAGGGCAACGACTTCACCCCCCCTGCCGACTACGCTCGTGCCGACCAGGTCGCCAACGTCCAGGACTTCGACCTCCAGAAGTACATCTCTGACTCGAAGATCGGCAACGTTGTCGGTGCCAACTACTTCACCGTTGACGCCAACGACAAGACCGGCAACGCCACCGCTGCCACTGGCGGTGTTGGCGGCGCCGCTGGTGCCAACGGCACCGGCAACGGCACCACTGGTGCTGGCGGTGCCGGCGGCAACTCCACCGTCGGCGGTGCTGGCGCCGGCGGCAACGGCACTGACGGCTCTGGCAACGGCACCACTGGTGCTGGCGGTGCCGGCGCCAATGGCAACGGCACTGACGGCGTGCTGGCGGTGCTGGCGGCAACAACAACGGCAACAACGGTGGTGCCAACGGTGCCAGCGGCTCGCAGACCGGCACCGCTGCTGCCGGCCAGTCCTCCGCTGCCGGCAACGGCGACAAGGGCAACTCTGCTGCCGGCATGGCCGCCCCCGCCGTCGGCCTCGCCCTCGCCGCTGGTGCCCTCGCTGCTCTCTTCTAAATCTTGTAGCCTAGTCTAACCTAACGATTCCCATTCGGTCATTAAAAAGAGAGTATCTTCCTGCCAGCGCATGAGTTTCACGTAGTTTCATCTAGAAGCGTATAATTTACCGGTTGATGCGATTTGCTCGACCGTTCTGCAAGTCTGTGCGTCGCATCGACTGACACACTGACCCAACTGACAAACTACTGATGGCGCCGCCGTATGATGATCAGAAAAATCCTTGACGCTGACACTCTACGCAGCAGCCACTGCTCTAGAGACAAGACAAAGAGGGGGCATACGTGAGTCTCAGCCCGACGCGTCGCGCCGATCCTGACACAGGGTCCAGTCACCCGCCTGCGTCACGCCGGATGCCGTTCCCGTGCCTTCCGAGCCGGACGGAGCTGCCGGATGCAGAAAGCCAGAATGCGATGCGTGAGCGCGTGAGGCGTGCGTGAAGATGTTCAAAGTGCCGAATGTGCGTCTCGCATGTCTGCCGCTGGACGCTAGTGGCTCGTGGCGATGCTGGCTGTTTCGAAACAGTGTCGCATTCGGACAGCGAAACATTGCAAGGGGACGAGGGGAGAAGAAAGGGGTGAAGGCATGAGGAGTGGGGGTGCGAATCACCTCGTGCCGTGGGGGAAGGAGGGGCATCGGGGACCCAGGAATGGGGAGTTAGAGCTGTCCTTGTGCTCTGCGTGCTTTGAGATGTGTTTGGGTTCCTGCATGAATGCATGCAAACATGCACGCATAAGGAGCGTGAGAGCGCCGAAACGGGCACTCCAAGTGTGCACAAAGAGTGAGGGATAAGGTTTCAAACACCCGCAGAGGGTACGCTGGTTCTTCCTTGCGCTCTTGCAAGGCACAACTGTACAACGGAGAGGCACTGATTGATTGAGTAGAGAAGGTTCTCCTAACATGCGTCGGCGCCTCCGACACTCCTAGGTACATGAACTGATGGACATTACGGATGAGCCCCACTCGTCGTGAGGCTGACGAGATCATAGCTCCTGCGTATGTCCACTGTCAACAACGATCTGTTCTTCCTCGACAATGGGAGTCTGGACGCCAGAGCCGCTCTCGTGCAATCGATACACTTTTGAACTCCATAGTCGAATCTCTCCGAACTGGCTGGGCGTAGCCTCTTACTTCGCTTGTCTTGCCTCACTGACGCCGACGCTGGTGCTCACTACACAAAGCGACGACCTGATTACGACGGACCGGCTGCTCCCAGCTCAAAGACAGCCGCTTCAATCACCAAGCCTCTTCGCCAGCCTCACCTCTCACTCCGACATGGTGCACTGACATTTGACACCTCGACGCTTATTGGCAGTGCTCGGCAGCCTCCTCACACAGCCACAGTGACTCGCACTTAATAAGACATGTCTCGCCGGGACATCAGCTTGGCTGACGTCTTGAGGACACACGGACGTGCAGTGTTCAGGTGTACGCCCACCACTGTCTTAGCATGCGATCGTTACATTGCGCATGACTCTGACAAGCTTCATGGTGGAAAACGCCATGTGTGTTGGGGCGCGATATCGACAGTGGAGCGGAACGTGCGCCGGTCTCGCAAGGCCGTGGCGTAAGTCGTACGCCCAGACCTGCCGTTCGTGCAAATGCAATCAGTAGTAGAGGTTGGCCCCAGCGGCACTAGCAGAGACCCCTCATGTTGGAGATTTTTCGTGTTCGGGGTGTGGTCCGCGGACATTTCGACGGACAGTTCGAGTGTGCCCAGCTTGCACATTGCCACTGAAGGTCATCGGGCTGCTCACACGGTTCGAGCCCGTGTAGGACATGCCCGTGTTGGCGACTGCCTTCGCCAAAATCAAGGTCTCCCACGGCGTGCCAGCCACATCGCAGAGTAGCCAACGCAGTGATGATGGTTGCGGATCGTTGCGATGGGACGTGATGCATGTGACGGGCCGTGCTCAGCTTCGGAGCCGGCGTTCGCTAGATTCGAGGTCTCGCACGGTCGATCACTTCTCGCTCGCCATCATACAGCCAGCTTCCTTGGTCACGGCTAGCGCCCGTCGCTTGTAGAACAGTGTCCACTATTGTTGGCACTCCTCTGTTGTGAGCACGAACTAGACCCGGGCAGTAGAAACCAGTCGCGACTATCTCAGTCAACTTTGCAGTGCCAAAGATGTGCTCTTGCTCAATGGCTGCCCTTGCGGTTCGAGAATGTTTGTTGGTTGGCAGGTGACAAGTCTGTGCAGCTGAGCCCATCGGTATGCTTGAAGTGGTAGCGTGAGAACTCGACCTTGAGCTCCAAGAGATGACGATGCACGGTGCAGGGGACTGGGGAAGTGGAGGCCGCATGCTGTCCGCGTCCGTTGAGGAGCGAGGGCTGGAACCTCTCTGCTCCACCGAGACGGGCTATCGAGTGGGCCTGGGTCACGGGAGATGTCCATGGCCTGGGGGCTTGGTGGCTTCGCTCGCCTAACAGTCGGCCACTTGATATGGACCCGATTCAAGCGCGATCTGATTGGCCGACGGCGCACCCTCGTGTCAATTTCTTCTCATTATCAGCGCTGATAGCTGGCTGCAATGGAAATCATCCTGCGCCGAGTTAGACACCCGTATGCATCGTCCGTCATCCACCCGAGCGTTCCCCTACGAACGGCACACTGCACGATGCCAGAAGCATGCCCCGGTCTCTGTTCTGTGCTGCATCATCGTAATTGCGGATTCGTAGTGAGCGCAGCGGCTTCCGAAAATGATTGGCCGTGGTAAGGGCCTGGCAGGGCTTCCCATACGGAACAACTCGGCGGATCGCCCGCCACATCGCCTGTATGGGCGACGGAACTTTTGTAATGCCGACAACGCTGGGCGGCTGCACCCAGGCAGAGCGCTGCCTGCCTTTGGGCCCGATTCTGCCCTATGGCAGGCCAGGCAGTTGCAACAAGTCAAGCACCACCAACTCACCACTCAACCCCGAGTCTTAGTCGCTCACACCACACTCTCCTTCTCCCTCCCCTCCTCACCACCCTCCCACTCCTCGCCGCCAAAATGTCGCTCCTCCGCACGGCCGCCATCCGCGCTACCCGCGTCCCCCAGCTCGCCCGCGCCGCCTCGACCACCGCCCCTCACGTCGTCTCGTCGCGCTCAAACCAGGACGGTGCCCTCCTCTCCAACATTGAGGCCCACTGGAGCAAGCTCCCCGCCGCCGAGCAGTACGAGGTCTTCCAGGCCCTCGAGGAGGCCCAGAAGAAGGACTGGAAGCAGCTCACCACCGATGAGAAGAAGGCCGGTGAGTATTCAGAACGTCGGAAGGAAGAATTATTTGGCGCATCTGCAAGAGTGCGCCATTTTGCAACGTCATGTCACCGATCGCGCAAGCATGGATCCATGGAAACCGAAGCACACGTAACGCCCCCGCTGCGCACACGACCGACTGCATCGATGCAGGCAAGGACGGAGACGGACCAGGAGCCAGGAATCGGCGGCCATCACAATTACGCCCACGGTCCATTGGCCAACCGCCAGCCAGACATTTCGTCGGGACCTATCGGGTGTAGTTCGAGCCGAGGTCCCAACCGTTCGTGGTCTCAACATCACCGCCTGGAACGACGCCCGGGCATGCACTCCGCTGCACCGACGGTTGCATTGCGCTCGCTATCGCCGTTGACGCGCGGTGTGTGCATAGCGGCCTCGGTGCATGAGGACACATGACCTCGGTTGCTCAGTTCGGGTCGGGTCGCCCTCATGTGGCGTTGCCCCTGCGCCTCGTTCTCCGGCATCCAGCCTCCGGCTTCTGGTCTCCCAATCCTGCGCGCGCCGATTCTCATCGGCTTCGGTGACATGACAAAGCATGGCATGACATCTGTGCCGAGATAACGTCGGAAGGAGGATGGATCCCAGACTTGTGCAAGAGACAGCGAGCTAACGGGTACAGCTTACTTCATCGCCTTCGGCCCCCACGGACCCCGTGCCCCCATCCTTCCGGAGGGAGGAAAGATGAAGGTCTTCGCTGGTGTCCTCGCTTGCGTTGCCGCCGCCGTTTCCGTCTTCGCCTTCGTCCGCTCGCAGGGTACGTCATTCCGTCTCGTTGCGCCGATTCTGTTGCTGACATTTGCTCTTCTCGACGGGCTTGATCTCACTGTGCCTTTTGTTATCCCTCTTATCGCGATCGTCCAACAGCTCCTCCTCCCCCCAAGACCTGGAACCGCGAGTACCAGGAGATGTCCAACGAGTACCTCAAGTCCCAGAACTCCAACCCGATCGTGAGTCGATGCCAAAACTGGTCAGTAATGCGGATGCTAACTTGCTACAGTCCGGTATCTCGTCGGAGGGTTACAAGGGCAAGGGTATGGTTATGTGCGACTAAACAAACAACATGGGAGACATCCATTCGTAGCAAAATCGGATTCAAGGATGATGAATCGCATCTGCATAGCAATAGCAATAATCCAAAGTCATCCGATAATGAAACGATATCTAGCAGCGGGGGCTCGGGGTCGTCGGGCCGAGAAGGGAGCACGGATAAGCCTCGGAGGTTGGAGAGAACAGAGAGATAATTCGCGGTCGCGATCTCGTGACTTCTGGGGGTTGAGGACCGTTACGCTGGATCGGCCGCGTCGGCCGTACGCCGTGGTCCGGCCGGTTTCAGTCTCTTGCTTTCTCGGCGTGACTTCGGCGTGGTCATGAGACCGCAATTGTGAGCGGAGCGCGCGGAATGCGGTCCCGTCCTTGCGGTCTGTGATGAGTTGGAGAACGTGACGGAGCTGCTTTGTTGTGGGGTGGGGTCAGTGGTGCCGTGCGGCGCAGCGCTTTGTGGAGCGCCGTGCGAGAGATGGAGCAGATGAGTCTGACCAGTTGGCCACTGCGGAGAACGTCAGTGACAGTGAGCGACAGACTCCGGTGTTGACTAGAGCAAGACGGCGAGCCTAGGTGCGTGAGAGCGCGGAATGAAGAGTATGACGAAAGTCTTGGGTCGCTCTGGGCCTGCTGGGCCGCGCTTGCTCCGGTGGGACGGCGGGTCGAGGCACGGACTGCGTACCGTAGCTTCCGTAGGCGCTCAGTCTGCACTAGCCCCGCATACTCCGCTATCTCTGTCTTGTCTCCCAGCCTCCAGCGCTCGCGTAGCTCGGCACCTCACCCAGCGGCGGCCAAGCCGCCCTGCCCAGATCTGCGACGTGGGCTGGATGAATGCTAACTTTGGGACATTGGGAAACTGGGAGTCATTGTTTTGGTTCAGGTCTGAATCGCGAGGGCGAGAAGGAAGGACCCGAACTTTGCTCATTGGTGTAATCTGCCTGGCACTTCGGGCCAGACTTTGCTTGCAGATTTGCTGTCGCAGAGTTGCCCGCTTTGGGCGTACGACAAGCGACAGCAGTGTTACTGCGCAACGCGACGCCGCATACGCGATGCCAAGTGGCTCAGCAGGTCCAGCAGTCATCGATGTTGTTCCTCTGTACCTCCGTTCCTCGCCCGCTCCGCTGGACCCGCCAGGTCCAGTGTGACATGTGGTGCAACGCTGCGCCACCGCTTGGTCATCTGTTCAGCGCGTGCTGCGGTATACACCGGCCCGCGCCGGCCCCAGCTCTTCTTGAATTTGGAGCAGGCTGACGCAGAGTGGATCAAGTGGATACCGGGATCTCGGCCGTCGCCGGTGGACGAGCGCGACTGCTGATCACGCGCCAATCATCCAAAGGGGCCAGATGCGTAAACGACAGCCCGCGCGAGGGACAGACAACAATAATGCGAAAATGCAGCGAGGAAAATCGAAAATACGCAAGACGGCTGGATCCTGCCTGGCTCGCTCTGGATGGGTGTTGGGGTAATGTCCGGGGCGGACGAAACACGGCAACTTGGCCTGGGCTGCCTGATGCCTGGATGCCTGGATGCCTGGACCGAAGACGGCCAAGGTGGGCTGCAATGTCAGCTGCCCGTCAGCTGTGGGCTGGGCAGGCCGGCATGTACATAAGGCTGTCTGCTGGACTTCCTCCCATGCACAGATAACAACAACGAGAATCACCTAGCCAACGAAGAGTTCAATGACCGCCGCAGACATCGGTCAGTCCTTCCCTGCCCAAACTTAACTTCGGGCATGTCCGATCCTGTCTCCAGTCCCACTCTGGTGGCAACCCTCGGCCTGGCTAACGGCAGCTCTAGCATCCCAACCTACCCCAGCGCTCTTCGACCTCTCGAACCGCACTATCCTCGTCACGGGCGGAGCTCGCGGCCTCGGACTCACTATCGCCCATGCGCTCGTTGAAAGCGGAGCGGACGTGATCGCCTTCGACTTGCTGGAACCCGTCGAGCCAGAGTGGTCCGCCGCTCAGGCTGCCGCGACTTCTGCCGGCGTGACGCTCTCCTTCGCCCAACTCGATATCACGAATGCCGAGGCCGTTGAGGCCGCTGTCGCCGCTTCCTTCGGTGCCGCCCGCCGTCCGGTCCGTGGCATGTTCCACGCGGCCGGCGTCCAGCTCATGCGCGGCGCGACAGAGTACACCCCCGCCGAATTCCGGCGCATCGTCGACATCGACTTGACCGGCAGCTACCTCATGTGTGCGGCGTTTGCGCGCAACTTCTTCAAGGAGAACGGCGACTACGCCGTCGGCAAGCGCATGGGCTCCGTCGTCATGGTCGCGAGCATGAGCGGGCATGTCGCGAACGCCGGACTCGAGTGCGCCGCCTACAATGCCGCCAAGGCTGGCTGCATCCAGCTAGCCAAAAACCTCGCCATGGAATGGGGAGGCAAGGGTATCCGTGTCAACACCCTCAGTCCCGGCTACATCAGGACGAAGCTCACGGACGACCTCCTCGAGCAGCAGCCCGCCCTAGCCGCCATCTGGCTCAAGGGCAGCTTGATCGGAAGGCTCTCAACGCCCGACGAGTTCAGAGGGCCCGCCGTCTTCCTCCTCTCCGACGCCAGCTCCTTCATGACCGGCAGCGACCTCGTCGTCGACGGGGGTCACACCGCGACCTGATCGCCGCATGGCCTGGGCACGACATGATGATACCGATGACGGTCCTTGTCTGAGATCCAGATCTCGGGGTAACCTCCGTCGCCCCATCGTGACCCTCGACGGTCTTCGATATCGCCTGATTCTGTTTCACCCTGACATCTCGCAGTTGCGACAACTCGCACCCGGCTGCGCGCGTTCTCACCCTTCAGCCCTTGATACACACTGCGTAATACCGGACACTGGAGTGACTGTTGTTTGTACCGTACCTATATGCAAGCGTAATGGCAGTGGCAAACCAGCTGCGTTGTGCCCGCGTCCGAAGGCACACTCGCTCCGCGAGTGCTTGGGGCTCACGCATCACGCCGATCATGACTTGCGTCACTCTCCCTGACGCGGCGGCATGCATGCTCATCAGACTCAACCATGAGGTCTGAAATGCTCGAGTGAGGTCATGCGGGCCGAGTCGACTTCATGCAGTCTTGAGGTGTGCGGCGACCCAGCCGGTGCCCGCAACCGTCAACGGACCCCGCCACGTTTCCTTCCGGAGCCCCGCAACCTGACCATGTTTCAAGACGGATCGACACGAAAGACGACCAAGAAGCTCAGCATCACACCATCGCTCACCCACGTCACTAAAACGCAGTTTTCGCCGCTTTCGACGACGAGGTCGAAGTCAACAAGTTATGCGCGCACTGCTGTTTCTGGCGGCGGGAGCGGCGCTGGCCCCCTTCGGCCCGCTGGCGCCGATAGCGCTCGCCATGCCGACCGACCGACGGATAGAGCTGCGAGAGAGGACGCGGGATGTGAGTTTTGTCTTCCTCGGCCTGAGCGAGGGAGAGAAGAGGCTTTTGCCTGCTCTCTGTCAACTATGTCCCATGCGTACATACCTTCGGGGCTGCGTTGAGGTGTCCATGAACAGCGCTAACGATGCAGCTGTTCAAGCATGGCTTCGATGGCTACATCGCGAATGCGTACCCGGCGGACGAGCTGCGGCCATTGACTTGTGACCCACTGCTACGAGACATGGACGTGAACAACGTGGGCGTGAACGACATCCACGCCAATGCGTCCATCACGCTGATCGACACCCTGTCCACGCTTCCGACGCTGTATCCGGACGCCTTCCCCGAGGCTGTCCGGCGAGTGGCAGAAGAGGTGTCCTTTGACCAGGACGTCAAGGTCCAGGTGAGTCTGTCGATGGCCTTAGGTCATAGAGTGACCTAGAGGGCAACTCGGAAGCTCACCATCTATCGCCATGTAGCTAACCGCAGGTGTTCGAGATGACGATCCGCGCCGTCGGAGCTCTGCTCTCAACATACCAGACGTTGTCTGGTCTGCCGGACGATCCCGTTGAGCAGGGCCGCGCGCTCGGTACGAAGCACCCAGCAGACGTGAAGCGATATGCGCCGCGGATGCTCGATCTCGCAACGGACCTCGCGACCCGCCTCCTGCCGGCCTTCGACACGCCAACCGGTTTGCCATATGCGCGAGTGAACCTCCGAACAGGGCTCCTGGAGGGCGAGACGCTGGAGACTTGTGAGTTGAGCTTCGCGGCAACCGTCTCAAGCTAACGGCAGGTACTGCAGGCGCTGGTAGTCTCGTGCTCGAGTTTGCGCTGCTGAGTCGATTGACGGGCGACAAGCGCTTCGAGTCACTTGCGCACCGCGCCTTCATGGGGTTGTGGAACCGAAGATCGGACGAGGATCTTCTCGGCAACGGCATCAGCGTTGCAAACGGGCAGTGGCTCGCGCCGCTGGTGTCCGGCGTGCAGGCGGGCATCGACAGCTACTTTGAGTATGCCCTGAAGGCCGCCATTATGCTCGGTAAGCATACAACTAGCTTATGCCCTCGTGAGCCTGTAGCTGATTGCAGATGACGCACAGTACATGGATATCTTCTACGACGCCTACGCCGCGATCCAGACCCACGTTCGGAGCGACGATGGCTTCTTCGTGAGCTGACTTGGTCATACAGTAAGCTGACGATAGTATCGCCCTATCAGCCTGCGGAATACGGCGCTCGCTTCCCCGTCGTACGTGGACTCGCTGTCCGCTTTCTTCCCCGGCGTCATGGTTCTGGCTGGCGACTTGCAGAGTGCGATCAAGGCACACCTCGTGTTCTGGAACGTGTGGCAGAAGTTCTCCGCGCTGCCCGAGGCATGGGACCCGAGCTCGCGCGGCGTAGCGTGGGGCGGCTGGCCTGGACGGCCCGAGTTTATCGAGTCGACCTACTACCTGCATCGCGTGAGCTAACTTGACCGTAATGTAAGCTTACAGACAGGCAACTGGCGACGACTTCTACCTCAAAGTCGGTGAGCGCGTCCTCGAAGACATCACGCGGCGTGCAGTTACGAGCTGCGGACTTGCGTCGCTCGGCAATGTCGAGACGGGCAAGCAGGAGAACCGCATGGAGAGCTTTTTCCTCTCCGAGACGCTCAAGGTGAGCTCAAGCTGCGATGTTGAGCTGATAAGCAGTACCTGTATCACCTATTCGACCCCACAGACCGGCCGATAGACGCGACCGTATTCTCTACGGAAGGGCACCCGCTCTCGATGCCTCAAACGCTGAAGCGACCACCATCGCCGCAGCATCGGCTGAATCGGCGAGCGGAGAACATGGTGTGTCCGCGGTACGAGCCAGCCACAATGGGTGGAATCCCTGTCGGCATCGAAGGTCGGCCGGACTTTGACTACGCCCAGTGGCTCGTGTTCGGCGACGATCCTGCGCAGGAGAACACGCCACTGAGCGCGATGTGGAAGCCGAAACCGAAGCCTAAGATCACGCCGTCGCTGCTGAACTATGCCGGGTTAGGCGAGTGCATCGAGCCGCTCGAGCCCGTGTGGAGTCTGCAGGTGATCCTGTCGCCGACGGAGCCGGATCCTGCGTTGGAGGATGCGCCCGAGGACAAGTCGCCGTCGCTGGACAAGGTCTGGCAGACAGAGGAGGGGTGGGAGATCCGTGATGTCTCTGGCCTGCGGCTGACTGTGCGGTGGCGCCTCGACGGAACCGGCTATGAGGCGGCCACGATAGGGCCGCACCGCGTGCGCTCGGGCCAGGCAGTGGTCATCACCGACCCCCGAATGCGGGGGTACATCGCCGCAGCTGCGGCGCCAGCACAAGACTTGGTGCGCCTCCGCTTCTTCCTGAAGAAGGAGCCGACACGGCCGCTACTCGAAATCTGGGGAGCCGCGGCAGGCTTCGGACGGCGCTTCGCTGCCTCGCTGGCCGACTCGCCCGACTCGAGTGCGCAGCGACCATTCATCCCGACAGAACTGGGAGTGTGGGAGCCGTTTGCGCAGATGCCGGTCTGGCAGGCGAAGACAGACGCTTGTACCCCGATTACCAACCCAGGACCGAATGGAACGGTATACCTCGTCCCGCGCGGCGGGTGTGACTTCAGCCAGAAAGCGGCGAACATTGCCGCTGTTGGGGGAGCCGGCGTGCTGTTTGTCGATACGCAGGAAGGCGACCTGTTCAAGCCCGCGAGGGGGATCGGCGCTGAGCACGCGCAGCACATCGCCGCCGCGCTCATCGACAAACAGAGCGGGAGCACGCTCGAGAAGTTCCTGAATGTGTTCGGGCAGGGAGGACTCAGTGTCCTGTACGAGGACAATCGGCACGTCTCGGCTGAGACCGCGACGGAGGGCGGCATGAGTGTGAACGGGTACGACATCGTGAATGTCCGAGTCGTGAAGAATGAGGAATGAGCAGAGTGGACGCCATAGAATCACCATAGAGTAGACCTTGCCATTGTATCGATACCCCGCACACGTAACCCAAATGCATCTCGTAATCTTCTAGATTTGTCTATGTCGCCGCCTCTTCCTCGGGGGTCAGGAAACGCTGTGTCTCGATCGCGAAGGTCTCGTTGCCGACTTGCGCCTTGTAGTCTGAGTCAGAGAGCACCTGTACATGGATATGGTGCAAGTCGACCTGCTCACCGAGCGCCGCGCGCTTCGCCTCAAAGTCGCCGCCACAGAGAACCACAGTCGTCTCAATCTCGTACCGCACCGCCCAGTTAATCCAGAAATGTGCCTCGTCTCCAGCACCATCGTGCAGGACGCAGACGACGTGGTCGACATTGGGACGCCGCCCTTTCGGGCGGTACGTTGGTCGCTCGTCGGATGCCGGGAGGAAGTTGAAGACTAGCCAGCGAGTATCGGCCGAGCAAACGGGAAAGGGGCCCATGTTGCCTGCCTTGGGTTTGAGGTCGACGAGCGACTCGGGAGCCGAGAGGTAGACGAGTGTCGGGACGGATGGGAAGGCCGTTACGCGGGGCAGCTCTTCGCTAGCTTCGACTGTGAGGCGGACTGCCTTTAGGGAGGGTACAGCCTCCAGCGTTGATGAGAGCTCTGGTGAGAGCAGCGTGGGCGAGACATCGAGTACTTCGCACTGCGAGAAGGCGTGCGTCGAATCGGCGGAGGGTGGGTCGGTGGTGTCCACTGAACACAGGTCTTGTGCGGGGGTCAGAGGAGAGCGGAGCACCACCTGCTCCCCGCGCCTGACTAGCAAAATATGCCGTCCTCCCGTGCTGGAGCTCGCGCTGTCGTGCTCGATCGTGGCCATGAGTTGATGTGGTGATGCGAGGGATTGTTGTTGTCGGTTGTGGGCCGTTGCCGACAGAGGCTCTTCCGGTTATGGCGGTCGGTGTGGAGCCCCACTTGAGGCGTTCGCTTGAGGCAACCAGCAGATGCCTCAGCACCGTCCAGTCCGCGAGTACAGAGTGATTGGGGCCTGCTAAAGCATGTTGGTCATGCAAAGCACACGCTCCTAGGCATCAAGAAGCATGCGTACGCCCATTACCCAAATTTCACTTGAGGCCGGGTATAGCCTAACGGCGCCGAAGTTTACAACAACATGTCTTCGGACGTTCTCGTGGTGTAGTGGTTATCATACTCTCTTAGGGTGATCTAACATCTTGAGCTTAGCCTCCAGATCCTCTTCTGAGGATTGACTGGGAGTGGCCCCGGGTTCAAATCCCGGCGAGGACCGTTTTTGCTCTTTTTGGCGCCCGTATCCCGACTTTTGGCGCCCAGACTTGGAGAGGCAGAGGTTGCTCGCCGACGCCTGAGAATGCCTTTGGCGCACATATTCCAGGTCGATAGTGCACAGCCCGGCCTCACCTGACAAGCTGACAAATTCGAGCTGTCCAGACTGGAGCGATACTTTTTAAAAAGTCAAGGAGTGGTTGGAGGACGCCTTCGCCAGTTTCGATGTTTCCCACGATGCCACATGTCCACCAGCAGCACCCTTCACCACCTTCGACACAGCCACCAAAACCCCTCTTGTGCATGAGTATGGGTTCGACAACCCTCAAAGCCCTTGCGCCAGGTCAAGTTTAATCTTATGCCATGCGATCTATATGGATAAGAATCTATAGCGGAGTCTATATTAAAATGCTGTGAGGTTGAGATGCGGAGAGAAAATGATGAGATAATATCCTTGTTGATTTTTCTAGATGTTTTGTGATGTGGGCGCCGTGTCGGCGGTGGGGGCTGCACTTGTCGCGGCAGCTTACGAAGAGGCAGTCTTGGTACCCTTGCTCCTGAGCTTGAGAAGCAGGAAGACAAAGGAGTAAGACGAGATGATGAAGAGGAGGGTGATGAGGATACCCTGCCATCCGATGATGTGGCGCTTGATGTTGAGGTTGTACAGGTACTCGGAGCCCTTCTTGAGACCACAGTACTCGCAGTTGGCGACGGCGTCGGGGTTGTTGAGGTATCCGGACGCGTAGGTCATGAAGGTCTGGAGGTACTGTCCACAGGTCTGGCCGGCAGGAGGGTCGAAGTAGCCGTACTCGTGGGGGCGGCACTCGACCTTGGCGTCCCAGATCGGGAACGTGATGAGGCCCTGCATGAAGTACGTGAAGGGGTCGAGCCAGTAGAGCCAGTAGCGCCAGAAGGCAGTGAGCTGCTGGTACGGAATCATGATGCCGGCGAAAGTGGCGAGGACCGAGATGAAGAGCGGGAGGACCATGGCGGCGAAAACGGGGTTGGGCGCGTACGCGGCGATGAACTGGCCCATTCCGGTGTAGAGGAACTCGTAGAAGACCATCTGCAGGAAGACGGGGCCCGCGATGCCAGCCTCAGAGCTGAAGCCGGCCGTCCAGTAGAAGGTGACAAAGTAGAAGAAGGCACAGAGGATCAGGTAAGGCACCTCGGCGAGAATCTCGCCGGCACAGAACACCTGCCAGCGGTAGAACATCGACTTCTTCTCGCGGCTCTCGAACACGTCGCGGTTCGCAATGAACTTGGGCTGCGTCTGGACGATAACTCCGGGAGCGACGAAGACGAATTGGAAGAGGGCGAACACCTTGTTCTGCAGGTCGGCGTAGGCGGTTCCCATCTTCCAGTACGTAAATCCAACAATCAAGCCCGTCATGATGTGTAACATTAGCTTATTAAAAACCAGCGTTTGTCAGCGTTTTTTGAAGCGATTTGATGCATGGAAGCATGCAGAAACTCACATATTCGACGTCGCGGTAAAGCTGGACGGTGGCACGGTGGATGACGAGGCGCAGTTGGGTGGAGGTGGAGGCGGCGTACTTGTGGGTGTCCTCCGCAGTCTCGTGGTACTGGCTCTTAGCCTCCTCGTTCACGTTGTCCAGGTCGATCATCATCTGAGTACACTCGGGCGAGGCCTTCCAGACCTCGGCCCAGTCCTTGGAGCGAGAGATGTCACCGGAAACAACGTCAATCATCTGCTCAGCAGGGTTGACGTCACGGGGCCAGGGAGCACCGTTGCCAGTGAAGTAGGACTTGACCTTGGCGACGGGACCGAAGTAGACAGTGCGACCACCGGCCTTGAGGAGGAGGAGCTGGTCGAACTCGGCGAAGAGAGCGGCGGAAGGCTGGTGGATCGTGCAGAGAATGGACTGACCCTGAGCGGCGAGCTTGCGCAGGAACTGGAGGATCTGGTAGGAAGACTGGCCGTCGAGACCCGAGGTGGGCTCGTCGAGGAAGAGAAGCGTGGGGCGGGAAACGAGCTCGACACCGATGGTGAGACGCTTGCGCTGCTCGACACCGAGACCGGCACCGGGAACACCGACGATGGCGTCCTCGATGTCCTGAAGCTCGAGCAGGTCAATGATCACGTCGACGTAGGCGAGCTTGTCCTCGTCGCTGATGTGGCGGGGCTGGCGGAGGAGGGCGGAGAACTCGAGAGCCTCACGGACAGTGCTGGTAGGAAGGTGGATGTCGACCTGCTCACAGTAACCGGTGGTGCGCTGGAACGAAACAGGAAGCGAGTGGCCGTTGAGCTTGACCTCACCCTCAATCGTACCCTCGCTCTTGCGGGCGGCGAGCACATCCATGAGAGTAGTCTTTCCGGCACCGGAGGAGCCCATGAGTGCGGTGATGGTACCAGCCTGGCAGTAACCCGAGACATCGCGGAGGAGCTGCTTGTCCTTGCCCTCAGCCTTGACAAAGTAGTTGAGGTGCTTCCAGGTGAAAGTCGTACCCTGAGCCTCCTCGGCAAGGCGCGAGGAGGTACGGCTGAGGCCGGGCTTCTCGTTGGTGACCGGGCCGATCTGCATGCCGCTGCGGGGGGTGGCGGTGCCGCTGCGAGGAGTAGCAGTACCGCTGCGAGGGGGGCCGATGCGAATGTTGCTGCGGGGGGTAGCAGCACCGCTGATCTTCTGGTTACCGTTGTTGTTGAGCTTCTCACCGTCGACGCCCTCGGCAGCCTCAGCGTCCTTGGCGGCGGCGCGGAAAGCAGAGCCACCACCACGCTTGTAGAGAGTGACGGCGGGCTTGGAGCCGGCAGCGGGGAGGCGCTCAACGAAGAGCATACCGAGCAAGATGGCACCGATCCAGAGAGCAATCATGATACCAAAGTTGCGCCAGCGGTGCGACTTGTAGAACTTGAGCGCAAGGTCGAGGTACTTGGTGCCGGAGACCTTGGTCGTGCCAGGGCTACCGCCGGCGATGGCACAGCCAGCGGGCTGACCAGCGTAGGCAGGGCCGTAAGGCGCGAGCTGAGGCGGGGCGCAGTCCAGGGTCAGGTCGGTAAGCTCAGTCGCCATGAGGTTCTCGATGGCGTAGTACACCGGGTTAAGCCAGCGGATCCAGCTGAACCACGGGTGCATCGAGGGGGTGTAGATGACGAAACCACCGTAGAGGACGAAGAAGGTAAAGACGGAGCCGGCGATCTTGGAGGCATCATTGTAGATGTCAAACGCGTAACCGATCGCACGGAAGAGCGAGGTGAAGACGAGCGAGTTGAGCCACGTGAAGAAGAACATGAGGAAGAAGTTGCCGGCGTTCGAGCGGAGGCCAGCCATCCAGTAGGTGACAAGGGTGTAGATGGCGAGCTGGACGACGAAGATGGGAATGTCAAGAACAACCTGGGCAACGAACATGAGCGAGGAGCGGTACATGGCGTACGACTTCTGCTTTCCAAGAACACCACGGCCCATGAAGGCCTCGGACAGGTCAGAGAACGCAAGAATAGCCGGGAACAGGACAAGCATGAAGATGACACCACCACGGAGGAAGAGACCAGAGGTGTTGTCGGGAACATTGTAGTAGACGGAACCGTTGATGAGACCCTGGATGAGGGTGGTGGCCTGACGGGCCCAGAAGGACCACTGGTCACCCCAGCGCTGCTGGCCCTCACGGACGATACAGCCCCATACCTGCTTGCCCCACGACTCCTTCTGGGGAAGGGCCTTGATGGCGTACTTGGTCTTGGAGGTCTGGTTGACACGGCGAAGCTCATCGGACTCGGCCTCGCGAGCGGCGGTGTCGGCGACCCAGTCGTCGACCTCCTTGCGCATAGCGGCGCAGAGGTCGGACTCCTGATAGATCTTGGCAAACTCGGCAGCAGTGTTGGGAACCTTGTTCTCGTAACCGGGAATGATCTTGCGCTCGTTCAGAGCAGTAACGGCAGTGAGGTAGTCGGCGGTGTTGGCGCCCTCCATGTGCTCGAAACCAAGCTGTTCGAAGTAGTTGCGGGCCATGTCGCGGGGGCCGTAGTAGATCAGGCGGTTCTCGGCGATGACGGTGACCTTGTCGAACAGGTCGTAGATACCGTTACCAGCCTGGTAGAGGGTAACAACGTTGACACGCTTGTCAACGTCACAAAGAGTACGACAGGTACGGGCAAAGCCGAGCGCAGTCGAGGCATCGAGACCACGGGTAGCCTGGTCCCAACACATGACCTGCGAGTCGGTAGTGAGGAACTCGGCGAGCGAGACACGCTTGCGCTCACCACCCGAGACACCACGGATGTACTGGTTTCCGACCTTGGTACCGGCGGTGTGCTCGATACCGAACACACGGAGGAGGTCGGTCTTGGTCTCCTCCTGGTACTGCTTCTCAGAGATGGGCTTTCCGTTCTTGCCAAGGGCACGGACACGGTCAGAGGGGGTCTCCATGCGGGTGGCGAAGTCCATAGTGCGACCAACAAGCAGGTTGGGATCGTGCACGTCCTCCTCGTCGTTGAAGGCGACCTCACCGCGCAGGGCGATCATCTCCTTCGAACCAGCCTTGAGCGATCCGTAGCGCACGGTGCCGTCGACGCCGGCGTAAGATGACGTGAGCCCCGAAAGCGCCTTGAGGAATGTCGTGCATCCGGATCCGGGACGACCAACGACGAGCATCATCTCTCCCGGCTTGAGCAGACCGTTGAAGTCCTTGATGAGGTAACGCTGTCCCTTGCGCAGTCCCGGTTCACCCTTCTTCGGCGTCGGCATGCCCTTCTGCCAAGCCATCGGCTCGAATCCGGGCTTCGCCGCCGCCTTCTCGGCGACCGACTGGGCGTACGCCTCAACCTTCTTCTTCTGCTTGATCACAGTCCACGGCGCAACGATCGCACCAAGGTCAGGGGCGAACTGCACATCATCGACGCCACCGACACCGCGGACCGACAGGTTCTGCCACGAAAGCGAAACATTGCGCACAGGAGGAAGCCCGCGCTCAATGAGAGCCGCCTGGCGAGCCTGGACAAATTAGCACACTTCCATGAAATGGTGCAGACAATTGACATACCTTGAGCTGCTCGGCGAAGGACCACTCGGTGTAGCCGTCCTCGGTGTCCGTGCTTGTCCGACGGACCTCGGTGATCGCTGGGGAGGTGTGTCGGGAAAGGTTCTCGGGGATGTGGTACTGCTCCTCCTTCTGGGAGTCGAGGGACGGGGCAGCGCTGTCCTTCGGCGGCTTGGTGTCGTAGGAAGCAGGGGACTCAGTGGCAGTCTCGACAAGGGTAACCTGGGTGCTGGATCGGAGGTGGAGCATAGAGCTGGAGCCGGCGGCGGGGATGTTGGTCTGGGAGCCGGCCTGGGAGCCCGTCTGGGACCCCGAGGCATAGGCGTCGTTCTGGGGCGTCTCGGCCCCTGGTCTTTGTTGGTCCATGGCTAGTGGGTGTGGTGTAGCCAAGTGTATCTGGGTGAAAACAACCACTCGGGGGGTGTGGAGTAGTAGATATAGACACTCAAGAAATTGTTATCGTCCCTGCCGCCAGCCGTACGGTGACATCGGCGACCCTGAATATGCCTCGCATTAGACGCTTGCATGTTTACCAGGACCGGGCATAAGGTAGTCGCCTCGCTCGCTCCGAGGTTCTGAATCAGCATCATGATTCAGCGCTGGGGAGGTCGCGATATTGGCGCTCGACCTATCAGATTGCGTATCCCGATGATTGCGGTGAATTTTTTGGGCAGAGATGCTGACATCAGCGGCAGAACGTAAGCAAACATGGCAGGTGTTCGCACACATGGGCACCCATTTCGCCATCGGAGCGGCGTTCTCGACCCCGTCTTTGGGTCCAGTCCGCCGGCATCGGCGGGAATTAAGGGGTTTTCGTCGGTTTTCAGGCGCCACCGTCCCCGCCGTCCCCTGCGGCTCATGCCGGTACCCAATGTGTATGAGTGCATTGCGACTCAACAGTGGGTGAGGCGGATTGGAGCGATCGGTGCGCAGAGCGTCATGCAGGTCTTCTGGACGTCTGTCCAGCTCGCCCAGCGTGCCCAGCAGCCTGTGCGCTGGGGCTGGAGGATGAGTTCGGAATGCTGCGTGCCGCGACCCGTCTGTTCCCAATGACGCATCACGCCCGGCAGACCGCGGCCCAGGCCAAAGCAGCATCTACCCACATGCAGGCACATGCGCGTTCCAGTGCATGGCGGGTCCGGGAATCTGTGGTTCGGCAGGCGAGCCCCGGCCAGCGGCCATCGGTGCCTTCTGCAATGGTAGTATCGGCGGTGCTCGGAGCAGCACGCTCGGGGGCACATCGATCCGCGTGTGCGAGCGAATATGGGAATCAGCGCCCATCGCCAGGGACAAGCGAGCTAACGAGCTACGGTTAACGGTGCGCGAATTGCGACCCGGTTCGGCCACGGCCAGAAACTAGTGCACTATTGTAGCACTGAGGGTCGGGCGGAGGGGTTGATCGAGTCGGCGAGTCGCTTGGGTCGGCCCAGGGGTCGGCTTCGGGGTGCATGGATGGCCGGGGTGCCCACAGCCCGAGTGTCCAGGTCCAAGGCAGACTTCGATTGAGGGGCAAATTTGCCCCGCACTCAGCGAGCGGTGACGACTGAAGGCAGCGGTGACTCGCTGTGAGTCGAATCACAGAAGGACTGAGAAGCAGGGCAATATTGGGGAACGGAGTCGCCGACAACCGAGCATCAACAGGGTTGGCTGGCCAGGTACACGGTGAGAGAAAAGTTGACCGAGGAAGAGCAGAGAAGAAGTCACGTGAGGAAGGTTGCCGATCACCATGTGGCCCACGTGGGACCTCCTGACCAAGGCACGACAGCTCCACAGATCATATCACGTATCAGATAAAAGTTCTCGATCTCTGCGGCTCTGTGGAGCAGAATTTCTTGGCAAAGGCTCTCGGGGGAGCGGCCCCACGGGCAGCACGTACGTGGCGGTGATGCCTGAGCTTCAGTCGCCGGGACGTATGACGGTTCTACTGAGCAAGAGGCAGTCTTGACGTCGATGTTCGCCCCTCTGTCCCGCTCTTCTCCCAGCTCTTGACCAGTTCAAACTTCACTTGACTCACTTTTGCGTCCAGAACCAAACAATCCGCTCCGTAGGTCGCAGGTCCCCTTGAGGCTCAGCACACGGAAGCGGAAACAGTCTACCAGTAACCTGATAGTGACTGATTCTTCCCGCAATCATTGCGGGCTAACGATCACCGGCTCCGTTATGCCTGCGCTAACAGCAGAGGTATGTCCCCCGGTCACGTTCACGGCAGAGCGGCACACGAACAGCCACGCCAGCGAGTCTGAAGCTGGGGCAAAGCGACGTCGTGGGTTGCCGTACTCAATACGTCTCCAATAACAACCTGCAGTTCGCACGCAACATTGTTCTGCCGATACTACATGCCCCGCTTCCCCCCACTTCATCGCTCGCGCCGTTCATCTTTACTAAGGTCGCGGAACGAAAGAAGGCCGAGCTGCCCCTTCACATGCTACCAGCGTACTGTCTGCGGTCATGACACCGAGCCGCTGAACCACATGGAGGCAACGTTCATGATCATGTGACCAGGTGGCTGCACGTATCACAGGAAGCAGACGATAAGTGTCCCGGCATGTGCATCGGAGTGTTAGAATCGTTCGGCACTTGCTCCAAGCGAGGCTACAAACAACGAGAAGAAGAGCAAGCCCAGCCCCCCGCTCACCCGCGCCACGGGGTATCTCCAGCACTGCGGCTCATCCCGTTGATGTTGCCGCCGCTCGAAACGACAGGGGTCCTGGTCCCACTTCCCACTTCTTCTCGATCGGTCGTTGTTTCCTCGACAAGTCCGACGGCAACCCGGCTTGTCTGCATTGTTGTATGCATTGCAGAGATCCAACACTGAACATACAAGACATTCAAGCCTGTGCTCACGAGACACCAAATGCAGCCAGGACCGAATAACTACGGCCACTGCCGCCTCTATCCGCCTTTGGAACGCCCCCCCAGGACGCCACCATTCTAGCCCTTGACCCAGAATGGAGGCTTGGACGCCATCGACGCGGGCGCTAAAGCGATGGCGTCTGGGTGTCCCTTGCGATCCTACTTGATGTCTGAAGTGAGTCTGAGAGCATGAAAGCATGACAGTGCGAATAGGCAACCATTCGTCGTCCATGGGTGACATGGCTGGCCTGGGTCGTTGAGTGAGGCGCAGACGCGCGTTTGTGTACCTCGCAGCCAGTGAGATTTGTGCGGAAACCAGGCAGACAGGTCAGGCAGGTTAGGCGGGCTCGGGTTCCTCCCCTCTCGCGTTCGGGACGCGAGCCGCGTGCAGACAATGTTTGGTCTTCAGCAGTCTCGGTCGGCGCAATGATATTTCTCCTACATCAAAGTTCTCCAGTTCTCTTTTGCACAGCATCCTCTTCACCAATAAGCACGATTGTGCCATGCTTCCATACGCGGCACCCACTGTAATATTTGAAACGGTAGACTCGTCTGCAGGACCATACGGTGAGAGCAATGGCGCGGGCATACGGGCATCGGTGCCGGCAGTGTCGAAGGGTACAGGCACTCAACGGCGGTTATGGAACGCGAGCCCGCTGGCCTGGAGCGCTGGGCAAGCAGACATCAGGGCGGGGAGGGGGGAAGAGCCCAGGAATAACTGCGAGGAGCCATTTCAGACAGACCGCCTAGGCGAGCATCCGAACAGGCTCTTCTCAGCCAGTCTCAGCCTTGCCTTTTGCTGGCAAGCTGCGAGCTGCTGTTACCAGTTGGCACTCGGGCAGTATGGACAGTAGGAGAGCATGATTCCAGCCACGGTTCCAGCTACGGCTCGGTCTGAGGAGAGACGCACATAGATTAGGCAGGGGCTCGGTCTGAGATCTGGGACCAATCTCGCAGAGACAGAAGAAGCTTAGAGGAAGCTTAAGCGGGATAAGCAATGGGCGTCGTCTGCGCTCCATGAATGTTTCGGTACGCTCGGACCAGGAACCATTGCAGCTCTCGGCACAACTTCTCCAATGAAATGCAAGCGCAGAGCGCTGTCTGATCGCTGCACTTTGTTCCCTAGCTGACGGATGCGCACACCCCCGTTCATTACGCAGTCCACAACCAATGAACCCAGTGCATGGTCCCAGCGACGAAAGCGAGCAGAAGAAAGACGTACAGAGATAGGCTGATGGTTCATCGCGTTTTCGGTATCTGTGCGTGCTCCAAGGTGCAGTGCAAGGTTTGAATTTCAGGCAAGCGAAAAACGATCCTGGAACTCGTAAGGGAGTGCCTGTGCCTGGATGCCGTTCGCTCGGGAAAGGGGAGAGGGAAGCTCTGCCGCCGAACTTCTGTTTGGCCCGGCTGTCTGAAATCGGCGCTACCTGGCTACTGCCAGAGGGGCCAGAAGGACAGTGGGCGCGCAGGAGTGCAGGATCCGCTGGGGGATGTGAATCACACTATTCAAGGATGCGCAGGAGGGCCAGAGGATTGCTCTACGGCCTAGCGAACGCCTGCGTCTCAGCCAAACTCAGCCAAGTGTAACGAGAGCGCGCCGCACCCCTCTCGCCCTGGACTCGCCAGGGCTCGCTCATTGAGCTTGCAGGGCCAGCACGGAGGATGCTCTAGCGCCCGTCTGCGTGTGAGTGGCAAGGATCCACCACAGGGAAGCATGATATCCGTTCCCCTCAGTCTCTACGTGCGCTCAGTCGCGCCCGCCTCGCGCCCCCGCGCCCGGAGCCTGCCAGCCAGCTTGAATCCTTATCCCATACCCCGGTACCTTTACTTTTGTGTGTCCGCTGCCCGCTGTGCCCGCCGTCCGCAGAGTCCGTACCTTTCGCCAGACCGCGTCCTATCCCATCATTTGTGCATCGAGAACAACTTGTCACTCACCATCTCTCTCTTTCTCCCACCATCGACATGAACCGCCCGCTTGCGCGCCTCTTTGGCGTCCTCGGCGTGGTCGTCCTCGTCGGCTTCATCCTCCCCTCGCTCTCGCGTCTCCCCCGTGTGGGCTGGCTGCCCGACACCCAGGAAGCGGCCGTCAAGGGTCCCCTCGAACCGAAGTACCCCGAGAAGCACCACCTCACCAGCGTCCTCGCGCACGCTCCGGGCTTCACTGTGTTCGAGAACTTGTAAGTTGCAGTCACCTCGGTGGTGCACAGATGTGTGGGCTGCCTGAGCCATGTTGGGCTGGGCGAGGGCCGCAGTGCGTCCGTGCGCCCCGCGATCCAGGCCCTCCTTTAGCCTTTTCGAGCTCTTGGTCTGTCGGCGCTGGCCCTAAACGTTGAGCAAGGTGTGCAGACCTACACGGAGCGAACGACAAGCAAGCGAGCTCCGAACGACAACAGTGTCCACCCACGGAATCCACTTAGTCGAACATCAGCCAACGCTAACAACAGGTACTGGCGCAATGGGACGTACTACATCGTGACGGACCAGCCGTGGGCCCTGCCGGCGAACAAGGTCATGTTCTCGGGCGGAGCGCGTGACGACTCGCACGGCAAGCCAGGCAAGGTCGAGATCCTCTCGATCCGCTTGGACGCCATCTCGAAGCATGTCGACGAGCGCAACCAGCTCGGCACGACGCTGAGCCCGGCCGCCGCCCTCGCCTTCACGGAGGCGGCCGAGGACCTCCCGAGTCCCATGGTGAGTAGCGTGACGCCCCCGGCGCCCCCGGTTGCGCCCCTTCGGCCCCAACATTATCCACGCTAACTGGTAGCTCATTGCCCACGACGACCACTGTAAGTCACCCACGAGCTTCTGATGAGACATAGCTGACCTGTGCAACAGTCATTGACCACTGTGAGTATTTCTGAGCGGCATTGGAGCATCACGCGTATTCTTCCGAGATCCTGTTCCTAGCTGACACCAGACTACCACTGGATCGGCGAGCTCTTCCTCGGCGCTTGGCGTATCTGGAACCACTGGGCCCTTCGAACCGGCATCAAGCCTCCGTCATTCGAGGCAATTGCGTTCTCCCGTCTTCTTGCGCCCGATGAGCTTGCCAAGACGGACCTGCACCACTCGTGGGGATGGGCGGACCACGCTGGCGCCAACGAGTACTTCATGAAGGCGTTCTTGTGAGTCGCGCTAACTCTCTTGTCCTGAGAGAGAGAGAGTCTTGATGATGACCGCTCTCCTCGTCTGCTCCGCTGCTTTGCAGCCATGAGTCAGGGGAAGACCAACGGAGAGCTCGTCTGTCCCTACTGCGAAGCTGACAGCAGCCCCGATGCCACAATCGAGTCGAAGACGACGTGGGATGCCCGCGCGGCCACCGAGCAGCTGTATCGCATCGAGAAGGCGGTCCTCGCGGACCGTTTCGCGGGCCACGCTGGCCCTTCGGCGGGCTGGAAGCCGTGGGGTGACGTTCTGCGTGTGCCCGTGGACCCGAACTGGCTCGCGGACCTGCGCGACGTGCTCCTGAAGAACTACCGTGGCAAGGTCGACATGCGCCCTAAGAGCGTTCCGCGTGTCTCTTACCTGACGAGACAGGACACGAGCCGCCGCCTGCTGGACGAAGCGCACCAGGACCTGATCCACGCGCTCGAGCGCCTGCAGGATGAGGGGCTGTGCGAGCTCCAAATCCTGCACTTCACGGACGAGACGCCGTTTGAGGACCAGATCGCGCACATGGCCGCGACTGACGTGCTCGTCGGCGTGCACGGCAACGGCCTGACGCACACGCTCTGGATGTCTCCCGGGCCTGGCAAGGCCGTGTTCGAGATCATGGCCAAGGCCTGCTCCATGAACGACTACGGACCGCTTGCGACGGCCGCGGGCGTCAGGCACTGGCAGGTGTTTGAGACCAAGGGCATGTGCGAGGTGTACGAGTGTCCGGACCGCGGATGCGACAAGACGTTCGACCAATTGGGCCCGAACCGTGACGACCTCGACGTCGACCCGAAGCTCATCACGGACAAGATCCGGATGCTCGTTGACAAGCACTACAAGAACTAAACTGGACACTGGCTTTTTAGATTTCGGTCTGTCTCCTGCGCTCCCTGGCAGAGACGTGTATGCACATCTGTACTAGCTGCTCTCTGAAAGAGAGAGAGATGGCCGCTGTTGCTGACGGGATCGTCTGCAGGGATGAAGACGAAAAGTGGAGGTGATCGAGAGCTCGGCACGTGGCTATATCCGATGGTGAGGCCAATGAAGTGCCGTGGGAATGTAGTGACGTACGTTCCCCTGTCTCACCCTAGGCTAGCAACCGTCCTGCTCAGGTGGTATGCGTACGGCATCTAGCAAGCTCGCGAACAACCAGGCGGGCACCAGGCAGCACCCGGGCACCCAGGCAGGACCCCGCCTGCCAACCAGCGTCCCAGTGTGCACCGTGTGCTCCGTGTGCGACCGTGTACAACTGCACAAGCGAGATCGGCTCTTCGTACATCCATTCAGCTCGATCTGTAACTCTCAACCTCTCACCTCACCATCAACACCATGTTCCGCACCGCCCTCCAGACTGTCCGCCCCCAGGCTCGCGCCTTCTCTGCCTCGGCTCTCCGCGCCGCCGGCTCTGTCAACTACAACGATGTCAAGCCCCTCACCAAGCAGCCCACTGACGTGAGTGCATTTCCTCCAGCAGGCTTTAGTGGCTGGACTAGGACCATCCGACAATGTCGCTACACGTGGAGCTAGGACGATGCTTCGGTAGCCCGGGATGGCGCAGATGGCTTCGGATGGCGTAGTTAGCGCCCCGGCGCTCCTTGCCTATCTAATCTGCTGGAAGCCGATAAGTCCTCGTCCCATATCACTTCTCGACTGTCTTCTGGGAGGCAGTGGCAACTCATACATGACATCAGCTCACTCTTCACCCCTGACGACTCGAGCTGACCTCAGGACGTGACGATCATCGACGTCCGTGACCCCAAGGAGGTCGAGAACGGCTCCATCCCCTCGGCCGTCAACGTCCCTCTTAACCGCCTCGCCGACGTCCTCGCCGAGACCTACCCCGACGGCGCTTTCCAGAAGGTGAGTGTGGCGTGTGGCGAGGCGCAGCTTGTCATCGCTGGCCTCCTGTCTGTTATCTCTTGTGGCTGGCGGTCCAACTGGACGGATGTTTGTGCCTTCCCTCGTTTGGCACATCCCCTCGTGAGAACAGGGAGCGCATTGGCGACACCCGTGTCCGCGAAGGACGATGACAGTACCGGGCAAGGCACAGCGACTAGCCAGTAGCTGGCAGATCAGACTGACAGCTTCTTGCTGCACGGTTACAAAGCTAACGAATACAGGAGTTCGCCTTCCCCCGACCCTCGAAGAACCAGAAGATGATCTTCTACGACCGCGACGGCAAGAACCTCCAGAAGGCTGCCGACATTGCCGAGAAGGCTGGCTACAAGAACGTCAAGAACTACGAGGGCGCCTGGCAGGACTGGCAGGACAAGGAGGCCAAGTCCAAGAAGTAAGCTGGCATTGGAAGAAGTTATCCATCTCTGAGAGTAAATGCACGGGTTTGAATGAAGTTGGAGTGTTGCAGAGGATCAAGGAGGAACTGGGGGTGGCGCCGCGACATAGGCGCTGTACGGGGGCTGGGGACCAACGATTCTCCTTTGGCCGTGCCCTCCGCTTGATCGATACTGACAGGCCCCTGAGACTGACGGACGCTCTGGAAGGCAGGATGTGCACTAGCCGAGCAACAACGGAGGGACTGCCCCGTCCACTTCCAATGAGCCAGCTCGCTTGTAGCGACGCTCGCAGCAGTGGGCAAATGCGTCGGACTGCCTGATCTCGAGTTGCCAATCATGGCGACGGAGCCCTATCAGCCGAGGCACAGGTTGCAGCACCCTCCTCGACCGGTGGCCAGCATCAAATGACAGTGTTGCGACAACCACCCGGGACCACTGTCTTCCGATCCTCCTGCGTCACTGAAATCTGTCAGTGCAATAGTACAGCTGACTTTCCACCCGCCCTCGACATTGCAAGCATGCGTGAGTGCTCGTAGAGCGCCCTCTCACAACTCGGCTGAACGGGTTTCACCAAGTGTCACGTGAGATCCACGCGAGATTGCCTCCGCGACCCGATCGCCTGAAACCACCCTCTCCGAAATGTCCACTTTTCGGCGCCGCTCACGAGAATCCGGCTCACCTAGCACCTCCTCACCACCTCGACCCCGAGCAAACGACAATGGGCAACAAGGCGTGGATCCTGCGCGACATCAACAAGCGTATTGCGGCGACGCAGGTCGAGGCGCAGCGTAACGCCTACCTCGCCGTTGCGCGCAACACGACGCTCCCCGCGCAGACGCGGCACAAGGCCCAGCTCGCGCTCAACCAGTACAACGACGGCAAGGGACGCATGGTCTCGATTCGCAACCGTTGCATGTGGACTGGAAGGGGTGGTGGTGAGTGTTACTTTGCTGCTGTGGACGCTGCAGTCCTCTGCGGACGATGGGAAGTGGAGACTGGACCGTTGGCTGGTCTTTGGCGTGCTGCAGAGGAAGCCTGGCGACTCGCAGCTACTTCAGAGAGACGGGAAGCTGACAAACAAGGTGTCCTTAACAACTTTGCCCAGTGCCGATTCCAGTTCCGCAAGAACGCGCTCGCGGGCAACATCCCCGGCATGCAGAAGGGATCGTGGTAACAACTATCACTTTCTTATCTCTTGGCCTTCCCCCATTTCCTCAACCGGATGCTGTACCCCTCAGCATCAAGCAGCAACGAAAACCTAAGTCTATCACGTTCTAGCATCGGACCCGCCCTGACAGGATCGCGGTTCGCCTCCCCAGCATATGCATGATTGTAACTACTCAGATATGGCTACAGGGTGTGTGGGTGTCTAGGTGATGTGTGGCATGGCGGGGGGTTCTAGACGGCGAGCTTCTCGGTCTCGGCAGTCACAGCCTCGACCGTGTCCGCCTTAAGAGCCGCGCCGGGAGCGGTCCACTGCGGCTTCTCGGGCCGCTCGGGCTTCTCAAAGTACTGATCGTCAGCTGGACACGTACTTCACAAAGCTGCGACCACGCAGCATCGCCGCTCGCTCTCCTGTGCTCGCTTCACTTACCCGCTTGGCAAACTGGTGGTGCGCCGGGATGCGGTCCTCGCCGATGAGGTCCGAGTGGTCTCCGAACGTGGGGGGAGGTCCGTCGTCCTGCGCCGTCTTCTCCATCGTGATGAGGCGGCGACCCCAGCGTCCAAAGTCCTGCACCGAGCCGTCTCCAAATTTGACCTCGCGCATGCCCTCGACGACGGGCACGTCGACGTGCTCGAACTCGTCCGAAATCGTTGGCAGGAAGAAGACCAGTCTTCCTCCCGGTACCAGCATGTAGCGCGCGAGTTGCACCAGGTCCTGCGCCAGGTCGACGAGCTCGTACGCCTTTGACGGTGGCAGATAGCCCTCCTTCCTGTCGGTCAGCTAGGGCCGGATATCGAGAAAGCCGAGAAAGCTGAGATGTGAAGATGAGAAGGGCGGTTGGTACTCACTCGTGCGACCATGTTCCATCGGGAAGCATGAAGGGCTCGTCACGGAGCTGGTTGCGCTTTCTTGTCGCTGACTTGCCCGTCCTCTTCGCGCCCGCACGCACGCCGTCTGACGTAAGCTAGTCTTCCGGAAGAGAAGCGAAGCTGTGTCACTCACAAGGCGGGTCCGTCACAATCGCATCGAGCCAGCCTCCTCTCCTCCACGGTCCCTGGGTCACGTCGAAGCACGGCGTGTCGATGAACTTGTCCCTGACACCGTACTGCTCCGCACTCCTGAGGATACCGGGCGTCACATCCTTGCCCTTCTCTGTCCCGTCAGCTATATGCGGATCCGCATGTTAGCTAGGTGACTCACGTTTTCCCCTGAACTGGCGCGCATCAATGTCAGAGCCGAGTACGTACGAGCCCCAGTGCGCGACAGCGTACAGGAGCGATCCCGTGCCAACGAAGGGGTCGTACATGATCTTGCCCGGAGCGGGAAGCGTCTGACCCGCCGTCAGCAGACCCATCTCCGCCTCCATCGAGGTGTTCCCGAAGAATGCACGCTTCTTGATGTCGTGCACGTTGATCAGCGGGCGCGCACGAGAGACGCCAATCCGCTTGCCGAAGTAGACGTGCTCGAACTTGCCGTCACGCTTCAGGCGCTCATCCTTTGTGTGAATCGTCACGAAGTCGTCTGAACGTCAGCTCCGATTCAGGTCCTAGCGAGCTTTCGCGGAAGCTGGGAGCCAATGGCTTCCACTAAAAGCCTTTGGGAACGGCAACTCACAGTCCTCAAGCACGACAAACTCGACATCGGGGTTCTCCAGCTCAATCTTGCCCCTGAGGCCGGTCCACGCGAACGAGTTGATGATCTCGCGAGCACGCTTGTTCAGGGCGCGGTTGTTCACGCACTCGACCGTAATGCGGAAGCTGGTGTCCATGTCCGGGTCGAAAAGCTGTCTTCGCTCCTGCAGCCGCGCGTGGAGGTCGTCATAGTTGGTCGCGTTCGCGTAGAGCTCGTTCGCGGAGCTGCGCGTCAGCTAGTCTGCGTAGGCAACGTTGAGCAAGTGGCTCGGAAATCACGACACTCACATAGTGAGGATGGAGCGGTCAAGGATATGCTGGATGTGCTTCTCATCGTCGAGCTCGATGACGATGACGCCGCGCTGCAGGTCTTCCTCGGGCGTAATGAAGCGGATAGGGAAGTCGAACAGCTTGCCGATACTGAGCAGCTCCGGAATGCGGAACGTCAGATGCTCCATAGAGGAGCGGAGAAAGTACTGCGGCATCGTGCAGTTCTTTTTGTCGCTTGTCGCGCGTGGTCTGGTGGTGAGAGGGTATATAGCAAGGCAACAACAAAGCTCTTGATACCTTCCTCGCCAGCAACTGCCCCTGCAGACGGCGTCTCAGCCTCAAACTTTGGGATGTACCTCCACCTGCTCGCGTGGCTTGATCGGTATCTGGTTCCGTTATCGGCGGCGAAGATGACGAGATGACGCTAAGATGCGGAGGCGACATGAGGGAACCCTTCACGAACCCTTCTATCATCATTGACAACCATGGAGAGTGACGACCGACCAGGACAGACACGGATGCCGCCGCCGACGCAGGCACCGACGAGAGCTCCCTCACATGTGCCGACCATGGCACCTACAATGGCACCGACCAAGGCGCCGACGAGAGTTCCGACCCAGGCGCCGGGTCGTGCGCCGCCGGCGACTGCCTGATCTCGAGTTGCCAATCATGGCGACGGAGCCCTATCAGCCGAGGCACAGGTTGCAGCACCCTCCTCGACCGGTGGCCAGCATCAAATGACAGTGTTGCGACAACCACCCGGGACCACTGTCTTCCGATCCTCCTGCGTCACTGAAATCTGTCAGTGCAATAGTACAGCTGACCCCGCCGTCGAATACACCAACGACGAACGGGGACATTGGCGACGTTCTTGCTGCCCTTCCGACGGATCCGGCTATCCCTCAGCCAGTCTTAACATCCGAGCGCAACGTCGCCGCCTGGCCGAGCACGCCAGGGTACCAGTCCTTCCAGGCGTGGCTGAAGCAGCGCTGTGCCAGGATCCAAGGGCAGCCGATCCGACGGGGAACAGAGGGTGTACATGCCGAGGTGAGCTGGTGATGCGATTTAGTAGCTAACGGCCAGTGTGTACTGAAGCTTATGGACATGCTGGACGCCCTCATGAGCTGGATCGAGGAAGTGCCGCCCCAGCCACAGAGCTCGCAGCGGTTTGGAAATCTCGCCTTCCGGACGTACATTAGCTTGGTAGAGCAAGTGAGTAGGATAGCATGTTATGGCTCCCAAAACCCTTCATTTAGCTAACTACAGCGCCTTCCCCCGATGCTGGACTGGATGGACGAACGGCTACGGGGCCAGGTCCTCCCGCTGTTGATCCAGAGCCACGCCTTTGGCCACAAGACGAGACTCGACTATGGAACAGGACACGAGCTCGCTTTTGCATGCGCTCTGTACTGCATCACCCTGTCCCTCGCCATGTCCAACGACCCCGGGACGGACGCAATCGCCGACGACCTCGTTCTGCGTGTCTTCCCACGGTATCTCGATCTCACAACTCAGCTGCAGGCGACATACCGTCTCGAGCCTGCCGGTTCGCACGGTGTTTGGGGCTTGGACGACTACGTCTTCCTCCCGTACTACTTTGGCTCTGCGCAGGTGTTAGGCAGCGACCTGACACCGGCCCAGGCGCTGAAGGACGCGACGAGACCGGGAACGAAGCCGGAAGACTTCGAGGACATGTACACGCTCGCACTGCACCGCGTCGGCTACTTCAAGAAGGGTGCGCGGTTCTCAGAACATTCGCCGCTGCTGTACTCTCTGTCCCAGTTCCCAAACTGGGTCAAGGTGCACGCAGGGCTGGGAAAGATGTTTGCAGCCGAAGTGCTCGGCAAGCGAGTCGTCGCGCAAGGTCTCTGGGTCGGAGGATGGCTGTGGGGCAACCCCCTGCCGCATGTGGAGAGGGAGGAGGCGGACAAGCCCAAGAGTCCCTTCACTGCTGCGCCGAGCGCCGCCTCGCCCTTCCCAGCAACGAGCGCGCCAGGCCGCACCACCCGACCGAGGTGATTAGATTGCATTGATTGCTGTATGTACAACTGCCATGTATTTCTAGACTCTACGCCATCTCGCGGAGGAGCGCGACTGCGCGTCCCGCCGTCGCCTTGTCGCCCTCCTCGGCCCAGGGCGTCTCAAGGAGGAGTTCCTCGAGCTCGGGCTCAACCTCGTCGCTGACGGCGAGGTACAGTGCTTCGGCCGTAACCGTTCGGATCTGATGTTAGCTTAGCCAAGTCGCTTCAGCTTACACGAGGGAAACGGTGGGAGAGCAGCGAGCCGATGAAGCCCGCCGCGCGCCTTTGAGTGTCGGGGTAGTGGAGGACGAAGACGCCCACAATCACGCGCATCGCGGCCTGCAGGCGCTCGATGCTCTTCAGCGTGGTGAGACCGCGCGCGGCGAGGCCGAGCATGCGTCCCGCCTCCTCCTCGCTTGGCTCGATGCCCGCATCCATCAGGCGCGACAGCGTCGTCAGCGCAGGGACGGCGATACGGTTCGAAGCCAAGTTGGCGGCGAGTACGTCGACAATGTCAATGACGAACTGGCTCTCGTCATGCTTTTGCAGCCACGGGATAAGTGGGCGCAAGCATCGCTCTGAGGTCGAGTGAACGACGGCGCCTGCGCTCTGCACGATCCCAGCCGCTACACTCGCGTGGATTGAAGTCTGAAGCAGTGCAAGGCCGGCGCTAAACCACTCGGCAGAAGGGCGGACACGCCGCTCCCCACTCTCCGTGGTAGCCATGGCCTCGGCGCCCGGCCAGTCCCAGACTTTGTCCGCGTCAGCAGCCAGGAGGACGCTCCAAGCCTCCGTTCCCGCCTCGCGCACGACGTCGAGCTTCTCAAACGCCTGCTTCGCGATACCCGCAATGGCAGGGGTGAAGAGCTCCTGGGGCACGAGCTGGAGCGCGTTCGGTTGACTAGCGGCGCCGGCGAGAACCTGCGCAATTGACTTGGCCGATGCAACGCGGACCCACGAGCCGACGTCGCCGCGCTGGTCGGTCGTGTAGTCGTCGAGCGCATCTGTCAGAGTGCGCAAAATGCGCTCGTACTCCATTGCACGAACTGGGGTCAGTTCCAGAATCGAGATGATGACTTACTCAGGGGAACACTGTCCGCGCTCTGCAGCGACATCTGTGCGAGCGACTGCACAGCGTTCCGCCGTGTCTCCACATCCGCCTTTGCGTCCTTCCCGAACTGCGCGAGGAGAGCATCGAGCGGACCAGAGATCTCAGCGGCAGTGCGGTACTGATAGCTTCCAAGGCAGAGGGCGGCCGCTTGTCGTGTGGAGGCGCGCGCAGCGCCGAGCTCGCTCATTGTGCGACGCACATACGACACACAGTTGTCGGGCTGCACCTCGCTCATGACTCGGCACAACGCCGCCAGCGAGTCATGCACATCCGTCTCGCGCCGCTGCGTGGCTGCTGAGAAGAAACGCTCCAGTGGTGACAGGTCCGCGGAGGACGTGAGGGCCGCAGCAGCCAGCAGACAACCGCCGTTAACAATGTCAGCCGCGTTCGAGGTGACGAGCGCACCGGGGCGAACCTTCGTCAAGGCGTCGAAGAGCTCGGCCTTTCCGCCATCGTCGAGCATGGGCGCAATGCGCGACAGTGCGAGAAGAGCTCCGTGTGCGCTCGCCGAGTCAAACGAAGAAACCTGCACCAGCTCGCGGCTGACGGAGTCCGGGATGTCGGCCGGGTCAAGCTCAAGGAGAGAAGCGAGTGCAGTGGCCCCGGCCACTCGCATCGCGGCGTCCCAGTGGCGAAGCGTGATGTTGTGCAGATGCTCTCGGAACGCCTTGCGATATACCGTGTGATGGGCTGCGGCGGGTGCAGCTTCCGTGAATGCCTTGCGGCGGATGGACACAGAGAAGAAGTCGATCTTGCCCAGAACATCGATGCCCTCGGGGAACAGACCCGAGCGGCCGACACCCTCCTGGAAGGCAGCAGAGGCGGCGCGACGTACGCCAACTTCACGGTCGAACACCGCGACACTGGCCAGAGTCGTCGCCATAAGCTCGGCAAACGGCTTCAGCTGCTGAGGCGAAGCGGCACGGGACAGAGACCACAGGACGTACGACGCAGCATCTCGAACGTTGGACCCGATGCTGTGCGATGCTCGCCGCAGGTCGAACGTAAGCGCCTTCACAACCCAGGGAATGACCTCGTCGACGGCCTCGGCGGGAAGCAAACCCCGGCGGGCGAGCTCCGCCACCGCGAGACAGACACCGTGCCATCGCGCTTCTCCTCGTGACGTCTCCTGACCTCCCAGTCCCATCGTTCCATTACCCCCAGCGCTGCCTCCGGGATCGATGACGGTGCCAAACTTGGTCAGGATGACCGGATCATCCTCGCTTCCCGCAAAGAGCCCAATGACGGCCGATACGATCTGATCCGACAGCTCGGCTGGCAGAAGTGCTGCAATTCGAGCGAGATATTTTGCCGCCGAGTAACGCACAATCGTGTCCTTGTCTCCGAGAGCGGACATGAGATCGTCGAGAACCTCCTCGATACCCTCTGGCAGATCGGCATCGGGCTGATCTCGTAGCCCTGCTCCGAGAGAGGCAACCCACCAACGACCGTTTGCCTTCGTTGCAAGCTTTCGGATGAGACCGGAGGTCGCACTCGTCGTGCTTCCCGCGAGATGCGGAATGAGGCTGTCCTCAAAGAAGGTCCGGAGAATTGGCAGCTCCTTTTGCGGAGCCATGCCTGGAAGCACGGCCAGAAACGAGAACAGAGAGGCAACGAGATTCGCCTCCTGTTCCCTCTCTCCTTCCTCCAACGCCGCGGCAGCCCACCTGAGGAAACCGGGCAGACCTGCGAGAGCGTCTTCACGTGCGAACAGTCGAGCCAGGATGAGCGCACCGTACTCGCCATCCTTTCCAGGATTCGACAGCAGCGGTAGAGCAAGCAGCGTAACTCGAACGGCCAACGGAGGTATCGGCACGGAGAAGAGCCGCTCGTGTGTCGGAATGTCCAGATTCGTCGCTATGTCATCCGTGCTCAGCGCCGAGAGGCTAAATGGTACCGTCAGCAACAGGGCGAGCCAAAGCAGGAGAACAGCTCTCAGCTCCCATGCATTGTCGGATGCGACGAGACTGTGATGGAGTAGCCCCGAATGGTCGGACGGAGGGGAAAGGACGGCGATGAGATTAGACAGATGCGGCAACGTGCTCGGGAAGTAGGGCACTATCGTCAGTCACCTCGCTGGACTTGGCAGTACTTACCGACCGACTTCCATCCCCGGACTTTCACAACCCAGTTGACCACACGTCCTATGCGTGCAAAACGAGTCGGGTCCGGTTCTCGACCGTCTGTCAAGAGAGCGAGCTGCTTCCCTAGCGCCGCCATGAGTGGAGGTACGATGTCGCCCATCGCTGGGTCCAGGAGCCCAGGCATGGGAAGGTAGAAGTCGAGCTGCAGTCAGATCCTCAGCGCCACTTCAGACTCACTATCGCTCCCATCTTCTTCACGAGCTCGTCCTCGGCCTCGCTCTCCTCTGGACTCGGCGTCGCCTGCGCATTGGCGGCTAGGAACTGTTTCAACAATTCCAAAAACTCATCGCGGTGGCCGAAATTGCTGTATGTCGGGTCGGAGTCGTCAACGACCTCAGCCAGGGTGGTATCCCGCCTTGCAGGCGAGGAGGGCTGAGTTCGTTGGACCATTGGCCAGTGTGCTGTAGATGTGGAGCAGTGGTTGCGAGCAAGACTCCGATGATCAGTGGATAGGCCGCATGGACACTGTGGACGCGTTCGCGACAGCTATGCGGAGCCCCGGAAGTCGGAACCAAATAGAGAGGACTGTCTGCTTGCAGAAACTCGGGGTGAGCGTGTTGAGCGGCAAGATCGATGTCTCTTCAATCTTGCTCACCATCCTGTTGGACCGAACGGTTCAAGGGGGCAAGCACGCTTCAAGCATATTCCTCACGAAGCTCTTAGCCCTCTGCCTTCCCGGTGGCAAGTCCGTGATTAGTCTCAGGGAGTCGACGGCACATTTGGATCGGCTGCGCCTTCCTGGTACCACGGCAAAGCAGCCTACTTTGCTCGCCATCAGACTCCTGAAGCGCAAGAGCACTGACCGAAGAGCTAATGGAAGATGCTGATTCAGAAGCGGGACACACGTACATGTGAGCGCAGAGCGAACCGAAGACGCTAGCGCAGATCGCTGGATCGGTGGCCTCGCGCGGTCTTACGCCTGGCCGCAGCGTTTGTTTGCCACTCAGGTTGTTGCCGTCGCTGCTGGGGGTAGACCTGCGAGCAACAATATAACCACAGACATCTCACCTCTTGCTTTCTTCCTCTCCATCCTCCTCTTTCTTTTCTTGCCCACTTCCCTTCCCCGTCTCCGCCCCCTCGCTTCACACTCCTCTTCGCACGTCCACTCCCTTCCTGCCCCTCATACCCGCTTGCCCTTGCTCAACAGTAATCCAACAAGAACAACTCGAACATGTCTTCCTCCGGCCTGTCATCTCAGTTGACTCGACCTGTCACCATGTCGCACCACTCCGGCACCGTCTCAGAGACAGCGTCGTCCACGAGCAATCCGGTTGCTACCCCGAAGGGTACGTTCCCTAGCGATTGAAGACATCCGCTAATGTGCCCACAGCTGATGCTTCAGCTCCTGCTCTCGAAGCGCTTGTTCATGAGCTGCGCCAATTTCGAGAGGACTTTGCCCCACGAGCCGATGAACTCAATCCGTACGACCTTCCTTCCACCGCCTCTCCTTCTCCTCATGACCGCGCCCTTCTCGTTCAAGTTCAGCAGCAGGCTCTCCAGCTAGCTGCTGCCGAGTATCAGTTGCTGTCTGCCAAGAGAGATGCCAAGGACCTCCGCTCTGCTTTGGATGAGGCCAATGCCGACAAAGCTCGTTTGCAAAGGCAGCTTGCCCTTAACACGTCCGCGAAGTCGGAGATCGCCACTATGGACGTGGTACAGAAGGAGTTTACAAAGTTGAAGCAATATCTCGACTTCCGTCTTGAGCACTTCATCGGCCAATTCTCCACTTCTACGCCCAGCCGTGCTTCTTCCTCGGCGCCGGTCTCGTCTCCAACGGCCTTTGTCGCCACCAAAGGTAGTCCACTGAAGACTCAAGCCACGGCTACTCGTCAGCCGCTTCTCCATGATTGGCGCTTCGAGACAACCACGTCACAGACACCCCATCGCCTTGACCACCCCGATGACTGCAACTGCTCTGTCGCCTGTCTCCAGTGGGGTGAGGTGAGCGCCGCCGAGACCGCCATCATGGGGAAGGAAGCCCTACACGGCAACCCTAGCTCATACTCGAACTACATGTCTCCTATCAGTGCGGCTATTCTGAAGGGCAACCATGATGGCCAGAACTGCCACTGCATCATTTGCATGCAGTGGTCCACCCCACCCAGTCCGGCGCACTGCGGCTCTTCCTCCGGGTACGCTTGTTCAGGCTTTGGCTGCCGTTCGACCCGCGCCCAGACGACGGACAAAGCCGACAGGGAAGGGCGACCTTCGCACTCAGTCAAGAGCTCGATCCACTCGAGCCATTCGACGTCGAACGCACCCTTCAATTCTCGCCTTGGGCAGCCATCGGGCAAGGCATTCGGCAACGACTCGCACTCGATCATGCTCAACTACATGCTTAACTCTAACGCCGGATCGCCCGCTGGTTCTGTTAATCGAGTTTCCACACGTTCGAGGGCCAACTCGAGCGCGGCGGTCAGCAGCTGGACGCCGGCCAAGGCACCTTCCGTCTGTCCGCCCCCCTCCTCTGCGCGCTGGCCCACTAGCCTCATGTACGCCTGATCCTCGCAAAACATCCTTTTGAGTAACCTGCAACCTCTTTAGAACCTGTCAACGTTATCCCTTGTATGAACCTGATGTATGTGCGTTGAATGAGCTGCCGGAGTGGGTTAGAGACGTGTCAGTACAGGAGTAGTCAGCTGCACACTTCAGTATGAGATGGACTGCGTACACTTTTGCACTTGTTAAACTGCTATCAGATTACAACTTGGCCTGGGCCTGGCCGGCCTTCTTGGCAGCTGCCTTGGCCTTGGCCTTCTCCTGGAAGCGCTTGATGGCATCCTTGTGCTCCTGCGACCTGTGCCTCTCGTCCACGGCGGCCATCTCGTCAATGTTGACCTTGTGGAGGTACTTCCTCTGCTCGGGCGTGCGGATCTGAGCCTTGCTGACGACGATGGAGCCGAACGCAAGATCCTCAAGATAGTCCTGGACCTTCTTGATGACGGTCTCCTGGAACGCGTTCGGGTCGAGGATACCGGCAAAGAGGCCGGTGTGCCTGAGGTCGTCCATCGGCACCGTCTCAGCGAGGTAGAGCAGGCGGGTCGTGAGCGAGTTGCCAAACAGCGGGGGGAAGGTGACAGAAGAGCAGCCCTCGAGCGAGATGCCGAGGCGGGAGAAGGGCGTCGTGAGCGTGACGTTCTCGACGGCGTAGACGAGGTCGAACAGCGGAAGCGTCGTGACGGCGATACCGTACGCGGGGCCCTGGAGCGCGCATACGGCGAGCTTGGGGAAGTCGATCAGCATCGCAATGTACTTGGTCGCGGGCGACTCGGTGCGCGGCGTCTTCGGGCCGTCACCGCCCATGCCACCGGCGCCGATGGCGGCACCCGCCGAGAAGAACCGGCCAGTCGAGGTACTGTTGGAGGTCAGCTGCCTGTCCGCTTAAGCTTTCGCTCCACCAACTCCGAGCACACCCTGTCCTGTCATTAACAACTGCCAAGACAGTCGCCCGCCCTCTAAACGGGTAGCGCAGACTGGACTTGTCCTAGTGCCGAGGACTAGCAGAACTACGGCCCAAGCCGAACTCCGACATGTCTCGGACTGTGCGCGCCCTCATGCCCCGATCACAGGTGACTCACACAACCACAGCCTTGATGTCGTCGTTGTCGCGCGCCCAGTTGAAGCCCTCGATGAGCTCGAGGTACTTCTCTCCGCCGAAGGCGTTGAGGTTCTTGGGCGTGTTGAGGCGGAGCTCAAGCACGCCGTGCGGGTGCACGACGGGGACGACCTCGGTGAGCTCGGGGAGGGGTGCCATGGTGGTGTTTCTTCGGACTTGCGTTCCGCCAGTGATCGACGTCAGCGACGGGAGAGATGGTAGCGAGGGGAGGGGGTTGGGCAGCGACGAGGGGAGTTGGGGGAGGGAGCGCAAGAGTGAGCGAATCATTGCAGACTGTGTGCAGACTGGCCGGCCAGACAAATATATTGGGAGGTGGGCTGCGAGCGAGACTAAAGAAGGGGCTAAGGGCCGGGTAGGGATTGCCGGCCTTACATAGTCTCGCGCGCGGCCGTCGAAATATGGGCGCCAGGGCGGAGATGGCCGACCGAGAGCCCCGCACCCGAAAGATTGGGGATCGGCTTCCTCCTGTCGTACCTTGATGGAGCTGCTGTTCCCTGGTACTCACTCTTCGTCATCAGCGCTGACTGCGTTTGGGAAGTCTTGGCTGCATTTTGGGAATCACGCTTGGGACGTAGCCAGATGAAGGGTCCCGCCTTCACGTCCTGCACATGCGACGGCCGCCGCCGTCGATGCTCACGCGACGATACTGGCTACAAACACGCTCCAGAATGCGAATACCGGACCGAGTCGGGTTTCTATTCACCGATCTCGTGCCTCTATGCGCCGTACAAGCGAGCGATATGTACTCACCGCCATGTTTCTGGGTGCACTAGCGAGCAAGGGAGGGCTTTCAGGCGAAACAATCGATCAGTTCAATGCACGGTATTTACATGGCGCCTATACAACAGACTACTTCGGTTTGTGCGCTGATGTCAGTTTGGCCGCAATACCTGAACTTACAATCTTCGTCCACCAGTGTGTCCTCGTCGACGCACTCCTCGACCCAGCTCGGGGTCACGATGTACTTGCGCTTCGGTCTGAGATCAGCTACAAAACTAGCGCGCGTAGCTCACAAAGACGCCGTCTTGCGCACAATCGACACGTAACGCGCCGAATCCTCGTCATCCATGATGACGTGCGTCGCGTCCATAAGGTTGGTCACGATGCGACCGCCGTGCTCAGTCAGGAGGCCGGCGACCTTATCGAGGCTGTGATCGTCAGCTAACGACGTAAAACCCAAAGCTTACCGCTCTATTGCGGCAGAGGGCGGCGAGGATGAGGCCAGATCGTTCAGCTCTGCATTCTCCGGTGTGTCGATGTAGAAGGTGAATGTCGCGAAGAGCGAGTCCTCGTCGTACTCCATCGCCTCGCCACTCATCTGCTGTCAGTTGATTAATTCAAGACCATCAGCTTACTTGGGACTCTTTGCCAGCCTGTGCAACGGGGAACAGCGGTCGGTATCCCTCGCCATCGTCTTCCTGCGCTGCTTGAGAGGCCTGAGGGTCGGAGCCAGTCGAAGGAGCGGGCAGCGTGGGCGACATCTCCCTCGTTCCTGCTTCCTCCTCCCGTTCTTCTTCTTCCTCCTCCTCCTCGTACTCCTCTTGATCTTCCGCTTCGTCGTGGCTAGAGGCGTCGCTGTCGTCCGCAGCAGCGGAGCGAAGAGTTGGTGAGAATGAAGGAGTACGCCCATCGTCATCGCCCATGCCCCAGTCGACAAGCTGCTTCGTGGCGAAAACGTCAGCCTTATCGACCGCATCAGCTACAGCCGACTGCTCGTCGTCCTCTTCTTCCTCTTCCATCTCCTCGTTCTTGCTGTCGGCGTTGCTGGAACCCAACTTCGCATCGTACTCAGCCAACGTCTGGGTAAACGCTCGTTGAGATTCGGCATCCTCAGACGCCACGACGAAGAACCTCTCCGTCAGCGTTCAACTCCTTTGGCCCACCCACTCCTTGAACAGAGGTAGTAGCTTGTTTCGCTTGATGGACTCATGGATCCAGCTTGGCTTGATGACACTGTTGCCCTTCTTGATCTAGGCTTTCACGCGAGGTGCTGGCGTTAGTAGACAACATCGCTCAACTCACTTTTATCGTCACAGGATATGACTACAGCAGAGTTGTCGCCAAACTGGGCTTGCGTGAAGCTTCCACCGTGCTTGTGGACCATTGACTCGAGTTCCGACTTGGAGTATTCGGCAGTTCCCTTCGGAATGACTGAATGTCAGCTGGGCACAGACCTGAGGAGCTTACAGAAGGTGACCCCTTCAAAAATGCGGTCCGCCACACCGTCGTCTGACAGCTTCTGGCCCTTGAAGCTCTCGAAGAGCTCTACTTTCCGCTTGGAGGTCACCTGGCGCCGCTTGCGCGAGCTGATGTCAGCTTTGCCCGAAGAAATGGCCACTCAACTTACGTGCCTTGATCGTCATCCGTGTAGCGTTTGTTCTCCTTATTCTGAAGGGCCTCCGTAAACTCTTGAAGACTCAACTGAGATATTAGTTTGTAAACTGTCACATCAAGCTCACGCAATTCCACATGTCGCGGTCCTGAGTCTCATCTGAAGACGGATGGCTGCGGCTCTCTCTGTCCCAAAAGATGTAGCGACAGCGTGGGAAGCGAAGCGTGTAGCCGGAACCGTACCCAGTGGCGGGGAAGACGATCTCAGAAGCCTTGACAGCAATAACGAACGAGTGCTCGGGCTCAATGTACACATCCGCTGTCGCGTCAGCTACCTCATGACCTCTAGCTTACGTTTGTCGTCGATCCCAACAGGCCCCATGTCCATCCAGGGAGGCGGTTTTGACCGGTCGAATGGGATCCAGTGCTTGCGGTGCTTAGAGCTACCCGTTAGCAGGCGCACAGTCACCCTGCTTACAGAATCCATTCGTAGTCGGCGAGTGTCATTCCTGATCCTACTTTGCAGAGGGTGGTGAACCTGGAGTCAGCAAGAGCCCGTGAATGCTTCTCACCTCGGCCGCTCTCCGCTCCCGTCGTCTTCTTGGGGGATTCGCAAACCACAAAGCAGGCTGGAAATCTTCCCCGTGCGACCTCCCTGTCCCCACCAGCCACCAAGTACCAGGAGATCAAGATTCTAGGTCACGTTAGCTAGAGGTAGACACCAGACGCACCTCTCCCATCTGGTCGGCGTACTCCGGCTTGACCTTCACCCACTCGGAGGAGCGTCCGTTGGTCACGTATCGAGTGTTAGTCTTTTTGACGACCAAACCTTCTCCCCTGGAAGGTCAGCTGCAGCTCTAAGTATGAGCTCACTTTTGCTCCAGAATCTCCTCCAAGAAGTTGCGGATGTCCTTCCCCGTCCTGCCCCTTCGCTCCTCAACGAACTCGAGGCGGCCCTTAAATGCGTCCAAATTGCTGAACAATCTGGGAGATCGAAGCAGTTTCTTCCTCTCATCCAGGCGTCTATCTGTCAGGCATTTGCCGTTCAGGTAGAGGATGTCGAAGACCTTGACTGCCTGTCAGCACAACGAGTAGAGCTCGGTAACTTACAGCACGGCCGGGGTGCATTTTCATCATTCGCCTTGTCTGAAGTCAGCAAAGATATCCATTCAAACAGTCACCCAAGGCAGCAGTTTTCAGCGATCCGAAGGCGAGATACTTCTCCAGAGCTGGATCCCACACCATCATTTCGCCGTCGAGAATGACGCTGAGGTCAGCGATGCCGACTCAGCTTGTTCCTACCTCTGCACCCCAGGCTCAAACGCGGCGGATATGAACGGGGTCAGGCTGCCCTCGCCGACGTGCGCGCCGTACAGATACGCTGAGATTGGTTAGAAGCTAGGCTTTAAACTTTGCTCACTGTAGTCTTTCGCCTTCCGTGAGCAATAGAACCACTCAGCTCCGCCGCCGCGCATATGAAGCTGGATTCGCTCGCCATCTAGCTTCTCCTCCATGATGAACTCCAGGCTGGGTCCACCGACGAGCTTGGCGATGGCATCGTGATTGGAGTTCGGCGAACGATGGCACAGTTGAGGAAGGAAGCACTTGAAAAGATCAATGTCTGCTTGCTGCAAGTCAGATCAACGGATGGTCGCGAAGCTCACATGTTTCTCCAACTTGATGTCTGGCTCGTACAGAGTCCAGCATACGCGCTTCAAGTCAGAACAGACGTTGAACAGAGTGCCAGCTTCGGGATGCAGACAGCTCAGGACGCCCTTCTCCTTTACGGATATCCTTAGATCTGTCGTCAGCGGACTCCCTGACACACGCACCTTTCAGGATGATCCTGATGATCCATTCTTGCTCGGCCGCAGTCGCTTTCTCATTCACCGTACGCAGAATGGCAACCACATCGGCACTGCATTGTCAGTTGCCTAGCACACGCATGGAATTCAACTGACGTTTTAACGTTTGGCCCGGCCAGCTTGTCGAGCAGATCGTTCACGTCGCCTATCGTGAGGGAACCTTGTTCCACCGTCGATCGCGATTTGATCTCGTGGTACGCGACGCGGGCGAAATCACCACTCGCGTTTTCCTTTGTATCAGCAATCGGCACAGAAGAAGAGCCCACCTGTCCGTCCACGGGTGTCTTCCAATTCTTGAGACGCTTGGCGGCATCTCCGTGCTTATCGAGTCCCAGTACCTCCGTGTAGGCTCGGGCAAGGTTTGCCTCCTTCAGGTGGTAGACTGGTCTCTCCCTATCACGCTGGGGTCAGCTCCCTTGACGTATTCGAAGCTCACATCGGGCAGCAGAAGACGAATGAGTGGGTAGAAGTCATTGCCGACCCTCGTCCTCCAGATTTGCATGAACCTTGTCAAGGTATCTATACGTTTTGCGGGCTTCTCGTTACGCAGACGGTCCATCGTCGAGCACAGGATGCCAAAGGCAGGCGTGTCTTTGAAGTTTCGGCAGTCCGGCGAACGCTCGAGCTGCGTAGCGGGGGCGAGTTGAGAGGGCGCCGGAGCATCCTGGGTCTCTTCTTGAGTGTGTGAGGGATATACCTTGCCATCCCGGTATAAAGGCATGATGGCGCGGTGGTCGACGAAGGTCGCGGGGAAGACGACAACAACAACAAACTCGACCAGCGGCAACTGCAGATGATGTCAACTGGTACTGCGGGGCACCAGTCGGCGGCCAGGCGGTGGCCTGGGCACTTCGGAAAGTCAGAGTGGCGTCACGTGAATGGCAGCACAAGACAATCCGGTCTCTTCCGCCCAGACTTCTCGTGTGTCCGCCGGATGAGAGACTTCGAGGAGACCCAGACCCCAGGGCTGTCCGGCATGTCCGGATTGATCGGACAGGGCGGCGGCCGTCCGCGACAGGAGGAGCGTACAACACGCTTCGTACGCTTCTTCGTTGTTCTTTTCGGTCGCCGCGACGACTCCTTGTAGTGCGACGGCACGCGAGGTATGTTGCCGCAAAGGCGATGCGCCCGACCGCGCCACGCACGTAGGGCGCGATGGGGCGGCGATGGTCCTAGGGTGGAATGGATTTGGGCGGGCTAAAAATCTAATAGCGGAATCAGACGCAGATTTGACTAAGCTAATCGCCGGATTACAGGGCAGCAGGGCCGAGAGCCAAGGGTCTGGTCGCCGGCCGAACGTGGTTAGATCAGCCATGGCGCCCGCTGGGCCGATGGCACACGGGCTCCACGCCCGAGGCTGACTTTCGCAGCGGAAATTCACGGTGGCCTGCGCGTCCTCGTCCTCGTCCTGTTTAACGCCTCTCCATCGTACAACTTTCCGACATCCCCTCTTATCTCTTCATCTCTTTACCGACCTCCTCTTCATCTTTCGCCTTCTCAGTGACGACCGCTGTTCACTGAACAGTCCACTCTTTCGACCTGTCTATCCTTTCCCTTTAAGCCTTCTTACCCCCTCTTCCCCTTCCACTCGACCTCCCTCTCGCTCCACATTCCAACATGCACCAGGCTCGCATTTTCGCCAACGCCGACGTGTCAAAGCGTAGGTCTACTTACCAAGCAAGAGGCACGGCCGCTAACTAATCAGGCAACACGCGCAAGCAATGCTGGATCACCTACAACGGAAATGTCTACGATGTCACCGAGTTCCTCGAGGACCACCCGGGTGGCGATGACCTGATTCTCAACGTTGCCGGCGGAGACGTCGGTACGATCATGGCTGACCCGACCTCGCACGCGCACTCGACTTCCGCCTACGAGATGCTAGAGGAGTTCAAGATCGGAGAGCTCGGCGGCGACGAGAAGATCGTCTCTGAGGACTGGGTTCCCGACGTCGACTTCCACCCGGACGAGACCAACGTCAAGTCTGACTACGACAAGAACAAGTTCCTCGACCTCTCGCGTCCTCTCCTCATGCAGGTCTGGGGCGCTCCCTGGTCTAAGGAGTACTACCTCAGCCAGGTGCACAACCCGCGCCATCTGAAGGAGTCCGCGCGTCTGTTCGGTCCCGACTTCCTCGAGATGTTCACCCGCACCAAGTGGTGGGTCGTGCCCATGGTCTGGGGTCCCATCACCGCCTTCCTGTTCTATCTGTCGGCCCTGCAGTTTACCAACTCGGCGATCACGGCTAAGGACTTGTTGAAGCTGCCGCTGCAGATGCCTCTCCCCACTCCCAGCGCGATGGGCCTCGCCAAGACGATTCCTTGCTTCCTGCTCGGCAACGTCATCTGGACGCTGCTCGAGTACGGCATGCACCGGTTCCTGTTCCACATTGACGACCACCTCCCCGACCAGAACTGGGCCATCGTCCTCCACTTCCTCCTGCACGGTATCCACCACTACCTGCCCATGGACCGCCTGCGCCTCGTCATGCCCCCGCTCCTGTTCTTCGTCCTTGAGACGCCGTTCACCAAGCTCGCGCACCTCATCTTCCCCAAGGCGATCGCGAACGGTATCATCGCGGGCGCGTTCGCGTTCTACATCCTCTACGACTGCTGCCACTATGCGCTCCACCACACCCGCCTGCCGCAGTACCTCGCCGAGCTCAAGCGCTACCACCTGGCGCACCACTACAAGAACTACGAGCTTGGCTTCGGTGTCACGTCCAAGATTTGGGACGTCGTCTTCCACACCGAGCTGTTCATGTAGACCGCGGCGGTCAACAAGCGGGCGCGAGTAACGAGTGGAACGAAAACAACATCTTATCTAAAGCTGTCAACGGACGATTTAATGACATACCCGCGAGCGAACAGCGAGCGATCTATAGAGCCATGTACAAGATAACTGAAACCGAGAAGGCCGGGCCTGATGCAACCTCTCCATCCTCTTGCTTGCGTCGTGAGCTGTCGAGAATGACTGGTGCCCTTCTAATGACATGCTGATGTGACGATTCGTGGCGCTTGCTGACAATAGACGGTGGCATGAGTGGGTGGCCGTAGTGGCCAATGGGGCGAGGCGCATCGGGGCGAGTAGGAGCTACGTTTGATGTGTTCTGCGGGTGCGATGCGGCACTGGAAGCGGCGATGTTCGGAGAGAGCACGAGGGACGGCGATGATCGCATCCCTCCACGTACAGTCAAGAGCATCAGTTCTAATCCGGTACCCGGGTGGTCAATCGGACTTGTGACCCGCGCGCCGAGGACTCTGTACCTTGTGCCTCTGTGCTGCCCTTCACGTGTTCTGGAGCTTATCGTGAACTGAGCAGCTGTGCATGACCTCGTAAGTTGTCCTCTACTTTTTGCTGAGTAAACAGTTTGGCGGAGACTACGTTGTCACTTGGAGTCAGTGGAGCCCGGTGTGCAGTGAGTCGTGCTGGCACTTCTGGAATGTAAGCCTTAGCCTATCCTTCATAGCTTGCCGTGGCTTGATACGAATCCTTGTCAGATCGTGTGGCGGAAAATCCTTCCCCACGGGGGAGCGGTACCGGCAATCTCAACCCGACGTCATGTCGCAACACAATTCCAAGAATCTGCAACAAGCCCTAACATTTCTTACAACCTCCAACTTCGCCATGGCCCCCTCTTATCGACATTCAAGACATACGCTGCTGTCTGAGCTGCCAAAGTTGACCCCGGAACAAATCGCTGCGTGAGTTCCCCCATCCCTTATTGTGTTTGCAGTGGTCTCTAGAAGTTAAGAAGATGGAGCGGTCGACGGCGGTCTCCGCCGATCAGTAACGTTGTTGAGTCACTGGGCCCCGTTCTCCCCAGTGATTCTGAACCCACGGGCAGCTTCTCTGGTTCAGCATCACAGCAGTTCGAGCTGCTACAGTGATGCCCATGGTGCCCACTGCCCGCACCCATCGTAGTAATCGCTGACAGCAGCAAACCCCGCCTCGTCGCGCCGAGCAAGACGACCCAGGTCTCGCACCAGCAGTCGACATGGTCTGCACCGCCGACGAGCGTGCTGCTCGTACACAAGGAGTGCAGCGAGGTAGTGAAGCAGGCCGTGGGCCAAATCCTCGCTTACTTCCGGGACACCTACCCCTCTGTGCGAATTCTAGTCGAGGGGCACACGGTCCGCGACCATCCCGACTTTGACGTAGTCGTTGTTGGTGAGCTCAGTTGAGCGAGGGGGAGCTAACGCGCAGACGAGGGGACGACACCCCACGAACTGTTCCCATACACGCACCTCGTCCTGTCTCTCGGCGGCGACGGCACGGTTCTGCACGCCGCCTCGCTGTTCGGGCAGGGCGAGTGCCCGCCCGTGCTCTGCTTCTCGATGGGCAGTCTCGGCTTCCTGCTCCCGTTCCACATCGCCTCGTTCCGCGACGTACTCTCGCAGACGCTTTCGGGAAGTGTCTCGATTCTGTACCGCATGCGCATTGAGTGTCGATTCCTCAACAAGGATGGAGAACGGCTCGAAGGCAGTCCTGAGAGCTGGCAGTGTACATATAACACATTGAGCTGGCACACGATGCTGACGGATCCTCAGGCATGAACGAAGTGGTGCTGCACCGCGGCAAATACAGCCACCTAGCGGTGCTCGACGCATATCTCAACGATCAGCACATGACCGAGGCCATTGTGAGTAGCATCTGCGGTAGCGCTGACAGCAAGTGTGACGGCCTCATGCTCTCGACGCCGACAGGAAGCACAGCGTACAACCTCTCCTCGGGCGGCCCCATCGCTCATCCGGAGGCAGACACGCTTCTCCTGACCCCGATTGCGCCGCGCTCGCTCTCCTTCCGCTCAGTCGTGCTGCCAGGGGACGCGACGGTGCAATTGCAGATCTCGCCCCGGGCCCGCGCCCCCGCCACGCTGAGCCTGGACGGACGCGAGGTCGGCAAGCTGGGCAAGGGGGACAATGTGGTGATCAGGCGGAGCCCGTGGCCCATCCCCTGCATCGAGCGCGGTGGAGGGCCGGGCAAGGGCTGGCTCAAGGATATCAAGTAGGTCTACGGGCGAGTAGTGCTGACACGCAGCCAACTGCTCCTGTTCAACTCGGGATTCGTCAACAAGGCCAAACTCTAGGTATAACCCATTCGTTAGGCAGGGGATTGTAGACACATGAGCTGTGCAGATCGGAGATGCAACGCGATTGTGTTGTGACGTCGCATCCTGGGACATGAAACACGAAGCAGACCCCGGAGGCTGGAAGAGCGTCATGGATTTCCGGCGCCGAGCGGGCGCCGATCATCTCTTTACGATGCAAAACGCGGTGGAGCCGTCCACGTCTGTCGACTCTGCGACGCGGCAAGTGGAGCGTCGCGCCGAGCCGAGTTTGGCTCAGTCCGCCAACCTAACTTGAAGGTCTGGGTCGGATGTCGGCCGGTCGGGAAGTAACTCAAGTGGAGGCCGAAGCCTTGATCGACGCTCGGTCCGGTGATGTCACACGCCCGCCTGCACGCGCGCGGCGATCCTGTGCCGCTCGTTCTGACCGAGGGATACCGAGCTCACCGAGTCTATCACACGTTCGCCCTCCCAGTACTTGAAGCGCAGGTCAGAGTTTCATGAAGGATGGAGGAGGATGCGTGGTTACGGACCGACGACCCGGCCACTGCCGGGCTCGGCACACGAGGTACCCATCTACGGCCCGCGTATACGTCGCCTCTTGTGGAGCGTGCATGCGCGCAGATCTGCATGTTCGACCACTGTATTGCTGCACGTGCAGAAGAATTGAAGAGTGAAGAGACGGCCGCGCTAGCCCCCCTAGTGCCTCCAAAGGCGAGAACGCTATCCGGGACTAGCGGGACTAAGAGCTCACTAGACCGGTGCTACGAGGGGGTGTCAATGGGGTGCTAACTGGAACACAGCCCCGCGTTCCTTGTGCTTCCTCTGCTCTGGATCCCTCTGGACTTGTGTAGTGCATGTTCAGCTGCTTCGTCAGGTGGCTCAGCTGAGCAGTGCGCGTATGACACAAGCCAAGCGCAAGCCAGCTGCAGCCAGCCGAAGCCAGGTGACATCAACGGCTTGGGCTCCACAAATGCTCGACGTTCCCGAAGTCTTGAGTTCGGGTCGATCTTGTCGGACTACAATCAGGAAGGGGGAGAAGGACTGGGTGAGTCGCCCCCTTGTCCCTCAGGTCCTCTGTCCTTTGGCCCTTGCAAGTCTCTCGTACCTTATACAATCTGCGACTGTTCAGTGCGATAACCGCAGTGTCTTGCTGCGATGCCTGAGGGCAGTGGCCGCAGCAGCCCTCTCGGCCCTCTTCACCCAACCCACTGCAACGCAGTTCTTTGGCTGAGCCAGGTTTAGCTGAACCAGGGGCGCCCCAGGGCGCAGAGCGCATTCAGTAGAGCTTCCGCGGACACGCTCTTGCCTCATGAATGCAGGCCAGGAACGCCGACCCCGTCTTGCAGCCCTTCGAGCAGCATTCACGCCCAGGTCTGACCAGTCATCCCAGGCACGGGGAGGTACGGGAGGAACCCAGCTACCTACCACTGTACTCCTGGGCCTCTGCTCACCTGCTTGGTCTGAGTGTTATGCCGGCGGTTCGATGGATGGTGAAGCTTGCTCGAGGCTTAGGGCCCGGGGAACCTGGTTTTAGAACTGGTTCACTCTTCTCGTTCTGATTCGCCCATCTGATGGACCAGCCCTAAGGATATCCAGCGGGGCCCTGGCCGGCCGCCACTTTTCTGGTCTGCATTTCTAGGGTCGTCAGGGTGCTCGCTGGGTTTCGTAGGGCCGCCGACAGCCTAAACCAGGGCCGACACAAGCCTTCAGGGTGGTCTGTGACTTACTCTGGGCAGCGCCCAGCGCCCAACTCACAGTATGCAGGCTGTCGTCTGCAGCGAAGAGGCAGAGTTTGATGCATCAGAGTGGGTCAAAGAGTTGCAGAAGTAGACAACGAGGCACAGGCTATAATGGGACCTGCAGTAAGAAATTACGCGCCGATTACGTTTGCAGATTTTCGATTTGGAAGCTTGTCAATTCACCAGAGCACAGATTGGAATAAGCTGGGCCTGATCAGAGTGTTCCTTGGACCTTGGTACAGTGGGATCTCGTCCATCTGTCGCCAGCCCGCAAGTGGTCGGAGGTGCCTCGGCGGTGCACCCGGATGCAGCTTGCTGATTGCTGGAGTTGAGCACGAGTGCTGGAGTGATGGGACCGCAACGCCGGACTGCAGGACTCCCATTGCGCTATTACTGCCGAAGACCACGAAGTCGAAGGCTGAAGCCGAGGACGACAAGAGGAGATACGTCGATGCGCAGGCTGCAATATATAGCACAATGCTACAGGTGGATGACCCATCTTGTAGCCGGACTGGAAGCCAGATGACGACTCGCTTCGCTTCTTCGTAACATTACATGAATTTGCCACGAGGACGACCACGAACATGGGGAAGAAGGGGTGCAGCCATGGGGTACTGCGTGCCGGCTGCCCCGATGCGGGGGATGGGTGACAGCATGACGCGGGGCGTTACGCCAGCTGACGGTTGGTGTCATGGCCTGATGGCCTGATGGCACACTACTGGATCTGCAAGGATGCACGTTCACGACGCTGCCTCCTGCGTTTCCGTTTCGTCCAAGCCGCTCTGCATGCTTAAGCTCTAAGGCTGGCTGGAGGGCTTGACGGCTTGACGGGCTTAAGCCTTGTCCCTCTCCTGTTGCTCTGCTACCTGGGCCACCTGGACGTCGCCTGTCGCTGCATATTAGAAACTCTCGAGCCAAAGCTACGATACTTTGCATAAGAACTTGGTTGGGTCGCAGGGTCTGCTTGAATAAGAGAGCATAAGGTCGGACTAATAGGCATAATTAAGCTTTGGGCTAAATGGTCGTACCGCCGGTTACAACGTGACGGGACCAGATGAAAAGCCAGCACTGACAGCTGCCGCCGCAGGTCTCGTGCCCCTTGGTGGCCCTGGGTGGCCCTGCGTCTGCGTCCCTTGCCCCCTGGCTGAAAACCCTGTGTGCCCTGGGTACCCAGGTCTTGAGGCTGCAGCCTGCCTGGCCTGCCTGCAGGTCGCTCGCTGCCACCCAGTCGACCCAGCTGCCATCACCCATCACCCACCCCTCACGCCCTCCCCCATCCATTCATCCACCCCCGAACACCACCCCTTCTTTCCGCCCCTCCCCTCTGCCTGCCGTCCCCCCCCTCCGCCGAACTCGCTCACCGCGATCCGTTTTCCTCCTCCAGACACCATCCAACATCTCCACATCAATCCTCTACACCCACACCACACTCCCGCTACTGTGAGTGGCCTGGCCCCGCCTTCCCGTTTGCGTCCGAGCACCCGACAGCCGACAAAGGCCCCGGCGGCACACCCAGCACACGACTCTGCGCCGCCCCCTCAGCCTGGCTCCCGCCTGGACAGATCAGCTCATGTTCCCTCCCTTCGACGAACAGACCCGTATCTCACAATCCTCTTCCACTCTTCCGCTTCCCCACACTTGCTCGAGAACCAGCTGACATCCCATCCAGCACCCAGCGCTACCGTCCAGTCAGCGACCGGTCACCGCCTCCTGGCCCCCTTTCCGTCATCGCTTTTCTCTCTTCCGCGCGCCGCCATCCCATCTAGCTTTGTGACGCCGACAGAGTAACAGCACTCCCCCTCCGACGGCACCTCCTGTCTCCCCAGCGCGCGGGTCCAAGCGACCTAGCCGCCGCCAATCCTCGACTCGCTCGTCGCCCCCTCCATCGCCGTTCGTCCGGCAGCGAAGTGACCCACCGGGAAAAAGACTTTGTGCGCCTCTGTGTGTCCGTCGAGTCCCATAGCAACCCTCCCCCACGCGGATTCCTTCCACTTTGTAACGATCCATCCGACCGTCCGACCGACACATCCTCACCTCGCACCTCCCCACAGCGGTGGCAAGCCAGCATCCATCCCCCAGCATGTCCAATTTTGGACAGGCCTTCCAGAATGCTGGATTCGACCCCTCCATCCTCTATCAGCTTCCGAACAACGGTGGCAACGTCAATCCGGCGGCCCTCAGCGGCATGACCGGTGGCGTTGACCAGAGCCAGCAGCAGCAGGGCATGCAGGGCTTCAACCTCAGCAACGCCGCCATCTCCAACGCGCTCGGCGGCAACACGAACAATGTCGGCGGTGCCGCGGCCGGTGGCGGGGGCGCACTACCCACCAACTGGTTGAATTCTTTCAACTCGCTCCAGTCTCATGCCAGCCAACAACTCGACCAGCGAGCGCGGCAACAGCAAGCGATGGGGCAGCAGCAGCAAAATCCGGGCCAGACGCCCAACCTCATGGGCTCGGCGCCGTCGCAGTTTGACCTCGTGAGTGATGCACCGGGAGCGCGCATACTGACCGCTTTAGCTTCGTATGCAGGCAGTCCGTGCGGGCGTGACAAATGCGGGGGGCCAGACACCGAATCCGGCCGTCCTTGCTCAGCAGATCCAGCACGCCCAGCAGCAATTGCAGCAGCAGCGATTCCAGCAGGCTCAGCAGCAGCAGGTTCAGCAGCAGATCCGGCCAGACGTCCAGCCTCAGCAGCCGATGCAGCAGCAGAACGCGACCCAGCTTCAGCAGAACGCGGCGCAGAAGGCTGCCGAGGCCCTTTTCAACGCAAAGGTAAGTCCGTCGGTCGAACATGTCTGACTGATTCTGCAGGACGTCAGTGGCTTGCCCCCGCAAACAATCAACCAGTACGCCGCTTTGATCCAGAAGGGAGGCATGAGCACTCCGGAAATGAGGGCTGCGATGCAGCGATTGTAAGTAGCTATTTCTTTTTCTTACGCTAACATCCGCAGGCAGCAGGTCCAGGCTGCGCAGCAGGCCGCCAACAAGAATGCCGCGGGAGGTTCGGGCCTCGGCGGTGTCGACCCGAACAACAACAACGCGCCGTTGATGACAACGAACCCTCTGCAGCCACAGGCCCAGGTGCCCGGCTTACCTCAGTCCGCACAGACGTTGACTGAGGCTCAGCGCCGGGAACTCTTCGCCAACCGCATCAAACAGAGCGGCCTGACTCAGGCCCAGCTTCTTGCTCTCGCTCAGCAGCAGCGGGCCGCGCAGGCGCAGGGACAGCGGTTAAGTGCCGGTAGCCTCGCTCAGCTCCAGCAGGCCGGCCTCTTCGGCTTGAACGGCAACCAGCCTCTGCCGCCGCATCTGCAGCAGCACCTGATCAACCAGCTCAAGCAGTCGCAGATGGGCAACCAAAACCAGCAGCAGCAGCAACCCCAGCAGCAGCAGCCTGGTCAGCCCCAGCAGCCTCAGCAGCCCGGTCAACAGCAGCAGCCGCAACAGCCCCAGCAGCCGCAACAGCCTCAGCAACAGCAGCCTCAACAGCCCCAGCAGCAGGTTCCTCAGCAGCAGACGCCGCAACAGCAGCCTCAGCAACTGCAGCAGCCGCCTCAGCCTCAACAGCAGCAACCGCAGCAGCAGACTCCGCAACAGCAGCCTCAGCAGCTCCAGCAGCAGCCGCAGCAGGTGCCGAACATGCAGAACCAGGGGATGCCGAACATGGGACAGAGCGTCCCGATGGCGAATCAGCTGTCGCAGAACGCCCAGCAGCCGGGCGCTGGTGGAGTAGGGGGCGCCGGCGGACCGTGGAACATGCAGCAGACCGCTCCGACGCAGAACTTCCCCCCGGAGGAAGACTGGCTCCGCGTCCTGCGAAGCCTGCATCAGCGCCCCGATCTGCAGTATCCGCTCGTCAATGGCAAGCCGGTCAACCTCTACCGGTTGTTCGCTTACGTCTTCGCGTACGGAGGTTACCGCAAGTTTGACAGCCAGCCGATCGACAAGCTGTGGACCACCGCCGCTCAGGCAATCGGCTTCCTCCCGTCGAACCAGCCTGGTGCCGATCCTAGCACGATCGCGCGGCAGATCTCGGAGGTGTACCACCAGTTCTTGAGCCGCCTGGAGGAGCTCTGGATGCAGAACCTGCAGGCCGGGCAGCGCAACCAGCAGCAGCAGCAACAACAACAGCAGAACCCGGGTGTTCAGCAGAACGCCGTGCGCCCCCAGGGTCTCATGCCGCAGCAGAACCCCGGCCAGCAGTCGACCCCTCAGCAGCCTCCGCAGCAGCTGCCGCAGCAGCAGCAGCAGCCTCAGCAGCCTCAACAGCCCCAGCAACCGCAACAGCAGCAGCAGCCCCAGCAGCAGCAGCAAATGAACGTCCCGCCCAACCCTCAGCAACCGGGTCAGATCCGTCCTAACATGACCAACGGCTTGACGCAGGAGTTCATGAACGCGGTTGCGCAGAACCAGGGCATGACTCTCACCGAGGAGCAGCAGCGCATCATGCGGGCACGCGTTGCGCACGCCCAGAGCATGCAGCAGCAGGCCCAGCAGAACCAGCAGAACCAACAGAACCAGCAAAATCAGCAGAATCAGCAGCAGCAGAACCAGCAGAACCAGCCGACGCCGCAGAATCAGCAGAACCAGCCGACACCGCAAAACCAGCAGCAGCCGACTCCGCAGAACCAACAGCCGACGCCGCAGCAGAACCAGCCTCCACAGCCGAACCCGCACCCTGTTAGCTTCCAGGAAGTTGTCGCGAACCTTCGACACAAGGAGGCTCAGCTCGAGGCTGCGTTCCTGAACACGCGCAAGCAGACTGTTCAGATCCCGCCAGAGCAGCAGGCCGAGTACCGTTCCGTTCTCGAGAGCGTTGTGCGCCTCGCTACTGAGGCCAAGCAGAGGAGCCCGCTGTTCAGTGTAGTCGCTCAGACCGCTGAGGACCGAACACGCTGCCACGGCCTCGTTCAGCTCACTGCCATCTGCTCCGCCGCCGTCAACAAGACGAAGAGCAACCAGCCTTGCTTGACGCTCAAGGAGCTCGAGGGCGTCCGCAATCGCCTCAAGCTTGTCATTGACGAGGCTTCCGTGCACCTGCAGCAGGCGATGACCGACCCGAACATCCGCAAGCGGATGCAGTCCCTCACCAACCACAACCAGACCGAGGCGATGCGAGCTGCCGCGGCTGCTGCGAACCAGCAGAACCAGGCTGCTCAGCAGGCCGCGCAGCAGCAGGCTCAGCAGCAGCAACAGGCTCAGCAGCAGCAGCAGCAGCAGCAACAGCAGGCCCAGCAGCAGCAGCAGCAGCAGATGAACGCCGCTGCCGCGATCGCTGCCAGCAACAACAACGCCGCCAACAACAATGCTCCGGCATCGACGAGCGCCAGCGCCAACGCCAACACGCCTCAGCAGGCTGCTCACGCTCTGAGCCCCGAGATGCTCAACAACCTCATCAAGCGTCCGTTAAAGCAGGAGGACCTTAAGCCCCCGCCACTTCCCAAGAGCCGGAAGGGCAAGGTCTCGGAGTCCCCGAAACCGGCGCCCGCGGACGAGAAGACGCCGCGAACACCAGCGGCTGCTACCACTCCCCAGGCCGAGGCGTCGACGCCATCAACCGCAGCTCCTAAGCGACCGGCGAAGCGTAAGAGCTCCGTCGCTCAGACCCCAAAGTCGGCCAAGCGAGCAAAGGCCGACGACGATGCCCAGAGTGAGAAGGCGCCGACGCCAGCAGCCCCGACTGCTCCCACTCCTCAAAATGTGGAGTCGGCCCCGACACCCGGCAGCACCTCTGGAGCGACTCCGGCGGCGGCTGGTTTCTCGGGTAACGCCATCAACGTGTCCCGTGCGACGCACGCGGACTACTTTGCGCAGCAGCAGAAGGGAGCTCAGCAGGAGCGCGAGCAGAACGCTGCTTTCTTCGCTCAGCGCCAGGCTGTCGGTGCATTCGACGGGGACGTGAACGCTGCCCTCAACATGTGGACGTCTGCACAGATGATGCCGCCACAGGGCCCCGCCCCCCCACCTGCTCTCGGCGACGGACCCGGTGGCGTCACGTTGATGGCGCAGACGGACGATGCGCTTGCGGACCAGTCTTGGCATGATTTTATAAACGAACAAAATTTTGACCCAGATGAGCCGACACCGTTGCTGACGCGGTGTCGGTCTCTGGACACCGACCCCGAGTGCAGCCCCCGCGACGGCGACATCCTTGGTCGCTCGCCGCTGACGGCGATGCACGCCCATGCAGTCGGCATGCACCCTGGCGCCTTCGACCCGAACGACAAGTTTGCCACGCGGCGGATCCCTCTGATGAGCCCGTCGGCGCAGCTGTACAACGGCATGCTCTTCGTCAACACTGAGGTCGAGCACCCTGGTGCGATGGAGCCTTTCCTCTGATCTGGTCGATCTGGACAACTACGTTAATCGACTTCTATATTCGAATAATTCTATATTCTTCAGGCTCCGTGATCCCCTTGTTCTTTTTCCTCCACTTCTTTTTTCTCTGGTTTGACTCTCCGATCCGATTCCCCTTCTTCTTTCCTCTTCTCTTCTGCGACTATCCTGGACTGGGTGACGAACGATGGCCTCGGACAGGCGAATGTGTGTGTATTGTGTCGGTGCTAGAAACCCCCTATCTGAAACAGCAAAACGGATGGCCCCCAGCGTCCGTTGCGAAACGCAAACGAGTGTGCCCATGTAGTAGTAGCGTACATGCATAATCTGAAGACTCGAACAATGCGATCGAAGGCGTCGAAGGTTGAAGGGGCGATCGAGAGTGACGGGGCGACGGAGCAACGTTTGTTATCTGTCGCCTCGTGCGCCTCGTTGTGCCAACCTTGTGATTGAGAGGCTGGAGCCAGAATGGGAGTGAGGTGAGTGCTGACATTGTCCTGTGTCGTGCGTGTCCTGAGTGTTTCGGATGTCTCGCAGGGGTATAAAGTGATTGGATGCTGGCTGCGTAATCGAGGCGGTTCGCTGGATTAGCTTCTGGAACTTGGAACATTAGGAATGCGGCGTAATGACTGGCTCCCGCTGGATTATGGGACCACGTTTAATTCTGTTAGGCTGCGAACCTTGACCCCCGAGACAGCGCGCTGGCTGGCGCGCTGGGCGGCTACAGTGAGCCTTGAGCCTTGAGCCTTGGGCCCAGCGCCTCTGGCCACTAAATTGGCAGGCTCGCGGCTGGGGACTCCTCAATCAGATCCTCCGACGTAGGCTCGGTCGTTGTTTGGTCCATCGGCCAAGCGGTCCGCCGCAATCTTTCATGACCTCGAGACCACCGACTGCGCCAGCCCACACATCATCGCAAGTGATCGCTGCACATCTCGATATCTCGATCACAAACCATCACACACACGCACTTTTCCCTCGTTCGCACACTCCCCTCTCCCGTCTCTCCCAGCTGCGACTCAACTCCGCTTTTCGTCGCATCTCGGCTCACGCCCCCCTCCACCTTCCCCCCTACCCTCGTAGGCGATACTACCCCCGCCCTTGCGCGCAGCTGGTAACCCCTTCGCTCCCTCCCTCATCCTTCCTCCTCTGCAGGACCCATCCTCTTCAGCCATCAGCCACCTCGCCGCCTTCCCTCACATAAACGCCTCCGTCCAGGTTCGACAAGCACTTTCTTTGTCCATCTCCTGCCTTTTCATCTTCGCGTCGCGCACTTGTGCATACCACCACGAGCCCTGCCGCAATCGTCATCCGTTTCGATCCCTTCTCCTGTTGTCCCGACTCCCGACACAGTCTCCGCTACCAACAGTCTACTCCAACCCGCGCGTCTCCCTCTGCGCGTTCCGAACCGAGTTAGACCCCAGCGCGCTCGACTCGAAACGTCCGCCGTCACGATTTTGTTGTTAGCAACCATTTCAGCCAACACACATCCGATTCGGTTCTCGACGCCGTCCCACCACCCATTACACGTCCGCTAGCTCTCGGCCCCAGAGGAGAGGCACACGTTACACCATGCCTTCCTCAAAGTCGAGTCTGGACAAGCGCGACGTCTACTACCGCAAAGGGAAGAGTGACGGTTAGTATTGCCCTCTCTTGCTCGTTCTTTGCGATTGACACAGCTCGAAGGATACCGCGCCCGATCGGCTTACAAGCTCCTGCATCTCGGTGAGTTTGCGCAGTGAACAGCTTGCAGCCTCGGACATGACTGCGGGGCGTTGCCGCTCCGAAAGTCGCTCACCGTCACGTCCCGTTGGACGCGAGCTGTTCTAATCCTGGAATCTTGGCCTGATCCTGACACTTCACTACAGATGAGGAATATGACCTGTTCACTGGCGTCAATACCGCCGTCGATCTCTGCGCCGCGCCGGGCTCGTGGTCGCAAGTCCTTGCTGCGCATCTGAAGTGAGTGATTCTTCGCCCATCGGCCAGACGCATTTCTTCCGGCTGGACTCGCACCTCGCACCGCGCGTTTCCTTCCTTCCCTCACATAATGTTCTGTCCGCCTTCCCTGGACTTGGGCTCCGTGCTCGACTCAAACCCTTAAGCCCCAATGTATGTCTGCTGACGGCGACAGGCCCGGCCGCGCTGGTTCCGACTCGCGCATCGTCTCCATCGACCTGCAGCCAATGGTACGTATTGCGTATGCCGCGGCTAGCGGGTGACTGACCTCTTTCTCGCAGGCACCTCTGACCGGCGTCACGACGATGCAGACCGACATCACCTGCCCGGACACGGTCCCCCGCGTCTTGGAAGCGCTTGGCGGAAGGAAGGCCGACTTGGTCGTCTGCGATGGCGCCCCCGATGGTGCGTATCATACGCTCAAGCCAGCACTTGTACCCCGTGTCGGACAAGCTGACCCTTCAGTTACCGGTGTCCACGACCTTGACGCTCATCTCCATGCGCAGCTCATTTTGGCGGTACGTGAAGGCGAAGCTCGAAGCGCAGCACAGAGTAGCGCGTGTCGCGCGCAGTCACACGCGCCGCGCGCGCGCGCCATCTCCCGATCGCTTGGAGCCCGATGCTAGTGCATAACGCTGATCATCCCCAGGCCCTAACACTGTCGTTGACGCTAATGGCTCCTCACGCCACCCTCATCTTTAAGATTTTCTTATCGCCTCTCGATCCTCAAGCAGCTATTCTTCGCTCTCAGCTCTCGACATTCTTCCCCGGCCCGCCTCCGGGACAAGACATCGACGAAGACGAGGACGACATGGCCGGAAAACCTGGCTACGACCGGATAGGGCGTCGAGGCGGCGTGTGGGTGCGCAAGCCCAGGAGTAGTCGCAAAGGTAGTGGGGAAGCCTTCATCGTCTGCCGAAACTTTGACCCGACTACTGTTCCTCTACCGAGTACCATCTCGCCCCAAGCCTATGAGACGTTCAAGCGCGACATTGGCTCGACGCTAACTCTCGAGTCGCTTTCTGCTTTGAGCTCGAACGGCGGTATTGACCCGACCTGGTCTGAACGCAAACGATATGTCGGTGGTGGGGATCTGAACGGCAGCGCCCCGGCATCTGGCATGCACCTGCCGTTACCGTCCCACCGGAGGGACTCGTCGCTTAAGAGCCTCGACGAGATCCCATCCCCCATCGACACGCGTGCGAGCTTCATGTCGTCGTCGCCTATAAGGGAACAACTGTCCGAGTTTGAGGATTTCCGCCGTGGTGTCAACATGTTTCGACCAGTGTCGCCAGCGCCGAGTGACTCGTGGGCCGAGTTCCAAGGTCTCAGGAGCGCGACCGGGACGCCAATCGCGTCCAGTCTAGAGTCCAACGGCTCGGCGGCTGGTTCGAATTCGACGCCTGTGCGAAACAAGGCACTAAATGCGACGCCAGTGTCCAATTCGAAGACGGACGCGTTCTTCTCAACATCAACCACGAGCGCTTTACCGACGCCGCCATCGCCCCTGCCCAAAACAACTGCGAGCAGCACCTCCCCCACCATCACCACTTCTCCTCCGTCCTTACCGCTTCCTGCGACGCCTCGAACGCCAGCGTTGGGTCGTGGCGTGCCGCCAAGTATGCGTGCACGAGTCGTGACTACCCCCGGCACCCCGCATACGCTCGACATGAACCATCTCCTCCCACCCGTGTCCCCCACGAACACTCAGGGTTTCAGATCTGTCACCAATCCGCGTGTTGACTTGCTGAACCCCCCATCGCCCAAGTCGCAATTTCCTCGCGGTAACGGACCGATTGCAATCTCGCGAGAAACGCATCACGACGATCCCGACGCAGTCCCCATGAAGGAAGGTGACGTTCTCGTGCCGAGTACCGACAGCGCCGCGCTGCCAATCCGTGTCCCGTCAAACCCGGGCAAGTGGACGCTGGTGGAGCCGCTCGGCGAGGGCGCCTTCTCGATCGTGTGGTCTGCTGTTCGTGAGGATGACAACGACGCGGGCACCGTTGCCGTCAAGATGATCGACCGCAGTGCCTGCGCCCGCAACTCGCGGACGACGATTGCGTTCTGTCGTGAGGTCGAGGTGCTTCGGCATCTCGTGCACCCGGGCATTGTGAGCTATATCACGCACTTCTCGACCGACTCGCACCATTGTTTGGTTCTGGAGAAGCTAAACGGTGGCGAACTGTTCCACGTGGTGGAGGATCAAGCCCTGCACAAGCGCATGCTACTGCCGGGACCGAACGACCCAAAGGGCGAGGGCCTTGTGCGACGCATCTTTGGCGAGCTGTGCCGTGCAGTGGCCTGGCTCCATGAGGTCGAAGTTGTGCATCGTGACATCAAGTTAGAGAGTGAGTTGACAGGCTGTTACAGGCAACTGACAGCACAGACATTCTGTTCACCGTGAACCCCTTCCAGCTGGCGGCGACGTCGATGGGCTCTGTCCCACTGGACCAGCTGCCGACGCCGCTGATCAAGCTGTCCGACTTTGGCCTGTCACGCTTCATTGCGACAGACTCGCCCCTACTGTCGACACGCTGCGGCAGCGAGGCGTACGCTGCGCCCGAGGTCGTCATGGGCAACTTATACGACGGACGACGCACCGACGCATGGGCGCTTGGTGTCGTGCTGTACGCGCTCATCGCCGGCGAGCTTCCGTTCGACGATAACAGCGTCGCTTCCGGACGCCCTAGAGCGGGCAGCACTGCGTCCACAGTCTCGTCGACTGGCGGTGACCAGGCCGCCGCTGACCGCCTCAGCCGGCGGCGTGTCATGCACCACATCGCCAAGGGCGAGTACGGGTGGCGCGAGGGCGTGGGTAGTGCGGGCGTGCGCGAGGTCGTCTCCCGCCTGCTGACGCGAGACACGCAGCGACGTGCGCGCGTGTCGCGCCTGTGGGAGCTGGAGTGGATGCAGAGTGGGCCCGGCGCCGTGCCGCCGCCGCAGGAACCGATGGTCGAGCCGCTCCCGCCGCGCGCGCCGACGCCGCACGTCGTGGTGGACCAGGGCGTGCTCGTCGATCACCAGGGTATCGGCGACCTCGCACGCACCGAGCTCACAGAGCACATGTAATGTAACCATAAATAAAGCAGTCAATCAGTTCAACAGTCAAACAGCTAGATGTACAAGTAGAATGGCATTATAATCATGAGTGCAAGTGCAGCGACTACTATTGCGACTTGGCCGCCTTCTCCTGGGCTGCCGCGGCCTTCTCCTCCCGGAACGCGACGTAAACATAGGAGAAGAGCACGATGTTGGCGGACAGTACAGCGAGGAGGGCGGCGTATTGCGTGTTGCCTGGGTGTCAGTGGTGAATGGTGGGTGGGGGGTCGAGGGCGCAAGTCCAGTGAGTTATCGTACGCTCGCGAGTCATCGCCGAGCTGCAAGAGCGCCAACAATGGCCGTTGCGAACGGACACAGCCGAATAGTAGCCAGAACAAGACCACTCACCATCAAACAGATACCGCACGCTTCCAAAGTAGGCCGTCACGGGCACGATCGCAGTGAGGAGCGCAAACACGACAAGCTTGTACAGGACGTCACTGGCGTCAGCTGAGGTCTGGTCGTTCATCCTGTAGCTAGACATGAGGTGAAAGAGCAGAAGGGACTCACTTGGGCACACCGCCCTGCTGAACCTTGGGCTGAGCCGGCGGGATGGCCATCTTCCCGGACGCTGGCATCTTGGTTTTGTGGTAGGTTTTTGTTGTTGTCGCGAGTTCGCCATCGCTGTCGTGAGCATGAAGGGGAGGTTACTGGCGGCAAGAAGGGTTAGTGTTGCCACGTGGGAAACGGGTACCTGTGAGTCTCCGTCATAATGACGACTGGTGGTTGAGCGCGTCCAGCTCGAGACTGAGACTGGGGGAAGGAGACAGTGACAACCCATCCACACACGACGGAACTGACATCAGCCCGGCGCAGACAGATATACGGACTGCTTGTGCTTTTGCTGCTACACAGACCGATCTCCGAGCGGACTACTTCGCTCCGATCCTGCCGACCAAAGGGACCAGTACTGGTTCACGAGCTCAGTCATCGACCGCCGGCAGTCATCTTCCTCGTCACGACACATCACCGCCCGACAACAATCAGGCGAAAGGTCTGGGAGTGCATTGGTCTGACGCATCTTGCACTGCCATCAACCGCGTCACCGACTGAGTCTTCCTCGAACCCTCATCAAGCCCAGCCATCACGATGTCGGACCCGAAACGACTCCTTGCCGCCGACCCGCTCAGCGCCGGGCTGGGCGGCAAGACGCACTTTGCTGTCGCTGGCCAGAGCTCGAGCGGCGCACCGGGAGACGTGCGGATGTACCAGTGGGACAGTGGGGTGAGTCCACCCATGGCTGGAGCGACCTGCAGCTTGTCGGTAGATGTACTCAAGCTCACACACAGACGGATACTCTGAGTATCGTTGGCTTGCAATCAGACGTTGGAGGCAGCATCAAGGTGAGTACCGATGGCCCGGCTATATCTGGGTTGGATTCGCCTCGCTCCGCTCGGCGTTCGCTCGGCTGACCCCAGGCTCTCGCATGGTGCCCTCATCCGGCACAGCGGCGCCTCCTCTCGCTCGGCCTTGGAACCGGCCGAACACAACTCTTCACCTTGCCGCAGAGCAGTCTGAACCTGACTCCGGGTGTGTCGACGTCACCCGTAGCAGTTCTGTCCGTCAAGCACCAGCGCGCCGTGACAGCGCTCGACTTCTCGACCCACGACCCCTCCCTCCTCGCGATCGGATACGAGCGGCATCGGTCCGACTACTCCCTCCTAATCTGGGACATTGCCGATGCGATTGCAGCTTTGCAGCCCGATCCAAGCGGCGAATCAACCTATGTCCGGCCCTCGGAGCGGCTCGAGGCGCACGTCATCTCGCGCACTGACCGATGCCGGCATATCCAGCAGTACTGCGCGAGCGAGGCCGTGCACTCCGTCGCGTGGATCCCGGGGTCGAGCTTCCAATTGCTAGCCAGTGCGAACAACAAGGCGATCAGGACGTACGACCTGCGCACGCCGTCGCGCGATGCGGGCGGGAGCGGCGCAGTGACGCAGTGGGCGACCAAGGCCGTGTTCCACCTCGCACCCAGGCCGGGCACATGTACAGTCGCCAGTGCCGAGATGGGCACGGTGAGGTTGTGGGACACGCGCCAGCCCGGACTCGAGGTCACGAGCATTGATGTCAAGGACTCAGGACCCGTCACGGGCATGTCGTGGGTAGACGGCAGACTTGGTGTCGGCACTCGCGACGCGGGCGTCCGGCTGTGGGACATGGTCGGCGACGAGCCCCAGGTGGCCGGCATGCGCCACGTCGTGAAGCCGAGGCAGCCGCTGCAGAGCTTCGCCTTCGTGCCGTCCAAGAAGGCGAAGGATATCGCCTTTGTCGTGCGCGACGGCACGATTGGGATTGGTCCGATTGGATCGCCGACAGGGGTGAGTGTCTCCTGCTTTTGATTGAGCTACGTTGAGTGCTTCTTTAGCTGATCCCAGGTTGCGCTCAGTGCGCGAAGTGACTTGGCGATATGCGCCTCCGGTCTGCAGATTCTGGACCCCGAGACCGGCGGCACCGGCGCGTGGACGCCGGCGACGAGCGTCCCGCCGTCGCCCGTGCGCGAGACCGAGACGCGGCGAAATCGCTTCCAGCTCGCGCCGGAGCGCGTCTCTGCTCTCCTCAGCGCGCAGCGCAAGAGCCGTTCGGGATGGAGTACGCCCGCGTCTCTCGGCCGGGCAGCGACGCACGAAGAAGCGTTAGACGAGTTAGCGCACTCGCTCGCCGTTGACTTTGACGAGGCGCAGGGCATGGAGGGTTTTGCGCGCGTTCTCCGGCACGACGGATCGTTTATCATGCGGCGCCGCGTCGAGGAGGGCTACGGACTCGAGAACCTGCACCTGAACGCTGCCATCGCGACGCGCTTCCCGGACGCGGACCGTATTGCGGGCTGCTGGGAGTTCATTGACCACTTCGTGCGCGCGACGGGACCTTCGGTGTCCGTCCGCGGATCTTACGACCTGACGTACCAGGGCCTGTGGGCCGTGTGGAGCGGAGAGCTCGGCAACGAGTCAAGTGCGGGCTGGACGGGGTCGATGCGTAGTGTGTCGTCGTCCTCGGAGAAGGGTGGCCCGCCAGCACATGACGCAGAGTACAACGCCGCCGTCGCCAAGCTGAACGCGCTGAGGAGCGACGCGGGCTCAGTCGGCGCTCCCGGCTCCCACCGGCTTCCGCACGGCTCGCGCGCCCCGCAGCGGCGCATGATGCTCGCGATCTGCGGCGAGAACAGCGGCTACGACGCTATGAAGGAGGTGGACCGCCTTGTCGCCGACGCGCAGCGTACGAAGGCGGCGTGCTGGGCCTTCTTCGCGGGCGAGGAGGAGCCGGCCGTCACACTGCTGATGCGCTCGAGCGACGAGCGCCACCGCCTCATGGCCGCGACGATTGCGGGCTTCATGACGCAGGCGAAGGCAGAGCGCGGCTCCCTCTTCTGGCAGGAGCACTGGCGCAGTCTCGTCGACAAGGTCGACGACCCCTACGTCCGCGCCGTGCTTAGCAAGATTGCGGGCGAGAACTGGGATAACATCCTCTACGACGAGAGCCTGCCGCTGCTGGACCGCGTCGCTATTGCCGTGTGCAACCTGAGTGACAAGGAAGTAAGTACCCCGGCTGTTCTCCATCCAGGCGTTAAGCTGACATCGCAGCTCACGCAGTTCCTGCGCAACCGGCTGAACCGATGCGTGCAGCTGGGCTCGCTGCCAGGCCTGGCCCTGACGGGCTTCACGCCCTCTGGCCTGGCGCTTCTGCAGCGATTCGTAGACCGAACCTCGGACATTCAGACGGCAGCCCTGCTCTCCGTCTTCTTCAACCGCTCGCGCCTGTCCGACTCGGACGCCCGCCGCGTCCTGAAATGGCAGGACGCCTACCGCTCCCTCCTGGACAGCTGGCTGGCGTGGGTCGCGCGGTGCTCCTTCGACGTGGCAGTCAAGGACGAGCGGCGCGTGCTCGGCGAGGAGTCGCCGACCGACGCGCAGACCATCGTCACCTGCCCCGTGTGCCACAACCAGATTGCGCGCGAGTTCAACGAACTCCTCAGTATCAAGAAGGCACACTTGCGCGGCACCGTCAAGCCGCCGAGCGTGCGCACGACGCAGTGCCTGTACTGCCAGAACGCGCTGCCGAGGTGCTCTATCTGTGAGTGGACTCCTGGACAGTTACAGGATCCTCGTACCACGTAGCTAACGACCAGGCCTGCTCCATGTCGATCCGGACGAGAGCGACCCGAAGCAGGACGGGCTGGAGAATGCTTACGTCACCTGCCAGTCTTGCAGACATGGAGGGCACGCGTCCCACATCCTGTCGTGGTTCGAGGGCGGACTCGATGGCGAGCCCGCGCACGAGCATTGTCCCGTGTCCGGGTGCGAGTGTCGGTGTGCCCAGTGGTGAGCCGCACTCAAGCGGCAAGGAATATTGAGCGAGAGCGAGACGCCGTGTTGTAAAGCTATGTTTTCCGGAAATCATGCATGGGATATGATCGTATATGCTGTTGCAATTGAGCAATGCTCTGACAAGTGCTTGCTGACAAGTGACTACTTCTTCCTCCCCTCCGCCTGCTCAATGCTCGTCATGCTCTTGACCTCGTCGTCGATACACTTTGCAAATGCGGCGATCCAGCGCTCGACGCGCACCCCCGACGCATTCTTCAGATACCGCGAGTGCGCGACGAGGGGCACGCGGCGCAGGAAGCGGCCCGATATCCGCTGTCGCGCGCACCGCTCCGCGAGCGCGAGGAGGGACGCCGAGGCCTGGAGCGCGCGCAGTCTCCGGCGCTCGGCGCGCGGCATGCCGTCGTCGATTGTCGGCACGGCCGCCGCAGGGGCCGTGCACTCGGCCGCGTGGATGATCTCGCTCAGGTTCGGGAACGCCGTCATGCCCTCCCTCTCGACCTCCACGGCCGCCGGCTCGGGGCGGCGGTGCCGCAGCAGACGCGATGTGCCTGATGCCAGGCCGCAGTTGCCCAGCTCGCGCAGACACGAGGAGAGGATCCAGTAGATCGCCTCGGGCGAGGGGAGGCCGACGTACTGCTTGATGTCGGCGCGGTCGATGAAGGCGCTGTCGATCGAGCCGGCCAGATTCGAGGTGGCCATCACGAGCACGTTCGGGAACTGCTTCAGCTTGTCGAGCTGCGTGAGAAGCGCGTTGACCACCTGAAGTGTCAGCGTGAAGCCTGGATGTGGGTATGTATGCATGGCGAATGGAGGGCACAACCCCGTCCGCCTCCTCGACTCACTCGCAGCGCATCTCCAGGCTCCGAGCCGTTCATCGCGCCGGCTCGTGCAGCGGTCAGCGACTCGACCTCGTCGATCATGACGGTGACGAAGGACTCGGTGTCCTGCGCATAGTCGTGGACGCGGTCGAAGAGCTTCTGGACGAGTTTGCCCGATTCGGAGAACCACTTTGAGAACAACGAGTGGCTGTTGATCTCAATCAGGACACCGCGCTTGAAGCTCATGTCAGCGTGGCCATGGTGCGCAACTCACTGCTCCGACATCCGAATCGCTGCCTTGTTCGCGAGCGCGCGGCACAGAGACGTTTTGCCCGTTCCCGGCGGGCCGTAGAGAAGGATCAACCTGGGGATCAGCTCAAAAGACGTCGCCTGAGCTTACCGGTTCCAAGAGATGATGTTCGTGTCGAGCTCGGCGCTCGCAAACACCATCGACGTCTGGATGTAGTCGAGCATGCGCTCCTTGATCTCGTCCTCGTAGATGAGCCTGCTGTTAGTTCCATCTCCAGACAAGAGAACTCACGTCTCCCACAGGCCCTCAATCTCACCGCTCGGTAGGTAGCTAATGCTCGCGGCCGTGGTGTTGTCGTCCTCGTCGTCCAGCGCACACGTTAAACTCTCCCCCTCCTCGTAGCTGGCCATGTACGGGTGCACCTTGAGCACGGCGCGGTCCATCGGCACCTCCAGACCCCTGTGCGTCTGCGAGACGTAGATCCGCTCAATCGCGTCCCGCAGCACACCGACGTCCGTCCAGTACTCTTCCGGAACTGTCATGCCTGGTCGCAGAGCTGTGTACCGCTGCTGCAGCATCGAGGACACATTCGGGGCAAGGAACGACGGCAGCAGCGTCGATGTCGGAGACTGCCGAACCTCGACTGAACGTCAGCTCGGCAACAGGCAAGAACTCACCATGCACGATGTTCTCGTCCTCGTCATCGTCGGAGAATCCGTCGTCGCTGTCGCTGTACTCGTCATCGGACGGCGGGTACTCGATTGAAGACTGCCTGCTAGCCTCGTTCATATCTGTCTATTAGCCCGAATCGCGGCGATCGCACACCCACCATTGTTGATAGACGTCGAGGAATGCGCCGGCGACGGTAAGTGGTTCAAAGAGCTTTCCTTGAGTTGTCGCGGCTGATTAGGAGGAGGAGGTGCCGGAGCTTCCAGAACCCGGGCACTCATGTTGCTGTCGCCGTCCGGTAATGTCACGCGAAAGAAATCAATCGCACAAACAAGCCGGCCGGCTTGTTGTTGCGACCCCACATTTCGGAACCAAAACAAACCCTCCTTGGCATCAGTGCTCACCACGTGAGATGATGCTATGCTGATGCGGTGATGCAAGCTGAGCAAGCCACCGTATAGAATAATAGTGCATCCAACAACCTACACAAATGACCTACAAAAGCTACTGATTAGAAGTGGAGAGATGATAAGCGTCGAGGAAGTCTTGTCTAACAGCTGCAGCCGTAGTTCTGCGAGTTGTCCGAGTCGATTCTGATGGGGTCGGGGTAGTCGGCGTACCTGCAGTCAGCTACCAGCACTCTCGAAAGAGCTCACAGCTCGGTCTCGGCCTCCTGCGCAAGGGCATTCTTGGCAATGGTTTGGAAAGCCTGCTCGACGTTGATAGCTTCCTTGGCCGAAGTCTCAAAGTAGGGAATGTTGCCCTTTGCCTGGCACCAAGTCATGGCTCGCTTTTGCGACACCTGCCGTTAGCTTGACAACAAAGCCCGAGTAGCTCTACACACCATGCGCTTCGACTCCTCCATGTCAATCTTGTTTCCGAGGACGACGAAGGGGAAGTTCTCAGGGTCGTGAGGGGAAGCCTTCGGGTGTTAGCGCACTTTGCCAGCGATACCCACCTGGACGAGGAACTCATCCCGCCATCCGTCCAGAGCCTCAAAGCTCTTGCTCGAGTTGACATCGTAAACAAGCACACAGCAGTCGGCACCACGGTAGAAGGCGACGCCGAGCGACTGGAAACGCTCCTGACCAGCCGTGTCCCACAGCTGCATGGTAACGACACGGTCGTCGACGACGAGCTCGCGAGTGAGGAAGTCGGCACCTGCACAATGAAAGGGTTACAGTGCAGAGATCACGAGATGCCGCACGGATGAAGAACGCGAATGTCAGTCCCATTCTGTGTATCTTGCCGCTCGGGCCGTTCCGTCACTCACCGATGGTCGCCTTGTACTGATTAGAGAAGCGCTTGTTGACATATTGGTTCATGAGCGACGTCTTTCCGACACTGCAGACAGTAAACATTCGGGACAATGAAGAGGTGAAGGGCGCCAGTACCGAAGAGTGGACGAGTCGAGCGTCAGTACACTTATCGAATGCGAACGTCGTTGGACCCAAAGGGGCAACTGAGCAGTCAACTTACCCCGAGTCTCCAAGGATGATAACCTGCATGGTCAGCTTACAGAAGCAAAGCTAGCATCTCTCCTAGCCGTCCATCGCACTGCAATGCCCCATGACGACTGTCGGCCTCGCAAGTGGTGGCGGCAACACGGAGAAGGGTACGAACCTTGAGAAGGACCTTCTTCCTCTGGGTCGACATGGCTGGCGAGAGAGAGAGGGGCGGAGAGTAAAGACGAAAAGGGGTACGAGGAAAGTGGAGAGTTGGCTGAAGGGGGAGTGTCGCTAAGCCGGGAGGACAAGAAGTCGGACTAGATGGAGTTGATGACAGTGGTGGCTCCGACGAAAGTGGAAGAGTGGCCAGCCGCTGCCAGCCCAGTGACGCACCAGGCGGGTCACGACGGACCCAGATCCCACCCAAAGTGTTGGTTACGTAAAGTCCTTTCGCGTGGTACCGGCATGGCCCCCGAGGCTTGCCTTGGCTTCGGAGCCGACCGACTCGAGGTCGGCACCGCGAAGCAAGTGCATGATCGGCGCGTCAGGCCATAAAGTTACCTGTGTCGCTTCCATCAAAACCACCTTCCAACAGACCACCATGACACTCAAGTCGGGCTACATCAACCCCGACCCCATCGCCAACCCCACCGTCCTCGGCAAGCAAGAGGTCCCCATCGCCCCGCTGTCATGCTGGGCTGTTGGTGTGATCGGCTCCGTTCTGACCTTCCCTACCCAGCTCGACCAGGAGCGCCTGCAGAAGGCCGTCGCCAAGGCCGCGAGCTATTGGCCTGTTGTTGCCGGTCGCTATGTCAAGGCGACTGTCCCCGGCACTGAGTTTGCTGTGAGCTCTCCGTCTGATCATCAGCTGACAACAGATCTCTCTCACCCAGTCTCCCATCCCCTTCGACACCCAGTCTGTGGATGCCGAGTACCCCTACGCGGACCGTGCCGTTGTGCAGGACGACCTCGGCGAGTACGTCACTCCTCTCAGGGATGACTTCTTCGTAGCCGGCGCCGACGCCCCGCTCGTCACCGTGCGCTTCACTACATTGAAGACTGGCTCAGCTCTGGGTGTGAACTGGTCGCACGTGTTGGGCGACGCCGCGGCGTTCTCGCGCTTCCTCGAGGACGTGTCGATCTTCTACAACCTGCCGTACACGGACCTGGAGAGCGACGAGGTACCGACGTTCCAGCCGCACGTGCGCCTCCCGCCGGCGACCGACGCCATAAAGGAGCAGTTCAAGATCCCCATCCTGACCCGCCTGCCGATCGGTGACGTGTTCAAGGGGTACACCGACTCTGTCGCGCAGTCGCAGCGCTTCACGGTGAACCTCACGCCTGATGACGTTGCGCACATTGCCGCTGTTCGCCTTCCCGGCGACAAGGTCACTGACAACGACCTTGTTTGCGCCTGGTGGTGCAGTGTACTTGAGCGCGCCGGCCAGCCGCTCGACTGGGTCGTGCAGACCATGAATGTAAGCTTTGTGGTGCCCGTCTTAGCTGACAACAGTACCGTAACTGGCACAAGGGCGAGCCTGCATTCCCGCGCAATCTCCCAACGCTCTCTGCCAACGTTGCGCAGCAGCGCCAGATCTTCATCCCGCCGCGCGGCACGATCAAGGGTGCGCAGTCGAAGCCTGGCACCCGTGTGCTTCAGATTGCGCGCGCTATCCGCGGGGGCATGCATGCGCTCCAGAACGACCCGGAGCTGACGCTCGGCTGGCTCTCGAACGCGGCGTACGAGATCGGTACGGCCGCTCACGAGAACACCAGCTTCTGCCTCGTCCCCGAGGCGAGCGGCGTCGTTCTCAACTCCAACTGGCGCTACGACTGGGCTGTCAAGTTTGGCCAGCCGAGCGCCGCGTACCATACTGGCGGCTCGTTCCCGCGCATCCTCCGTGTCTTCCGTGCCAACCCCGTCGAGGGCCAGTCCGAGGAGGACCGCGCCGTCGAACTTGCTTTCCGTGTGCCCTCTGGACCTGCCGTGGAGGCTGTGCAGAAGGTCATTGACGACGAGCGTGCTCGCTGGAAGGCCGAGGGACCCGTTCACGAGCACGAGGACGAGGATGAGGAGCCCGAGGTCAAGTCGTTCAGCATGCACAGCACCGTCGCGCGCGAGCCTTGGGGTGGATACGGGAACTAGACATAGAGTCGGTAGTAAATGTAAATGTACACATGGGAATCGAGAGTTGCGCAGGGTGAAGTTATGGTGAGTGTTCTCCCAGTAACGTCAGCGTCAGCGGGGAAGGTCCGTTGATCCAGCATTGCAGTGGCCAGGGCAGTTGTTAGCGGGAGTATGTGCCCGCTGTCGCTGTAAGCATCCTGTCTTGGTGGGCAACGCAGTCAGCTGCGGTCTTATTTCATCCTCTTCTCCTTGGGATCGACCCAGCTCCGTCAGCATCGTTTTCTCGAGTCGTCAGCCTGATGAGGCATAGTATACATAAGGTCTACGATTCGGTTGATCTAGCGGGATTCAGCGAGCTCAAAGGTCATGTGCCGTGCCGTTGGTGTGTCTGAGATCTCCGCGTTTAGGAGCTGCGTGTTAGCTAGTCCCGCCAGTCAGACAGCTTTGAGATACTCACCGACCAAAGGATGGAGCTGCGCGAGATACGTAACGGACCACATGAGGTAGCAGCAGACGATGGTGAGGAGCGAGCTGGAGCGCCAGAGCCTGGATGTCAGCTATATCCGAACAGCTATACCCAGCTGTCGCTCCCAGTGGAAACACTTACACGAGGTACTTGCCGCGCGGGGCGAAGAACCAGCACGCGGCGCCGAGGGCGGCGCACACGATGCCGACGAGGACGATGTGGAAGAACGACATGGCCGGCTTGCTTCGAGGTGTTTTGGGGTCGTCGCTAGAGTGGGCTGTCGTCGGGGTTGCTCTCGGACTCGACGGTGAGGGTGCAGCGAGCGAGGGCCGTGAACCGAGTGTTGTTGAGTCGCCTGGCGAGATGGCGATCGGAGGACTGTCACTTCGTGGCCGAGACGTCAGTGACGGCGATGCTGGGCGGGAGCAGACCCACGTGATGATACTCGATAATGGTGGGCTCGAACAAAGCCACCGACGATTAGAGTGGCTGATTAAAGTCTGGGTATGCATTTCATTAATTTCATTTGGGCTCATCACTAATGACCGCTGATGAACAGCTCACATATCTGTGGGTCATCCCGTAGCCGAGGCCACACTCATTCCGAAGAATCTGGAGTGCCCGCTGTCCTCAGCGCTGAGTATGCGGTGGGAGCCTGATGTAGGCGGCTTACAGGGTAGTACTGGGACACCACGGCAGAAGCACAGCCGAGCACATCAGGCAGCACCGTCCCGATGCTTTATCCCCCAGTAGACTGCCTTGAGCCACCTGTGGAGGCCATAACGGACACCTTCGCGCCATTCTCCGTATCCCCTCGAACGCCCGATCAGCCGTGAGGCGTGGGCTCGAGTAAATGAAGCTGCAGACCGTCCGTGGACGGGTATGGTAGGTTAAAGGTGACGATAAGACTCCCCTTGTTCTGATCGTCGAAGGTGGTTCAACCAAAGCAAACCGCTGGTAATACGTAACAGAGACGGTTTGCGGTGTGAGGGTACCGGATATGGTGGGATCAGCCAACGCACTCACAACATCCATTAGCTAGCACTGAGTCAGACGCAGAGGCTTGCAGTCAGCTCCGCAATCCATGAGTCGGTACATATGCAGGCGTGGTGCCGCTGCGAGGTGCGCAATGGAAGGGAGAGATAGACGGAGATGCGATGGAGCATTGTGGTGACCATGCCAATCGAGCTAGCTTGCACGTGACCGAAAACGCTAGGTCCTATCTGATTCAGGGTCCAGAATCTAATCAGGGCGGAAGCAAATCCCTGGTGCCACACCACCTGCACCTCTTCTTACGAGGCTCCCAGAAGTATCTTCCTAAGCGAGAAATGCATTTTTTGTCTACAGAACGTCTGAACGCCGTTTAGAAAAGTTCAGAGCTCATGTCGGCCCTCAGCCTGTCGTACGGCAAAAGTCCTTCAATGGATCCGTAAGCAGCAAGAGCAAAGTCACGGTCCCAGAGGTACTGGTTGGCGACACGCTTGATGTCCTCGACCTCGACGTTGGCGATGTTGCGCTCAATCTCCTTCGGGGTGAAGCGGCGGCCAGTGGTGACGAGCTGGCGACCAATGTCCTCGGCGATGGCGGTGGTGCCGTCGAGGCCAAGGAGGAGGGAAGAGGTGAGCTGGGCCTTGGCACGCTCAACCTCAGCGGTGGTGGGGTTCATCGACATGCGGGTCCACTCCTTAAGGGTGAAGTGGCAGAGGTCGTCAAGGTTCATAAGGTTCTCAGAGACCATGTAGATACCCCAGAGACCGGTGTCGGAGTAGGAGGTGGAGAAGCTCATGTAGGAGTTGGCGAGGTTGTTGGAGGAGATGATGGTGGAGAGCCTCGACGAAAGGAGCGACGAGGCACCGAGCGAGCGGTCCCAGTTGCCGAAGATGGACTGCATGACAAGCATGGGCCAGTAGTCGGGCGAGTTCCACGAGACACCCTCGACGGCGATGGCGATGTGGGCGGTGGGCATGGTGTCGTCACGGATGCGAACCTCAGAGCCGGTGAACTTGGTCTGGGGGCCGGCGGTCTTGCCGAGGGGGAGGGGGTTGGAGGAGGTGGGGAGGTCGGCAAAGTTCTTCTGGGCGAGCTCGACGAGGGCGTCGTGGGTGATGGAACCGGCACCGATGAGGCACATGCGGTCAGCGGTGTAGTTCTTCTTGATGTACGACTGGAGGTCGTTCTTGTTGATCGAGTTGATCGCCTCCTTGGGGCCAAGGATGGTGTTGCCGAGAGGGTAGCCCTGGAAGGCGACGGCGTGGAGCTGGTCGAAGACAACCTCCTCGATCTGCTTGTCGACCTCCTCCTGCTCGCGGAGGATGACGTCGCGCTCACGCTCGATGGCGGTCTCCTCGAGCTTGGAGTTCTGGAGGATGTCGGAAAGAACGTTGACGGCGGCGGGGACGTCCTTGTCAAAGGCCTTGGCGTAGTAGACGGTCTGCTCACGCGAAGTGTAGGCGTTCAGGTGAGCGCCAAGGTTCTCAACCTCGAGCTCGAGCTGCATCTGCGAACGTCCCTTGGTGCCCTTGAAGGCAAGGTGCTGTGGAAAAAGTCAGTACGAGTGGATGACGTTTTCGAGGTCCAGACACGATCGGCGGATCAACCCCACACCGATTTCGGCTAAATCCTTGTAAACTGCCTCCAAGATCTGCGATTCGGATGCACGACGACTGCGATGGCGATGGACGTGCAGTTTGCGGTTGATTGCGAGCGAGGCGCCGAGCATCGACAAGGGTCACCGGGTAGCCGAACGAGTCATTCGCGATCCAATAGAAATTCCTCCGAAACACCACAATCCCAACCATGATTCCGTCGATCGTGTCCAGACATTCCTACGCACCTCAAGGAAGTGAGCAGTGCCGCTAGCACCCTCAGCGTCGGCGCGCGAGCCGGCGTCGATCCAGAGACCAACAGTCGAGGTCTGGGCGCCGGGGATGGTCTCGGTCGAGATCGAGAGACCGTTCGAAAGCACGCTGGTCTTGGTGACGGGTCCCTGGGCGGCCGGGGTAGCCAGCGCACGCGCGAGCGTCTGGGAAACAGTCAGCAAGCATGTTCATCGTTGTGTGCGTCGTCTGCGTCGTTTGCGCGTGTCCGTTGGATCGATCTTTGTTGCGCTCCAGCACCCCGTCGCAGGCTGTGAACCAATGAGGTGTGGCTTATTGCCGAGGTCTTTAAAGATGCGACACGGCCAGATTCGACACAACTTCACGACGCAGACGGCTTTAGAGTCGGTTGAAACGCACGGGCTGACGAGCGAAGGCCGAGGGACGAACGGCCCGGGTGAGGAGACGGGCAGCGGACATGGCGAGGCTGGGGGAGGGTAGAATGGTGTGGATAACCAAGTAGTCGGTGTCGGGCACCACAAAGACCAGCCTGCCCAACCGGAAGAGCTCGGGCGACGGGCGGACAGCCAGACAACGAGGCCCAGGATAACGCCGCTCACCCTGGCATTGTGGCAGTCACGTGATTATATCGCACGTGGAGAGCTTCACTGCTTGCACCACGTCACAGCGGCGATACGCTACGCGCGTACCAGGCTGGCGGGCCTGGCTGGCTGGATGCATGACGATGGCTGCTCACTGCAACTTCGACTCTCGTCACTGTATACACACGACCACCTCCTTCCTCGCGGAGCTCAGCTTCCTCCTTCCTCCGACACGTCCCGTTTCTTCACTTTTCACGAACTAGACTCTCATTTCTATTCTTCGCCCACCGTCCAATCACTATGTTCAACCAAAACGCCTACGGCCAGCCGTCACAGGGCTACGGGCAAGCTGAGCCCCTTGCGTTCTACCAGGGATCGTCGTCGCAACAGCAAGGATGGGGCCAGGGCAGCATGGCTTCGGGGAGCAACTATGGCGGAAACATGGGCAGCATGGGCAACATGGGAAGCATGGGCAACATGTCTAGCGGAAGAGTCGGCGGCATGATGCAGGGAGAAGGAAAGTGGTGGCACGCGTTTGGAACCGGCGGACTTGAAGGAGAACCGAGCCTGATGGAGGGTGAGTAGGTGGTGAGGGGTCATGAAGCTGCACGTCATTTGGAGGGCGTCTTCGAAGCCGTCTTCACCGCCGATCAGCTGTGTACGTCGTTGAGAAAGCTGACAGCCAGAACTGGGAATCAACCCGTCCCACATCGTCCAGAAGTCACTCACGGTTCTCAATCCCATCGCCAAGGTCGACACTAACGTTATGGACGACGCCGACCTGGCTGGGCCGCTCGTGTTCTGTTTCGCGTTTGCCTTTGTCCTGCTTCTTGTGCGTAACTAGCTAGTGATGTCAGGGTCAGCTGACGTTCAGAGCGGACGACCGCAGTTCTCCTACATCTACGGCGTCGGTGCCCTCGGCACGATCGCCATTTACACGCTGCTCAATCTCATGAGCGAGAACGGTATCGACGCCTACCACACGGCGTCTGTGCTTGGCTACTGCCTCCTGCCGATGGTGCTCGGCGGACTAGGTGTCGGCATCGGCGTTGCGCAATCCATCGGATATGCGCTTTCTGTCATCTCCGTCCTGTGGTGCACGTACTCGGCGAGCTCGATCTTCGTCGCCGTCCTGCAGATGAGCCACCAGCGGCTACTCGTGGCGTACCCGATCGGTCTGTTCTACGGGTGCTTTGCGCTCCTCAGCATCTTCCAGGTGGCCAAGTAGTGGGCATTGACAGGGTAGAGACTAGAAGATAGCATATGTATGATGCCGCGGTATCCGTTATTGCGCTACAAATTATCATGATGCATAATGGGGAGTTTTAGAGGAGACCAGCGAGCTCGTCCTGCTTCGGCTGGGACTCGGCCGCGGCGGGCGGGGGAGTGGCGGGCTTGGGGGCGGAGGGGAAGTAGTCGCCAAAGATGTCGTCGTACTCGGCGTCGGTGGGCGTGAGCGGGCCGGGGTTGGACGCGGCAGCGGGGCGCGGGGCGGCAGCCTTGCCGAGGCCAGAGACGATGAGGCGGCGGAGGGCAGGGCCGTCAAGGGGCTTCTCGGGGGCGGCGGCGGGCTTCTGTCCCTCGCTCGCCGGTCGCGGGCCCTCGCTCTTCCTGCGTCCAGAGGGACCCATGGGGTCCGTGTTGTACTTCTCAGCGGTTCCGTAGGGCGACTTGATCTTGCCAAGCGCAGCCAGGATGTCGCCCCTCGTGATCTTGCCGTGCTTTCCGGTCGGCTTGATGGCCTTGAGCTGCTCGTTGCTCAGCGGGTGGTCCCAGAGCCTGGAGGGTCAGCATGGCGGTATGGCTACATGACTCACAGCCTCTCGGCGGCCGGGAAGATGTTGATCGACGGGTCAATCTCAGAGTGCTCCGCCGACTCCTTCGGCGCGCTCTTCTCAGGCTCAGCGGCCTTCGGGGCCTCAGACTTCTCCTCCTTGGGCTCTTCGCTCTTCGGGGCAGGCTTCTCGGCGGTTGACTTGGAAGCACCGCCCTCCTCCGGAACTTCGAGGTTGTTCAGGTCGTCACCCTCCTCGGCCAGCAGGGCAATGACCTTGCCGACGGGAACGTTCTTGGATCCACCCTCGACCAGGATCTTGCCCAGAATACCATCGTCCTGCGCCTCGACCTCGATGGACGCCTTGTCCGTTTCCTGCCATTAGCGACTGAGCGGCGGGTGACTACCCGGGGGTCAGGTGGACCGGTGCGAGCGTCTGCAAGTGACAGACGGCGGTCCGTCACAACACTGACACAGTCCTAATGGAAATACAGCGATAACAAACTTCCAATAGTCTGTTGACATGCGGAGTGCAAATTCCCGATCGACCGGAATCTCGGAACTCACAATCTCAACCAGCACGTCTCCGGCCTCGAAGGACTCGCCCTCCTTCTTCTTCCACGCGCCGACGCCGCCCTCAGTCATGGTGGGGGAGAGGGCGGGCATGGTCATCTGGGTCGTCTGGAATCGAACGGCGGTGAGGGTGCGGGCTGGTTGTGGTCAGCTTTGGAACCGGGCGAAGGCGAAGGATCGGACATCGGTACGTCATGGTGGTGCGCCGGCCAACCAGACCGTGACGCCGCCGAAAAGCAAGCACTCACCGACGGGGCGGACCCGCGCAGAGCGAGCGAGGAGAAGCGCCGACCGCATCTTGTGTGGATCGATAGCTTGCAGACGTTAGGAAGTGAACGAACAATCGATTCTGTTCAAAGGATCGCCGAGGTTCAGAGGAGACGGTGTCTTGTCCGGTATGGTGGGGGAGCGGATGCTAATGACATATGGAGAGCCGTCCCAAGCCGTCAGTACCGCCGGCTCGGAGAGTGTCAGTGGGGAAAGCGGTCCGGCGCGATCCGCTCGCATCACGTGAATGGCCTGCAGGTCCGGTCTGCACAGACGTCGGGAAATTGAGGTGGGGAATGGGTTGCGTGGTTCTCGCGTGGCAGGCATGACCAATCACGTGATTGCGTAATGATGTGTGCTTCTACACACTGCGACACCTTTCGGATATGCCTGTATCAGGGCTCTGCCCATCCCACCCGAAACCCCTGACAAGCCTGAGGAAGGGACGGACCCTGAAACGGAGCATCTTGTTTTGAGAAGTGACGCAGGTGGGCGGAGGAAGATCATCCAGAAATAAGCTTGAGACGGCAGATCGCGGCAGCGCCGAGGGCAAAACAACGGCATCCCTAGCCTGGGAACTCAACTGCCCGCTGGGCCCAGTTGAAACTTCAACAGCCTCCTCGTACCCTCCCCAACAACCCCTTGCTCAGACCGTCGTGCCGTCGTCCGCACCCGCCACGGGCACCGCAATACCGCTGCCCGCCTGTCAGAAGGCAGGCTGTTATGCAGACTGTCACGGCGTACCCCGGCACGGGCAGTCTTGCACCCTGCCGTCACCTTGTCAGACAATCCTTCCTCCTCCACCCTCTCCCGGCTCCCAGTTTGGTCAGCAGCTTCTACCTCCCAGCTACATCCTTGCACGCCTCTTCTCAGGTACTGAGGTGCACGCCAGCACGCCAGTCCCTGTCATGCCTCGCGCTGGCTGCAGATGAACGTCCAGCTGCAAAGGGTACATGAAGGTACGCAATACGGCAGCAGTGTCTCGTCATGTCCTTCACTTTGCCTCTTCCCGTCCCCTTCAGTGATCACTATTCCAAGCTCATCAGTCCCTGATGTCCCATTCTTTGCCTTCATACCACGTCCTAATGTTAAAGTTTGTACCTCAAGCATACTGCAGGGCCAGACGGGCGGGCGTCGGTACGCCTCGGTTCCACCACCGTATCAAAGGCGCATCAACCGCCCATACCCATAACATGCTCTGGAAATTGTCTCAGGATCAGCTCCTTCAACTTGCACGCTCTTCGTACTCTTCCCCCAGCAGCCAATTCGACCGCCGGAGACTCTCTCTTCTCTTGGCTCTTGGCTAAGGGCCTTCCCTCTCCAGAACCGCCGGGTGATCACTCACTGAATGTTTCTCTCCTGTGTCTCGTCAACCACACTCTATCCATCTGAACTCTTTCTCACTCTCTTTACCCAACACTCCTTTCGCTCTTGATGATCCGTCCTTAGAACGTCGCTCGTTACAACTGATCTCGGCAAGCGCGCAGTATGGCAGCGAACAAGGACTCGTCGGCGGACTGGTGGAAGAGGCACCCTGGTGAGTACACAAGCGTCACAAGGGTTCAGTGTGCAGATCGTTGACAGTGTCTTACAGAGGCGTACGGCTCTATCGCCGCTGTCCTCGGCGTGATTCTCATCTGCTGTGTTTACGTCTTGTGGCGCGGCCCGAATCGTCGACTGTGGTGGTGGAAGAAGAACGACCCAGACATGCCGGAGGGCATCGAAGGAGGCAACAAGAAGCTGCATCCCTCGCAGGAGACGTTCTACAGCGAGCCCGGCACGATCCGCACCACCAGCGACAAGCCGATGGCTACCACGACGCCGCAAGACACATTCTCTCGCGACGGGTCCGCTGTCCTGCCTATTCGCAAGTCTTCGCTGTTCACCATTAAGCAGGCGCGCAAGGTCGCTGCAGCTGTCAATCAAAATACACCGCCTGTCCCGACGTACAGGCCGACGAGTAGTGGCCCTGTTTCACCAAACCCTCGTCATACCAAAGACTTCAGAGACTCGAGCATCCCTGCAGGACCACTGCCGCCAGGTGCTGCGCCACCGTCCCCTTCCGGTGGCGCTCGTGCACCCAGCCGTGGTAGCCAGTCCCTGAACGCACCTGGTCAACGTTCTAGCAGCGTGCCCAGCAGGCGCTCAGTCACGAGCCCTGTCTCTGGCATCTCTGACTTTGGCGCCATGCCTGGCAGCCCGTCGTACCAGACGTACCCGCCGCCGCTTCCTTCGCCTCCGCCCGCGTTCGCGCCGATGATGACCAAGACGCCTCCACCAGGAGCGACTTCCCCGCCGTTGAGGGCTTCAGCGACCATGCCGCCTCCGGGTGCTGCGGCCTATCCCGTTGGCTCATCCCCGCCCGTGTCCCCTCATTTGTCCGCTCGTCCCTTGTCCCACCAAAGGGTCGTGTCGCCGTCAGGCAGCTCGGTGTACAGCAATGGGATGCTCAGCCCTGCTCCGCCCTCCCCTCAGTCTTCGGTCTCGGGACACGCCGCCTCCCAGCGACTCAGCGGCCAGCAGCTGCCTTACAGCCACCCGCAGACTCTGAACGCGCTCGCCGGAAACACGCTCAGTCCCCATCTTGCAACTGGTACCGCCGCGTCCCGACACGCGAATCGATTGTCCAGCCGATCCGCCAAGTCTGCGACGAGTATTACTCCTTCCCCGTTGGCCCAGAGCATGACCGGCAAAGATCTAGGGCAGGACGATGATGTCTATGCGTCTGAGTTTGGCGCCGCCATCGATTCGAGGCGCAACCAGCACCGCTCCGTCACCTACGTCCCTCACCCCGAGCAGGCCGCCCGCGTCCCCACTACCTACCCCTCCAGTTCCCCGCCACGCCCGTTGATGCGTGGTGGAGAAGCAATCTAGAATCATCCACATCTCTTGGCTGTCGAGCCTGACAGCCGTAGTCATCCTTCCGTGCATAGAAAACAAAGGCCGCACCTCTCTGTGACCCGCCAATCTGGGATCGGCGGGACGCGGCCAGTCAACACTCACTAGAACAAGGGATGAGCGTGAGCGTCCCCACACGACCCCCGCCCCCGGACAATCAACACAAAAAGGCATCGATCTCCAAACTTACAGATCTGTAGTATAATTCCGCCGCGAATAAGCCGATGTAGACATAGCGAATTCAGGAGCGACGAGCTAACGATAGGGGACTAACGCGGGTGGCACCGCGCGCTAATGACTGAAACGGCCCTTGCGGCCATGCGACTGGTGACGGTCAACATGCATTGTCCTTGGATCCTCGGGACATCTGACGACAGGAAACCATCACGTCGGAATGTGGGAATCATACGGACATGGGTTGCCGAAGTGCATGGACAGCCTTCTGTTTGCGCCACCGTATGTGAAGCACATTGTCCTCGAAGCACGCAGGCGCACGCAGGTACGCATTGGAGCACAGACCACCGGCCTCGGGCTGTCGCTTGATGACATCAGGGCGCTCGGTGCTGATGCCTCGCGGCCTCGTGTACGCTGTCTCAAAAGCCTGCGGGCGCGTGGAGGCGCTGATGCAGCCGACGCAGCGCACGGATCGGCAGGAGCGCAGGCGTGCAAGGCAACGCCCAAACTAGCCAGACAATATGCTTCCTTCAACGATCCTCACGATCCCCCCACCGTGCGTTGCCGCTTGTCACTTTCGACGTCTTCCCCATTCGCATTATTCACCAGCAATTTCATCCCCACACCTCTGGCTCGACCTCGGTTACCACTCCTACGTCTGCCTCTCCATTGTCTCGACGAGCAGCCTCCAGCTCCAGCAGTTCTTCAAGACCACCTCGTGGCTGAGTTTTCGAGTCTTGCTCGTCCCGCCATCTGGCAATCCTTCACTCTCCAGCGGCACGTTCCACTCAGCCTAACCGGTCCACCTCGACCTACTCCCGAGCCTTCTTCCACGTCCAGTACGCCATCCTTCCCCATAATCGCCAAGCGCACCGCATGCAGGTACCCAACGCCAACCCGATGATGCCCATGCACACCGGCGTGCCGGGGCAGGGGATGCCGGTGCCTCAACCCGGAATGCCGGGGATGGCAGGACAGATGTCCGGTCAGATGCCTGGTGGGATGCCGGGACCTGTGCCGACGGGCGGCATGCCTGCGGGCGGAATGGGAGCAGGCATGCCGGGCAGTTATCCCGGCCACAGTGGCTACGCGGGCTATGGGTACGGTGGCTATGGCGGGTACGGTGGCGGGTACGGAGGCTACGGCGGATATGGAGGTGGGATGGGCGCAGGCATGGGCGGGTACCAGCCCAACCTCGACTACACCTTTGTGAGTACATGGACATATGGAGTCAAATGGGGGAGCTGGGGCAGCCATTCGGCCACGACGCTCTTTTGTTCCAGTGCAGCCAGTTAGGTCGTCGGACGTCGCGCACTCTATCGGACGACTGTGTCTGGTGCACAAGTTGCTGGCCCGGTTTCCGTTTTGGTCGGAGGCCCATGGGGCTCAATATGACCCCATCATGCAATGAGAAGCAATCCGTCGCTCTGAGAAGATCCTGTCTTCCCCACACAGAGCTTTGGATTCTGCCCCAACCGCGTAACGATGACGATGCTTGCTGCTGCCCCAGTTGCCCATCCTCTACAGCGCCAGAGAGCCCCGGTGGCTCCTATCCCTCCCGATCCGATCTGAGCTCCATTCGCTGACAACAAGGATCCCACTTGGGACAACTACAAGATCTTCGAGGTGAGTCGTCGTTCCTCCATGCACAGCCAGCGCCACGACACGTGCACGAAAGACAACGTGGTGGCGCGGCGCCCTCTGCAATGTGTTGGAGACCTCGGTGCTGGCTTCGTTAGTGTACGGCCGACACGTACAATGGCACAGACGCAAGACACAGAAGCAGCCCGCCATCACCAGCCTTAAGGTTCTTTGCACCGCTACAAAGGGTGAACAAAGGGGGCATCACACCACGCTCCGCCCAAAAGTTTGGGCGTTGGGGCACGGCCGTCCCCGCTGGTGGCGAGCTGGCGGAGAGTTGCCGACGCCCCACACACTTTCTAAGCCCCGGGACAAAGCTCACAGACCCAGAACCACACCCGCTTCGCCGGAGGATACGAGAAGAGTTTATTCGAGGAGCTCGTGAGTCCATATAAAACTAGGCGGGTGTTGTCTCCCTTCCCTCTCTCTTCCGCATCGCCACCTCCCCACCCTCCTTCGACCATCGCCTGGCCTTACATCTCGCAACACTCTGTCTGTCATCAGACATCTTGTAAGACTGTGCTGACTCGTTCACAGCTCGATAGGATCCCTTCACTGTTTCGCAGTCGTGCAGCGTCCTTCACGGAAGCTCAGGCGGCATACAACAGGATCTACAACCTTGGCGTCGTCACCCGCAGCGCTCGTGACATTGGCGCCGCGGCTGCATTCTGGGCACTGATGTGAGTGGCGTCGAGGTTCACCCGAGCACCCGTGGGGGCAGCACTTCCTTCATATTGCCGGGGCAACCATCTCAACCATCCCAGTCTGAGCTTCGAACAAGTGCTTGAGCTAACATCCAGTGTTTGGGAAGCAAATCGTGCGACGTTTGGCCACAACCTTCCCATCGAGGGTCAGAAACAGAAGCTACAGTCGCTCGCCATCGGTGAAGGTTAGTAGCTTGGAGAAACGCTTGCTGACTCTGGACAGCCTGGAAGAACAGCGCCACCTCTCGTGCCTCATCGTCACAGGACGCTGCCGAATACGCGGCAGCTACAGTCACCAAGCTCTTTGAGGAATACGGCAGCTCTCCGTTCGGCGGCTACGGCTACGACAGGCGCGGCGCATACCCTCGTCGCTACAGTTCTGAGTACGAGGAGTCTATTCGCCGGGACGAGCGTGAGGAGGCTTACCGCCGGGACGAGCGCGACCGTGACCGTGAGCGCGAGTACGACGCCCGCATCAGACACGAGTACCGAGACATTGACCGAGAGCGTGACCAGCTCTACCGCGAGCGCGCTGCATTGGAGGCTGAACGAATGTACGGCGCGGCTTACAGGCCCGACATGATGATGGGCGCTGCTGCTGGTGCCTACGGCTACGCTGGGCCTTACGTCTACCCGATTGGCTTGGGAGGTGCCACGGCCGGACCGGGGTACGGAAACGTCCCCATGCCCCCTTCGCCCTACGGCTACGGATACAACCAAGCGTACTACGACGTGAGTTGCATACGCCGCCGACGACTAACTCTCAGCCATACGCAGCAAATCTATACCCACCGGGGTACGTCGCACCGCAGCAATATGGCTACGGGTACTACCGCTATTGAGATTGTAACTGAACGGGACTTGTGCAGAGGTCGACCGCGCGCGATGTGGACCGGCGTCGGGCTTCCATACGGGCTATGGAACATTCTGACCAACATAGGCTTCCAGTTTGTGAAGATCTGGAACGCAGCGAAGCAGGAGCAGGAGGCCGCGCAGGCAGACTACGACATGCAGCGCGAGGCGCGCATGAGGGAGCGGGAGCAGATGGAGATGCAGCGCGAGCAGGCGCGGGGCGAGCGTCTGCGCCGCCGCGAGATCAGGAGGGAGTACAGGCGCAGGCGGCGCAACTTTTACTCTATGAGCGACGATGAGGTCAACTATGGCACGCAGAGGAGGCCCAGGAGCCGCGCGCTCGCACGCCTCACCCACCTCGGATTCCGCTCAGACCGGCCCAAGGTGTACGTCTCTGGCGCCCCGGCGTCAATGGCCACGGACGCACCGCAGCGCGCAACCAGTGCGAGCCCCGGGGGAGCAGCACCGAACCTCGCCCACCTCCCCCAAGTCACCCGCGTGGCGTCGGCGGAAGTCTACTCGTCTCAACACCTACACCCGAACAGCGCGTACCAGAACGGCGCGGCTGTGGAGAATACGAGCACGGGCGCCAGCACGGGGGCGACCACGCCCTCAACTTCAGGGCGGACGACATCGCAGAGCAAGCAAAGCCAGCAGACCCAACAGCGCACGGGCACCGGAACGCCAGGCACAGACATACCGGACGACTACGGATCCGCCCAATTCGCCAAGGAGGAGCGGTGGCGGGCCCGCGAGCAGCGGCGCCGGCAGAAGGAGGAGGCGCGCGAGCGGCGCGACGCGGCCTATGACCAGAGACACTATGGGAGCAAGGTGTACAACCCGTACGCCGCCGCGGCGCAGTAGTGTAATCGTCGTCGGACCTGGACACGAATGCAATGAGCGCGGAGATAGAGGGAGAATATTATCACTGTGTAGAAGTCTACCGAGTAGTGTGTCATGAAATCGTAATGCCTCCGAATGTGCTCTCCACTGTGAAAACAAAAAAAAAACGTGTGGCGCGGAAACTCGCCGAAATGGTCGTAAAACTCTCTCCCGGCCCTTATACTGACTCCTCACCACTCACGCTCACCGTGAAGACTCTCCTCCCCTCAGACCCGCTCCTCTCTACATCAGAGAGCGATTGAAAGACTGAAAAATTCGCTAGAATCCAGCGCGAACAGTCCGCGGCCACCGCCGCGGCTGCCCACCAGCGCGCACAGCACGGCAACTTAGCTCAGTTGGTTAGAGCGCATGCTTCACAGAGTGATTCGCATGAGGTCGGCGGTTCGACCCCGCCAGTAGTCAAACGGGAGCGCAGGGGTCTCGAAGAGACCCCGTTTTTGCCACCCTGTGCAAGGTGTTGCGGGTCGTAACAATGTGCATTAATCGTTCTAGGGCGCGGAGACATTATCGTTCTACGAAAGTTGTGTGGTGGAAGTTGGAGGTGGAGGAGATAACGTGTAATCAGGACTCGGACGAATCTGTGCCCGGCGACGGAGCCTTCCTGCCCCGCGCCATAGCGACGAGACGGTCAAACTCCTCGCGTCCCTGCGCGGCACAGAGGGCCTTGAACCTGCCCTTCTTGTCGGGCATATCGAGCAGATCCTCGGGCGCGCCTTCCTCGACAATACGCCCTTGATCGAGCACGACAATCTTGTCAAACTCGATGATCGTGCGCAGCCGGTGCGCAATGACCAGCATCGTGATGCCCGCAAAGTCCTCCTTCAGCGTCTCCGTGATCAGCGCGTCGGTTTCATAGTCACAGCTCGAGGTCGCCTCGTCCATAATCAGGACTTTCGAGGGCTTGAGCAGCGCGCGTGCAAGACAGAGCAGTTGTCGCTGTCCGTGGCTGAAGTTTGAGCCCTCGACTGCGACGAACGTGTCAAGGTTGGCGAAGGGAGAGACGGGGGTCGAGGTCGCCGAGCCGATCGCAGTCGCCTGCGTCTTCGGGATGAGGTGCACGCGTCGCAGGGCTGAGAGAATCTCCTCAGCGCTTCGCTGGCTAGAGACGTCGAGGGCATTGCGGAGAGTGCCACTGGGGAGCGAGCCCTCCTGCACGACCATGTTCAACCGGCTGCGCAGCGCCTGCAGCGACAGCGTGGAGATGTCCAGGCCGTCGATCTTGATGAGTCCCTCGTTGGGCTCGTTCGCGCGGAAGAGGCTGAGTGCGAGCGTCGACTTGCCGCTGCCCGTCGCGCCGACGATACCGACCCGCTGACCCGGCTCGATAACCAGGTTGATGCCGTGAAGCACGTCGGGCAGATCGGGCGCGTATCGCAGGCTCATGTCCTTGATCTCGATCTTGCCCTTGACCGGCCACGAGGGCGGCGGCTCCAGTCCCTTCTCCGGCTCTTGAGGGATCTCCTCCAGGTAGTGGTTCACACGCTCGGCCGACACAAAGGTCTGCTCCATACTAATCAGCTGCTCGAGCAGACCGAACAGGTTCGTACTGATCTGCGCAGCGAAGGAGAGGATGAAGCCGGCCTGCGCGGCAGAAATGTCCTTGCCGACAAGTACGATCGCAGTGGCAGTGATGAAGACCGACGAGCCGCTGAGGACCACGCCGCGGACCCAATTGTACACGATCCAGTTCCATGTTTCGGCCGTGCGGCTCTTGTTGATGAGGCCGACCATGGTATGTGCCATTAGGTTCGGCAGACCGAACGCTCGCAGCATGACCACGCCGTCGATGCTGTCGTGGTACAGCGAGATCAGCGGCGAGTCAGCGACGGCTGCAAGGCGTCGCAGAGTGGACCTCAGCTTTCCAAGACCATTCGCGATCATGAAGAGGGGGATGCCGAATAGCACCATGACGAAGAACAAGCTGGGGACCTTGAACACGACGATGCCCGCCGCTCCGACGACAGTGATGACCTGCTGCACCGTGCGCCCAAAGTCGTCGGCAGACTGAGCGTCCAGTCGTCTCATGTCCTGAGCGAACACGTTCAGCAGGCGTCCAGACGGCACCGACTCGAAGAAGCTCAGAGGAGCCTGCGCGATCGTCTTGAACAGTTTGCGGTGAATCTTCTTCGTGCCCGCCGAATACCAGCCGACGTTCCCAACTCCATAAAGCCATACCCAACGGATGGACCCGAAGAGGACGTAGATGACGTTGACGCCAATATAAAGCGACAGGTAGTAGTCCAAATGGGACTGGTCGGGGTCATCGGTCCAAATCTCCAGGACGTACGACACCACCATGCTCGATCCCTTGGCGAGGATGTAGCAGATGGCGAAGATGGTCCAGTAGCCGAAGCCGCCGGCAGCCTTGATCATCATCCAGTAGTGCGATCCCGCCACATGGCCCGATTTCTGGTCCTCGGCCTTGTAGAGGTGCCTCGCCTCGCGGACTTCAGCTTCCTCGAATGCTTCGTCGTCCACGAGACGAGTATCCTCGTACAGTTGGAGGTCGGCAGAGCGTCCAGAGGGTGACCTCGGCGGGGCCCCAGGGGCGCGGCGACTTTCGCCCTCGAGCGTGTGCAGAATGTCCTGGGTTTCGGCGACCAAGCTGTCGGAGCGGCCATGCCCCGCCGGTCGCGCCGGCGGCTCCTCCTCCTTCGCCTCGTGCTTCGGCGATGCCAAGGCAATCAGGGACCCGACGTGCGCCCGCTTCGAGGGGCAAGACTGTTCGATTTTTCCATTGCTCAGTGCGACAACATACTCAGACGCCGGGAGACAGAGATCCACATGGTGCGAAACGAGCACCACATTGCGACCCTTCAGCAGCGAGCCTTTGAAGCACTCGTCGACGATGAAGCGCGCCGTGTGGGCGTCCACCGCACTCAGGATATCGTCCAGGTAGATGGTGCGAGCGCGCGAGTAGACGCATCGGGCAAGGTTGATGCGGGCTTTTTGGCCTCCGCTCAAGTTGACGCCGTTCTCCCCAACTTCTGTGCGGTCGCCGTCGACGAGGAGCTCGAGGTCTGACTCCAGCGAACATTGCCTCAGGACTTCGTTGTAGCGCTCCGGCCAGAACGGTTGGCCAAACGTAATGTTGTCCTTGACCGTACCGTGGCGAATGTAGGGCATCTGCGGGGCATACGCAACTGAGTTGTCCAACCACAGCTCATTGGTCCACCTGAATTTAACCATCGAGGCGTCGAGCGGTGTCATGTCGGGCGCAGAGCGAGGCGTGACGATTCGGCCGGAGACGAGTTTGGTCTCGCCCAGGAGACTGCGCAGCAGCAGCGTCTTTCCTGACCCCAGAGGACCGCAGACGAGCGTCATCTTGCCCCGAGGCAGGGTCAAGGACACATCTTTGATTTCGAAGAGGCGTTCGCTGCTGTCTGTTGTTTGCATATCGGCGGTGACATCCTCGACTCTTGGCCAAGTCATGGTGGCGTCGTTCAGGACGATCTGCCCCTCAGAGACGTCAGCGGGGTTCAGGACCACCTCGTCCTGGTTCAGGTAGCCCTTGAGACGGTCCAGGGCAATCTTGGTGGACAGGAGGATGTCGACAATCCTCGGCAGGACCTCCAGTCCCTCTCGGACACGATAAAAGATAGTCGTCGTAATGAATGCCGTCTCGGGCTCCAGTCGGTTACCAAGGACCTTGGTGTAGAAGACGAAAGTGACGAGAACAGCCACGTTCGGCATCTCGTCAGCCACAATGTTGAAGAGTGTGCCAAGGGTGTATCGCCACCTCTGCCACTTTGTCTCAATGTCGCGGAGCTTGCCGATACGCTCAATCTCGTACTCCTCAAACGCGTTCAGCTTGATGACCTTGATGCCCATGAGGAACTCCTTGATGGCACCGATGCGGGCATCGCGAGCTCTGGCCCAAGCCTTGTCGCACACTGACAGTCAGTTTAGATCACTACACACTTAACTCACCGTAGATTTTCTTCGAGATCCATACAGACAGCGGAGCGATGAGAGGGACACAGAGCAGACCAGCGACCGCACTGACACCCAACATGATGTACAGAAACCAGAGTCCGATAGCAACTGATTGTTAGCTCTACAACTCGTGTTAGCTTACGTCTGATGAGCCCGTTGGAGATGCCCCAGACATAGGTCGCCATGGAGGCCACGGTGTTCGTGTCAATGGTGAGCAGGTTCATGACCTGGGCGCGGCCCTTGCCGGCCTTGGTGTCTTCTTCAGACATGTTCTGAGCCTCCATCGCCTTTGCGTCCGTAGACCGGAGGATCTTGGCGTACAGCTGGGACTGTCAGTTACCACGCCTGCAGCAGCAACTCACAATAGCGGACAGTGTCATGCGCACGGGGTTGTGCAGGATGTAGTTCTCGCGAACCCAGAGGTAAGCTGAGAGGAGGACCTCAACGACCTGTCCGAAGAACAGGCCCCAGCACATGAGGTACGAGTACGAGTAGTCGTCTGACGGGTGCTTGAACGAGGCGATGAGCTCGCGCAGAGCCGCGATCTGCACGTAGGCGATCACGGTGTTCAGCGTCTCGAGGATGAAGGCTGATAGTCAGCTCTGCGTTGTCGGCCAGTTAGCTTACTCAGGATGATGGACCACCCGCGGTTCTTCCACAAAGCTTTTAGGAGCTGACCACTGGTGTACGGCTTGAAGTGGTCACCTCTTGGCCCGAGAGTGCGAAGGTACTCGTCGCCACTCGTCCTGACCCACTCCTCGAGGAGGGGCAGGTCCTTCTGCTGCAGCTCAGTCTGCGTGATGCTCTTGCCGGCAACCTGGAGGCTCTGTCTCGTCAGCTATCTGACTCAAGCCTCAGCTCACATATCCGAGTGCGAGGAACTTGATCATGGACGAGTTACCATAGTCGATGACCTCGGGCTTCCTCTTCTCGTCCCAGAGGTCGTCGTCTTTACCATTCGCATGGTTGCCGTTCTGGTCCGCGTTCTGGCGCGCCTCGACACCGCTCAGGCCAAAGGTGCTGACGGCGATCTCGGCACAGAGCAGCGGCCCACGGCGCATAAGGCCCGCGGCAAGGACGGAGGCGAGCAGGCTCGCAACGTGCAGCCAGCTCGGGAGGCCGGTGCTCGGCGCCCCGCGCTTGGTCTGGATCGTGTACACGACGCCGGGGAGGTAGTGCAGCACCACGGCGAGTAGCATCAGGATGAAGATACCGACGCACGCAGCGCGATGGATGCCCATGTTGCGCAGCTTGCCCAGCGAAGCGGGACGCAAGTGGCGCGGGAAGGGGCGTTTGATCAGCGTCATGACAAGCAGACCAATGCTAATACACTGTCGTGTCAGCTGAGACCACCACACCAAAGCTCACAGTGAATACGAGCGCTGTCAGGTCGCAGCCCCACACCGCAGCGGGATACCAGCCGCCAATGCTGCTGCCCAGCTTGTGCGGCACAGGCAACCGCGTCAGGTGCCAGATACCTGTGCCGAGCGCGGCACTCAGCGTCAGCACGAGCGCGGCCTTGCATTGCCGGATGTTATCTCTGAATTGGGTCAGATGAACAGGGACATCGATGTCGATGTCGTCGCGATCCCGCTCCGGCGCAGCCGGTGCTGATTGCGTCGCTCCGTAGCCTGCCTGGCGGCTTAGGAGGGACTGCTGTTCTCCCGTCGGCATGGTAGATGATGCAAGGCCTTCCTTGCGTCGACGGACGCGGCTGGATGGCTACGTTTCGTGTCTTCCTCGCTGGCTAGGTTGCCTCGACTGCCGTGGATGATCGCGTGTGTGGAGCGTGCTCGGTCCTTTACTGTCTCGATGTTGGTCGGATCACCTCGGGAGTCGGCCTGTGCGAGTCGTCGAGGTGGATGAAAGGTCTATGTCGAGTCTATGGTACAGAGGGATAGAAGCGTCTGTCGCACATGCAGAGGACAACGCGACGGGATGTGGGCGGGGAAGGCGATGATGCGTTGTTCGTCGAGTTCGGCGAGCCGCGAGGTTAGTGCAAGGGGAAGTCGCCGAAATGACGGTCCTTTGCGGGGCCCTCGGTGTGGTTCACGTGCAACCACCCACGTGGAGAGAGTTACGTAAAGTGGTCTGAACTTCTCCGCAGTTAGCGTCTGTCAGTCGTTGTGAGGTCAGTATCGAGCGGCAAGCTGGGCGATGCAGAGCAGAGGTATGAAGCAACCACAGAACAAGATGCATTCCGATGAGAGCGGTATAAGGTGCTTCAAGTCATGGCGACATTCCGATCTGCGATCGCCGGTCGCTTACCGCTGCCATCGGCAGCGCTTACCTGCCGCACGTCTTCCACAAACAGCAACGACCAGACCGTACGATGACCAGCCCCAGCCCCATCCCAAGTGACGCAAGTGACGCGAGATCTGAGTCCTCCGACGTGGTCATTGTGTCCAGTGTTGCAAGCGCACAGATCGGTCACGTCCGAGAGCGACTACAATTGTCATGGTGCGCGATCGGTAAAGTGCGGCATGCGCGCATACGGCGTGGTAGCTGCGACAGCTACAGCTGCGGAGCGCGCTCGTGTGAGCGTGTAAAGTGTGGAACGTGAGATGTGCTAGATGTGAGACATCACTGACCGCGCTCCCTCGATCCTCGATCTGAGCGCGCCGAACCTGTCCCAGCTTCCCCAAAGCTGGCACTCTGCATGCACTGGCTCCCCAAATGCGCGCCTGCCTCTGTGCTCTGCGTTCCTGCGCATGAGCGCGCGCTTCGTGCACGCAGAAAGCTGAGTAAGCCATCCACAGCATCCGCACGTCGCACCATTGCGCGATCGCAAGTCGCCCCAGGTCGCAGATGTCCGTCAGACCTGGCCCTAGCTCCCAGCTCCCCAGCATTTCCCCCCACCGTCTTGGACCATCGCACAGGGCCATCCATCCCCAGCAGCCTCCCCAGTCCCCGCAACATCGGAAACCTAGATGTGGGCGGTCCCTCGCATCCTGGAGCCAGGAGACGGCGTTCTAGCCAGGAACCTAAAAGGTGGTGGACCCAAAAGTTCGAAAGAGGAACACCGAAATTCGAAAAATCACGCCGAGCCCCTGCGACAGCGAGCGCCCGCGTCACGAGGTGACATACCGTCACATGCATGTTTATCTGGGATGCTATGCCGGGGATGCCGGGCAGAGCGCCGAGCCGCTGCGTGCCGTGCCGTGTGCGCCCCGGGCCGCGCCGGTCGCGATGCCCTGGGACTAGCTCGTCTGAGCAAGGGTGCTGAGCGCAGGTGACCCTCCGCTGATTTCGAACGCTGCCAGATGAGTGTCCTAAACCACCCGAGCCCCGAGTTCCGATTGCAGCTGATCGCTGATCGGACTTGTCCTTGTGGGCCTGGAGGGTGGTGGGCCAGGTGGGCGCGGGGCAGGCACCGTGACCTGACTTCTCCTGACACCTGACGGGGTGTGTTGGAGCAAGCAAGGGAAGACGGATGGCGGGCCGGGACGAGCGGCGGGCGGCAGGCAGGCGGACGCGGGGGCGAGCGGAATGCTCAATGCCTTGTTGTGAAGGCCGATTCTGGTCGAGATAGGACTTAGCCCATGTCCTGGCGAGGAGGGTTAGACGCCGAGCAATTCGTGCGGCACCGGCGACTGGGTGGTTGGGGATTGGTGGAAAATGCAAACCCGTGCCACAACAGCCCCGGCGCCAGTACCGCCAGTGCCGCCAGCTACGCCGGCGTCCTCGTCCCTGTTTTTCCTTGGATTAGCCGTGCCTTTGCCCGCGACGCGCGGCAATGGTCATGCGGTCAGTGCCTGCTCATGGCACCAGTGCATGCGTCGTCGAGCCCACCCCAGCAAAGCCAGCGGCAGCCCAGCTGGAACCCAAAGGAAGCCAAAGGACACGGCCTGGACAGGTCAGCTGGTTTATTTTCGTTGCCCTGTCGAAACCCTCAGTGCCCTTGCTGGCCCTGGTGTCGCAGACGATGAAGCATGTGCTTACCTTCGCGCTTCGCTGAATTTCGAACTTTTGCAGCGCTGATTTCGAACTGATTTCGAACTCGGCCAGGACGGGACCGTCGCACCTTGCTTGCAGCGTTGCAAGTGCAGCGTGAGCGGACTCGGGGTCCGCTTGCATTGCGCTGTGCTCTGCAGTGCCAGAGCAAAGCTTTGCATGCATGCATGGAGACACCGGCCGCGGACGGTGATCAGATTTTGGGTGCAGCTGCTGTCAGTGCGAAGGCTGGATCTGGCAGGTGATCAATAGAGTAAGGGTCAGTCAATGAGTGGTATACGCTGCTGGTTCGTCGACAGTGACGGAGGAGATAGAGGGAGGAAACGAGTTAACGAAGCTTGTCTTGCAGAACGTTGATTCGAACGCGCATAAACTATGATGCAGCGATGCTCGGCAACAGCACAGCATCAGCTCTGTTGCCGAACCCGAGGCGCTCGACGCCATGCCATAGGTTCACGGCGTATCTCGGTGCATATCACTTGATGGAATACTCCGTAAATTTCAGCCCAGGTCGTGATCAGTAGTTATCAGTACGACATATAGGCCGAAACAGCTGTAGGCGACCGTGCTCGACGCTGGTTGGAGGAACGTTGTTGCGATTCCGAAGAGGGTCAGGTCAATCACAGGGACACCAGGTCCCGTTACCCCCGCGGGGCCACCCTGTGGCGCGTCATGTTGGCCTCCTCGCTGGGCTGCTTGGACGGCCAGGCTGCATGCATGACTGCCAGACAGCTGACGGGCGACCTCACAGCTGCTTGAGGCGATGACCTCGACACAGGCTTAGGCTGCTGAGCGCGGGCGCCTAGCTAGAGCGTTCAAGCCGCTCGATGAACACTCACGGACGACTGACTCACGAGCTCTGCGCAAGAGCTTGTGGGGAGGGGCTAAGGGCACAGAGAACGACTGTAGTGGATTAGTGGAGCATGGAGTGAGGATTGTAGCGAGAGAGAGAGCTGGGAAGAAGTTGAATTCTGAGAGGACTGAGAGTTCGACACGGACCGGACATGAAAGTCGTGCTCGGCTACTGCAGCCGCACGAGCCGGCGGCATGATCAGTTGACAGGAACAGCTCGGTACGTAGGCATTGCGTTCACCGGAATTGGGCTGATCAACGCCATGACGACTTTCGCGCGTTGACTCATGGGAGAGACCCGTCGGGTAAAGTCAAACGCGATGGAAGACTGGCGTTGCATCGTTAACCGGCCGGCGGCGCTGAGCACCGACATTGATCAGCCAGTCAGTGGGTCACATCGACAATGACGAGCGCAGCAGAAGGGAGGATCAGGATGACGCGGACGAGCCCGCCCGCGCAGCTTGCCCAGACACCAGCGCCATGCCCGCCGCCGGCGAGTAGTGTGCTCGGTTTCGAGTCGACGAGCGAGCAATGGAGGCTAGGAACGCACAGGAACAGGCATTTGGCGCGCGATGGTGAGTGGTCCATCGTTAGGTCTTGCCCAAGTGGAGGCGAGGTGGAGGCTGGGTGGACGTGGCCGCTCTCGAGTTGCTAATCTCGATTAACGATCGGTATGAAATAAGCTTGGAGCGTTTGTAATAGGTAATTGACAAGTGCGCCAAAAAGTCCGACATCTTCCGAGGCGTCCCGAGCAATATCGAATTTTCCCGCATGGATTTGTACATGCCGCCTGCGAGTGCGCAGGAACGATGCAGGACAGGACCTACGCGATGTGCGTGATTCGTGTGGGGTAACAGGGTAAAACTAAGGAAAAAGTAAGCGGATACTAAGGACAGGCAGGCGCAGGTCACTACCTCGTCTGTTGATCGCTGTCGAGACATGCGCAGGAGCGCAGAGGGTTCCCGAGCGTGTCCAGCCTGAGCCCGTAGAGCCTGAGCCTGAAGCCTGAGCCACTACTGCGCGGCACCGCCGGCGGCGGGTGAGCTACTGAGAGAGCGAGAACGCCAAAGCCGGTCGCACCACAGGCGCACTGGACGAATCTCGTGTGACCCAGCCCCCCTCTCTCCCTCTCCCACCTCGGCATTGTGTGGCTTGTACCGGGTAATGCAAGCTGGTGCTCGGAGATAGATCTATCGTCTGATTGCATCGGGAGCCGTGGTGTCAGCTGGTATGGAGTACAGTGTGAGCGGACTCGGAGGTGCGCTGTGGAGTGCGATGGGCAAGTGGAACCGGGTAATGGAAATCGGGGCTCATGGTCGGGGCACGGTGATCGTTCTCGTCTATCACTAGTGGAGGGGGAGATAAACGATGTGTGCGGCAAGGGCACCAGCGCAGAGGCGAGCAAGGCAGTCATGTGTTTGTGCCTGGCCTCCACTCTCTGGTGTTGTATTCTCCACCGGGGAAGAAGGAGCCAGCCAGGGTGGAGGCCTCGGCTGGGGGGCGCGGTGTCAGGGGCTACGCGGCGAAGGGCAAGGGCGGCCAGGGCCCAGTTACAGGGTACAGGGCCCAAGACCGCAGCGTTTGTAATGAATCTCTGTGACTCGAGTCTAGTTCGCGCCGCCGCCCAGCCCGCTTGCAGCCCGCTTGCTACACCGACATCGTAGTCACTTCGGCTCTGCGCGCAATCCTCTGCTGTAGTGCGTGCATGCGTGCTCCAGCCCAGCCGCTCAGCCAGTCGTCCCTCTCCACGAAAAAAATCCTGACCTCATCTCGCCGCCGCCGTCGTCGTCCACCACCGCCCACGGCACGATCGAGTCACAGCCGCACTCCAGACACCATGCAAGCTCTTTCCATTCCAACTACACCTGGTCACACCACCTCCTTCCCGGCTACCTAGCCCCCACAGCATCCCCATCCCAAAAGCACTAGGCCCTTAGACGCCCAGGCATCCCCCCCTCATCCCCGATATGCGCTTTCCACCCGTTCGGCCTTCTTACATCCTCTCCAGATCTTACCGGTCCGCACCACCGACCAGAGCTCCAGGTAAGTGGGATATATAAGGACTCGGACTTGGTTTACCTCTCCCCTCTCCCCTAGACTTTCCACCTCTGTCTTTCCTCTGCCGCTACCAACTGGCGAAGCAGCCCTAGCTACCACACCACTATCAGTCACCACCACTCTAGTAGCCTACCGCAACCCCACTGCCTCTCGTCGTCAACACCTCAACCCCAGAGCTCGACCGTCAACACCCCTTTAGCAACGCTCACACCACCCCTGTAGCTTTCAATATGGCTTCTCACCTCCTCTCAAATCACATTGCCAAGCCTCCCACGCCCCCTCTGACCCCCAAGTCCAACTCGCTCGACAAGCTCGGTAAGTCACGCGCCACATTTCCCCATCGCCCAATTCACCACCCACTGACTCTCCCCACAGCGCTCGGAGAAGAGATGATGAAGACTCGCCCCAAGGCCCATCGTGAGCAGAGCGTGCTGCGTCTGCGCGCTCAGCTCGACTCGCTCCCGACCCCCCTGCTCAAGCACGGTCTCCTCTCGCGCACCCGTCGCGAGGACCCCGAGCTCTTCTTCTCGGTTGTCCAGGCCGACCTCGTCAACCTTGCCCCCATTGTCTACACCCCCACCGTCGGAGAGGCTTGCCAGAAGTACTCTCACGTCTACTCTGGACCCGAGGGTCTCTACATCAACATTGACGACAAGGACTCGCTCCGCGAGATCCTCGCCGAGTACGATGCCACCCTTGACGCCGCCCACAAGCCCAAGATCATTGTCGTCACTGACGGATCTCGTATCCTCGGTCTTGGTGACCTTGGTCTCGGTGGAATGGGTATCTCGGTTGGAAAACTCAACCTCTACGTCGCCGGTGGTGGTATCCGCCCGATGGGATGTCTCCCCATTGTTCTTGAGTGAGTTAGCCCCAAACGGTGGTGACAGTGGCGACCACCGCCACTGCCGGCCATCGCATCTGAGCCTTAGACGTAGCATTGTGGCTGACGAGAACAGCATGGGAACAAATAACGAGAGCCTGCGTGAGGACCCCCTCTACCTTGGTCTGAGGAGGCCTCGCGTTGAGCTCAAGGAGGCTAGAGAGTTCATGGATGAGTTCATGGGAGCGGTTAGTGCCCAGTGGCCCAAGACTGTCATCCAGCACGAGGACTTGTGAGTGCATTGATCCTATTTCCCCTATCACCCTCGACTATCTCTCGGATGCGATGTGCGCACGGCATGCACATGCAGGGTCCAAGCGCCAAAATAACCGGCGGCAGAAGAAAGTGCGGAATAATTCCAAACTCGAGATTTGCCCGGTTAAGTCGTGCGCCCCGGTTAAGTGAGGACCCGAGTCACACTACGCAGTGGAGGCTGCCGCTCCCGATGAGCGAGTCGACCAGAGAGATCTCGTGTCTCACTGAATCGCACACCCACTGCGGCGCTGCTGCCATGCATAGCCCCCTCTCAGCCCCCCCATGGAACAATCGCTGACCCCACTCTAGCTACTCGGAGGCTGCCTTCGACTTCCTTGACGGCTACCAGAACGAGTACCGCATGTTCAACGATGACATCCAGGGCACTGGCTCTGTCATCCTCGGTGGATTCCTCACTGCCGCCCAGCGCGCCAGCGAGGCTTCCGGCCGCCCCCTCACCGACCACAAGGTCGTCTTCCTCGGCGGTGGCTCCGCCGCTGTTGGTGTCGCCAAGGAGATGATGAACTTCTTCCGCATGCAGGGTCTCTCTGAGGACGAGGCTCGCGACCGCTTCTGGCTCATCGACACCAAGGGTCTCATCACCTCTACCCCGCCCACAAGGAGTACTTCATCCGCAAGGACACTGAGGGCCAGGAGTTCAAGACCCTCGCCGAGGTCGTCGACTACGTCCAGCCCACCGCCCTCGTTGGTCTCTCCACCACTTTCGGTGCTTTCCCCGAGGAGATCGTCCGCAAGATGGCCGACCTCAACGCCGCCCCCATCATCTTCCCTCTCTCCAACCCTACCTCCAAGTGCGAGCTCGCTTTCGAGGACGCTCTCAAGTGGACCAACGGCACTGTTCTCTTCGCTTCTGGATCGCCCTACCCGCCCACCGAGTACGAGGGCAAGCTCTATGAGCCTGGACAGGGGTGAGTACTAACTGTGGCGCAAGCCGCACTAGCCAAACCGCGCTAGTCCCCACCTCCACCGGCCTCCACCCTACCTCCACCCACCTCCACCCCACCGTGTGGCACTTCGTCACCACCACTTCTTCATCCACCCTCATCCATCTTTTCTTTCTTCTTACACATCCACAACTCCATCTTTTGCACAAGAGCGTCGCTAACTCATCTTAGCAATAATTTCTTGGTCTTCCCAGGCATTGGCTTTGGCAGCATCTTCTGCGACGCGGACCGCATCACGGACGGCATGATCACGGCCGCGGCGATCGGCCTGTCGCGTTCTCTGACCGAGGACGAGCAGCAGCACCAGCTGCTGTACCCGCGCCTGACGCGTATCCGCGACGTGTCTGCCGAGGTTGCGCTCGCCGTTGTGCGCGCTGCGCAGAAGGACGGTGTCGACCAGAACGTCGCCCTCAGGGATCTCGACGACGACCAGCTCCTCGCCAAGATCAAGCAGACGCAGTGGAGCCCGTACGAGGACGAGGAGGTCAAGAGCAACCTTTAAAGCAGCATTTACAGCAACAAAAACAAATATCATCAATCAACGACGTGTGTAAGATGAGCAGCGAGGCGCAGCGTGACTGTTGAGTATCCACTAAAAGTATACTTTTTTGTCCATGGACTTTCCCCTCTTTTTCAGCATTGTAAACAAGTTTGACATGTCAATGTTTAGTCATACGAGCGTCATGTTGCATCTCACAAAGTCGCATCTCACGAGAGTTGTACTGATTTCGATAATAACTGGGTCTGGATCCTGCGGCTGGGATCTCACGACCCCATGCGAACAGTCCACGCAGCATTCCTCCTGACCATCTCCAACCGTCTCGCGATCATACCTGGGAACGTCTGGGGCACGAGACCACAGTTCCAGCTGCCCCGTGTACGGCACCGTCCGCGGCCCCAGTCGATCGAGCAGAGGAACTGTGGGGCAACAATTCATCCATTACGAAGCAACGATCGAGGCACAAAACTCAGCTGGGAGATCCCGCATGGGACAGCAGGTCGGCACACGAACGCGACGACCTGGGGGTGCATAGAATTCAATCGTGATCTCCTGATCAAGGGGAAACCTGTCAGAAGCGACCACTGCCGCCTCCGGATCGCCCGCCGGATCACCTCCGGATCACTCTTACCGCCGGCACGGGCGGTAGTTGCTCCCAAGGGCTCGGCTGGAGGCCTAACCGGCGGTAACAGCTTGACTGCGGCGGTATCTGACGTGAATGAACTTTAGTTCTTTGAGTCAGAACCCGCCGGCCGCGGAGGGGGTGTGCCTCGCTGCCTCGCCGTGCTCGGGGCTTGCGTTAAGCGGGGCGCACCCACAGGCTGGGCGGGACGGGCAGCGAGGGACCACAAACACTGGGCACGAACCCGCGGGCAGAAGCCTTCCCAGCCCGGAGGCGGCAGAGGCGTACCAGGGCAATGCATAATGCGTTGCCGGAGTACGCGAAACAACGGCCTGCATCAACTACGGAGAAAGTCGGAACCGCTAGACTTGCTGGCATAAGCGATACGTGCTCTCCCGTACGTGCTTGCCGGAACGACCTCGGCCCGAGCCATCGTCAGTTGCCGACCCTGACGACTGGACGCGGCGACGTGCGCCTCACCACACTTTCAGTCCAACTTTTTTCAACTCTTACGTTTCCCTCGTGTGCACACGAGTGGATTGGAGTGGAGGGGGGAGACTAGTCGACTCGAAACGCACAAGAATTTGTAGAACGGACTTGGAATGTGCCAATGCCGACCATCAGCTGACCGCGGAACAGAATTGACGCTCTCGGCTGCAGACACAACCGGACCACGGAACCAGATCAGATAAGATCAACGATAACGCGGGATGACGACACGCCGCTGTCTGTTGCTGTCGTGGGCGCGACGTGGTACGTCGTGCCGCACTATGCGGTACTAGCGACCGGTTATGCAGCGACCAGTTGTGTGGTGCGCATTTCTCATGATCTCATCGATCTCCCAGCGTCGATCGTCATGGTCCCCGTGAGAGGTGCCTCTATTCTGGGAGCTTGATCAGAGCGGAATGTGCTTTAGGAACACCATTGTTCGAATCGAGAAAGCGTCAAACACTCGTCGGTCAGACACAGGTGGGTTCGCTGTGGATTCTGTGTTGTTCGGGGCGCTGACTGTTAGCTCGACGGAGGTCGTGGAGCGCTGATGAACATCTGGAACTAATGAATGCCCGGCTACAGTACATTGACGCCGGAGCAGTCGTTCCTCGAAGGATCCAGACATCGGCGGTAGAGTCTTACCGGAAGCTCTGACGCAGACGTTGAAGTTCTCAAGCGTTTTGAGTCTCGACTGCGTTATTGGAATGTGCAAAGCAATGTCGCTCCACTCGTGAGATTGGTGGCGTCGTCAATGTTATCGCTGGTGACTGCCGAGAGCGTTGACTGTAGTTCGTATCCGCCAGTCAGCACGAGATCGTCCGCCTTACACAACTACCCATGGTGGATCGTTCCCCTTCACTGACCCAACTCACGCCCCTGACTCTTGTTTGGCCTGCGTTCAGCTCAAAGGCGAGGACGCTGCTCTGCCACGAGACTTTGCACCGATGGCGAGCTGACTACACTCACACCATTGATATACCCCGCCGGTGTGCACTGCTGGCAGCAGCTGTGTCTGATCCCCGTATCACCTGCTCGGAGGTATGTCATTTCATTCAGTGGTCTTACTGGGAGGATTGTACCTCCTAGCTCCTCAATGACTCGAGGGAGATGCCCTACGGTGCATCCCCCGTCACTGACTAACGTTCACACTGAAGTTAGCCCTTGTCCGGTTTCAAACTCACCCGTGCTGTGAGCAGAGGACGCAAGCGAGTGCTAGTGAAGTCTGCGCTGTCAGCTGGCTTTGCGACCCTAGAGCTTGTCGACCGGATGAAGGTGTTGGGGAGGAGACTCACAGACCATTGCCGTTGCTGCAGGGCGGGGCCTTGGTCCGAGGATTGCCGGCCTTGTCTTTTCCTCATCGACTCACCGAGGAGCCGCGCAGCTCGAGGAGGCGCTCGGATATCGATATCTTTACTCACCCCTGGCAGTTGTTCGTAGGCCGACAGATAACGCTGTTAAGAATGAGCTTTCCAGACACAACAATGTAGCTCGTATAACTTCTCACTCACCTCTGAGGCTAACTTAGGAATCAGTGGTCTGTCGACGGCCGAAAAGGTGCAAAAGGTGCCGAGGGTCTAATACTTGCGCCCGCCTGCTTCATTCGAGGTCAATCATGCCGGAGGCGACAACAAATGGACAAGCTGGGCTCGAGGCAGTACTGGAGACTCAGCCTTTCAGTCGTGGGCAAGCCGGTGAAGGGCATAAGCGTGAGAGACCTCAGAGGTATGGTGCCGTTCTATACTCACACTTCGGGGGACTAGAAGAACCAGCGGTCGAGCGTCTGGAGGAAGGAAGATGGATCGTGGTGGCAGATGTGCGAGCAAGGAAGGGGACTGGCGACGGAACAGGCGGGAAATGGGCTGACGATACGGTACGACTGATTGGCGCGGCACAAGAGATGCAGCAGGGATGTGACGAACAGCGATGCGCGAGGTGAACCAGAGGAGGGCAGTGGGGTGGCAAGAGGGAAGGTGCTTCAGCGAAACCTAGAGTCAGTCCACGGCGGCGATCAATCTGAGAGGAACAGGTAAGCTGGCTCTTGGGAGCATATATGGGGGAACCCTCGTCGTTAGGGGGTCGACAACCAGAGGATGGAGACGGGAGTGGATGGAGGAGGATTGTTATCCGTAACAGCGTCGTCGTCGCAGCGTCAAGAGCGGCAGACAACTGGGGCCTTCGCGTTCTGGAAGGACCTGCGACTCACCGCTGAACTCTCGGGCGTAAGCCAGGCAAAGTTGTGCTCGTGCTGTTGTGAGTGTGACAGGAGAGATGGAGTGGATGGAGGAGAAAATGAACACGAAAAGAGGAGTGCATGTTAAACACACGAGGGTTGACTCAGCTGCTCAGCACGAGGTGGCGACGACGTGGAGGGCTGAGGGGCGCAAAGCGAGGAAGGCAGTAAACACTCAACGCCAATCCCAGGAAACACGAAGGAGGAGCGATTAGCGGGTCCAGACTGGCGCCGCCAGCTAGCGAGCAACGCACACACCAGCCAGATGCCTGCGATCTCGAGATTCAACAGGTTCTACCACGTCCCGTGATCGAGCAGTGCAGACGATCTCCGCCACTGAGATCACCTCCACGTTCATTACGCGCCGACGAGAGTCACAGCAACTCGCTCGCTCGAAGTGGTTCTAGAATTCTAGAAGTGTGATGTGCGTGCCGGGTTTCGGTCGTCTGATCCGCTTCACGGCATGACGTTGTCTTGGTAGACAGGACGCTCTTATGCTGACAAGCAGTAGACAAACCTGACCAAGGGTACAGTAGACAAACCTGACCAAGGGTACAACGGCATGCATGGTACATACAGACAACAATACAACGCTGGATCCTTCTCTCCGGGCCGACTTAACATCCACCTCCACCACCACCACCACCTCCTCCGCATCCCCCGCCACCTCCCCCTCCACAATCACCCCCGCCAAACCCGCCTCCCATACCAATCCCCGCTCCCATCCCAATGGAT